TTGATAAATCTCGAAAGGTTTTTGGATTTGACAAATCCAAAGATTCGCTTTTGTAAAAAAGAATCTTGTAGAATAAATAATGTCGTAAACACTATACAAAATGAGTTGTTTACTTGAAAAAGGAAGTTACTCCATCCCCTAGAGAATTGATGTAACACTATCGAACAAAGCGAGATAGTGGAGCAACACTTAGTAGCTGACACCGACTTAGCATTAAAAGAGGTTAGGAGCAAGGCTGAGTTTTAGATATCCAAATCAAGAGGAAATGAAACTTTATGACACTTTGTGACAATACTCTATTGACTCTATGGCACAATTGGATGGCTGGCTAGAGAAATGGGATACACACATGTCCATTTCCACTGTAAGTTGTTGAGTAAAAAATTTTTAGTTGTACTACAACAACAAGAGAGCAAAAAATAAAGAGCAAAAAATAAAGAGAAATAAAACAAGAGAGCAAAAAATAAAGAGAAATAAAATAAGAGAGGAAAAAGAATAAAAAGAGGAAAAAAAAGGTTAAATGATTTTACTTTTGTTAGGTTTATATTATTTGCTTTTTTTCTGCGCCAAATTTAAACTAATTGGGAAATCTGAACCAGCTGTGGTCGTCAATGCCAAATGCCTAATGCCCAGACGAGTAACAAAGTGGTGACTTGACTATAATCAAGCAAATCTCGGAGTAGTAAAAAAAAAGGGAACACTTGTCAATAAAGACTCAGTCCAGTAACAAAAAGGGAACCCTTTAACCTTTATCTACAATTACTAAGAAAATACCAAACTCTCAGATCCCAAACCTCAGATACGCTCATTTGAAAGGGGAGTGCGTTATCGAGGAGGCGCGTAAGACCAACTTTTCTCATGTTTATACGCGTTATATATCTTTTTTTTTTCTTTTTTTTTTTTTTTTTCCTCTTCTTTACAAGATAATTTTTGCTTTTCTTTTTTCTATTCTTTGTAAGTTATATTTGGCAGTATTCAGTCACCTATATTTAGTTTGTGTATTTCAAAGCCTATTTGTGTATTTGTGTATCTCTGCTGGGTTTGTGTTTTCTTGAGTATCCAAAAAACCTTATGTTAATTAAGCACCCAGAAGTATATTCTATTTTTAAATCTCTCGAGTATGAAACTGCAAAATGTCGGAATTTTTCGATTTGATTGATCAAACCCGTGAAATATATATATAAATATGTAGCAAAATTCCTTTGCTTTGAGATATAAGAGAAGAGAGGTATGTTCCATCTGATCATTACTATTAGATGCTTTTGAAACCCTTTTTGTCTATTATTTCGGTTGTTGCACTGGTAGTTTCCCTTGGTGATGCTCTAACTACCTGTAACCCATTAACAACGCTGTCTTGTCCCGCAAATCCTGCTTTAGGTGGCTCAATTTATGAAACTTTTAATAATGGTTTGGGGTCCTATTTTTCCAGCTTGAACAGGCAAGGCGACCTCACTACTGGTAATGATGGTTTGTCGTTGACTTTAGCTAAACGGTTTGATAACCCTTCAATTGAATCCAATTTTTATCTCATGTTTGGTTATGTGGAAGTTGTCCTACAAGCAGCTCCAGGAAAGGGAATTGTTTCTTCTTTTTACTTGCAAAGTGACGACTTGGATGAAATAGATATAGAATTGTTTGGTGGTGATGAATATGAATGGCAATCAAACTATTTTGTAAAGGGTAATACAAATACTTATGATAGAGGTGGATACCACCCTTTCAGTCCCAGCCCGATAACAAATTATCATACTTATGCTATAGATTGGACATCAGATCAATTGAGCTGGATTGTAGATGGCCAAGTCATTCGTACTTTAACAAAAGATAATCCGCAGGGATATCCTCAATCTCCAATGAAGATCTTTGCTGGAATTTGGGCCGGTGGCGATCCTTCAAATGCAGAAGGAACAATATTGTGGGCTGGGGGTATCACAGACTATACTCAAGCTCCATTTACTATGCATATCAAGTCGATTGCCGCAATTGATTATTCTACTGGTAGTCAATACTCATATAGCGATACATCGGGTACTTGGCAGTCAATTCATGCAGAAAATGGTGAGGTTAATGGTAGATTAAGCCAAGGTCAAAGCGATGCCCGCCTGTTACAAAACGGTGGTACCTTTGACTCAAACGTATCTCTAAATCAGGTAAATTCAGTTACCGCTAGCCTGACATTGAATGAAAGTACTACATCAAGTTCCAGCTCCTCCGAAAGTTCACTTTCGAGCACTTCCTCAGCACAACCAACAACATCGTCATCATCAACAACAACAACAACATCGTCATCATCATCATCATCGTCATCGTCATCGTCATCGTCGGAAACTTCAATTGAAAGCTCCAGTCTGGTTAATACTGCAACCACTCCACAGCAATCCAGTACAAGTATTGCATCGAGCTCAAGTTTACCCTCCACAGAAGCAACTACGAGGGAATCAGCAACAACTCCTGAGACCAGCACCTCTTCATCTGAAACGTCTGTTTCTTCTGTTGTCGCTGCTTCTGTATCCTCTGCTAGCATGTCGAGATTCCCAATTCCATTTATGAACTTGATCAGTTTAATGATGGTGCTGATAATAACCACATTTACTGTATAGTATATAGCATAGTTCATTTTCCATACATAAAAGTAAAAGAATAAAAAGAATAAAATAAAAAAGAAAATGATTATTAGGGTTGATAAATTTCTTTTACAAGCAGGTCGTTAATGTATTTTTCCCTTTCCGCACACAAGCCATCTATCAAAGCTCATATTTATATATATATATATATTCCTTAGAGGTAATCTGTATCATTTGTGTATCAATTTGCAATCAATGTTTTGTAAGACTTCTTTTCTTTTCTTTTTTTTTGCAATATTTTGCTGCAAAATGAGAAAATACATTTGCAACTAAAAATAAGCAGTGAGATTACAATATGTATTTTTAGAAACCTTTTTTATAACGTAATTGACTATATGTATACATTTAAAGGTAACAAGGGGCAAACTTGCTGAAATGTTTTTATGACAAAAGGAGTTTATAAAAGTTAAATAGTACCCTAAATAAAGTTGAATGTAATTATCAAATAGGTCCAGTTTAATATTGTATCAAACGCCAGTTGTTCCTTTTTGTCAATAAAAACTTTAGACCTTAAAACTAGGCAAATCTTACCAATAAAAGAGAACCTGGGGATAAAGAGTTACTCACAATATCTATATATATATATATATGTATATGGATCGGTTCTGTTAGCGATAGGGGGCTTTTATGGTTACGGATTTCTATCTTAGTGGATAACTCAAACCATTCTAAAATCACGAGAATAAAATATGAATATCAAAAAGTTTGAGTTGTTATTTCTTTCATCGAGTTTGACTGGATGGCCAAGCTGGTTAAGGCGTGAGACTGTTAATCTCAAGATCGAGAGTTCGATCCTCTCTCTGGTCGTATTTGTTTTTTCCCCATTTTTTTTCTCATTTTTTTTTCCATCATTTTTTTCTTTTTCAATCATCTATTTCTATCTAGAGTATATCTTGTGAAGTTCTTATTATCATTCAAAATCAATCATTCTTTTCCTTCTTAACTTTTTATACAAATAAAAAAAAAAGAAATTATCTACTTAAAGAGAAAATTTTCAGAATCGTTCTTCGTGCAAGCTCACGTAGTTGGCGGGGAAAAGACCCACTTCCCCTGTTTTTTCAAGTTTACCTGACCACCAATCCTCATCTACGAAATCAATTTCTATAATAATGTCTCCTTCTTCGAATCCGATTTCATTATCTTCGTCTTTTACATAATCATACTCTGCTGTTGCAGTGTGTCCTTTGGTAGACACTCCTGCTTTGTCTTCTTCTTCTTCTTGTTGCTGCTGTTCAGGTTCAAGTTCAGGTTCAGGTTCAGGTTCGGGTTCAGCTTGTCTTTGAGGTGGGAGTGGCAAGTTTCTTGCAGGCAACCTTGCAGGCTTTTCATCATCATCATCTTCTTCTTCGTCTTCATCATCATCAAAGTTTTGTCTTGGAGGTAAGCTTCTTTGTGGTAATTTAGGGGCGTTATCTTCTTCCTCTTTATTAGTCGTACTTTGGACAGGTGTACGAGATGGCAAGTTCCTTGCTGGTAATGGTTTAGGTGGCTCTTCTTCCTCTTCCTCTTCGTCTTCATCATCTTCTTCGTGACGTGTAGCAAAACTAGATGCAAGATTTCTTCTAGGTAATGGTTTAGGTGGCTCTTCTTCCTCTTCCTCTTCGTCTTCATCATCTTCTTCGTGACGTGTAGCAAAACTAGATGCAAGATTTCTTCTAGGTAATGGTTTAGGTGGCTCTTCTTCTTCTTCATCATCTTCAATCTTTGCCTGTTTTTCGAATTTTGCAGCAAGTTCAGAGGCATGAGTAATAGGCTTGTCTTTGGCTTCTTGATTCTCAAAAGAGTCCACACGTTCCTCTGCAGAATCGACTGTCTTGTATTTGCCGTGCTTTTCTGCCCAAATCTGAGCAGGTGTTTTCCCATTCTCGGCACCAAAATTCCTTGACAAGCCTCCAACAACTTTGTCAGATTTGAAAGAGTCATTTGTTCCAAAAGTAGGTTTGGCACCAAAAGTAGCTTTTCCCAGTGCCGTGTTTGCGTTTACGTTTGCGTTTGCCTTGTACTTGTTCGCTACCGAGTTGCCTACTTTTGGCTTTGGCAAAGAGGTTAACCTTCCATCATCATGATGGTCGTAAGTTTTCATGCGCTCGCTCAATGGCTTCAAATCTGTTGTATCTTCTTCATGCTTATCTCGAGTACCAGAATTGGCAGATGCCCTTGGCGTTGAGCTAACGGTATCTGACTTTTGCTTCCTCAATTCATCTATATTCACCTTGGTGGGTTTATATGCTGATGGGACATCTTCCAAGGGGCTCTTTTCAAAGTCTCTTTCCTCAACATCTTGTGCATCGCCCCATCCATCGTTTTTAGCCCATAGTTTTGGTTTTGGTTTTGAACTGGATACGACAGAGTGAACTGGCCTTCCTGTGGATTTTGGAGCAAAAAGATTTTGTTTGCTAGAGCTTGCCAAAGCGGGAGCTTTTGAAACAAATGGCTTTGAAGCGGGTGGAGGGCCAGCTTTAGCTGATGAAGTTGATGCACCGCTTTTTACCGTAGAGTATCTAGCACCAGCAGCAGAAGCAACCCTATTTAAAAATTCATCAACATCCAAGTCATCTTGTTCTCTAGCAGTTATTTGGATATGGTAGCCATTAAAGATCTTGGATACTTCTGCGAAATTGTTGGCAAATGACAACCTTGACTTTGCAGGAGCGTTATCGGGACACCAACCGAGCAAAATAATCTTTGAAACATCAGATCCAGGAACCGTTACCCTTGCTAATCCGAATTGGATTTGTCCGTCGGCAAAATTGCTAACAAACTCGTCTAATGATCCATCACCGCTTTCGGCAACATCCAAAGTTGAATTTTTATTCACGAGGTAAACGACATATGAAAAATTGGGATCTCCCCTGACAACTTTATTGTAGGATTCTTGTATCCTTTTGGAATTTGTTGAAAAGTCAATCTTCTCCATCTGTATAGCCTTATAATCTAATTTCTAATTGAACCTTGAGCAAACAATAAGAAAGGCCTTATATTTGAAAGACTTTTCTTTAGTTGCTCGAGATAGCGGGATCTTTTTGACATTGGCCAGCGATTTTATTCCGTTACCATAGGTCAATAAGCGCTACCATATGTATACTAACCAAAAAGAAAAAAATAGGTGTTTCGGCTCGGAAGAGAAGGGAAAGTGTGTGAGGTAACGGATAATTATATAGGTAAGATGGACTAGTTGATCTCTACTATACACAGATTTGCAGACCAGTTGAGATACTTTCTCCTAGCTGACACTATCGAGCAGAGCGAGATAGTGGAGCATATTAGTGTTACACTAGGGAGCGAAGCGAGCTAGTGGAGCAGTATGTAGAGAGTAGCGGCGCGAGATAGTGGAGCATACTAGTGTTAGTAGACACTATCGAGTAGAGCGAGATAGTGGAGCATGCTAGTGTTGGTGGCAGGTAATGTCAATAGTGTTAGTAGCAGCTAGTGTGCTCGATAGTATCGATAGTGTTAGTAGCAGCTAGTGTGCTCAACTATCTCGCTCTGCTCGATAGTATACGCCTCCTATTCTCAACAGATTAAACTTGTATATATGAAGAATCTATAAATTAATAACCCAATTTTCATCCTCTACACATTTACCACTATCTCGCTCTGCTCGATAGGGTCGGTGGCAGCTAGTGTTGATAGTCTATATACTATCGACTAGACTCGTTTCACTCGTCTAGTCTCTCTGCTCGATAGTCTGTATACTATCGACTAGACTCGTTTCACTCGTCTAGTCTCTCTGCTCGATAGTCTGTATACTATCGACTAGACTCGTTTCACTCGTCTAGTCTCTCTGCTCGATAGTGTCGAGTGTTAAAAACTAGATTTCACCAATGCATAAAAAAGACACCATAACATGACAAACCCAGCAATATTATTCAATAGATTCTGTAGATAGATTTCCTGTATGGGGTTCTTAAAGAACCTGCTTGCATCTCTTTGCCCACATATCATATGGAAAGTAGCATTTGTTGCTAATACCCCAATCACATAGAATAAAAACCCATTAAGCGACTCCAATGTCATTATACCTGCAACAGCGCCCAAGCCAAGGCATGCGACATCGTTGACATGTTTTATTTTTTGCAAATTCGTGTCAATGTTTTGCTGACTATAAAATTTCTCTGTCTTGCTCATTTACAATCCTTGTGAAGAATAAACACACTTTTCAAGTAAGCGTAACTGGGGAAACAGAAAAATAGAATTGACTCAATAGGTTTCCGTCTGGTTTATAGGATTGACTCTATAGGTTTCCGTCTGGTTTATAGGTTGACTCTATAGGTTTCCGTCTGGTTTATAGGTTGACTCTATAGGTTTCCGTCTGGTTTATAGGTTGACTCTATAGGTTTCCGTCTGCTTTATAAGCCCATATCTTTTTTCCAACAATAGAACAATACACACATATTGATACAAATACTCATTGCATCTACCAATTTCATTTTTTTCTTCCATTCATTTGTTTGGTGTGCGGCGACTAACGTTGGAGGAAGTCGAGTGGGAGATTGAGAGTATGCGCAGCGCGCTGCGCGCTGCGCGTGCGTGGAAGCTGGTACGAAAAAAACAACCCTTGACCCCACGAAAATTATCGCCATCACTTAGCGCCCGCTAGTACTATCTGAAGCTCTAACGTGCCGCTCTAACGTGCCGCTCTAACGTGCCGCTCTAACGTGCCGCTGCCTTCATGAATGACCAGCTAAGAAGATTTCTACTATATACACCGTCACAATTTAGCTATGACCTTGACGGAAAAGCCAAAAAGGAAATTCGAAAAGCTTTGTTTTTATCGATAACCGACCAAGGCAAATTTTTACATTGGTTATTTCCTGGTATATCGGAGGATTTCGTTGAAAAGGAGTTTGATTGGAAGTACCCCAATTATCTCAAGTATTTGGCTACGAAAAGAGACCTTGGTGAAACACATAGCAATTCTGCATTCCACTCGAACCGGCCATGCTCGAGAATTTTTCGCAAAGGAGAGCCTATATATAGATGTTTGACTTGTGGGTTTGACGAAACATGTGCCTTGTGTGCTCATTGTTACCAGCCTTCAGAACACAAAGGGCACGAGTCCTATGTTGCAATCTGCCGCCGAGAAAACGGAGGAGTTTGCGACTGTGGCGACCCAGAAGCTTGGAATCGAGATTTCAAATGTCCTTATGCCTTGACTGATTCCAACATGCACGATAGGAATTTGCCTAGCGATTTTCAAGATGCCATTGTAAGGACAACAAATATCATTTTAGATCATATTATAGATGTCATGGTGCGTAGCGATTGCCACCTTGACGAGTTGGAAGAGGAGAACAGTAAACACACTGTCGAGGAAAATACCCGGATTAGTGCCCTTGACCCCCACGTTTACGGGAGCTGCCCAACAAAGTTTTCTGACATGAATAATGGCAATTATTGCTTAATGCTATACAATGACCAAGTACATCATTATAGAGATGCCGTCCAACGTGTTCGTTTGGCCAGTAACAAATTTAAAGATTTTGCAACCATGGTTACAGAAAAGGTTCAGAACTATGGAAGGGCAAAAGTCGTTAGCTCAAAAAGTATCGAGGTATTACTAGAGAGACAGAAAATCTTGAATGCAACAGGATTGATTACTTGTATTAGGAGCGAGAGGGACATATTTCGAGAAGACGTATGCCACGAATTGATTGTATGGTTAAACGATTTTGCAGAAAGTGAATTTTTTAAAATCAATACTACAGCAAAGGATTTGTTCTGTAGTGCATTTTGCGAGCAGTGGCGACGTGGTGTTTCAATAGAGGAGGAGAAGGAGGGAGAAAGAGAAGATTCAACAGGAAGCGGACTCAAGATTGGAAGATTGAATCGAGATTTAACAATCCCTCAAGGGGGTCGACTACAACACAACAAAGCGGAACCCCCCCAGAAGCAACCACAAACTTGTTCAAAATGCCTTAGTGTGGTGCAAGATAAACATCTGACTCAATATGGCTCCCACTTGCAATATATGATATTCTTGGATGTGAGATTTTGGAAAGCAGCACGCTTTTTGTTGCGTGATATGTTCTCTACCTCATTGATAACTAATTTGAAGTTGAAAAATACACTATCATGCCAGTATGTTGATATTTACACAGTGACTGCTTATAATTTCCTAGTTATGGATCGCGAACCCGAATGGAACCTTATGTCGACATTATCGACACAGCTATTCATGAGTCCTGGAAACTCAAAGTTCATTATTCAACGTGGTGACTTCACATCCATTCTTTCTTCGATTCATACATTTTTGACTTGTGATAAAATAGTATCGTACAGCCCAAGTAATGAGATATCGCATGAAGTTTCCATCAAAAATCTCAAGAATAGGAGATGGGGCCAGCTCTTTTTTGATATCAGCTTTGTGATCAGTAGGGGAAAAGAGTATAGAGACGTTTTGAATAAAGAAAGTGTGGCTCTCATATGTGATATTTTGGAACTTTTCCAAGGAAGACCCGTTTTGAAGAGGGAAAAAATTGCTCATGTTGAGTATGAAAATCCCGATTATTCCACTATTTTTCAAGCAGTTCAGGCCATTTATAAGTTTGCAGAGCTAAGTGCAGATTCAATAAACTGTTTTGAAAATGGATGCATTCAAAGAGAGGAACGGGTTCGCTCCACTATATCCTATGTGCTCAAATACTTGATTCAACTAGAGCTAGGTGAGATGAAAGGAGTAAAGTATGAAAACACAGATATCAACATATGCATACCAGATGCAACTAGTCGAGAACCGATAACCGGAATGGCGGTGAAAGTTTCAAAAGTGGATTTGGATAAAGTCAGTTTTCTTCATCCATTGCATTCATTCTTGAGTTGGTTGATTGAATATGCAAGCTTTCCTAGCATGAATATCTTGAAAGAAATTTTTGATCAAGTGCAGATGGAGAGTTTGCACAAAAAACCCTGGTCCATTGGAAGTTTGATATTTGATTATCCAATAAAAACAATTGTTCTTTTATCACAAATTAAAGCAGGCTTTTGGGTCCGGAATGGGTTTAGCGTTAAATCGCAATTGCAATTGTATAGAAATACCGGCATTCGTGATCACGGATATATGAGGGATTTGTTTCTCATACAGGTTTTCTACAACATTGGACATCCAGATTTTGTAACATATTTGATTCTAGATAGATGGTGCCTTCTAGAGAATTGGTTACAGAGTCAGGATGATGACGATGATGATGATGATGATGATAATGACGCCTTAACTTATGACGAAAAGATACTACCTTATATGCTTGAAGAATGTCTCAATTTCTTTATACACCTTAGCACTGAGGTTGTACACTTGAAAGGCCTTTCAGAAGAGGAATTGAACAAGATCAAGATTAAACGGGAACTTATGCATAACTTGTGTTTTGAGCCAATTGGATACAAGAAATTGTGCTCATACATACCCGAGAGCGTGGTTTGCGACAAGATATTTGACATCACATTAAATGAGATAACTATCTACAAGCAACCTGTTGGACTGAACGATTCAGGGGTTCTCCAGTTAAAAGATGAATACCTCGACCAAATTGATCCCTACTATTTCAACTACACTGCTAATAGAAGAGATGACGCTTTAAAGTTTGTTAAAAATAGGAAATGTAAGAGATGGGGAACTTGTGCTGAGGATGTTGTTGTTGAACCTATGCTTATAAACGATGATGAAGATGGTGTTTTGGAGATTTACAAATCAACGGCAAACTTTTCCCTTTCGCATTACTTTAATGAGTTTATTATAAAAATTCTAATCTATATACAAAGGAACACCAAAGAACAAGTTGAGATCTTGTTGGATACTGTTTTGCATTTGATTCACATTTGTTGTTTGGAACAGATGATTGATGCAAAAAGTTATGGTAGTTTTTACTCCAAACTTGTCAAGTGGTCTAACAAGTACTCCACTTCCATTGTGGATTTGTTGTACAAGTTTCTTGCAGCAGGAAATTACGAATCGGTACACTCAAAAATTCGTGCAATTTTAATCGCTGTTAACAAAAGGCACCCTGATTTGTATAAAGTGATGAAAGAACAAAATGAACTGTTTGATCCAGAAGTTATGAGTACTGAACACGATAAACTGACACAAGAGAATGAAGCAATGAGAAGAAAGCGGATTGCTAAAACTAAGCAACAACATTTATTAGAGAAATTTAAAAGACAGCAAATTGAGTTTTTGAAAAATAACTTACAAGAAGATGTTGACGCCAGCGACGTGAAAATGGAAGACAATGATGAAGAACACGGCTGGACTTTCCCAGAGGAGCATTGTATATTGTGTAAAAATGCAACAGAAACAGCAGGCCCATTTGGTATTATTGCGCATATTGGACGATCGTCCACTTTTCGAAACGTTCCATTTGATAACGATTATTGGTTTTTAAAAGCTTTCTCAGACTCGGTAAATTTGAATTGCTGCGACGAGAAACATGAGACGACACAAATAAAAACGGAAAAGTGGAACGCATATATGGATACGGTGAAAAGCAACAACACTTTTGGTCCTGGATTTGATACAGTCAGCTCGGTAGAAAACAAAGTCGTATCGCTGACCTGTGGACATGGAATGCACTTTCTTTGCTACCTCAATTACGTTGAGAATAGCCGTGCAAGACAATTTCAAATAACAAGAAATACGCCGGAGAATTCAAACCTGAGAGAAATTCTTTGTCCGCTATGTAAATCAGTGAATAATGTTTTTATTCCTGTTTTTGCCAAACGGAACAACAGATCACTACTGGAGCTTGTATCTCAAAGGAAGTCCTGTTTCGGAAATTTAATCGAGAAAGAGGGGTTGTTCTTCAACACTAGGTTTTATGCAGAGTGCTCTTCATTGCTAAAAGGGGATGTCGAAGAAATGCTAACACCAGAGACAAGAGACAGCTCGTTTTGGAAAAGCTGGGCTATACAAAATAAGTCAAAGTTTGAAGCATTAATTAAAAGCATACTTGATGCCTTAAAATCAATAACATTTCCACGGATATTGGAACCTGAATCATCCATAATTTTGAGCAATACGATCAAGTGTGCGGAAATCTCGCTTCGGGGAGTTGCGTCTAATGAACACTTGGTGATACACCAGATACCTAATAGCACAATGATTATTTTGAGGACCTTGTGCGAGTTTAGGCTTTCAGTAGTGGACATGAAAATGGAGGCTTCTGGTAACGATTTGCACTGGAAGGGAGACCATCCGAGTTCAAGAATTGCCTCGAACATACTTTCATTATCTGCAAACCAAATCAACTCAACTTTAATAGAGGCTGATTTTTTCGATCTCTTGGTGAGCATAGTCCCAATACCATCACTTGGGGTTTGTTTCAACACAATATTGAACACAACTTTTGTTTGTCATGTGCTACAGTGTCTTTACATCATTCAAAAAGAGCTCAGTGCCCATTTTTTTTCCAAGACTCGTGATTACTCTATTGAGGATGTTCCCATTCTAGCTGGTGTTCCGATAGAAACTTCGAATCTTGCTTTGGCATGTTTCCAAATTCTACTGTGTAGTGATGATAATCACAACTATCACCACCGCCAAGCTAGTGAAGTTTGTATTTCTGGTTCAGTGATATACTCGATGTTGATGAAAACTGTAACACCGTTTTTGCGCCGTGCTGCCATATACGCATTTGTCCAAAGCGCAAATCTTGATGGGGTCGATCTGCTGTTTGATCCTGAAACTGAACAAGAAGCAGAAAAATTATGCTCCATGTTGAACTTGCAAACAGTATCTGAGGTGTTACTCCGATTATCCACTGCAAATACTTGGGAAAATGCAATTCTCAGTGGGTTTATTGACTTTCTTCGAACCAAGCCTGCAGAGCTATTTCTCGCTAAGAAACTTGAGTACCCTGGGGTAATCAAATTGATCGATTTACCGGAAAGATTGGATTTCTTTTTTTCAAAGTATTACTATCTGGACAAATTCGATAATCCACACCATCTCATCGAAGACCCTGCAATTTGCTTATTTTGCGCCAAGGTAGTAGACTTACAAAAGCAAGCTATAGGCTGCAACGAAGGAGAGTGCACAACACATTACCTTCGGGAGTGTTCGAGTGATGTAGGTATATTTTTACTACCAAAGGATAGGACGATGTTACTTCTTCATAAAACAGGAGGTTCCTTTTGCAGTGCGCCTTTTCTAGATGAACAAGGCGAATTGCCAGATGAGAATAAGCAATCAAAAGCTTTGCATTTGATGAAGCCAAGATACAATGAATTCACGAGGAACGTCTGGTTACAACATAATGTACCAAACTACATTGCTAGAAGCTTAGAGAGCGTATTAGACCCAGGCGGATGGGAAACGTTATAGTTCCCTCCTGTCATAAAATAAACAAGATAAGAAAAATAACAATAAAATTTTCACTTACATAATAATAAATTCGTCTTCATCATTGTCATCATTCCAATTGGTGCCATCCTCATCGTTTTCATCAACCACCGCGTTGTTGTTAAATATCCCACCTCTATTCAAATTGATTCCCAAACCGTTCACTGTTAAACCCGTCGAGTTACCAAACAAATTTCTAGTTACAAATGCATACAAACCTTGATTGACCCATAATTTATTTAATTCTTTAAATCTGAATTCGCTTAACATAGCTTTACCTTTGTACCCGAAAGTTTTCACTTCACCGTGCTTTGTTAAGTAAGGTGCCATAACTTCAAGGGCAATTGGTGTTTGGTTGATCAGTATATATATGCGCAAAACGGTTTTCTTTGGATTGAAAAACACTCCGATATCAGAAGCACACTCAAGCATATGGTAATCTAGCTTATTTTTCCGAATCCACTCCCCACAGACTAAGCAACGTAACTTGTCTTCAGCATCCAAGTTTGACAATCGCAATAAACATTTTTGGTAGTCTTGAGGCAACGTTGTCAAATGAACCACTCCTGGATATTCCAACATAAACTGGCTGTTATTGTTAGCTTTATCCTTTGGCATTTCAACTTTGCATACAGTCATAAATGTTTCTCTTTCAAAAGAATCATAGTAGTGGGTAAATATCCTTCGTAGTATCTCTTCAAGTGTTGGAATTCCCAATATCTTTGTTAATGGGTCTAAACCAAAGGGAGTTTTCTGTTTTTTGATTTCCTCTTCCATTTCTGAGTATCTGGGGTCACTAATAAAATTATCCCCTACTTGTTGACCTAATAAAATATCCTGAAAAATAATCACTTTTCTCAAGTAAACACACAAAATCTGCTGTAGTATTCGAAATACCCTTCTCTTGATATCATCTAAATAGATATCCAATTCCAGATCCGGATCCAGATCCAGATCCATTAGGTTGACTAGGTAATATTCGTACAACGAACAGAAAGGATCAAATGCTGGGTTGCTGCTACAGTCACTATCGCAATCATCCTCCTTTATGTCACCAGAAACGTAGCAATAATGCATCGTAGAGAAACGATGAAATACCCCCGCTATTATCTCACATATACCCATACGGGCTAAAGTGGCTAAGGATTCATTTGTTTTGAAAAAAAGCAAAAGCGTGCGACTAAATACCCCGTTCTGATAGTTTGAGATATCATTCTCTTCCTCCGATTTCTCTTTCTTCTGGTACGTTTCAGGGTAAGGTGAAAACTCCTCATTGGTCAATTCTGGTATTAAGATACAAACACGGAACAATGAACTTAGTAATGTTCTTCTAAATTTGGGTATTTGACTCAAGAAGCCAGAGTATGCGCTTACTCCATTCAACCTTGTGGCAATTTCACACATTTCAATGGTACTGGCAAATTCAGTCGCCCAGCTCATGTATTCAAGCTTGCGTTTGTCGGTAGCAAGTTCCAATTCCTTGAAGATATCGGAGTTTAGCGTTGAACTCTCAAAGGTATAAATGTATCTCAAAAAGGTCTTTTTTTGCGATGTTTGTCCATAATGAATAATGGACGAATAGTTTTGGGCAACAGGTTCTCCGTATAAAATACTTTGTAAGCGTGTCATTGTGGAGTTTGGAGCTTTGCCCACTATTGTTGGGAGGAATGATCTATACAAATTATGACACAAAGGGCAGGGATAGTTTTTCAGTCTTCCGGCACCTCTTTTGTAGCATTCAAAATGGATACCATGTCCGCAACTTGACAATACAACTTGCTCAAAATCTTCGCATAGGTTATCTTTGCAATCATAGCCTGTACCATAATCAGATTTATCGGTATCCGTATACAAATCATCATTCCAAAGACTAACTGCGCCTTTTGTTACTTTGCTGCCAAACTTCCAAAAAATTGGTGCGCGAGTTCTCACAATTAACACTCCAAAAGGTTTGTCAGCATCCTCCTGCTCACCACACAAAACACAAACACGATGATCAGCCTTATCTTTTTCCAAATTCTCCTCATGTTTTTCCCTCATTTCCTTATTTTGACTTAGAAACTGATTTTGTTTTTTAGAAAATTTCTTCAAAATCTTTCTTTTCCTTTCTTCCACTTTTCTCTTGGAGCTGGCATCGGCATTTGCAGACAAGCTTGCGCTTCTATTTCTGAACTTGGCTACGTGTTCCTCTCCAAAACAACTTACTAAATTTTCCATTATCCTATGGTCTTTTGAAAGCAATTGTTGAACGATATAGTCTGCCTTGCGAATAATAGAAGACGACATGCCGGATTCAACAATTGTAACCAACAAATCACATACAGGTATATCAACAAAAACTGGGTTGAGATACTGTTTACCGTGAATGGATTCATCATCAACTATAATCGCATGAATCAAGTGTAACAACTGAGGAAGGTATACTTCATTTGAGTTGTCAACTGCTACTCTCAAAAATTTATAGGTAATCTTCATAAACAAACTGGTCTTTGCAAACTCACCAATATGATTGTCAACTTCACTCAAACCACACTTGTCAATTATTGGCGTTAAAATGACATCTTCCTCTTTAATTCCTTTACTCCTTGAAATATACTTTCTCAAAGTTTCGGACATTGAATGAAATTTAGTAAGATCCAGAAACAAGCTCATTGGGTCAAGAACCAAATACATCGATTCTTTTAACTTGTAAAGACCAGTGTCCATGAGTGCCGATGGAGGTTGATAGTCAGCAATGGAGTATAGTAAATTATCAAATTCTGCTAGCGACGATACCCGCAGTGTTACCTTTGCCTTCAAGCTTGAGTATGATCTTGCTTTTTCGCATAAAGTATAAGCCATCAATCTCTTGGCCTCTACTGCGGCCTGTTCTTTCGGAGGCGGAGGAACAAACTTGCTTCTATCGGTTAATAAGTTATAAGCAATCCAAATAAACATTTCAACAATAGAAAAAAATCGATCCTCATAAACGGTTTTGTCAAATGTTTGCTCATTTGTAAACCAGTCAAATATTTCCCAACGCTTCAACATTTTCGTAAGAAGTCCAGACGGATCATTGCTGACTAAAAAGGCAAGTTGTTGAAGATGGAAATCGCAAGAAAAGGTAAACTCTGACATATCTGCACCAAAGTACATTGACGCTTGACGAGAGGCAGAAAGACCGTTTCGAATCCAAAAACCTACTTTGATCTGTGACGCCAAAACAATATTCCAAAGTGATTCACTTGAAATACTAATAACTTGCCTTTCATACTCTTTTAGTAATGGCAAAGCATCCTCAACTCCCCGAGCTTGTGTCAATAATGAAAGAAACGTCGTTAAAGGATAAACAAGGCCATGGTGATGGTTACTTACTCTATAAGATTCCTCTCTTACCCTTTGATCCTCATCAATTTTGCTACCCTTCAGAAGCTCCAAAATTGTTGATATAGAAGCATCCGACACTGGATTGTCGTATTGTGAAAAAGCCAAATTTCTTAGTGCCTCAAATATCGGAACTGAGATTGCAATGTGATATCGAAAAAGAAACAGTTCTTGCTCAACGTGCTCGCCTAATTTTCTTGAGAGTGGTAGGTACCCTTGAAAGAGTTTCAAAAAGGATATGATGAAAGCCATGTTTTGAGGGTACATCAACATAGCTATTGCGTCCCCACTAAAAGAACTCGAGGTAAATAATCCAAAATCATGAATAGCACGCGCCACCGCCATTTGGATCGTTCTCTCCCGATGTGAGTCCTCTCCCAGAAATGAAAATACCTTATGCTCTTGCTCCCCATCGAAAAATGATGAGCTCTCCTCGATGATGGTAATTACTGGATTGAGTATGAATCCTATCCCAACATTGTTTAAAAGGTTTTGCACCGTTACGGGACAAGTGTATAGTTGAACGGCAATCTCACTAATCAAATTTAAATGATCTTCACGGTCCGAGTATGCAAATATTGTCAATAGTCTTGGGTAAATTTCTGTAAATTGTCTTGCAAATACTTGCTTAAGATCGGCATTAGACACCAAAAGTGGAATCAAGATTGGGACCAACTTTTGCCGTACTAATTTCGGAAATCTAATTTGAAATATCAAAAGCGATTGAAATCTCGAGAAGTGTTCTTCTGACCTATTACTACTTCCAGATACGGAGTCATCTTGAAAATCTTCTTCCTGGTAATTCAAATCTGAATCAGAATAGTTTAAACTATTAATGCTGTCATTATTGGTAAATTTGTTATCCAATGGTAGCCCATTCCGATAACAACTTAATTTCAAAACTTCTTTTACTGGAGATAAAAAGTCAGCAGGGACAGCTGTAGAAAAAACAAAATTTTTATCTAGTAACAACTCTGATAAGATTCTCTGGCACCGAGCTTTAAACACGTTGTTTGTAGAACTCAAAATATCCTCTAACCAAAAGAAAATGCCTCGAACAATAAAATCGCGCATATAATCGCGAGCGGAAACGATAGTGGCTATTAAACCGCCTTCTTCAACTATATTTTTGAATCGCAAGAGACCTTCGCACCTCCCAGACTCCATCAAAATGCAATAACCTTCTTTGTCAATTTTTGATGCAATTTCAACGGCCTTGTCATCTGCAATACCTGTGCATCTTTTGATCGCGTAAACTGCTTGATTAACGTCATGAAACTCATCATTCCAAAGTAGTAGGTACCATTTGGAATCCGAGTTTTTATCGGTTGCACCGCCATAGTGACTACTTGGTAACGACGCATGATTGGACCATTTTCTTGGATTAATTATATTTTGCACCTTCATGAGATCATGAATCATGGGCAATGTGGATATGGACAAATTAGTCACGTCTAGTATATAATCTAGACAAATTTCGATTGTTGAAGCTAGAATCTTGGGATCAAGGTTTTCTATATCTTTTTCACGTAAAGCAGCTTCGCTGTCTACCTTTTGAGTGGAACATTTACAGTGTAGGGGATTGACGAAAGCTTCGGGATCACCACAGTCACATACTCCTCCTGAATCACCTGAAGATGTATACATCTGTACACTGTGATCAATGTGGTCCTCCTCATTAAAGCAATAAGCACATAAAACGCACGTATCATCGAAACCACAATCTTCGCACCGATAAACAGTGTCATTGCATTTGAAAAGCCGAGCACACGGTTTACCAGGAGGGTGGGAAAACGATGTGGATTGTGATAGTGCTGGCTTATTAAAGGGAGCAACTGTTTTTAAAACTTTCAAATCAAAATTAGATGCCTGAAGGTTTTGTAGATGAGATATAAAAATATCGGGGAATAAACAATTCAAATAATTAGCCTGATCTGTAGCCGAATAGTATAGCGCGTTGAATACCAATTGCTTGACCAGTGATGAATCCTGGTAATTCAACAATGAGGGCAATTCAACTAGGAATCGTTTGAGGTCATCAAAATCCATCGAGGAAACGAAAATCAATGAAAATCAATGAAAATCAACCGCAAGAGGGCGAAACCTTGAATGTGGAGTTTCCACAATGACAGGTAGAACCAAAATCCAAAAAAAAAAAATAATATATATGGGTCAATAATCTGTATCCTTAAACAACCGAACCTGTGTTCTTATAACGACTTGAAGCTTCAAAAAAGGAGGGGGGGAGGGAGGGGGATCTGTAAAAAAAAAAAAGGGTGTAAATTGGGAGCTTTTTTTGGTCCCTGTAACGATACACTAATAACCAAGCACAAATAAAAACCCACCAACTTCTTCTATGTCCATAAACCGTGACCCAAGATCAGTTAACCAGCCTATATTTAATTGCCATCTAAACAAAACCCTACAGTTTAAGTTTGTCGTTACAGTTTGGAAAGTTTTAAAAATTAATTGTCATATTTTTTTGATGTCGTAATTTTCATTTTGAGACATTGATTTCAATTATAAGAATGTGGAAGAAAAAAAGGTGAGAGATGATGTGTTTTATTTGAGTAGGATTAATAAGGTAAGGTAAGGTAAGGTAAGGGGTTGTTACTACAATTGGTGATAGACTTAGTCAGAAGTTTTGATTTGCTAAAAGGGTATATTAGTATATTGGTATATTTGAGCTTATTTTTAAAATGGATACAGTTTCAGGGCCTCAAGAGCAATTTGAGTTGATAACAAAAGGGTTACAGGAAGTTTTAAATCCACAGATTATCCAGGATGTGTTAGAGAAGGAGAAAAGACCCTTGAAGATTTATTGGGGTACTGCTCCTACAGGTAAACCGCATTGTGGTTACTTTGTACCTATGGTAAAATTGGCCCATTTCCTAAAAGCTGGTTGTGAAGTTACCGTGTTGTTGGCAGATTTGCATGCGTTTTTGGATAACATGAAGGCATCGTTGGAGGTTGTTCAATATCGAGCCAAATATTACGAGTTTGTCGTTAAGGCGATTTTGAGGTCGATAAACGTTCCAATAGACAAGTTGAAATTTGTTGTTGGATCATCTTACCAGCAAAGCGCGCCATACATTATGGATCTTTTCAAATTGTCAAACATTGTATCGCAAAATAGTGCCAAAAAAGCCGGTGCAGATGTTGTTAAGCAAGTGGCAAATCCTTTGTTATCTGGACTTATTTACCCCTTGATGCAAGCTATCGATGAGGAGCATTTGGGAGTCGATGCCCAATTTGGTGGTGTTGATCAACGGAAGATTTTTGTTTTAGCCGAGGAGAATTTGCCAAGTATTGGTCATAGGAAAAGGGCTCACTTGATGAATCCCATGGTCCCAGGATTGGGACAAGGAGGCAAAATGAGTGCTTCAGATCCAAATTCAAAAATTGATATTATAGAGGAACCCAAAATTGTCAAGAAGAAAATCAACAGTGCTTATTGTGCTCCGGGAGATATTAACAACGGATTGATTGCCTTTCTCGAATATGTGGTGCAGCCAATCCACGAATTGAAAACGGGAAAAGATGGCTCTTTTGAGCTTATCATTGAAAGGCCCGAGAAATATGGTGGACGAATAACCTATGATTCATTAGATCAATTGAAAAAAGATTACGAGGAAAACAAATTAGCGGCACCAGATTTGAAAACAGGTGTTGCCGATAAGATCAATGAGCTTTTAGCCCCTATTAGAGCCGATTTCGAAAAGGATGAGGAATTCCAATCGGTACAAAAGAATGGTTACCCAGTAGAAGCACCAAAACAGGAAAAGAAGGTGAAAAAGGTAAAGAATAAAGGTACAGGATATCCCGGTAAATCATCTTCGCCAGCAGATGCCACATCAGAAGCAGCTACAGCTACGGCTACGGCTACGGCAGATCTTGCAACTGTAGAGGATAAACTCGATGGTGTAAAATTAGTATAGCAAAGTTGTTTGTTACAGTCTTTTCCTCTTTTTTTTTTAACACTTGTATAAAATTAGCTATATAGAAATACACATGGTAGCACCGGAAAACATGATAACCAACCAATCAATTGAATTTCGAATACAATTATTCAATTTTCCACTTTTCTTTTATAGGAAGAGATATAATACAAAGCTTTAGTTTATAAACCTTTACTGACAAAACCAATAGGCAGGTAAGGAACGGTTCTTTTATATTTTGGCTTACTTAATTATTCACAATGTCGGTATGTGTTTGCTCAGCGAGTGTCTCGGTGTTTTCTTCATCTATTTTATGAAGTATAAGGGTTTCTTCAATTTTACTTTTTTTGAAATAAAGTGTTATTTTTCAGGTTTACTAACAACCTCTTTTTCAGAAAATACTCGGACGTCTATTTGAAAGAAACTCCATTTTTGTTGCTACAATTTTTGCTGGTGCTTTTGCTTTCCAGGGCTTTTTCGATGTTGCTATAAATAAATGGTGGGATGCCCACAACCACAACAAATTATGGTCGAATGTCAAAACCAAGTTCATAGAGGGTGGTGCTGAAGAAGACGACGATGACGAGTAAAGAAATATCCGTTTGTTTTTTTGCGAATATGAACTAGAGATGTAAGGGAATTATTCAAATGTGACATATTTAACTGATCTATATTCATCTTGAAAAGGATTATTACGACTTAAATGTTGAGAATAAACCGTTTTCTTATTTCCATGTGTTGAATTTACTTGCTAAATGTATAAAGATATATTTGTCAAAGATTCAAATTCCAGTGGAACTTATCAATGGTAAGGGCCCGCTGGCATTAGAGCCGATAGCAAGGTGTAAAAGCCACTTTACCTTGAACTTTTCCAATACTTTTCTTTGAACTCTTTATTCTTCTTGTCCTGATTCAAAAAAAAAAGAAAAAAAAAAAAAGATCAATATAGCTTCATCTCATCATCTCGATAACCAATTTATACATCTAATCCCTTCATTCTCCTTTGCATTCCCACTAATATTGAATTTTTCCCTCGATGGCGGTTATAAATCAACCCAATAGTCAGATAAGGTTAACAAATGTGTCCTTAGTGCGAATGAAGAAGGGTAAGAAACGATTTGAAATTGCATGCTATCAAAATAAGGTTCAGGATTGGAGACAGAAAATTGAAAAGGACCTAGATGAAGTATTACAGATTCCACAGGTTTTCATCAATGTATCCAAGGGACAAGTCGCTAATAACGACGATTTGATGAAGGCTTTCAATACCACAGACCAAGATCAAATAGTGTTGGAGATTTTAAATAAAGGTGAGATTCAATTGAATGAGAAGGAAAGAAATGCAAACTTGGAACAAAAACAGAATGAGTTTTTGAATATAATATCGACGAAATGTATAAATCCAAGATCTAAAAAGAGGTACCCTCCTACCATGATTGAAAAGGCTTTAAACGAGGTCAAGTTCCATTTGAATCCAGCGAAAGCAACCAAGACCCAGGCTTTGGATGCCATTAAGGTGCTAGTCGAAAAACAAATAATACCTATAGCAAGGGCCCAAATGAAGATAAAAATAACTCTAACTAAAAAGGCGTATCAAAAAGTGTATGAGAACGAAATCAAGCCTAAGATAGACCATTTGGAAGAGTTGGATAATAATGGAAAGCACTACGAAATCACTGGAATCATTGACCCAATTAATTATAGAGTTTTGGTGACGTTGTTAGAGGAGAAAGATTTAAAGAATGAAGCATCCTTGGAAGTTTTAGATATGTCGGCCATTAAGGAAACATAAACGATGCATCTATCTTACCTTGTAAACTCACTTTTCCTCTATCTATTTTCTCCCTCTATCTATTTACTTCCCTCTATCTATTCTCTCCTTTCGCTTTATCTTTTCCTTACCAGTGTACCCCCTTTATCAAGATTTATTCTTCCTTACCGGAATATCTTTACTAACAGGAATCACACCTTTTCTTACAGGAATCTTCACCCTTTCTTACAAGGAATCCCAATTTTTCCGCTGCCTCGCTGAAAAATTTGTTAAAGCAAAAAAGAAATGAAAAAAAAAAAAAAATTCTTTTGATGCCCCTAAGGTTAGAGAAGTTATACTTGGATAAAAGATGGCAACTATAGTATTACCAGAGGGAGATGTTGGAGGTTTTAAGGCTGTTGGGAAATACAGTACCCCAACTCGTCGTCCAATTGAACCTGTTGGACGCTACTTCTTAGCACATGCATCTAGAACTCTTAGGGGCCATACTTGGTCAGAGTTTGAAAAATTAGAAGCTGAAAAAAATGTTGTGCAAATAGAGTCCAATGAAGATGAAGACTTGGGAGACGAGGAGCAAAGCGAGGAGTTGCTAGCTCATGATCCAAGAGAATGGAAGACTGCTGATTTATACGCTGTTTTGGGATTATCTCATTTGAGATACAAAGCGAACGAAGATCAAATCAGAAGAGCTCATAGAAAACAAGTCTTGAAGCACCATCCAGACAAGAAGTCCGCTAGTGGCGGGCTAGAACACGATTCGTTTTTCAAGATTATTCAAAAAGCTTTTGAAGTTATGTTGGATCCTGTCAGAAGAAAACAGTATGACTCGATTGATACTGCTGCTGACGCAAAGCCCCCAAATCCAAAATCCCAATATGATTTCTTTGAAGCTTGGGGACCAGTATTTGAAAGTGAAAGTAGATTTTCTAACAAACAGCCCGTTCCGTTGTTAGGTGACTTGGATACTCCAAAAGACAAAGTTGATGCTTTCTACAACTTTTGGGGTAAATTTGATTCTTGGAAGACATTTGAATTCAAAGACGAAGATGTTCCTGACGACACTGCCAACAGAGATCACAAGCGTTACATTGAGCGCAAGAATGTAGCAGCAAGAAAAAAATTCAAACAAGAAGACAATAAAAGACTTATTGCATTAGTGGAAAGAGCATATAGTGAAGATCCAAGAATCAAACTTTTCAAAGAAGAAGCCAAAAAGGCCAAAGCTGCCAAGAAATGGGATAGGGAAGCTGGCTCGAGGAAAGCTGCTGAAGAAGCTGCTGCAAGGAAGGCTGAAGAAGAAGCTGCTGCGAAAAAGGCTGCAGAAGAAGCCGCAATTGCCAAAGCTGGTTCCAAAAAGGCCAAGGAAGCCGCCAAAGCCGCCAAAAAGAAGAATAAGAGAAGCATTAGATCTGCAGTCAAGGACAGTGAGTATTTCGGAGATGCATCCAAGAGCAGTGATATCGATGCTGATGTTGATTTGCTTATTGAAAAATTTGATGATATTAAATTGGGACAAGTTGCAGATAGTTTGAAAGACGCTGATGCAGCTTCTACTAAGGCAGTAATTACGGGCGCAGCTAAAGAGTTGGTTGCAGCCGGTTCTTTGGATGGTTCATATTTAAAGTATTTCCAAGTATAGAAGGGAAGAAAGAAAGAAAAAAAGAGGAAAGAGGATTTTGTAAATTTCAATCATTAAATACGTTGACTAGTCAAGGTGTGTTGAGGCAAAAGGGAATTAAAAAAACAACAAAAGAAGAAAGAGTTTACTTTTCTTCTTCTTTTTCTTCTTCTTGCTCTTCGTTATTGTCATCATCATCTGGAATAGCCATATTTTGCTTCAAAGGAAGTGCTTTTAAATGATAATGCTCCTTTCTTTTCTCCTCGAATCTTTTATGTCTCTCCTCAGCTGAAAGAGGTGTTTCTTCAACTTCTTCTTCATCATCTACATTGTCGGTTGAATTTTGCTCTTTGATCACTTGGCCACCATGGAGCGATGCCAGAACATGGTGTGGCGCTTTATCGTATTCTCCCTCTCCCAATTCGAATTCGGGAATATCTTGTTCGTCTACCACTTGTACATTGGCAGTAGCATTTTCATCATCGTCGTCGTCTCGATAGTACTCACCTTCTGGATTGAATCCTCCCTCGTACGGTGTTTTTGGTTCGTCTATTTTCATCTTAGCGCTCTTCTCTTGCTCATTCTTGTATATATTGACTTCGTCCCACTTCAAGTGCTCATGTGATGGCAGGGACTCATGGTCATGGTCATGGTCATGGTCCTGGTGCTCTTTCTTCTTTTGAGCAATCTTTGCTCTGATTTCATCACCTCTTGTAGAATTGGCTCTCAATTGCGCATTGAGCCTAGTGTTCTTGATAACTTCTTGTCTGTCCAAATGATCGAGATGGTGTTGCAATTGTTCATCACTTTCCTCGTTATCAGACTTGTTTCTTAGAATACCTCTAGGATGGTCACTCATGGGTAGGTACAGCTTTGTTAGAAATAATGTGTCTAAAGCAAAAGAGAAACTAGTATCTTGAACAATTGTTTGTATAAAAGTTACCAGTATCTGAACAATTGTTTGTATAAAAGTTACCAGTATCTGAACAATTGTTTGTATAAAAATCACCTATACAACTTAAAAGTATCAAGAGTCACCAGAGAAATTTACAAGTAAACTTTATCAGTGAGCTTTCAGACTAATCAACGCACAAACATTCAAGTTTCTCAACGTACTTATTTTTTCGCTTATTCTACGGGCATTACATTGCGCCAATACGTTACAATCTTTATGGGCCAGAAAATAACCAGCTAGAGGAAAGGTGCCGAGGCGTTATTTATAATTACGCGGCCGCGAGATGAAAAGCTCATCCCGCACATACATTTAACAGTACGTACCAATAGCACCCCTCTAGATAGATAATCTTTTCTCTACTTTCTTTACATAACCTTTTCTTCTTTCTTTACATAACTTTTTCTACTTTCTTTACATAACCTTTTCTCTACCTTCTTTACATAACCTTTTCTCTACCTTCTTTACATACCCTCGTCCCTCTCCAACTACTCTTTTCTTTTAAAAAGAAGGTTTTGCTGGAACCTTCATCTCAACAGTGAGTGAGCCCCAAAAGAAAAAAAGAATTTTAAAAAATATACAAACACATACATTTCTTTTATTACGATACAAGGCTTTTCAAAAGAGAAGCTGTAGTTGCTGTAGTTGGAGATTGTGGGGCATTAACTTGACATGGGACAGGCGTTTAGTTTTGCGAATGTGTTTGCTAAGCTTTGGGGGGTTAATAAGGAAATTCGGATACTTATATTGGGACTTGATGGTGCTGGAAAAACAACCATTCTATATCGATTACAAATGGGCGAGGTTGTAACAACCAAGCCCACGATAGGATTCAATGTGGAGACTCTAAAGTATAAGAATATAACTTTGAATATCTGGGATCTTGGAGGACAGACCTCGATAAGACCGTATTGGAGGTGCTACTACAGCAATACATCTGCTGTCATATTCGTGGTCGATTCAACCGATAAGGATCGTATCGATACTGCATGCAAGGAATTGCATACGATGTTGAAAGAGGAAGAGCTACAGGATAGCGCACTATTAGTATTTGCCAATAAGCAGGATCAACCAGGCGCAATGACTGCAGCGGAAGTATCGCATGCTTTGAGTCTAACGGATCTAAAAGATCGAAGCTGGAGTATCGTTGCATCAAGTGCTATAAAAGGTGAGGGTTTAACAGAGGGTTTAGACTGGTTGATGGATGTCATCAAGGATGAACAATTGTAAATTAAATAGCCTACAGCATAATTTGGATTATCAACCCTTTATCAACTCTTTATCTTCTTCTTCTATTTTTGTTTTGCTTCTTCCCATGTTTCCCTTTCCTTGACACGTTCCAAAATGGTCTTGATCATCTCGTTACCAATTGCGTTTGCTTCTTGAAGCATAGGTTGGAAAAAAGCCTGGGTCTTGTTGAATTCTTCACGGTAAAGTTGAAAGTTCCCAAACTTAATTATTTTCGCCCATGTTTCTGAGGCAATTGTAAAGTGTAAATCATCCTGCCGAAATGTCGAGTCTGTTGCAGCAACCTCTATGCTTTCTTCTAATAACCCTGGTGTACAAAAGACATATTCAGTAACACCCAAAAATATTCTGAATAAGGGTGTTGAGCAAATGATGTGGTCGTACGGTACAATTCCCAAATTGTACCAACTATCTGCTATAGCCAACAATGAAAGATGGGAGTTTGGCTGCTTACCTTCGGGTGGAGTCTTGTTTAATGAAAATTTCTCTAAAACGCTGTCATCTAATAAAAGGTTGTGATCGTTTATATGATGAAACAAAAACTTTTTCACTTTTTGTAACCTTTGATTCAATTCATCCTTTTTGCCCTGGATCATCAATGTGAATAATTCAGTTGTCGATTTGGAATATTGTATTACTTGGTCATGTGCTGATGGATTCGTGATAGCCAAGCCCGCATAAACATGCCACTTGTTGGAGTATATTCGTAGAGATATGTTTATTTTTGCATTCTCTATACCTCCTATCCACTTTGGTGTTTTCCATGGATACTGATTACATGTTCTCCAGGCAACACCCATGGATAGAAACGCAGCGTGGGTGACTGCTTGAGTGTCGGCTGTGATCCTGTCATGTTCCTTTGCTGTCAACTCCACCAACTTGGAGTTCAAACACGAAACAAGTGACTTCACAAATCGTAGCGATTCATCAGTAGATCTATGGCGAATAACCACCAAAGGTTGACCTGTAGTGTTGACTTTAGGACCATGCAAGGAGTGTAACGATATTATCTGAGTGTCACTGGGCAAGTGCTTCTCGAATGCTTCGATTTCAGGAGCCTTGCAAGAAGTTTGTCCACCAACAATTGCGCCATACTTTGACGAAGGACCATAAGTGGCAACTATCTTATCAATGTTCTCAGCTTCTACACTATAGATAATGTAGTCTGACTCTCGCGAGACCAAGTGACCATTACGTTTGAGTCCAAACTTCTCTTCCTTGTACTTGGATACCAATTCTTCATATAATTCTTCACGATCACAACCTATAACTTTCCATCCAGCCTCACTAAATCGTCTAGCATAAAGAAGTCCCATATCCCCAAGTCCAATGATACCAATAACTTTGGATTTTTTGAATGACTCAGACTCATCCCGTCTCTCATTGATCGTCATCATGTAACCACCAGCAAATACAAAGACTATAGTTTGTGTACCAAATAAGCTATAGGTTTTGTATTGTATAACAAATGTAACGAAAAATAAAAAACAATTTAGGCCATTTTTTTTTTTTTTTCATTCAGTCTAGTGGATATATCATAGTGAAGTGTTTCTACTATGTCAAGGGCTTTCAGTGCACCAGGAAAGGCACTTCTTGCTGGAGGGTATTTGGTGCTCGATCCAAGCTATGATGCGTATGTGGTTGCTCTTTCATCTCGGATGCATGCTATTATACAATTGAATCAAAGTGAGAGCAGCACAAATATATCTATGGTGAAGATTTCATCTCCTCAGTTTCGGGAAGGAGAGTGGGAATATCGAATTGAACCTTCTTGCTACAAGCCAATTGAGACAAACTCTCGAATAAATCCATTTATAGAAGCTACTTTGCTCACCATCTTGTCTTATGTGCAACCTGCTGAGAGTTTCAATTTAAACATAACGATTTACTCGGACCCTGGATATCATTCACAGAACAACACTACAAAACGTACTTGTGAGAATCACAAGAAATCGTTTCTTTTCCATAATCAGCGTATAAACGATGTTCCAAAGACTGGGTTGGGGTCATCTGCTGGGTTAGTTTCTGTTCTTTCAGCTGCACTATTATCGCATTTTGAACCAGGTAGTGAAAAATCAACAGATTTGTTACACAATTTAGTTCAAGTAGCTCACTGCTTAGCTCAGAAGAAAATAGGATCAGGATTTGATGTGGCGGCAGCAATATATGGGTCAATTATATATCGTCGATTTGAGCCAAGTGTAATTAATAAGGTCTTGAATGATTTAGAGACAAATCCTGCACTTTTCAAGGATAAAGTTAAGCAGAGTTGGCAGTTTAAACATGAAAAGTGTGCTTTACCAGCCAGTGTACGGTTAATAATGGGAGACATTGCAGGAGGCTCGGAAACTCCAAAAATGGTTACAAAAATACTTGAATGGAAAAAGAACAACCCCGCAAAAGGCGCTGAAGTTTATGTGAAGTTGAATTCTGCCAATACCAGGTTCATGAAAGCCGTGATGAGTGCAAACAAGCAATCACTAAGCGAAAGTCCGCTTGGCCAAACTGAAATGGAGGAGTTGCAAAATTCTATATTGGATATGCGACAGGGGTTGCGTGAATTGTCAATTGAAGCAGATGTTCCTGTTGAACCATTAGAGCAAACCAAACTTTTGGATAATGTGAGCAGCATTGATGGATGTCTAGGAGGCTTAGTTCCTGGCGCTGGGGGTTATGATGCTGTTGCTGTTCTCGCTTTAGCTCAATCTGTAGATAAGATCAAAAGTATCACAGAGGAGACACCAAATCAGTATAACAATGTACATTGGGTAGATTTGCATGAGGAGCGAGAAGGGTTGAGAGAAGAGGACCCAATGGACTACCAAGGCCTTTAATGCCACATATTAAACACTTTTTTTGTATCAAGTAATACAATAGATCAATCAAACCATTTAGTCACAGAATGTCTTTTTCTCACTCCATCTTATTTTTACAGCCCTATCTCTTTTTCTTTTATTACAAGTTGCGTCCTTGTCTTTAGTGCACTCTATTGCTTATTGACTTTTGTAGAAATGCAGTGCGTTTGAAGATTAACTTCAACGACATCTAAATAGTATCTCACAACGTTTCACGGTATTCTTGTTTAAATACTTTATTGACATGTCGTAAACTAAATTACGACCTTCAGACACTTTTCAAAAAATGTTTCAGACACTTTTCAACGCGACATTTAGAATGTCTTCAAAAAAAAAATTAAGCCATAAAAAAAAATCAACTAGAATTCATAAATCTGTAGAGTATTTCAAATGTCCACTCTGCAATCATGTCATTAAATTCACCACAACCCCAAGTCAAGAAGGAGCCTGCGGTAAAAGAAGAGCCTGGTACTAGCCAGAGCGAGATATGGCAGACCATACCATTGAAATCGAGCGGTCCTGAAGATTTCGATGAACATGTTCGAATACATGTTATGAAACTTGCCTCCAAAAATGATGTGGATATAGTGAGCGATTTTGAAAAACCCGTGAGGCTACATAGGAAGGATCCAAGGAATATGCAGTATCATCTTACACGTCAGGAATTAGACCAAAGAAAGAGAGAAAAAGAGGAAGCTGAAAAAAAACGGTTAGAGGAGGAAGAAGCAAAAGAAGAAGCAGGTGGGGAGACCGTGAAATCCAATGGTAAAGAGCTGTCGGAGAATAGTACTACTAATGCTGGTAGTAAGGACAAGGCATTCCCAGAGCAGCCCAAGTATAATAAGAACCAAGCTGACATGTCACAAGTGGCCCCTGATGGAGGCGCACGGAAAAGCAAAAAGAATTTATTCAAGAGGAAAACTAGACAAGTTAACCTAATGGACGAAGGCAAAAGGAAATTGAGATACGAAGAGCATTATCCCTGGGTGATTGAAGACTATACCGGAAAAAACGTTTATGTGGGTAACTATGAAGCAGGATCAACGGAGCTGCTGCATGTTCTTTTTGTCTTTGATAAGGATGGCTTCAAGATGATTCCTGCAGAAAAAGTATATCGATTCACACCAAGAAATAAGTATGCCACATTAACTTTAGAAGAGGCGGAAGCAAAAATGGAGAAAAACTCTAGTCTGCCGAGATGGTTAATGAAGCATATGGAAAATGAATCAATAGCATCAGGATCGTATGATCAGAGATTTAGAAACAATTCGCTTTCAGCCAATGGGCGAGTAATAAGCGAGGCAGGAGGAGGGCAACAACAAAGAAGAAGAATGAGGACGGTCTTGGGTGGTGGTGACGCCAGTGTAGCGAATGATAGAGACTCCGATCATGATGATTTAGACTTTGAAGAAGAGTTTGCCGACGATGAAGAGGCTCCTATAATGGATGGGGATGAAGAAGAAAATAAAATGTCAGAAAAGAAGATAAAGAAAGAAATGTTGAAAGCAGCTCATTTGAACGCTGAGGACGATGCCGATGTTGACGACGATTTGGACGATCTTTTTGAGACAGAGAAATCTAGAAAAGTTGACAAGGAAGGTAAGAAGTTGATGAAAGTTTTAAACAAGAGAGAGGGCGGTATTTATGATAGCGATGATGAGGACCGAGAACTTTTGCCATATTTATCAAAGTCCGACTTAGAGAGTGAGGAGGACAGTGAGAATGAAGTACAAGTAAAGAAAGAGAAAACCGAGGACGGTAATAGTACCGAACCGACGATGACAACAACAACAACAACAACAACAAATGCGACTACTGCAAATAGATCATTTGGACGACAAATTAGTGCAACGTACCTTGGTGACGGATTTGTTGTTGTGACTGCACCAAAAGAATTTCTAAGTACGTTGCCACCAGGCGATTGGTCTCCAAGCATCAGAAAGCGGCCAAGCCCTGATATTGCATCACCAAAGAAAAAAATCAAATTGGAAGATGGGAACAATACTATTGTAAAAATAAAGAAGGAAGCGTCCCCCGTGTCATCAACCCCAGGCTCTCCACTTGGTCAAACAGGCGCGGGCGAAGAATTTGATTTAAACGATGCGGGACCAGACAATTTATTGGTTACCGTGAAAGATGTATTGGATATAGTAAAAGATCAACCACTCACGACCAAAGAGTTATTAGTTGGGTTGAAGATTAGGGTTAACGCGCATCCAAATAATAAGCAACGAATTATTAGGATTGTTAAACAAAATTTGAAGTTAGTGGACGGTAAACTAGCACTCAGAGAGTGAAAAGAATAGAATTGAAAAAAAAAGAAAAAAAAAAAGGAAAAGAATGAAATAACTTGATTATACTATTTCAACTATCTTGTCGTCATCTTCGTCGCTTTCGATTGCCTCTATTTCAGCATTATCTGGTGCTTCATCCCTCTTTAGCATTTGCACAATTCTGTCACATAATTCAATAACCTCTTCAACATCAGTTGCCTTATGTAGCTCTCTGATAATAGAATACACCTGTTTCTCTCTAAGATATTCTCTTGCTGGTTTCGTAGTGCATAATAAAAGTAATGATTCTAGGTGAATACATTGGATGCCACTGAGAGGTTCTCTCTGCTTATCAGATGGTAATAACTGCAACTCCTCCGGCAAATCAAACATTTCGTCTTCATCAATATCTTCTGGTCCAGCCAAGGGCAAAAGTATAAAAGGCAAAATGTTTATTTTAGGATCTGTCAACAATTTCATGTGTGCATTGGTATCAAACAAGGAGTTTTTAATAGTTGAAGCAACACCTTCTCTGCGAATCTTATCGTCATACTTTTCAGTGAAAACAAGTAATTTTGATATTGGCACAACTTGGTCAAACGTTTGCTCCGTCACAAAGTAAGATCTACCTTGTTGAAAACGCGATAAATCTGCAAAGAAGTAGGCAAGATAGTCATAGTTAGCATATGGATTTAGCTTGCGATCATGCCCCTTTACAAAACAATCCATCAAACAGTCAATTATCTTCGTTGAGCTAAAAACTTGCTTTTCCTCTTCACTGGGCTCAAATTCAAAATCCAAGATCTTGTTAATTAAATCGTTTTTGGCCAAATTATTCAATAAAATACACATTAAATCTGCGTTTGAATTTTTGAGCCTAACAATCCTTGTAGACAAATCTTTCAAATAATCAAGGTCCTCTACAATGAGGTTTCGCATTGTTGTATCCTCACATAAGTTAGCAAGGATTGTAACGGATTGTGTGACTAGTGTTCTGCTATTAGAACTACTCAACTTCTTCAAATCTTTGATTGCTTCATAGTTATCGTAACTGAAGATCTGTTGACTAGGACCAGTAGAGTATCCCACCAAATTATCCAACGCTATTTGAACAACAGCTGGCTGAGGTGAATGTAGGAAACTAACCAATTCCTCTAGTTCCGTCGGCATGTTAAGCTATGGCGCGCCAATCGCGAAATCTTAGTTGCAAATAACTTACTTACTTTCCTCAAACTTGCGCGATGACTTTATAAACTTTTCACTCTTTGTTCGAGATGAGATGAGATGGAAGATATTACCAAAAGCGGACGTACATGCGGCTTTTCTCGTAAAGTGAAAAATTTTGGCCGATACCGGCAGTGGATGAAAAATAAGATCCTTCCCCCCCCCCCCCCACCCTCAAAAAGAAACTACTATGGGGAAATAGATCTACTAAGAAAATAGTGCGTCATTTTCACCGCAAAACACAAACCAACTGGGTTCAAGGATAAAGAAATGTCGATTGCGGAGAGAGAGGAGGAGATTTGGGTTAACGACAACAACCATGTACCGAATCAACCTTCAAAGTACCTTGGATTTGTAGCAGGAATGGCCCTGGGTGTTATGAAAAACTTGGTTGGACATCCCTTTGATACAATTAAAGTGCGTTTGCAAACATCTCCCAAGGGCCAATTCAAAGGACCAATGGATTGTTTGATTCAAACGTTGAAAAATGAAGGTGTTTTAGGTTTATACAAAGGTTTTACACCGCCCTTGGTTGGCTGGGTGCTAATGGACTCGGTTATGCTTGGTTCTTTGCATGTGTACAGGCGATGGACAAAAGAGTATATCTACCCTGATGATACCAAATTACCGTTAATGGGACACGTTGTTGCGGGGCTAGGTAGCGGTATGACTGTGAGTTTTGTAGCTGCGCCAATTGAACAATTCAAAGCTCGACTACAAGTGCAGTACGATGCAAAGAGTAAACAGTATACGGGACCTATAGATGTTGCAACTAAATTGTATCGTGTTTCAGGAATCAGGGGGATATACAGTGGTTTATTCGCGACAATGGTATTTCGAACTAATTTCATATTCTGGTGGGGTTCCTATGAATTGTTTACTCGGTGGTTTGAGGAAAACACAAGGATGTCAAAACCGTCAATCAATTTCTGGTCGGGTGGTTTGAGCGCCACGGTATTTTGGATATTTGCATATCCTGCCGATGTTGTTAAACAAACAATAATGACAGATTCTCCTATACCGCTGAACAAGAAATTTCCTCACTACATGGATGCAGTGAGATATATATACAATATGCGAGGATTAAGGGGATATACTCGAGGATTCTTGCCTTCTATATTGAGAAGCTTCCCCGCAAATGCGGCAGCATTAGCCGCATTTGAAGCAGTTATGAGATTCTTTGCCAATAACGGACATAAGTAGTAATTTTATAGAGGTTTAACTAAACGAAAAAGAAGAAAGGAAAGCATTGAGTAGGATCTTGACCTTTTTTTCTTTTTTTTTTTTTTCATAAATTATTAACGTTTATCTTTCCCATGGTTTCGTCCGTTGCAGTTGATGCGAGATCGAGCCTTGATCTTTCAACACGACATCAGGTATTGGTTTGATTCCAGGAACTGGCTTCCCCGACATTATGAGCTCTATCAAATTGTGATAATTTGACGAGTAAGGAGGGTCATCATCGTCACCAACTTTTGTCTCGACATTATTCGTGGAAACTGATGTATCTGACTCTACTAGTCTATTTGTATCCTTTTCCAGCTTACTTTCCTCTTTATCATCATTATGTAGCTTCCAATCTTCAAACTCCTCTAAGTTCAAGATATGGCCGGTTTTTTGACAAAAAAAAAAGGACTTTGCCTGATCTATTAGCTGACTTAACTCAGCTTCAGCAACTTCAGATTGTTGAAGTTCCTTCAAATATTTCTGATACTCAGTACAATCTTCCCACGAATAGTTTAAGAACTCCTGGTAAACATGGTCCTGTGGATTTGCCATGATGCCATATTCTACAATGAAAAAGAAGTGGAAAGAAAAGGGGAAAAAAAAAAACTCAAAGTTGGGGCGGTTAGCTTAAATTTTCACTTTCCACTTTCCACTTTCCACTTTTGCATTATTTTCAGAAGAACACTCCACCAGCGGTGGAAGATGGTGAGCCTATCGTTTGTTATTGTGCTTGCAATTGCCTTGAGATTGGGTTTTTTTGCATTTGGATTGTATCAGGATGAATATATGCCTGTGCGGTATACTGATATAGATTACTTTGTGTTCAGCGATGCTTCACGATATGTTTATCAAGGAAAGTCGCCTTATCTCAGAGAAACTTATAGGTACACTCCAATGTTAGCGCTTATGCTACTACCCAACAATTGGGGTGGGGCCTGGTACCATTTTGGTAAGGTCTTGTTCATGGTTGGAGATATAATCACTGGCGTAATTATTGCCAAATTGTTGATCAACCAGAATCCCCTTGCGTCAAGTAATAAAAACCTAGCGTTTGCTTCTATATGGTTATTGAACCCAATGGTAATCACGATAAGTACTAGAGGTTCATCTGAAAGTATTTTGACGCTGATGATCATGTTATCATTATATAATATAGTTGGTAAACAAAACATTTGGACATCTGCATTCTGGCTAGGGGTTGCTATACATTTTAAGATTTACCCAATAATCTACTTACCCAGCATCATGCTCTACTTGACGAACAACACGAGCCCAATTATAAGATTACCAGTACTTAACTTGATAAACTGGCAGAATATGAAATATTTGTTAATGACAACTGTGACTTTTCTCACGTTGACTGCAATAATGCATTTGGCATACGGTCGAGAGTTTTTGGATAATTCATATTTTTATCATTTTACGAGACTAGATCATAGACACAATTTTTCCGTCTACAACATGCTTTTATATTATAAGTCGGCCTTGACACCATTGTCCTCGCCATTAACTTTATACGGCTATTTCGATATTGAGAAAGTTGCCTTTCTCCCACAATTAGCGTTATCAGGGATCATAATTCCTCTTTTGTTAGCAAGACAGGATTTGCTCTCGTGTTTGTTCATACAAACATTCACGTTTGTGACATTCAACAAAGTTATCACATCTCAGTACTTTATCTGGTTCATGATCTTTTTACCACATTTTTTAACCAAATCAAGTTTAATTACAAAGAGAAAATTGAATGGAGTTGTTATTCTAATTTTGTGGGCAGGGTCACAAGCTTGCTGGTTGTACAGTGCTTACAAATTAGAGTTTTTGGGCGAAAACACCTTTGACTACGCATTATTTAACTCTAGTCTAGTATTCTTCCTAAGTAATTGTATCTGTATACATCAATTTATAGCCAGTGTATAAAGCTTTATTACTTGACTCTTGATACCATTGCATTCTTTACGATACACTTGGGAGCGTTTCTATGGTTTTTTTTTTCACCATAGAGAGAAGAAGGAAGTTATCAAGGTTACCCGTTAAGCTAAAGATTATAGTAAGAGAGAGAGAGAGAGTGTGTGTGTGTGTATATATATGGAAGTGAAATGTCACGAATGGAAATATATTCACCTGAAGGGTTGAGAGTAGACGGGAGAAGGTGGAATGAGCTACGCCGGTTTAAATGTATGATCAATACTCATCCCAATTCAAGTGATGGATCATCTTATGTTGAGCAAGGAAACACTAAAGTTATTTGTACGGTTACGGGTCCTGTAGAGCCCGCTAGTAGAGCACAAATGAATCAAGAAAAAGCTAATGTGGAGGTGAACTTGACAATTGCCAATTTTTCCACATTTGAAAGAAAGAAACGATCTAAAAGTGAAAAGCGGTTAACTGAATTGAGAACGACTTTGGAGAGGACTTTTGAACAACTGATACTATTGCACTTGTATCCACGAACCAGTATAATAATAAATGTTCAAGTTTTGAGTCAGGATGGTGGGATGCTTGCTGCTGTGGCTAATTCGATTACACTAGCCTTGATGGATTCTGGGATAGCAATGTATGATTATGTTAGTAGTATAAGCTGTGGTTTATATGACCAATCGCCATTGTTGGACTTGAACAATTTGGAAGAGAACGAGATCAGCAGTTTGACGATTGGAGTTATAGGCAAGAGTGAAAAATTGGCGTTATTGATGTTGGAGGATAAGATGCCCTTGGATAATTTAGAGAAAGTTTTAAGCCTTGCGATTGCTGGTAGTCATAGGATAAAAGATTTGATGGATATGGAGGTTAGGAAACACGGAAACGCAAGGGTAGCGAAACTAGTCAAGTGATGGTGAAGAGGATCTTGAAATAGGCGAAATTTTGTAATTATATGCTTTTGTGGTTTATGTTTATTGAAGGTTTTGGAGTATAGATTAAGCCTGGGTCTTTTATGGCCCTCGTGTGGGTGATAATAGTAATAGTTGGTAGGGGTATAGCTGGAAATAGAAGTACAACAACAAAGAAAATGAGCGATGAGCAGTGAGAGAGGTGAGTAGTGAGAGAGGTGAGCAGTGAGAGAGGTGAGTAGTGAGAGAGGTGAGTAGTGAGAGAGGTGAGTAGTGAGAGAGGTGAGTAGTGAGAGAGGTGAGTAGTGAGAGAGGTGAGTAGTGAGAGAGGTGAGTAGTGAGAGAGATGAGTAGTGAGAGAGATGAGCAGTGAGAGAGATGAGCAGTAAGAGCAGTGAGCAGTAGGAGAGGTGAGCAGTAAGAGAAATGAGCAGTAAGAGCAATAAGCAGTAAGAGTAATAAGCATGTTCTTCAGAGATCCTTTTAGCTAGTCAGTGTTTCTCCACTATCTCGCTCTGCTCGATAGTGTTGATGTCCACTTTGAGGGTTCATCCCAAAACGGAAATAAAATTTTGTTCTTTCAAAATTTTCGCATTTGTTCAAACTGCGTTGTCCTTTTTATTTTTCAACTTGATTGTATATACAAATCAAAAGTAACACAGTGGCAGGATATACACACATTGCAGACTAGAAGCCATTAGAAAGAATTAAGAGTCTTTTGAATAAATTTTACTTTTCTTTTTATATATTTATTAGGGAAAAAAAATCAGGGTTATTACTAGTGAATAAGTGATTATGTCATATCGTGGGCCAAATCAGTTTCAGAATCAATTTGGAGCACCTCACCAACAATATCCATCAAATATTCCTCCACAACCACATGCACATATTGGACCAATTTCCACTTCCAAATCTCCCTTGGAGCAGTTTGAGCAATTCAGTAAGAAAGTTGAAGACGGTATTGACGACTATTTCAAGCCTTTAAAACCATATGTTCCAGCCATTGGAAGAGCCTTTTTGGTAGCTACTTTTTATGAAGACACCATAAGAATCTTTAGTCAATGGAGTGAACAGGTGTACTATTTGCACAACTATAGACGTTATTGGAGATGGTTGACTGTTGCGTTTTTGGTGAATAACATGTTGATCATGTCGATAGCATCTACCTTGGTCATTATTAGAAAAAAGAACAATATTGCTACAGTTGCATTGATATTTGTTGTTATTATTCAAGGCGTTGCTTATGGCTTATTGTTTGATCCTCAATTCATATTGAGGAACTTGTCTGTTGTTGGAGGCCTAGTTTTGGCTTTTTCCGATACTATCGTGAGGGATAAGAGATCTTTGAACATGCCCGGTTTACCAATGTTAAACAACCAAGATAATAAAAAGTATTTCTTATTGGCCGGTAGGATATTGTTGGTTTTGTTATTCTTGGGTTTCGTCTTTTCTTCAAAGTGGTCAATTGGTAGAGTAGTGATCATATTGATGGGATTAGTATCCTGCACATCAATAATTGTGGGCTATAAGACGAAATTTGCTGCTGCTATGATATTATTGATGTTATTCTTTTATAACATCTTTACAAACCAGTTTTGGGCATACGAATCAAGAGATGCAAGAAGAGATTTCTTGAGATACGAATTCTTCCAAGTGTTGTCAATAGTTGGAGGCTTGTTATTGGTTGTTAACGCTGGAGCTGGAGAGTTCTCCATTGACGAAAAGAAGAAAATCTATTAAACCTGTCATGGCAGGGGACAGGGGGCCAAAAATAAGAGGGAAAAAAAATAAAAGGTGTAGTATTAAAAGAAGAATGATAAAAAATCAATCGATGTTGATATGGTAGATATATTTTTTTCAATTGTAGAGCCTATCTTCTAGAGTCCATCTTGTAAAGTTTGTCCTGTAGAGCCCATCTTGAAAAGCTCATCTTGTATAGCTCATCTCTTGTTACTAATCAAATTTGGAGCTTGCGAAAAATGACCTATTGGCGAAAAATTTAAATCATTAATAACTCCCCCCCCCCTCCCCCTGTAACTTTGAAAAATTAAGCATGGCAGTAGAGGACGAACAAGCAAAGTGTCCAGTGGATTTTACAACTGGATCTACATGGATATCCAAACTAATCTGGAAACCCAAAAAGGGATCTGAAGTTCCTCTACAGCGAACAAATTTTAACCCGGATAATGAACCATTTTCCAATCAAGATCAACCAGTTTGTCCCGTTGATCACAAAAGTCGACAGGCCTGGCTAGATAAAGTCTCAGTTAACGTTATCACTACAGATGCAATTGAAGAAACCCCTATTTCAAGCAAGACATGCGATTCGTCAGCTATAAACAATACCTTGCAAGACACCACAATTTCCAATGTCGATTTACCTACAGAGAGAGAGATTAGTTCTATACCTAGGACCGCGTCAAATATGAACTGGATATACCCTAGTCAAAAACAATTTTTTGAAGCAATGCAGCGTAAAAACTGGAATCCTGAGTCTCAGGATATGAAAGTTATTGTGCCCATTCACAATCTCGTGAATGAACGTGCATGGAAACATATAATGATGTGGGAAAGTCCAAATTGTGACAAGGCTATGAAAGAATGCGGAGGCATAACGTTGACTTCATTCAAGGGGGACTCTAAAAGATTGACTCCAAGAGCCTGGTTCAAACTGAAAATTGCCGGTCAAGAGCCGCCATTCGACAGACATGACTGGACAATAAACAGGTGTGGCGTCGAAGTAGAGTATGTCATTGACTTTTATAATGGAGAGAATAACCAAGTATGGCTTGATGTTAGGCCCAAGCTAAATAGCCTCGAGGGCTGCAAATTGCGGATATTAAGAGCAATAGCGCCAAAAACAAACTAAGAAGAAGACGGAAGAAAAAAAAATAGTAGTAGAGCTTATGTGTGTATCACCATACACCCCACCGCCATTTTCTTAATATATTCCATGTATATATACAAATAATACTAACAAGGAGCCACCCATCTCTTTTGCTCTTTTGCTCTTTTGCTCTTTTTCTTTATTAACCACTTTATCTCCTACCCATGAATTGACCGCTTTGACCTAATTTCTGCATATTCTCACCGACTTGAACATTGGTTTCAAAATACTTAGCAACACATCTGTCAAGACATAACAGTTCTTGCTTTGTGAGATCGCTTTCACTATACAGCTTGCTTATACATTTATTGTGACATTGTGAGACCAATGCGTTGAACATTCCAGTGACCATGTCCAACTCAGCTTCCGCTGCAGCAAGTTTGGCCTGAGATGATAGTTGGGGAGCTGAAGAACCGCCTAATCCAAACATTCTACTTTTTGTCTTTTCTTTCTCAAAGTTGCTTGAAGTTGCTGAAAGGTACAAGTTTGAATAATTGGATGAAATTTTTCTTCACTCTTTTTTCTGCCCTCTGCCAAATTTTTTTTTTTTTTTTTTTTTTTTTTTACCGTTTCAGCTCGATGACTTCAAAACGATCCAGCATTGAAAACCTTTGGCATATAGCCTTCCACTAAGTCGTAATCATCCTAATGGTTCTACTGAATGTTTGTTGTTGTTGTTGCTGCTGTTGTTGTTGTTCTTCTTCTTCTTATTCTTTGTTAGATTATTACACTTCAATACATTATACTAACCTATAGACCAGCAAAGGTTAACTGAATGTGACCGCCCCATAATATCTCATCTGTAGGTAGCTCAGATTGTATTTCTCGCAAAAACTTTTTCTTTTCGGGTGCAATAACCACTAACCCTTGAGCTAATGTAATTGTTTTACCATTCAAACTTGTACTACCCGCCAAATGTGAAATTCTTGCATTCATAAAGCATTCTCTTCCTTCTAGCCTCTCAAAATAAGAGTCTGTTATTGCATGGTTTGCATCATAAAAATACCTCATGAATCTCCATGTTTGAGTTTGAAGACTAAACACGGCTATTCTCATAAGATTAGGATTATTTGTTGCTAATGGCAACCTGCTCAACCTGGAAATATCGAATTTCCCAGAATCATATGGCACTTTGTCAAAATATCTTAGATAATCATTGGATACGCCACCAACAAAAAACAAATAGTCTCGCTCTTCGTTCTGGTAATATAAACAAGTATGATGGCATGATCTTAATTCTGCTTCCTTCAACTCGGGGTGTTCCACTTCTTTGCCCTTTCTGTACCACGAACTGTCATCATCTTCTCCAGGTGCTAATGGTTTTTCATAATAGTCATACACATAAGTTGTCATTTTCTCCCAAGTACAAGTATCAAACACAAACTTATAAAAGTCTCCAAAGAAGTTGTTGTTTTCATCACAGCCTCCTTGTACTATTAAGTTTCGTCTACCAAAGTAACATTGAACTTGTGATTGCTCTTCCTCGGACATGACCATTGATGTACGTCCCGAATATGAGCCGCCCGCCTTGTACCCTGTTGTTTTGACCGAATTCATCATGCTACCACCACCAGCACCACCACCACCACTAGTAGTAGTAGTAGTAGTAGTAGCACCATCATCAATGGAAACAGCGCATCTCAAATAATCCGCGTGCGCAGGAGTTTGTTCAAACTTGGAAAGGTCCAAAGCACATTTCTCATCAATACCTCTAGAATAATCAATCATACAAGAAGCAAAGTAGCCTCGGGGACTGGGCCAAACTCCGTTCGATTCTAAAACAATATCACAAGTTTTAGGATCTGAACCAATCTTGGTAACTAATGTACTAGTTAAAAAGCATACATCCGAAAGTGATGTTGAACGATCGTCTTTGGTTGGTAGATCAATCTTCAATAGGTCATCACTGGCTACAAATTTTTGAAGCAATTGTCCATCAGCATCTGCAGTGATTTCCACCTCGTTCAAGTAAAACCCACCAAAAACAAAAACTGATATGTTGGTGAGAGCGTCGTTAAACAAAATATTTGCATTTGCTGTTCTCCCTTTACTACCTGTTTGATGAAACATGTCCTCGTCAGCATCAGTGTAGCTTGAATCTGATTCGAGAACTTGATAAAGATGCTGTTCCTGGTCTTTCTTGTTTGAAGAAGGTTCTTTCTTCTTTTCCACTTCAGCTCTTTCAAATTCAATGATATCTTTATCTTTATCCTGCCTTACATAGGATGGCGGCGTTGTGCTGCTGCTACTGTACTGGTTGGGAGAATTGCGATTCAAAAAAGTTGATGGGGAGTCACTGCTCCGTTCAACACCAGTTTCCAGGTTTCTTGCGCGATTATTGTTATTATTACCATAGCCAGTGTGAAGGTGAAGTAAGGGTGTGACACGTCTGGGAGCAGTGGATGTTGGTGATACATATGAATCTCCTCCTGTAATAATCAGAGAAACCCTGGTGGCACCTGCTCTCAAAAAAGACCCCGCTCCCAATCCCAATCCGGATCCGGATCCTGCTGCAGATGCTGCAGATGCTGTAGTTCCAGTTCCAGTTGCCGCTGCGGCGGCGGCGGCGGTTGATGGTGGCGGTGGTGCCGCTACATTAGTAGAAGATGAAGAAAAGGAAGTAGCTTGAACAGATGTCGTGCTGGGACCACCAATAGAAGGTGTACTTGCACTCATCAACACTGGAGACACGGCTCTACTACTTGTGCCAGAACTATTATTAACGGAATTGGACCTGTGATCTCTCACACTTTGAGAATAAGTGTTTTTCAAATTTGATTTTTGTAGTTTGTTTTTAAACTTTTCCATCTTACTTGAATTAGTTGGAGACGAGATGGAACCACTAGATGAATGTTTTCCTGTTGACTCACTTAATGAAGAGTCCAAGGAATTTGATGTAGTCACTTTTTGTAAATTTGAATACTTGCTTGATATCGACCTGACTGCCGTTGGGTCTTCGTGATGCTTAATTTCCTTTGATTGTGAATGTGAAGGCTGCAACTTATTGTCTTCCAGAGATTGTTCGGTTTCCTTTATGATACTCCTCGGAGTAGGCGAGTCCTTTTCCTTAGAAGATCTCGATCTTCTCGTGTTTTGACGCGTAATTGGAGAAGTCGAACCAAGATCCGAAGCTGTCGTTTGACTGGATTTTGTAGTAGAGCAATCACCAGATTTATGTGACAGCAGGTTTGCTCTTTGAGCATCATAAGGCCAATTTCCACCTCCACCACCTCCTCCTCCTCCTCCTCCTCCTCCTCCTCCTCCTCCAATATTTGCTGCTTTTACATCAGACGAAGCCCGACTTCTATCCTTATGCAGGGGATCGTATATATTCGAACATAAACCCATCCCAATTCTCCCCAATTGAAACGAAGGATTGTTCAGCTCCAACTTGATTTTTTTGAATTTGAAATTAGTTGTATCCAAGATATAGCCGTCCTTGTTCATTACGATCTTCTTCAGGATTAGCCACCTATCGATACTGCTTTCATAGCGAACATACTCGGTTTCAATATCAAAGCCACCATAAAAAAAGAAATGTTTTGGAGTAATTTGTGTGGCAACCATGGACAAAAAATTACCCGGGAAATCTGTTGTATTGGATGTATCCAAATCTGTCACGGTGTTCTTTATCGAGTTGAATTGGAAAAACGTAGTATGTTTGTGTAAAAAGGGACTAGTCAATAGTTTTGAATCGAGAAAGGGAGGCACTTTGTAAGGAAAGTGAACGGAAATCTTGTTGAGATCAATATTTTCGGGTAAACCCAAGTGCTCAAAGCCGGTGTATTTTGAAACGAATAATCCACCAAAGACATAAGTCATATCCCCGAGAGCAAACGATGTTTGATAACATATTTGCGGCACGTCCGACATGAGTTTTAAATGACGCTTATTCTTTCGCACCCTATTTGGGACATTGAAAAATATCTTGGGAATTGAGAGGTACCCTAGAAAGGCATCAATCTTGACGTCGGGGGCAATGAGTCTGTCGTAATTTTTTGTTGAAGTGGTTTCTTCCTCTTCGATAATTGAAGCGTCGGACGATTTTCTTCCAAACCCCGAATGTTCAATCTCGTTTAGGTGAAACTTGGGGTGGAACAAATACTGAAACTCTCGATTGCTTGCGTCCAATTCAATCTTTGTTGATTTTTCTTCCGATTTGTAGTATCTGACTAATGAATAGGGTACTTTAAAGCCATGGATCCAGCCAGTGGTATGTGTAGACAAAAAATCTGCCTCGTTTTGTAGAATCTCTTCTCTTATACTCGGAACATTGTTTTCTTGCCTGATAGCTGTTGTGTCATTCGATTGAGATGAGTGTTGTTGTTGTTGTTGTTGACCATCAACAGCGATGCTTCTAGGTGATAGACCTTCGCGTAAATCAACCCGTCTCCCTCGCAAAGAGCTCCCGGAATCAGAATCTACCTTGAACATATAGCAGGATTATTTTCAAACCTGTTGCCGCTGGTGCTCGAACCTATTTCTGATTGTCCTACTCACCTGTAGCTTATTGTCCTACTCACCTATTTCCGCTTGTGCTACTACTACTGTTCCTCTAAATCAAAATCCGTTTTATAACTGGGGTGATAATCATAGAACGATTGTTTCAGTTACACGACTCCAATATGGCAACGGTAACGAGACAACAATCTAGGCACCGTTAACTGTGAACATTTTATAGTGGGCACCACTTAGTTAGCGAGCTGCAATTGGTAGCAACAAGAATTGCAAAAAAAAAAAAGAAAAAGAAAAATGCAATGATGTGATAGTAAAATCTCTAAGGCAATAAGTGAGAGGTAATTTTTTTGCGATAGCAATAATGATAGGGCAATTGTTGTGTGTGATAGCAAATAGTGATAGGTTTCTGTTGTAATATGCAATTATGTGTAAGTATAACTTTGAAACATGTTTGTGCTCCGCTTGTTTCTCTGGCAGGAGGGGGGGACTCCGTGTCTACAGCAGACTATATAGGCTTATTCTTTACCATTTTGTTTGCTTGTTGGGTCTCTTTCTCTTGAGTTTCCCACGAGTTTTTTTTCTTCAAATAGTGCCGTTTCTCAAGTAAGAATCTAAAATCATGGATTTGCAGTTGTTTTTATAAACGATTTGTTCACAACCTCCTCTACGGGGGCGGGCCAAACTAAAAAGTGAAAAAAGGACCGACATCCGATTGTGGAGAGCACATGGTAGCGACGCACACAGTATATTTTTTTTTCTTTTGGTGATGAGAAAAAAAGCTTGGTAATATATAATCTCTATTGACAAGGTGCAATTAAGCCATGAGCGTTGAAGTGTCTGATAGATCTACCGTTCATGGTCATAATGACAATGTGTTAGGTAAGAAAAGAAGAGGTGAAGAACCAAAAGAGGTGGACCCAAAACAAGAAGAGGAGGAGAAGGAGGAGAAGGAGGAGGAGGAGGAAGGTGAATTCAACGCTATGTCCCGTGATTTGGATCAAATTGGTAAAATCAATTTAACATACTTTTTTGACAAGGTTAATCTTAATTTACCTGATCTCAAAAACTTATCTAGTGAGTTCAATAAGCAGTTGGACAAGTATAAGACATATTATAGAAACTATAATAAAGAGGATTTGGCTCTTAACGCCCCGCCGATATTGGTTTCGTTAAAGGAAATTGTTCATGCGCGGTTACAAATTAAACAATTTTCAAATGACTTGACGTCTGTCTTGGATAGACTACAGCCTATAACAGAGGTGATACATCGTGCCGTTATACTACCGGCGGAAGATGTTAGTGAATTCGAAGACGATGACGAAGAAGAAGAAGAAGAGGTGGTGGAGGGGGATGGCGAAGGATACGCAAAGGATGATTTGCAGGAGGAAATGGATCCGGAGATAAGGAAAGTTGCCGACGCTATTGGACTTGGTGAGGTGATTAGTAACGGTCAGGCATATATTGCAAAGTTTATCAAGCAAGTCACAAGAAGAACCAATATCGACGACTCTAGCAACTTTGCCAGCAGCCAACACCAGGATGTGTCAACTAACAATTTAGATCAAATTGAAGGATTATCAGAAAAAGTCATCAAGGAGCTAACCGAGCTTAACTCGATGGAAGAGTTTAAGAAAGAGGAAATATTGAGGAGTAAGATTTTGGCCATACAGGAATTGGACATTGAGCAAATACATAAAAACAAATTGATGACCAAATTGATGATGGGTAATTATTTTAAGTACATTAACCAACAGTTGAAAGATGAAGAGGAGAAATTGTCTAGTTTGTTAGATGAGAAACAGATTCTTTCCAGTGTTGGGCAAACTGTGTCAGTTGATAACAACATCAACAAAGATGTAATTAAACCTCTATCTCATAAAGGCAGCGAAGAAGAAGAGAAAGGAGAAGAAAAAGAAGAAAAAGAAAAATATGATGATGATGATGATGATGATGATGATGATGAAGTGATAATCACAGAGGAAGATCAACGTACTACTTATTTTGATAAAGAAAACAATATTCTTGGATGTCCACACTACCAGCGTAACTGCAAATTGGAGTGCACAACTTGTCGTCAATGGTTTACATGTCCATTTTGTCATGATGCCAAGGTTACTAGTCACAAAATGATTAGGAACCAAGTGAAACATATCTTGTGTATGCATTGCAAAACGCCACAAGACATTGATACGAATTATTGCGTCAATTGCGAAAAAGAATTGGCTAATTATTTTTGTAAAAAATGTGTACTATACGACGATGATCCAAGTAAGGATATATATCATTGCGACAAGTGCGGAATATGTCGGTTGGGGATAGGATTAGACAAGGATTATTTTCATTGTAATATTTGCAATATTTGTCTTTCGATAGATTTAAAAGATAAGCACAAGTGTGTCACAAATACCACCCACTGCAACTGTACGATTTGCAATGAGTATTTGTTTACACTGGTTCAAAAGGTTGTGTTTATGAAATGTGGTCATTCAATACATCAACATTGTTATGATGAGCTAGTGAAGCATAGTTACAAATGTCCCATATGCAAGAAATCGATTGCTAATGTTGAGAATCAGTTTCGGCTCCTTGACCAAGAGATTTCGCAGAGTCCAATGCCTGATCCGTATAATACATGGAGCTGTACAATCACGTGTAACGATTGTAAGGGAAAATCAAATTGTCCATACCATGTACTAGGGCTTAAATGTAAATACTGTAAGAGCTATAATACTAATCAATTGAAGATTAAAAAGCCAAACGAACCTGAAGAGGAACCAGAAAATGATGAGAAGCATGATTTCGATGCTAATATCATGAGACTAGTTCAAACTAATTTACAAAATAATTTTGACATCGACTTGAGATATGCATAAGAAAAGAAAAATATGAGTAATAATGATAATGATAGTAATAGATTGTAATAAATGTACAGACAAGGTAATAGAGAGAGAGAGAAATTTCTGGTGCTCGTACACATAACAGTATTGTATATGAGCATTTATTAGTTATCAAGTGTTGCAGTAGATGACAAGAAAAAAGGAGCGCTTTATTGAATGGAAAGCGGAAATAATATTTTATATGACAGGTCTTAATATCGGATGGAAAAGGGGCGGCTGCGATGAGAGCAATGGAGGTGACGACTCTGCGTGGCTGTATGTGGCTAGAGAGAGAAGTGATGTAATTAAATTCGTTTGTGTCAACACTATCGAGCAGAGCGAGATAGTGTTGTAACAAGCTTTTAAGTGCTCCACTATCGAGCAGAGCGAGATAGTTGAGTAGCCCTGACTAGAGACACTATCAGTCGTATACATTTTGTTGTAGTTGACAAAGAGTAAAGAAAACAGGTCTCATTTTACCATTCAGTAGCTTGTCACAATACTCAGAGCTTGTCACAATACTCAGAGCTTGTCACAATACTCAGAGCTTGTCACAATACTCAGAGCTTGCAACAACACTCAGAGCTTGTCACAACACTCAGAGCTTGTCACAATACTCAGAGCTTGTCACAACACTCAGAGCTTGCCACAATACTCAGAGCTTGTCACAACACTCAGAGCTTGCCACAATACTCAGAGCTTGTCACAACACTCAGAGCTTGCCACAATACTCAGAGCTTGTCACAACACTCAGAGCTTGCCACGACACTATCTCGCTCTGCTCGATAGTGTCCGGTATATAAAATGAAAAAGTGATACAAGAATACCACATAACTCACCAGGGGAAAAAACCAGAGCTTTTCCGATGAAACCACTAGTTGTTATCATTAGCTATTACTACATACAAGTTTAGGACAAGACTCTATAGATTTCAAAGAAATCTAGCTCTCTAGTTTTACATTATCAAAAAGAATCTAGCTCTCTAGTTTTACATTATCAAAAAGAATCTGGCTCTATAGATTTTTTTTTGGGTAAGTTACTCGTATTTATTAGTGGCAATGTGGAGAAAAGATGGTTCAACAATGGGGGGGGAAATGCAACCAAAAAAAAACCAAACTACCAACAAGCAAGTAAACAAAGAAGCCCAAAAAATTGTATTTCTTGTGTTGAACAATATTTTTTTTTTTTTTTTTTGCAGTAACTGCGAAATCGTGGGGGAGATTCCCTTTATTCGCCGATGCACTGAGAAATACAAAAGATACTTTTTGAACAAGGTACTTAGTGTTGCTCAATAGTGTCGCTTCTTCTCGTAAAAGGAAAAGTTTCAACCAGTTGGTTTAATGTTGACTTATCGGTTAATAAATTACCTTACGCGCCAACTGCATTAATCATTCATTTTTTTGGGGGGGCGGGAGGGCCGCTTTTTTCCGCTGTATATTATTTCCATCTCTAGTGAACATTTAGATTCATCTTTATTTAACTCGATTAATGGGTACCTGTTTGCCAAGCCAACATTATAGAGATTATATGGAAAATTGTACTCTGAATTTGGCGGTATACGATAAGAGGTTGATTTAAGCACTGCATAAGCACATTTACACATCAATATATCTCTTTTTACAGCTTGCTTTAGTATGACAAAGCCAAGATAGCAATAACAGAAAAAGTTATTGTTCTTTTTGGGTCTCTCTCTCTCTCTCTCTCTCTTTTTTTTTTCTCTCTCTATAAACGATTTGTTCTCATTACACACACACACATTACACATGATTGTCATTCATTGTAGGAATCAACGTTGAACTATAGGTATCCACGTTTTTCGCAAAGGCTTCATTTAAACCCTTTGTTTTTTTGGTTTTTTTTTCCCTCCTCTTTGGAATATCAAAGATAGGTTTGGATAGTCATTACATTTCTTAACCTGTCATCTTCATCTACTCATAACTTTTCATTTCCTCAGAACTTTTCATCTCACATTGCATTATACATTACTAGTTATTACCTGTAACTGCTTTTCATTATTACTGATACACCACTAGTGAGACATTACTAGTGAGAGACATTTCACTATATATACATATATACCAAACCCGTACTCCCTCACAAGAGTCATTCCTTAAATTAAACCTGTGTTTGCTTACTCTAGAGCAGTAAGTTTGCGTGCTTCAAACTATCATTCACATGTTTCTAGGTACTTTCCATTTACACATCTGCTAACCCAAAAAAAGAAAAGGAAGAAGAAGAATGAATTCAATAAAGATATTGGTCAACTCGTTTGATAAAATACTACCTGGTAATTCAATACCATCTTCCGATGAACCAAAGGATTTGAGCAAGAATGAAACACAGTTGAGTGAATCTGAAGCAATCACCGAAACCGATGGATATTTTGAACAACTACCTACAAACGAGAAAACCGACGGATATTTTGAACAACTACCTACAAATGAGAAAACCGACGGATACTTTAAAGAACTACCTACAAGCGAGGAACCGCGTAGTGATGGTAAGGGCGACGACAACAACAACAATAGTGTAAAAAAAACTAATAGCATTTCTCTTGAAGAAAAAGCAGATGGAGAAACAAGGGTAGAAAGTGATGATGGCGAAGGTGATGACGATGTCGATGATGATAATGAGATGAACTTAACCACTCCTGTATCTCAACAAGTTGTTAGTTTATCACCAGCTATTGCATTTTTATACACACTATGGAGAGTGATATATTTCTTTCCAAACTACCTAATTATCAAGCCTGGTAGTTTCGTAATCAAAATCTTGATTTACCCATTCGTGATGATTAAGGTATCCCTAGGATTTGGAAAGAAACCCGTTGTTGAGTTAACCCCCTTTGATGAGAAGGAGAATACATTTGAATCTAATGATAGAGAAGACGAATCTTTGGTGACAAGGACAAGTTCTCCAAACACAACAAAGTCACAGCAGCCGCAACTGCAACGGAAGCAGCGGCAGAAGCAGCGACTGCAGCAGCAGTCACAAGAACTACAAGACCAAGAAGAATATAACGATGACGAAAAACTAGAGCAACTCAAACGAGATAGTATCATTGCGAACGAAGTGAAATCGCCTACGTTTTTTTCAAAATATATAATCCCTCCTCCAGTCCGATTGTACCCTTTATCGCGGAATCCACAAAAGAAAAGAAGAAAGAAAATACTAATATTAGACTTGGATGAAACTTTGATCCATTCACTATCTAGAGGCTCGCCAAGATCCTTCCACCCTGCGTCCCACTCCAAGATGATTGAAATTAGGATAAATAACATATCCTCGTTATACTACGTACATAAGCGACCCTTTTGCGATTATTTCTTAACTGAAATAAGCAAGTGGTTCGAACTACAAATTTTCACAGCTAGTGTTAAAGAGTATGCTGACCCGATTATAAACTGGTTAGAAGAGGAGATCCTCAATACATTAAACAAGCAAACTTTGGAAGAACGCAAGAATGCTTCTAATTGTGGCGGTGGTGGTGGCGAAGAATTTGAACGGCCCAAAATCTTTACAAAACGATATTACAGAAATAATTGCAGTTACAGACCCGGAGTCGGATATATTAAGGATTTATCGAAATTCATTCGTGAAGATGATTTGAAAAATGTAATGATTTTGGACAATTCACCAATAAGTTATGCTTTACACGAGGACAATGCTATTAGTATAGAAGGATGGATAAACGATCAAAATGATCGCGATTTATTGAACCTTTTGCCATTATTGCGCAGTTTGAGTTTGTGTATTGATGTTAGATTTATCTTGGGGTTGAAAAACGGTGAAAAGGTGTTTGAGTCGTGATTGTGTATTTGTACATTTCTAGATTTATATAAATGAAAAAGATAATACAAACTGAATAACAGGTCTCCAACAGACAAACTAAAGCGCAGGGTCCCAAATACGTATATATAGAAGTAGATGCTCTCAAATGCATAAGACGTTGAAGTAGATGATATTAAATGATGACTTGGGTACAGTAATAGTGGCAAAATGTATTCTACTATCCATAACCAATACATAGTACATTTCCAACTAATCACTATAGAATGCAAATACCTTTTTTTTTTCTTTTTTGCAGCCAACCCTAAACGTTTAGGGGGCTGTAAAGTTTCGCCACCTAAAGCTTTTCAAAAATCTTTTGTCTGCTCCTTTGCACGACCAACGAATCCGTTTTCGTTTTCGATTTTTTTTTTTCAAGCTGTGGAAGTCAATATGAGGTTTCGACAAACACCATAGTTTGAACTTTTATCAATTGAAAGAAGGGCCTTGTTGAAAGGAGCAAGCTGGTATTTATAATAGAACTGATTTGAATTATGGCTGATAAGTTCCCCGAGTTAGATTCATCTGTCAAGAACGGTGGCGGCGATTTCGGCGAAAACTCGGATTTCTTATCCCGTGAGAAGGAATTATTGGGTGATGAATTTGCTACTGACCAGGATAAGAAAGTGTTAGAGGACGAAAGCGACGAAGAGATTAGCGAATTCAAGGAACAATTCCCTGAAGTTGAAGGGAGCGGCGAGCCCCAGAAGCCAACTTATGACCACCAGGACGAGGGTAATAGCGATAATGATGACTTTGAAGGATTCTCTTCTGCAACTACAAAAGATTATGATTTGTCCCAATCGCAACCAATTAAGGAATGGAAGGAACGTAGAGACTTGGAAATCAATGAGCGTGAAAAGGTGAATAAGCAGAAAAAACAAGATATCTTAACTAAAGCTCAACAAACAATTGATGATTTTTACGAAAACTATAATCTGAAAAAGGATCAACAATTCAAAACTGTTGCTAAAGATCAAGAGGAGTTTTTGACTAAAAGAGATGGGTTCTTGAAAAACGGTACTTTATGGGATAGAGTTAACGAGTTGATTGATAATGTTGGAGAGTTATCCAAGAATGACGTTGATGAAGCAACAAGTCTGAGGGACAAGACTAAGTTTAAAGAAATTTTGAAGAAATTAAAGGGCAAGACCAATGTTCCTGGTGCCGGAGGGTATCAAGAATAATGGGGGGAAAGGAGGATGAAAAAAAAAAGAAAAAAAGGGAAGGAAAGCAAACCCGTGTGGATGAATTCTATTGCGATGAAGGGGAAACGAAATTAGATATACATAAGTAATAAATAAAAAGTGTTTTATTTCTGCTTGACTTTGTTTACATTACAAATTGTGCCATTTTAATCATATTATCATTTGATATTCGGTCTGTTTCAACTGCTCTTTTTCCATTGATGAAATCATTCAAATTCATGAATTTGAAAAAACCAAAACACATCAATATTGTTTCAATTCTATTGTATGTTGACATCTTGACTTTTTGGAAAAGCGGAAGGTTTTCTTTAGTTATTCTCCATTTAGAAAGTAATATCACTCTGAATAAATACAAATTTAAACTATTCAAAAATTCCTTGGATAGTGATCTTACCGGGTTGATGGAGTTTTGGTTAAAATCTGTATAATCATCATCATCATCACCACCACCACCACCACTAGTTGAGTCAATATTATCATAGCCTATATCTGGGATTAAGATCAACGCGTTCAAACAAATAGTTACAAACCCAGCAGTAAACCCAATCAACTTGGTATAAGTTTTGAAAAACGTCTTTGAGTTCTTCAAATAGTAACTTTGTAAAGTATTAAGTGACATTTGTCCACTTAATGGGTTCAATAACTTGAATATTGGAGCCGTTAATATGATTAGCAAGATTGATAGCAAATTAGGACAATAAATAAAGTTTAAAATTGAATTTGATCTGTGTAAGCAGTATATTAGATAATTTCTCAAAATTGAAGACTGTGAGTCTGCCGATCTTTTGCCATGTTTTATTTCGTAGAGCTTATCTAGTAGCATCTCTTTAAAATTGTACCCTGCAATAACCACTCCCAAAACGAAATTTTGCAAAAGGTATGTTACTAGTAGGTTGAACCAGTCGATTCTATAATATTTTCTACCCAACGTAAAGTTGATCCATATAGGGTTTAAAAAATTTTTCTTGATGAATGACGACAAGTACCGCTGGTTAAGTTTATATTTAGTAGGTGTTAGATAATTACTCAATATTTGAGCATATAACAAGGGGAAAATGACAAACTCTTTATTCTCGTAAATAGATCTCAATTGTTTATAGTATCTGCACTTTTTATAAGTAGATAGCTTGACATATTTTGATACTTTTGGCTCAACCAAGATTTGGCTCTTTGAAGGCGGGTTCAATTGGCCATAGTAGTTGCTAAAAAAATCGACAATAAAATAATCCTTGGGCACTGAATAATTATCCAAAGTTGCCTTGTATAGAAAAGTGCAAGTTACAAAATTTGAAAACTTCTTTAATAGCAATTGGAATTCATTCCTGTTTTGTTGTTTCACTCGTAATAGCTTCATTAACTGGGTTTTGTAGTGGTAAAGAATCTGCCGTATTGGTTTGTTGAGTGATAAGAAATTTGCCCATTGTATTGGGTTTTTGACTCTAAACACCATAAATAGTAGAGCCCATTTAATCCAGCTTTGCAGTGATGGGTGGACAAGCACCTTGTGACAGAATGGCCTTAGCTTCTTGCCAACAGATAACCCATCATCATTGTTCTCATCAGCATCGGCATCATTTTCCTCATCAGCATCAGCATCATTTTCCTCAACCTGTTCCTCTTGATACTTGTCGTGAAGGACCTCAATGCTATGGTCAATATAGTCATAGATACTGCTCGACATCAGCTTATTTATAGGCATTACCTCAAGCGACCCAATAACCTCAACAACCCGAAACCAATTGAATTACTACTAGATTCACCAATTGAATTACCCAGTTGAAGTTTTTTGTATTGATTTTTTTTTCGGGTCTTATATTCCGCTTCCGATGATTCGGTTAGAAATAGCCGAGACAAAAAAATTATTTCAACTCTTTAGGGGGTAGTGATCATGCTGTTAGGGGGTATAACCAAAAGAGAGATGTGGTCCATCGTTTTAGTCAACTCATAAAAAAAATACAAAGGTCAGACTTTTAGATTGAAGTCTGTGGATCAAGAAATAAACGGTGCATCTTTCTATTCCCGTCTTGGTTTTCCCCTAAAAAATGTGCCTTGACTATAGAAATGCACCTTTTGAAAAGCACTTGATGGAACTTAAAAAAGAAAAGAAAAAAAGAAAAAACGTTATACAGCAATGTATCTCTCAAAAGTAAATCCTTCTAGTTAAACCCAACTGTTTTCTATCGGTACTCACAATTTTCTTCTACTAGCCTTGTTTTTTTTTAAAAAAAACAGAGGAAACTAGAACGGGAGCCCCCTTACTTAAAGTGGACAAAGAAGGAGATATTTTATTTAGGAAAAAAAGATTTGATAGATTAAAATTCGTTATCAAAGGCATTTAACGAGATAAAAGTTTCATTGACAGGTTAGATTTTGAAGCTTTTGAGTATAAGAAGAGAGACGGTATTAGTTGAGGTTGTTTGTTTGTTGTTGTTTTTTTGGTTTGAGCAAACTGTTTTCTAGATTTGATGACACGAGAGGTGAATGGAAACTGTGAAAGGGACTATACAGGAAAGACCACCAGTGAGTCGCGTCGACAGATGTTGAACCAAACACCGTCACCAGCAAAACATAATAGGAGCCGGAGCCGGAGCCGGACTAACTCTGATGCCCAGCGACTACCTCTTCAATTTAAAGTACGAAGAGCTTCCGAGACATCAACATCAACAACAGGAGATGAGAGCAAATTAGACAATGAGACTTCAAATTCAGCAAGTAGTACTCCATTTGCCGTATCTTCGAAATCAAAAGGGTTGAACATCTTTGCAGTTTCACCGCTTACGACGAAAAGTACAAACTGTGGAAACTCATCCTCAAATGGGAGGTCTTGCAATGTACCTGCTTCGTCTGGTAGACAGCAACTGCGGAAGATTTCCTCGGATTTGTCGGGAGTGCTGCCCATGCCTCTGCTATCTGAAGTAACTGGAGGAAGTGAATATGGTGATGACAAATTGCCCATATTAAAGCACGAAATCCTGCTTCCACTGAAGAAGGACCTATTGAAGATGTCTATTGATGAACAATTGAGAGTTTTAGCTTTGAAGGAAATGTGTGTTGTGGAAATCAAAGATCAAATACAAAACTTGAATAGCAAGCTAGCTAACCACGAAGCAGAGTTGCACAGTTTGAGGGAGATTATCCAGAGATCACTATATCAAGATTTAAGAGGCGTTGCAAGTAATACAGCTGCTACCCTAGGAAGACAAAGAACTAATAGTAACCCACGCGACCAAGCAATTGAGAGTCTAAGAACAAAGAGAAGATCCATCTCTAACGGAGGAATTGACATTGAACTGCGACTGCAATTGCAACTGCAACTGCAACTGCAAGACCACACTCTGGAGAATAGTAAATCTAAAATTTGGAGCGGATTGACTAAACCATTCAACTTGCTACAACAATTTGATACTCTTTTACAAAATGAATTTGAAAAATCCTTGATAATGACAGATAAAAAGTCAGTGCCGTCCAACAGCAATCAAACTAGAACTTCCGAAGATTCAGCAAACAGTGAAGGGTCAATCTTATCACCATTGAGAAGCAAAACGCCCAATACTTTAAGAGGTGCATACAAGGATAGAAAGTCAGAAGACATGTTACAGACTGTTTCTTCATCAATTTGGTCCTTTGTCAACGATGTAAAGACTAATGTTTTATCTTCTTTGAGTGAAGAGGAACTGGGTGTTAATTCAATAATTGATCAATCTGATTCGTTGTATACGTTGGAAAATGGCTCTGTTGTTAGCTTGAGGAAGCCTATAAAAAAGGGAAAGGATAAAAAAGCAATGAACAATTATGAAAATGAAGAAGAGTTATTGATCGATATGGGCGATGAATACAGTTCTAGTGACGAAAAAGTTGATCTTTCATTGTATAGAAAACAGTATTGACAATGACTACACTATCGAGCAGAGCGAGGTAGTGGAGCACACTGACTAGCAGTCATCGACAATGACTACACTATCGAGCAGAGCGAGGTAGTGGAGCACACTGACTAGCAGTCATCGACAATGACTACACTATCGAGCAGAGCGAGGTAGTGGAGCACACTGACTAGCAGTCATCGACAATGACTACACTATCGAGCAGAGCGAGGTAGTGGAGCACACTGACTAGCAGTCATCGACAATGACTACACTATCGAGCAGAGCGAGGTAGTGGAGCACACTGACTAGCAGTCATCGACAATGACAGTATTGACAGCCTTGACAGTATTGACAGTCTTGACAGTATCTCCTTATAATGCTTCTAATCCTTTTATGATATCTGATTGCTGTGCGTTGACAGCTTTATCTGCATCACCATCAACAGTTCGTAAATCTTTCAACATTATATCTTTTAGTTTATCAAAATATACTTCTTGTAACACGTTTCTGATATTGTACTCGGCCTTTTCAACCATAGTACCAATATTGATTAAATGGTTTGTTTCCAAATTGACTCCGTTATTTAAATCTAAAAGTTGTGATTGCTCCAATTGTCTGGTCAAGTTCCCACTCAAACTAAGTGAATTGGTTTCTTTATTTTGCAAATCCAAAATGACCGAGGTAGTCAATTTGTATAGCACCTTGTTTTTGCCTTCCGGCAAAACTTCAAGAACATGGATTGAATCCCATTTACCTGTTTTATCGTTGGTTTCTTTTTTAAACAAAATGACGCCTGCAAACCCCTTTTCTAAAGTTGACTCACTGCCTTCTCCTTCATCGTCATCGTCAGATGTGTCCCAAAAGTAAACACTGGAAACTCCTGCTCCTTCATAGTACAAGTCTCTATAGATATCAAACGCGTCATTTGCCTTAAACTCCAATTGTCTCAAAAGTTCACTAGGATAGGGTGGTGACACCTCCTCGTCATCATCATCTTCAGGTGGAGGGTAATACTGATTGGACCAGGGCGATCTATAACTATCACCATCTCGATTATAATCGCAACACAAGTACTCTTTACCTGACTCTTTACACTTGGAAACCTTCAAGGGAACGTCAATCGATGATAATAGCTCTTCCACAATTTCCGTATCCTCGTTATTTGAGCTGAGTAGTGAACATATACTCGTGAGATTCTGCTCAATTGATCGAGGATCTAATCTTCTAAGAAGTTCTAAAGATGCATCAAATTTATCGTCTGACATGAAAAGAAGAACAGCTGTTTATCTAGAGGGGAGGGGGGGGTCTATACCTACCTATAGTGAATATATAACTTTATATCGGGTGGTTTGTTGAAAATGATTTACATAGTCTCCTGCGTGCTACCATATGTAAAGACACGACATTGAAACGACAATCAGACGACATTGAAACGACATTGAAAAAAAATTCACAAATCCGAATTCAATATATGAACAAGCTTGCTAATCTATAAATGTTCTTTACGCATGGCAGAACCACAAGTAAAGGGTACTATTTTGAAGAGGTCAACAAAAAACGAGTTGATAATATACAGAATTGACTGAATAGCTAAAAACAAAACACGAAGAAAAAAAATTATGCAAACAAATCGTTAAAGAAGCAAACTGCTACAATATATATACTTAAGGAAGGGTCATGGAGGGTAGTCATCGCTTTTATCCCATTGTATAGGTCATTCCCTTTGATGGTGCATACAAAATGATACCATTTATTATACCAGCAATTAAGCCAGCACATGGTAATGTGAAGATCCAACCCAAATAACACCAAGCAACCATTCTCCAGTTGACTGATTTCCATTCTCTATTACATAAACCAACAAACACAGTGGCACCCACAGCTGATTGAGTAGTCGAAACTGGAATTGCCAATTGTGTAGCCATAACTGTTGTGATAGCGGCTCCCAATTCTATTGAGAATCCTCTTGCTGGTGATTGCAAAATCAACTTATTACCCAAATTGGCCATGATTCTGTATCCAAATGTCCATAAACCAATAACCAATGCACCACCAGCATAACAAAGAACCCAAACGGGAACGTCGGCTTTTAAAGCAGTAGTATTCGTTGTCCATACCAAGTAAACTGTAGCTAATGGACCTGTTGCGTTAGCGATATCGTTAGCACCATGTGCAAACGACATGGTACAAGCAGTAATGGCCTGTAACAATGAGTACATGTATTCAACCTTGTTATCGTAATATTTCGAAGATGTGTGCATCTTGTGTAAGTCACCTGCTAACATATCTTTTGAAGAAGCTTGACTTGAAATAATATCTTGTCTAACACCATGGGTTAGTACTAAACCAACAACAAGGGGCCAATTTTTTGGTGATTCTTTTGCCAATTGCCAATAAGCAGAGAATTTGTTTGGATATTTTTGCTTGTCAGTGTATGACTCGATTTTAGAAAATGATTTTGCAATAAAGGACTGAGTCTTTTCAAGATCATTTTGACTGATACCATCTTCAAATTCCGCTGATCTTTTTTCAATTGAGTCTTCTCCAACAGCAACAACATCAATAGCACCAGTATTGTTGATGGTAGAAATAGCATCCGTGTGATCGTTAACCAAGTTACCACCTTCGTCGTACCTTCTGCCTTTATAATAATCCAAAGTCAAGTGGTGTCCTTCAGGCATTGGTGGGATATTGTCAACTGATTTAAACCAGAAGATTGGTCCAACGAAAACGTGGTACCATTTTAAAGTCCAATCCTCATGAATCAATTTTCTTCTGTAGTATGGATACAAGAATAAAACATAAAGACCACAAGCAACAGCACCGGTACCAAAGATAGCCCCTAAGGTAGTACCAGTAGACAACTTATCCAAGTTCAATTTTGGAGAGCCTTTCCAAACAACCAACATTGTCAAGATTGAAAATGCTGCAAACACTAAACATGGAACTAATAACATGGCATTTCTCAAAGAAGTTCTTGGATTTTTAATTTCCAAAACTGCAAATTTTGAAATCAAAAAGATAACTGAAGCGAAAATACCAGCAATACAAGGAGCAATGAACCATGATGCTACAATTTGAGCAACACCGCTCCAGCCCCAAACAATATTGCTAGCGCCTTTAGCAGCAATTGAAGCACCAATAACAGCACCAACAATTGAGTGTGTAGTCGAAACAGGCATACCCACTGAAGTAGCAAGAGTCAACCAAGTTGAAGAGCCGATCAAAGCCGTTGCCATAGTTAACATCAAAACAGCAGGCTCAGCATTAAATACCTCAACATCAACGATTTTGCTTCTAATAGTATCGGAAACACGAGACCCAACCAAGACAGCACCCAAAAACTCCATTATTGCAGCTAGTACCATGGCTTGCCAATATTTCAATGACCTTGATGATACCGATGAGGAGAAAGAGTTGGCAACATCGTTAGCACCGATATTCCAAGCATCTAAAAATGCAAATATCATCGCTATTGCGAAGATATAATCAAACTGGTGTAAAACCATTTTTGAGATGTGATGTGATGAGATGTGATGAGATGCGAGATCTAGTAGTGAGATCTAGTAGTGAGACCTCGATAAAATGGACTTACAAGCTATTAAAGGAAGAAACGAAAGGTAAGTAGAGAAACTGAACAATTGCAAAAAAAAAGTTAAAAAAGATGGGAGGACATATTGGCTATAAATAACGATTTGGCTTTCCAGCTAAATATTGCACTGGCATTTTTTGGTAGCACTATTATATTTTATTATATTTTTCTTTTCTATTGCTAAATTTTGGCATACCTAGGGGTACTGAGTATTGGTCAACCTACGAAGAAGAAAGTTGTATCATTGTGAAAAAAAATTACCCCTACAAGCGATTATTACATAAAATAGCGTTTTAATAGAATGGTTTTTTTTTTTTTTTGCAGTAATTAGTAGTCGTGTAACGGTTACATTTTCAATCTACGTATAATCTTATATCGTTTTAGTGTTGTATGAATATTTTTCTTGACTGTCAAGCAAAGCTTTTTTTCTTTAAACTTTGCTGGCCACGGGGGGGGGAGGGGGGGTGAAGAGGAATGATGGGCCACGAGGGTACTCAAGAGGGGAAGAAGAAGAGGGATACGGGTCCCAGAGGAAGCCATCTGGAATTCTCTTTAGATTATCTTTTGTAGGAAAGAGGAAGTTTGTGCAAGAAATAATAAATTTACTTTTCTCTCTAAGTCTATCTTCATTTTGTTCACCACCACCACCCCACCACTTTTAGTTGCAAAAAGGGTCGACTGGTTCGCATATGGTAGCGCTTTCCGATAAGAAGGCAGTATAGAGGGTTAGGTCATAAAAAATTTGTTCATTAGATAGACATTCAGTGCCAAGAGGAGGATCAGTTGCAGCATGTGGTTAATGGATTAGACTAAGCAGAAGCAGGTGCAGTGGCGGCAGTGCAAGGTGCAGTAACTACGACAGTGTTCAATTAAAAAAAAAAAAAAAAAAAAAAAAAAAAAAAAAAAAAAAAAAAAAAAAAAATAAAAAAAAAAAAAAAAAAAAAAAAAAAAAAAAAAAAACTGACACTAACACCAAATCTTCAAGATAGAAAAATCCAAGAAAAAACAGAAAAAAATAACAGAACTACGATCTTCCTTGCTGGTGGAATAGGGCCACGTTTTCACAACATGGTTCTTCTTAATTAAAAAGGATGTATATGTCAACTTAATTGCAAATTAACAATATATACGACATCATAAAAACAAGGCACTTAATGAAGCTAGTGTTTTGGTTAAACTATATGGAGCGATACTGGCTCTTTCTGCTCGTATGAGCTATTGCCCAATAAAGCTATTGTAAACGGGAGCTACTAACAAAAAAAAAAAAAAAAGTAAGTGATACAGATTACTTAATTATCTAAAAGATGAAATTGTTAATAGAGGGGGGCTTTTTTTTATTTATTGATATATTGTTGGGAGTTTGATTTAGTAATGGCTACATAGAGCGAGATCGCCTTAAGACAACACCCACCTGCTTGTAAATATTCAATCTAAAAACAAATTAGACAAAACAAAAATATCAGAGCTTGCTTAAACATAGGAGTTTATCGTCAGAAGTGTAAATGAAGGTCCCACGTGGGTGCAAAAAAACAAAAAAAACAAAAATAAACGTATTTTAATTAACATTTTAATTTTTGCAACTAATTTTCTTAGCATTGCTTCTTTTGTTAACACAAAGTCAATTTTAAGGAAGTACAATATGGAATGAAAGTTGTAATCAAGATCCATTAATGATAATGAGAGTAACCTACGATCTACGGTAAGGAATAGAGTCTTAGGTACCATGGCGGAATAGCTAATTCTGTAAGTTTGAATAACAAAGGTTTTGCTAGTATGATTAACAAAAGTTTTGCTAGTACTGAAGATAGTCACCAATGCCTTTCCAATTTTTTTTTTTTTGTTCCTTTGTTCCGCATTTCTGTAGCCGTTTCTCCTTTGAGGTTAATTATTTCTGCTAGAAAAATGTCATGTTTCAAATTGAGTATGCAAAAACTATACCAATATTATTTGGTTTAGTAACATTGATATAGCTATTATTGATGGAAATCATCTCACACTCTCTTTTCATACCCGAAATTGATTTTCCTTATAGAATAGCCTAATTGAAGTTTTTAAGAGCAGCATTAAATTTAAAGAGATAACATGGTTTATGCGAGCGAAATTCATTTACTATTTCCGCCTAACAATTTGTTCTATAAATCAATTTTTCATAAAAATTTTAGTAACAAGATATCATGCTATAAACAAATTTTAGATAAGGTTTTTGATATTTCATTAGTGGAGGGGTATGTGTAACTAATCGATAATCAACTACATTTTCTGCCTCAGCTAAATACAACCATTTAGCGAGGAAATCTAAAAATATTGTGGGGAACAAAACTTTTATGGTTCAACATGTTAATAAAGGAAATCTAAAGTTAAGTGAAAAAAAAAAAACTTCCACTGTCATAAAAACTTTTGAAGTTTAGTAAAATAGCCGCCTAATGTGTTTTGTGAGAGGGTTTGTTTTTTTATTTGGTCTACCTATAAACAGCTATTAATGTCCATCTAAAATTTTGTAAAACGGATTTAAATTATTTGTGTTATAACTTATCTACAATAACAACATTTGTCTAGTATGGTGTAGTTTTAATCACCTTTTTTGTTTGAGTTACAAATCAACAGAAAAAAGCAAGTGTTATTAGGGTTTAATTTCCTTTCAAAGCTCACAAAAAAAATGGCTCATCTTCATTATAGCCATTTTTAATAAATTTGAGATAAACTTTTTCGTTACATAAACAATAGACTTTTCAACTTTTTTTTTCATTTTATTTCAAGTTTCCCTTATATGGCTCCTGTTTCTTGATTTTGATTTCAACTTATCACTCTTATGGATACGGCATATATTTACCTCTTTCACTTGATTGTAGATGTTTTTTTTTTTGTTTTTTTTAGTACATACAGAGCAAAATAACACGTGTAGTAGTACACGATCTCTTCTCTTCTCTTTGTTTTTACTTCACCTCGTAAATTTACGAATTAGATCTTAAATGTTACTCATAATGTAATGGTTATATGCCCTGTTTCTTTTGGGTATGATATACGAGCCGAGGTTTTTTTTTCTCTAGGCACTATTGCGATTCTTTTTATGTTTGTACGTTTATCACAAGAGAGAAAAGACTAGTGTTTAGGTAAAGGATCCATGGAATTACTTTTAATAGCTCTACCGATCCTCCCTCTCCTCGCAAATGCTTTCTTTTAGACTCTTTTTTTTTTTTTTTTTTTTACTTGTATTTCTTTTTTCAGAGAAGTCAGATGTTATTACCCTCCAATTGATTTGTTTATTTGTTGAAGTCAAATTTAGCTGGACCCTTTTGATTGCGCTTTTTACAACCAAAAGGTGTAAATTCACGCTAACTATATCCCTATTTCTACCCATGTTTTAATTGGCTTCGTTTAAGTGTAATCTAATCGTTTATTCCTTGAGAGGGATACATAAATATTTTAGATTTACTTTTAACATAGTGTCACTGCGTCACTATCGAGCAGATCGAGTGTAGGGTAGATAAGAGTAGAGGAGAGGAGAGTAGTATAGATAAAAGGAGAGGAGAGGAGTGGAGTGGAGTGGAGTGGAGTGGATAGGAGAGGAGTGTAGGGTAGATAGGAGTAGATGAGAGGAGAGTAGTATAGATAAGAGGAGTGGAGTATAGATAAGAGGAGTGGAGAGGAGAGGAGAGGAGTGTAGTGTAGTGTTGAGGAGTGTAAAGGAGAGGTGTAGTGTAGTGTTGAGTAGTGGATAGTGTATAGAGTAGAGTATAAAGTAGATTATAGAGTGTAGAGTAAAGTAGTGTCGATTTCTTGAACAATACTTTTACAACTGAGGATAAGATAAAACTTTTGCATGCACTACAGCAGCTAGTGTGTTCCACTATCTTGCTCTGCTCGATAGTGTCGATAGTGTCGATAGTGTCGGTGGCAGCTAGTGCGCTCCACTATCTCTCTCTGCTCATTAGTTCATCTTTGAAAACTTTTTGTCTTGTTCAAAAATGGAAACAAAGCCGCACACGGTCATTTTTGTCAACTTTGGCGTTTTACACTAGTGAGATGTAATTTCGACAAGTGAGTAAAAGTGGGTCAGAAGTCATATTCACCAATAGTTATGAGGAAAAATTCTACTCCTCAGCGTCTACATCTCAAACTGAAAAATATATTGTTATCGTCATGGAGCTTAAACAGTGAAAGAGTTTGCTTTTTGGAAAAAACTCTTTTGCTCTCTCTTTAGAGCTCTTATTTCTCACGCTTTTGAGCCTATTGAAAGCTCTCGTTTCTCACGCTTTTGAGCCTATTGAAAGCTCTCGTTTCTCACGCTTTTGAGCCTATTGAAATCGAATCCAATACACTTAACATCCTTGATTTACAAGAGAAGCTATACTTGAATTATTAAACAAGGAATATTAGCTTCCAAGATGATCAATTATTATCATTCTTTTATTATTGGATATCCAACGCTACCATATGGCAAGTAGAAGGTTCAGAAAAGTGAACATCAACAACTAAGATTACTGGCATTACTAAATATAATACTTTCTTAGTTGAAAAAAAAATATTGAAGTAGACTAGAATATACATATAGACCCCTCCCCTCCCCAGATGATGAGCTTAGAGTAAAGGTAGCTTTGGTAATGATTTCACGATCTACAAGAAGATTAGCAACTGCATACAAGCTAAGACCAACTAATACTACATCTAAACGAGAAGCTAAGAGATATGCATTTTATGATCTTGTTTTAAGGACGCCGTCTCATCCAACCCACCCTATAGAGGCAAGTCTCATGACAACTGATCAACTACAGGATTTAAAGCGGCATACAAAAACCAGATACGAAGGGAACTACACCATTGATCGATCTCTCACAAATGAAGAAAGAATTCGAAAAGTATTTGGCGGAAGAATTAAAGGCGAGGCTCGACAATCAACAAGCCGTATTAATAGGAGAGAACCTCAAGTGGTTGCTGGTATAACTGTTCCCGCAAGACCACCGGAACCCGATAACTGTTGCATGAGCGGATGCATTAATTGTGTTTGGGAAATATTTGATGAAGATTTGAAAGAATGGAATGATAAAAGAGGAGAGGCAGCAAAAAGATTAAACGAAATGGGCGACAAAGGCGGGAGATGGCCTGAGAATTTTGATGCTCCTTTGAAATTGTTGCAAAGAAGCCATTTTCCTGAATCACTCAAGGACAAATCCAATGAAGAATTGTTTGGTGGGAAAACCCAAGAAGGAAATGCGAAAAGCGACGAGGATGAACAATGGGGGTCTGTTCCCGTGTCCATTAGAGTCTTTGCTGCAGTTGAGAAGAAGTTGAAAATGAAACATAAACAAAATCAACAAACACAAGCATGAAATCATTCACCTATTTATTTACTAACTTTTTAGATCAATAATGTTACTATAGATTCCCCCTCCTCTTGATATAGACAGTTTGTTCGTTTTTTTTTTATTTCATTGCTTTTTTCTTTTTTTTAATTCAGTCCCGAACCAAACCAATTGAGTCGTAGTACGCGTTGATTTCCTCAATTTGTGCTTTTAACTCTTCGTATTTATCTTCTTTGTCTTTAAACGTTACTATCCCCCAACCCAATGTAGAAAGGGCATATGAACCAAATGTAACTAATAACCACCATGGAAGGTATGGTAATATCTCATCGTGGAATTTATCCGTAGATGGAATGACCCTGGTATATAAGGCAAAATATACTGCCGATAATGCGAAAAACTTCAATCCCGTGTCTGTTGCTCTTGTCATGATGAAATCTCTTGTTGCGTGACTGGAGGTTATTCTTTCTTATAGTCTGACTTGACCTATTCTTTTTTTACAGTCTGTTCTTTTGATATATTTTTTTTTGGTGTTGTTTCGCGGCTGGTACTTTGAGAGGAAGGTACTAAAAGTAAAAACAGAACCCGTAGTATACGCAGACATATATTGTGTATTAATCGGAATCATTTATATCATCTTGTTTGATAAAGGAAACTAGATGACTAATATTTTCCGAAGCATCTTTATTAATATTCTTTAATCTCGATAACACATCTTCTTCATCGATATCCATTGCCTCGGCATCATCCTCATCTAACTCCTCTCTTTCGTTCACTTCTTCTTCTTCTTCCTCTAATATTGACGCCTCTCCTACCAACTCATTCGCGTCCTCCTCCACCTCGTCATCCTCGTCATCCTCTTCTTCTTCTTCCTCTTCTTCCTCTTCTTCTTCCTCCTCCTCCTCCTCCTCCTCTTCTTCTTCTTCTTCTTCTTCTTCTTTGTCTTCTTCCCCATCTTCCTCACCTGGTTCTTTTTTAATTTCCTCACTATAAAATGGTTCTTCTTTAACCACATTTGCGTTCGACATTTTATAAATCTTATTTTGATCTATTGGCTCTTCATTGATCAATTGCTTTAATTTGTACCTGACTATTTTTCTTATTATATCCATTGTTCTTGCATTCAACCAACCATCCAGTGCATCGCATGTTTGTCTTAAAAAATCTTTACCCATATTTTTCATATGATTTTCAATTATCGAGGTGATATCTAAATCCAAAATATCACCCACTTGATATGTCACAGCAGTGGGTAGGTTGATACCATCAAACAAAAGATTCTGTGAAACTTGGATTTTCTTTATGGATTTATCCAATGTAGCAGGAACAACTTTATTAACATTGCTATTATTGATACTCGACGAATCTTTGACACCAGCAACTCGAAAATACTCACACTGATGCACCCAGTATTTCGAATCGCTTCTTGGATCGATTCCAAATTTAATATTACAAAATCTCCAAGGTCCACTTCTATAAACATAAGTAACGTATGGTAATGCCAAACGTAAGAATTTTTTCAACTCTAGTGGAACAACATCATATAATTGTTTTCGTATCCAAATTGGTTTTATTTCGTACATTTCTTCACACCATTCTATACATTTAATCAACTTTGAATTTGCATCATTTGGTGCTAACTTTGACTTGGAAATGATTTCTCGGTTTTTGACTAGATCTTCAGCGGGATGTGTTGGTGGTGTTGCCAAATGATCAATTATTTTCGTATGTAGTTTTACCGAGTTTTTCGTTGAAACTACCTTTACTTGTCCTTGTTTGTTTTTAACAAGTTGGGATATTCGATTTTTTTGATACTTGTAATCAAAGGGGAACCTAATTGGTGATAGAATAGGTGGTGGTGGTAAGTGATGGTCATTATTCAGAAAATATTCATCATCTATATCGAGGTATCCTTGAAAATTGTGATGGTTGTTGACATAATTTTGTACAGATGCAAAATTACTGCAATCACACATATTCTTTTTGAACTCTTGAACAAATGGGTTATTCTTGGTAATTACTTGAAAATCGCCCATCGCTCGAAACCTAAAAGTCTTGTCAATTATAGCAATCGGCTGAATCCGCGTTTTGGATGTTGAAGGGTCATCATCGTTTATTTTGATTAGTTCACGCAACGGTTGTGTACGATTCTCCTTGGAAATAATCTTTTTTGGTATTGAAACTTTCAAAAGTATTCGCTCATTGGTAGTAATCAGTGCCTGAACAGGGTGATGAAACGGATCTTTACGTAGTCTCAACTCCAATGGTTCGCCTTGGTTAATTGATTCAGAGATTTTCTTTTTACCTCCAATCGATTCAATGGCCTTATCGATGTTTTTAACGCATAGGGGAAACTCGACTGCTGTAACGTGTGGTATATCCATTGGATACAGCACAGCTTGTTTTGGCCCCATTATCAACCTGTTATCTGCAATCGGAACCCGTGTTCTACTGGCAATTGCTCCACTAAGTGGTATTTGAAGCAATATGTTGGTATCTTTAACGATGGGGTTTGTTTGTTTTTTTTTTATTTATTTTTCTTTCTGGAAAGCTTCTCGATTTGGATTTCAGTGCGGCTCATACTTGGAAAACATTCTGGTGGTTTTACAATGCGCTAGTGAGGAAGGTGGGAAGTTAACTAGGGATTATACTAGTGAGGGTAATGGGAAGTTAAGTAGGGCTTATACTTGGTTAAGGAGTATCTACACAATATACCTGAAAGAGAATTGCACGCGGTATAGTCCTTAGTATGGTTTTCATGTTGAAAAGCTCCTTCTTTTTATCATATCAGTTGGCTAAGAGGGTATACCAAGGTATTACATGCATCAAGCGCCCCTCAATAATATTGAGATATTTGATCTCTCTCTGTAACTAGTTTGAAAGACTCTAGAATACTAAATAGTTGTATCTACAACAATTATAAGATCTCCTTTTTCTTTTTTTTTCAAGGGGAAACAAAATCCTCGGTTAAAAACGGCAAGTCACGGCACACACACAAGCACACACACCAGTGAAAAATCATTTGTATACAAACAACTATGCTACCCTTTATACTCAAAGCTTCTCAATGGACAACAGTACAAGGACCTGCCCTTTATATATATAAGAGAAAACAAGTTATGGTAAGCTAGTCATGTTCAATGGACACAATGACATATCTGAATGTAGTATTTTTCTAATTAAATATGGTCCCAGACAAAACTACCAAATTAGAGTTAATAAGCTTTGGTGTTTGCTTGGTTCCACTCGCTTTATAGAAAAACCTGGAGAAGAAATTGTAAGGAGGAAAAAAAAAAAATACTTACATCTAAATATATATAATATCAAAAATACCCCAAGTCGTTGGGTAGAGAAGGGTACAACCTATGTGCGGTACCATCGGTATAAATTATAGCTGTATCATCGGCATAAATTATAGCTGTATCATCGGCATAAATTATAACCCAAAAAAAGGTTATGCACTTTAATTACTTCCTTTTCTCACTATATCACCATAGTCACGTGTTGCAGAGGTTGTGGTAGCAAATATTTCAACTTTCTTCTCTACCGTCACCCTTTTTCTTCCACTAATCCGTGGAAAAAAAAAAAAAGTAACCAATAAGATTCCAGTAACAACTCTATGATTGATTTTTTTCTTTTGAAACGAAACCTTTTTTTTCTCATCAATTTTCAAACTTGAAAGTTATACTTCTTTTTCTTCAATTTCCACAATTGAGTCTCAGTTTACAGTCATGTTATCCAGAATTGCAACCAGATCTTTCTCATCATCAGCTTCAAACGCTTACAAAGTTGCTGTTTTAGGTGCAGGTGGTGGTATTGGACAGCCATTATCATTATTGTTGAAATTGAACCACAAGGTTACCGATTTGGCCTTGTACGATATTAAAGGTGCCCCAGGTGTTGCAGCAGATGTTTCGCACGTGCCAACCAACTCCACTGTTAAGGGCTACAATCCCGATCAATTGAAGGAAGCTTTGACTGGTGCTGATGTTATTGTTATTCCCGCTGGTGTTCCAAGAAAACCAGGTATGACAAGAGACGATTTGTTCAACACTAACGCATCAATTGTTAGAGACTTGGCTAAAGCTGCTGCAGAATATGCACCAAAAGCTGCAATTGCTGTTATTGCTAATCCAGTTAACTCAACAGTGCCAATTGTTGCAGAAGTTTTCAGATCAAAAGGAGTTTACAATCCAAAGAAATTGTTTGGTGTCACTACTTTAGATGTCTTGAGAGCAGCTAGATTCGTTTCTGAGGTTGCTGGCACTAATCCAACTCAAGAACATGTTCCCGTTGTTGGAGGTCACTCTGGTATTACCATTGTTCCATTGTTATCACAAACTACTCACAAAGACTTACCAAAAGACACCAAAGACTCATTGACCCACAGAATCCAATTTGGAGGTGATGAAGTTGTTAAGGCTAAGGATGGTGCTGGATCAGCCACTTTATCAATGGCACAAGCAGGTGCCAGATTCACCGGTGCGGTATTAAACGGTTTAGATGGTGAAAAAGATATCATTGAATGTACATTTGTCGACTCACCATTGTTCAAAGATGAAGGTGTTGAATTCTTCAGTTCAAAAGTTACCTTGGGACCAGAAGGTGTTAAACAAGTTCATGGATTAGGTGAATTGAGTGACTATGAAGAAGATTTGGTTAAAACTGCAAAGGAAACTTTGATTAAGAACATCAAAAAGGGTACTGACTTTGTTGATCAAAATCCATAAATTCGTTAAAAAGAGTCTCTTTTTGCCCCAAGATTGTTAGTTAGCTTTTTTTTTTCATATATTCTTAGCTTAAATAATCGAAAGAAAATAAAGAAAAAACGAAAACGAAAACGAAAAAAAATCAATTAGTAAGGTAAAATTTTTGAATTTCTGATTCTCTAAAGCAAAATGCTATAAAGGTGAGAGGTGTATGTGCTTTTTTGTTATTTTATAGTTATTGATATCAATGTTTGCAGTTACATCTCTCCACATAGGAGCTAAAAACTGGTGCAAAATCAAATCAGAAAACATATTGACTAAGTAAAGCTGATAAATATATCTTTTTTAATCAAATCTTTACCAAAAAAAAAGAGAAAAAGAGAAAAAGAGAAAAAGAGAAAAAGAAATATGCAATACTGTAGTTCTTCTACTACAATAAGAGGTTTAAAATAATTTATAGGTTCAAGCAACCGAAGCCTTAATATTGCAGGTTGGTAGAATTGTTAAGATGTGTGTGTAAGTAAAGTATGCCCTTCTCAAGGTATGGAATAGAAATTTTTTTTTTTTCTTGTAATGTTAGTTAGTAACCAGTGTGTTGGCTTTCTCTTTCTATTGTTTAAGATTATCGGTTAACTGGCCATTTTAGTGGTGCATAAACAAATTTATTCCGCTTGGTTTAAATTTTTTTATACATTAATGAGTATGAGCTCTTGGTCATTTGGTATTGTATGGTATTTCTATATATAATAAACATAATAGGCCCAAATTTAATGAACTTTGAATGGAATGAGCTTAAATGTGATGGGCCTAAATGTGATGGGCCTAAATGTGATGGGCTTAAATGTGATGGGCTTAAATGTGATGGGCTCAGATATAATGGACTGAGATGGGCTGATTTTGATGATAATACAATGCAGGTAATATAAAAGAGCGATAATTTTGTTTCTACGCATTGCTTTATTAATTGCTTACATATTATAATGCTAGTTGATGAAAAAAAATTGCTGCACCCTAAACATTTTAATCTTGATGACTTAATTATTAAATAGGTCTAGGTGTGTGGTCGATTAAAGCATTACATACAGAAACTTTCTCTCCATCTCTCCCGCCAAAGGTAATTACACACGAGGTTGACTATCGAGCAATGCGAGATAGTGTTGTAACAAGCTACTGAGTATTGCTCAATAGTGTCATTACTGGTATCGCTACACGAGGTTGATACTACACACTACTCCACTAGCTCGCTTCGCTCCCTAGTGTCTGAAGTAAAATGCAATGTAGAAATATGTAAAATGAAATATATTTCTGTTTGTCTAAAAGTCTCGAGAGTAAAGTGAGTTAATCTAGGATAACTTGATTGGGGGAAGAGGGGGCTTAAACAGCATCTTAAACAATTCCTTCTGTACATATTTCCGTTTTCGAAATAAAATGACGCTAATCCTCCTCCTCCTCCTCTAATCTACCTCCTTTTTCCCTATTAAAATTGCATATAACATATATTATCCAGTTTTTTTTTTTTTTTTTTTCAACACAAGGGTTAGACAAGTTGATAGTTTATTTTTAACATAAACGGGTTTCCGATTTGATGGTATAGTATTAACGTCTCCTCCCTCTGCTCTTGCTTGTTGCCTGATATTATCCCCATTGTTATGGACTAGCCTCTCTCTACATTTTATGGATCAATCTCTCTACATTTTATGGATCAATCTCTCTACATTCTATGGATCAATCTCTCTACATTTTATGGACCAATCTCTCTACATTTTATGGACCAATCTCTCTACATTTTATGGACCAATCTCTCTACATTTTATGGACCAATCTCTCTACATTTTATGGACCAATCTCTCTACATTTTATGGACCAATCTCTCTACATTTTATCGACTAGACTCGTTTCACTCGTCTAGTCTCTCAAATGGGTATTGGGATTTAATTTGCTATTGTTTGTAAGTTACCCAGTTTCAGGCCTAGTTTGTTAAAATAGAATATATCTAGACAATTTTCTATTTAAAAGAAATTTCTAAATGGAGATAAATCTATAATGAAACAGTAATTTGGGTAGTATTTACCCCACGAAATTTTTTATTTTTCAATAATCCTCAACTGCAAGATACAATTTGCTCTGTTTTTCTTTTCTCTCTTATCTCATCTCCTTTAATAACCATTAACTCTAATCTCTACAGCACATTTAGAACTGCAACTGCAGTGAAGACAACTAAAAAAAGAAGCGACACGTCAGGAATTTAAATTGTTTAATTTTTCGCGTATTTAATTTTGTGTTTCATCTAACGCGTCTATTTTATTCGTGACTATCGGCTATGGACAACAAATAAGAAAAAAAAAAAAAAGGCATAATCGAAATTATCGGGTATACACTACTCTTGTAATACATATTGATATACTTCTCACTCATATACATCTACCCAAGTATGTACTTATTGTACATCTCACTCATATACATCTACCCAAGTATGTACTTATTGTGTGTATGTATTTGAGTGACATCACCTTTCCACAGATAATAAGTTTTTTTTTTAGTCTACTGTTGGATTAGCTAACTGGTAAAAATACTTTCCCGATATATAATAATTGTTTCAGCATTTTTTTTTTTTTTTTTTTCCAAAATTGCTTGTCCATCTAAGATTTTTTTTCTTTTCTTTTTAACACTGGATGTAACTATTTGTGTTGACTTTTTGGATGTGCAAAGCTATGGCGTAGAAGCTTTGGTGTAGAAGCTATGGCGTAGAAGCTTTGGCGTAGAGGTTTTGGTATGAGCTATGGTGCAAAGTTATAAGCCTTTGGCATTTTCAGAAGCAACAGGCATTTTCTTCACTTTCAATTCTATTTATAGACCCACTTTTCATGTACACAATATAATCTAAGACATTAATTGCGTCTCAATGATTCAATGATATTCTTTCAGTTTTGCGTCCCACAAAAACCTTATTTTTATACACCGGTAATAATCCAATCATTGATTGCATCACCTTGTTCTTTTGACATAGACGTGTGGTAGCGATAACCTCTTTCTCAATGTAACGATTGGTAGCCAAAATATTTTTCTGATCTAAGCGTTCTCTTGTCTTAACCTCTGCTAACAAGATTAACGCCAGTAGTGCATTAATCTACTAGTAACAAAAACTAGCCAACAGTTTTAGTATGGAAATTTTTTTTCTCTCTCTCTCTCTCTCTCTCTTTAACTTTAACACCCAAAAGATTGAGTTTGGTTTTTCTTTCTTTTATTGAAAACTCTGCAAGTTTTTGTAAAGTGGGTCCTGCTAATTATCATCGATTGCTGTTCATTAGAGAGACAATTTTGTGTCACGTGCCAGCTTACCTTTACCAATCATCTGTTGTTGACTTTTTCACCATTGGACCATTGGGAACCATTCACCTTTTTAACTTCAACTTTTCATTCGCTTGTTAACCCCAGAGTAAATATACACCCAAGATATTCGTAATTGACAAAACATCACGTTTCATGATCTTATAGGTTTTCCAAAAAAACATATCAAAAGCCCGTGTCATCTCATCACCTCCCCTCCCCCCTCCCCCCCCTTCACCACTGAAAAATCAAGTCTCCGATATCAAATTCCACCATCGTTGGTTCATCCTACTCCGATATCAAAATCCACCATCGTTGGTTCATCTTACTCCGATATCAAAATCCACCATCGTTGGTTCATCTTACTCCGATATCAAAATCCACCATCGTTGGTTCATCTTACTCCGATATCAAAATCCACCATCGTTGGTTCATCTTACTCCATAATAAAATTCCACCATCGTTGGTTCACATAGACTAATACTATTTTTCTGTCTTCTTTACAGATATGGAAAAATTCTTGTTAAGTTCACCAAACCAATTGGCTCAACCGTATATATATGATGAATCAACCAAGGCCCAGAATAATACTCCCAATGACAACAATATCAACAATATCAACAATTCGACGTGTGAACTGTACGACAACACCAATACCAACAACACCACCACCACCACTACTATTACTTCTACTACAAGTAACAAAAGCACTATTATCCAGCAACAATACCAACAGCAGCCGCCAATGCAATTATTGCACCAGCTACAATCTCAAGACCATATTGATCCCGCCACTTCTACAACACAAACTAGCCTATTAGCATCGTTGAGTTTCACAAGCCAAAATCTAAAACCTCAGCTACAGCAAGGCTTGACTTTCCAACAAGGACAATTCCTACAGCTGCAGCCGCAGCAGCTGCTGCAAGATGTTCACAGCATCCTGGGAGTAGCATCGGAGAATCTCAATGATCCATCATTGTTTGGTGGTGACGAGGTAGTACCGATTTCAACTAACCTACCAGACAACAAATGTTTTCTAACAGACGAGTCGGGACTAGGCATCAACATGATTGACTCAGGAAACACTAGCTTTAATCATTCAAGAAACGTTTCCTTGGATAACTCAATGCCCTTGTTTCATTTGCCTCATAATGGTAACAAGAATTATCACCATTTTCAGCATACCGACTCAATTACTTCGATCAGTCAAGATCCACCAATCGCTATGAACAACAGCATCCCCCAGTCAGTATCTTCAAACACAATCTATTCATTCGATTCTGTTCCTTCATTTGAATCGCCAATGCATCAACAACTACAACCATATAACAGCAGCAGTAATAGCAACAGCAACAGCAACAGCAATAACAACATCAACATCATGCATTCACAATCACTGCACTTTACTTCTACACCTCGTAGAGTAGGACGAACTAAATCTACCTCAATTTCCTCATACAACACACCAATGAGAAGTTGTCAGCCCTCGTTTTCACCATTAGATTTAGCAACAGCAGCAGCTGCTACATCTAATAAAATCACAAAGACACCGGCTAACAACAAGGCAATCAAAGGTCATACGAGAACAAGATCTAGAGTATCACTTGATGCGGCAGCTGCGGCATTAGCATCAAAGACAAATTCTATATCGTCATATAACTCTACATTGAATCCCTTTTACACACCGTCACAATTAACTACTTCATTCAACGATAACGATGAAGAAGAAGATGATGATGACGAGGACGACGAGGACGACGAGGATGTGCACGAGCACGAGCGTGAAAATACCTTCTCAGAGACATCTATGGTTACTCCGGGTCTATACAAACTAAAGCAATCTAGATCAACATTCTTCAGTCCATTTAGAAATAATGCATTTGATGAATTAGATCCCGACGAGAATGACGCTATGAAACAGTTGAAAAAGGCCAAATCGTATACTAATTTGATGAGAAGAAAAAGAAAAGAGCAACTTGGTCAGCCACAGCCATTGGACAGCCTCGGTGAAAATTCTCTAATGGCTGGAGCATTAGTTTCTCCTAAAAAGATGTCTGATCAATCATCACTATTGACACAGCCGTCACAGAAACAACAACAACATCATCATCATCAACATCAACAACAACATCAACATCAACATCTACATCAACAGCAGCTACACAGAATTGATTTGTTACTGCCAGAGTTTGATAAAACTCCAATGAATTACCCAGCTTTTGACAAAAATATCACCACCAACTTGAATCAATCGGTATCACCTTATAATCAGCATAGAAAGACATTTTCAAATACACATTTTTCAGGTGCTTCCATTAATTTGAATGCCTCGATTGCTTTAGATCCTTCAGAGGAAGACGATTTCAACTCAAATATAAACTCATCAACTACTACGAATACCACAACTACACCAAATTTGTTACCTCCCATGGCTACTTTTTCAAATGATAGCTTGAACTTTAGCGAGAAAGAAGATGAATCTTTTGAACTAAAGAACAGAATGGTAAAGAAAGAATTTACACTGTCTACTACATCGCATCGTCGAAAAAGTAAAGAGAAGTCACTGAAAGCACTGGTATCTTCTTTGAGTTCAAGTGGAGATAATAAAAGCATAGGTAGCTTAAACGAAAATAACGACGATGATACGGTTACAATTCCAATACCTGCAGACCTCCATGTAACACGACCAACGGTGCGTAACAATAGATCAGATAAAAATGACAAAACAGATCCCAAAAAGAAACACAAGTGTCCAATTTGCGAGTCGAGATTTCAAAGACCCGAACATGTAAAGAGACATCTTAAATCACATTCATCGGATAAGCCTTTCCATTGTGAGGAGGCTAATTGTGGGAAATGTTTCAATAGAAAAGACAATTTAAAGGCACATTTAAAGAAAATACATGGAACTATACCCAAAAAAGCTGCCAATGAGGAAGATTGAAGGTGAGTTGCTCCCCCATTTCTAATCTTTCTTTCCTTCCTTCCCCCTGTTTCTTTTGGACGACTTTGAACATTCTTTTTTTTTATAGCCAAACGATATGTTTCACGAATATTTTTGCATTTGAAAAAACAAAGAGAAAAAAATAAAATAAAATTAACTAAATCTTTATCAAAGTTGTATTTATTTATTTATTTATTTCATTCCTCTCTAACTACTTCATCAATGGCCCTACAGAAGTGGTCTATATTCCTCTCGTTTAACCCGGAAATGTTAACTCTTCCCATACTTGTGGAATAAACGTGTTTTTTAATTAACTTTGAATTTTGTTCACTTGTCAATCCAGAAAACCAAAACAAACCATTTTGTTCCACAACATTTGTCCAGTTTCCTGGAGTCTTTAATTCGGTTAATTTGTCCAAGACTCTTTTTCTCAAGTATTTCAATCTCAAAGTAGTCTCCTTAACTTCGCAACGCCATCTTTCTTCCAACTTTGCATTATTGAGTATAATAGCAGCCAACCGTGCACCAAATGCGGGTGCAAATGAACATTCCTTGCGGAATAATGCAACCAAGTTACTTTGCACTGCAGGCAAATACCCAGAATCTTGAAGCACAACATGGACACACCCAACACGCTCTGAGTAGAGTCCCATGTTCTTGGAAAATGATTGACATACGGCAAATTCAAAACCTTGGTTGAAAAAATAACGGATAGGCCATGCATCGGCATCCAAATCTCCAGATCCAAGTCCCTGATATGCTGTATCAAATATTGGAATAAGCCGTCTTTGTTTCATAATGTTGCTAATCTCTTGCCATTGAGCATGTGTGAAATCTGACCCTGTAGGATTATGACAACATGTTTGGAATAAGAAAACAGAATGAACGGGAACTGAGTTTAATGTGGCCAATATACTTTTAAAATCAACTGATTTCGTGGACTCGTCATAATACGAATAATAGTGTGTTTCCCCACCAATGTGTTTCACCATTGGTCCATAGTTTTGCCAAGTTGGAACACCAATGTAATACTCGGTCAAACCTATTGTCTTGTAGAAGAGCATCGCAATGTGCAATGATCCAGTCCCAGAAATTGCCTGAATTGAAGCAATGTTGCTCCCTCGTTCAGCAAGAATATCATCACCAAAGATCAAACGTTGTGCTCCAGAAACGAAATCGCCAATACCAGCCATGCTGGTATAGTTGTGGCCTGGATCATTCTCCGCCAAAATATGTTTTGCTTCGGCTATTGAACGGTACTCATAGCATTTACCTGATTTATCTTTCTGGACTCCTATACTTACATCTATTTTACCAGGATTTGGGTCTCTAGTGTACTCTTGCATAGTTTTAATTATTGGATCATCTTCTTCCTTGGTTAATTGGGAAAAAATGCTTTGAACCGTCATGTTGAAGAAACCCAGTAATAAAGGAAGAAAAAGGCAAAGATTTGTATTTGGGGAGGGGGGAAAAAAAACAAAAGAAGAAGGGTACTATGACTTAACAAAACGCAAACTTTGAAAAATTATGGACATGGACCCATATTGGTTTGTAATTGGTTTATTTGCATCAGTTCATTGGTGCGGCTCCCGGTATGACGTATTAATTGCTTCCTTAACAAATGGTGGGAGTTTCCTCGTTTTCTTTGAAAAAAAAAAAATTGTTCAATTGCCTTCGATTACCGATCGCCGTGGTGGAGTTAGTAATAAAGGGGTGGATCCCGAAGGTACACTGGGGGAAGGGAAAACCCCAAAGCAAGTGTCCAAGAAATATGTATATGTATACATATTGAATGTAATGCGTGTATGTGTGTATGTTGTGTATGTGTATGTTTTTCCACGATTGATTTCTATTGTTCGTTTAAATCTTTCTCCGATTGAATTGCTTTTTGCAAAATTTGCTCACATATCTTTATTAAAGAGGCTTTATCTGATCCGTTAATAACCTTTACAGTTGTTGCCGCAACGTATTTCAAATTGTTTTCAAATATTTTTTGATTCCATGATTGTGTATCTGTCTGTTGTAGTTCGGTATATAGTAAAGAAAGAATCTTCTCCAAAGGTTCTAGGTACACTTTATTCAAATCGGAAAATGATAGTGATATTTTTTTGTGTATCAATTGATCGTTAAATATAGCTATTGTTTTAAGTTGTTCCAAAATGTCAAAACTATTAAGTTTCTCGATGCAATTGCTTATCAATCTGTTGAATAATTTATCGTTGATATTGTTAGAACTAGCTTTTTGTAATAAAAAGTAATTAGTATACGTGAGGGAAGGACTATTAGCATCATGATGATAGACTAGCTGCTCTATTAGTGACTCAGGCAAGTTTCCCTCGGAAAATTTGATCAATTTTCCTACAAACTTGTAACAAAGAGAGGCAATCTCTTTATAGTATGTAGCATTGTCCATGGTCAACTTTATTAATGAACTTACTTCAGCAGAATATGTTTCTAGAATTTTTTTTGAAATCGTTTCATCTAGCAAATTGACCCACACGTGAATCGCTTGCAATTGCACGATATCCGTTACCTTGAATTTGGTAAAGAAGGTTTCAAGTAACTCATCCACATCGATCCTTTTGGCTACTTCCAATCGCGATGCATCATCGTGAATGGTATTTCCTATACAGATGCAACATGCAGCAAAGCCATAAGGATTTTTCGTGTTTAATTGTTCAAGAGAGAGATCCTCAACATTATTAGTAAAAACGTTACTAGTAGCAACCATCAACTTCTTCAAAAGACGGCTCTCTTTTTCTTCTCCAAGAAGTTTGAGTGAAGCATTGAATGTTGTTAGGCTCGGTTGGGAAAATTCTAAAAGATCAACTAATTTCTCCTTATCTTCAGTGTCAGCATGTTTCTCGTATAAATCCTCAAAGTTGTCACTAACGTAGCTTACAAACTTTTGATCCATTGTGTCTAAATTGTTTCTATTCGTGGTTACAAAATAATATGCAAGGTCCATCTCGGTAAACTTTTGAAACTCATGGTAAACAATTCTACCCAAATTTTGCAAGTGCAAAAACCGCATGTACCTATCTTGATTATCCGTCTCATAAATAAACTGTCCTAGTAAAGTTGTTATTGCCAGAGGGTACTCTTCATCTAAGTCGTATAGTTTATTAACAAGTTCCCAAAATTCAACAACATCGTCAGATAAAGAGTCGGTTAGGTAATCGCGATTTGCGTCATTGGCAGCCAATAGATTAATCGTTGTTTTAAAGACTTGTACTACTAACAGAGAAGAAGACTTGACTTGATCCTGACTAGCTTTAATCTCAGCCTTGAGTATCTTGTTAAAGCCTAGAATTAGAAAAAACAAGTTTGATTTGATGAGATTCGAAGATCTCACTTCATCGTTTCTCAAAAGTTTAGTTAGTTGAGCCAATAATTGCTCTGAAAACCCGGTTGTCTTTAGAGACTGTATAACTTCTCCCACTGGCATTATCACCTACACAAAGTGTTCCGTCAATGATGGCTAGTAGCTAGTAGTACTACTAGTAGTAATTATAATAGTATTTGGGTGCGAAGTTTTGATAAATATACGAGTATTGGTAGCTCCTGTAATTACTAAACTTCACTAACTGAACATTATTTAGTTTTGAATTAAAATGGTCATACCACCAGCTCATGTCCTGACACCATTGCCCCCCCAGATGATAGTTGTTTCTCTAAATTTGCCGATATCGCTGATGTATTTGTCAAAGAGAAATTTGTATGAATAAGTAGGTTTCCATATCTTCTATATCAAAATGAAAAAAAAAAAAAAAAAAAGAATAAAATGAAAAAAAGGTCTATCAGGTAATTATCTAAATATACTGTTGCTAATACTATATAGCCTTGTAGAAGTATCCCGGCTCCCGACTGCTAAATATAGTTTGTTATCAATAAGCTTATTACTAAAACTAATTTTTTGAATTCTATCACAAGGCGTGAGAGTATTTGGAATTGAAGCTTTCTGCTTCAAATCACCATCTGTGATAGATGCTGAGAAGAAAACAATTTCGCCATTTTCGAGACCAGCCGCAATTATGCATTTGTTGTTGTAAATTTCGCCTTTGAACGCAGACACGGATGTTATTGGCTCGTTCAATTTCACCTTGTTAACTAGTTCAACCGTTTCATTTATTCTCCACAATTTGAGTTGCTTGTCACGAGAAGCTGTCACAAAGTAGCCCGTCTCTGGTAACCAGGAACAATCCCAAATTATTCTTGAGTGCGCCTTGGCATTCAATTGCACAAGCGTAAACTCAGCGGTATCTTGATTCTCCAATTTCCAGAGACTGAACAGTCTATCTCTTGACACTGCCAACAAATAGTCCCCATTGGGAGAAAACTCAAGACTTGAAACAGTCAAGTTGTGACCGGCTAAAACTTGCGAGCTTTGTTGATAATCCTTGCTCACCACAAATATTTTGATAACTGCATGTTTCGCATTGTTTGATTTGCATGCAGTGGCAATCAATTGACCGTTTGGAGAAGTCGAGCAACAACTAATTTCATAACCATGACCATATAATTTCTGATTCTCCGTTGCCAAACTATTTTTTTGTAAATAAGATTCTGTAGGTGGCACGGATATGTGATGCTCTTGCTCAATATCATCACCATCATCATCATTATCATCATCATTATCATTATCATTATCATCATCATCATTATCATCATTTTTTGCCTCTTCTTGTACTTGTGTGTCGGCCTTATTGGACAAGCCAAGAACCGGTAGTGATGCAAACTCAGGAAGTTCAGAGTTATCGCTGTTGATTACAATCCCGCTTATACCCTTTAAGCTTTCGCTGATGAACTTTGTAAGTTCAAAAACTCGCAAAATCTTCTCGTCCCCGCCAGAGACAAATTTTGTACTTGAGATGTTATCACAACAAATCATATCATATCCGTGAATCTGAGGTCTTGCTAATTCATGCCAAGTTACTGTTTCCGCAATCCATGGTGCATATAACCTTGTTGTTTGGTCCAAAGATGTTGCCATAAAATAATCTCCCCCAAGCGACCACCTTACATCTGTTACTGGCCCAACTGCTCCTGTAGTTCCCATTACTTCTGTGAAATACTTATCGCTCTCCAACAAACTGGACTTATAAGCTCTAATGGAGCCTGTTTTACCTGTTGCTAGTACATACTCGTACTTGTTAGGCTGATCAGTGAACCATAGGCACGACCAAAACCCACCGGTTGCACCAGTAGCGGTAGATGCTCCCTTGATTGACATTTCTCCCAACCTACTAACACACACCCAAATTCCCGAGTTAACGTCCATTTCCCAAATCATTAATGCGGTGTCGGCAGTAGCAGTCAACAATTGCAATTTCTTTTCGACAAACAAAGTATCATTGCCATACTTGTAAGAAGGGTGCCACTGTAAGCCACTGATCCAATCATCGTGTCCCATGATCAACGCTTCAAAGCTGAATGCCGCTCTGCCGTTGGTACCATACTTGAATTTGTATTGTTTATTTGAAAGCAAAATTAATTTCGTTGAGTCTTGGTCAGAGTCAACAATCGAGTCATTTAGTTTTAGTCTCCACAACCTTACGTATCGGTCCTGAGATCCACTAGCAAGTATGTAGTCTTTGTTTTCCACTTGAACGACAAACTGCAAACATTTTACCCAATCCTCATGGCCCGTCAATTCCTCACTCATACATAAATTGTGGACCAAAATATCTTCACTTAGTTGAAAAGTGTATATGTAGATATTGGTTGCAGTACCGCCAACTGCAAGAATATAACAATCACTTTCATTGTCATCAATTTTCTGCACAGCTAAAGATAATGGGAAAAAGTTAGGTTTCACTTGAAATCTTTGACCCAATTTAAACTCTTGCCCATCGTATAGCCATATGATAATCTTGCCATCAGCACCACCAGTGACAAATACGTTGGGGTTTATTTCGGCAATGCAAGTTACTGAACAATTGTGACCTTCGAGTTGTTGAAAATGCTCATACACTTTTTCCTTTTGCTTCCAGATATTTACATAGTGATCTTCCCCAATTGAAACCAAAAAGGGACTATCTGGTAAAAACTTGACGCCAGTAACTTCCCTTGTATGCTTTTTCAAAGTAAAATAGACTCCACGATGATCTTTATCTAATGGTTTCCAAAGTGCCACCGTATTTGCTGCACCAAAAGCCACAGTTAAGGTCTGCGGATTATAATCTGAAACGTAATTTTGTCTATTAGCTCCAATAAACACAGCTTCCTGCCCTATATCCAGAGACGTCATAGCAAAGAATCCCCCCTCCAAAAAATCAAACTATCCCTTAGTTGGTGAAAAATCTATCACCTTTTATTTATATATATATATATTTTTTTTTTTTCCGCTGAGATGAGCTTCGGTTATTTTTTTTTCGGTTGGCTCTCAAGAAGAAAATCAACCTCTTGAGGTACTATACGTCTTGATTCATAATACCAATTTATAAGTAATGGTGTCAGCGTATGTACTTAGTTTGAACGAGGAGATACTGTAACTTTATATTAACGGATTTTCTTTCCTTTTTCTGTAGAGTTATTTTGGTTCAGCATGCTACTCCTGAGACAATTATCCAGTTCCAGGATCAGTTATCTAATGAGTTACCCGCGCAAAAGGGGAAATGGAACTTTACATTCAAAGTTTTTAGGAACAATCTGTATTCTGTACCTGAGGAACTTTCCGCGACCCATATTCAAGACCCCAACGTCAAGTTTTTATTCACATTGACTCCCTCATATTTACCTGGAAGCACAATGACAGTTATCAATGGGAAATCTGCAGGGGTGTTTTGCAATTCAATTAGAGAAGAGGTGCTTGAACTTGGGAATACTACTGAGCTATGTATCCCGGATGCTCATATGTATTTAGGAGCTACGACGGGGTTAAATGAGAATTTCGACATCTTTGTTAACCAAAAACTACAAAGTCTATGGACTCAAAAACAAATTATAAAGGGAGATGGTGGGCAAATATACGAGCTTGAAAATGGCAATCTTGTAATACGCACTTCGAATGTGTTTATGCACGGTAGTTTTAAAGGATTGTTGGTACAAATCGAAGTGAGTGATAAAATTGCCGAGTTCCAGAAACTTCGACCTCAAAAGGTTATTGAAACCGTTTTGAAAAAATATAATATACCCCTGGGAAAATTGTGCTGTGATGTACTAGATTCAAGTTATAGTGATAGGTATGGGAATTTGTGCTTACAGTATTCGAAAATATTGGACTTTTAAAGAGAGCACTATCGAGCACGACACTATCGAGCACGACACTATCGAGCACGACACTATCGAGCAGAGCGAGACAGTGGAGCACACTAGCTGTCGTTAACACTAGCTGTCATTAACACTAGCTGTCATCAACACTAGATCTCATCAACACTAGCTGTCACTAACACTAGCTGTCATTAACGAGCGAAGCAAGATAGTAGAGCATCTCTGACTACGCCGACACTATTGACACTATCGGCACTATCGAGCAGAACGAGATAGCGTTGTAACAAGCTACTGAGTGTTGCTCCACTATCTGGCTTCGCTCGATACCTGTCATTAACACTAGCTGACACCGTATAGCCCAAAATCCTAGCACATTCAATAGTTAACTATAGTATTAAGCGAACAAGTATAGACTATCTCGCTTTGCTCGATAGTCTATATCTACTCTATCTACTAGTGACTCTTTTTTGTAGACATCTCTTTCATACGATACGGGAATTGATTGTATTCACCAAACACTAAGCGCTACCGTTAACTAACTAACTAACTATCTATCTATCTATCTTTCATTTATGAACGCTACCAATTGTACCAGAAGCCGAAAAAAAAAAGTGGTTTGTCCTTGATGAGATGAGATGAGATGGGATGGGATGAGATGAGCTTGAAATTTGAGCTTTGAGCTTTAAGCTAAAGAGTTACTCAACTAGTCAATATGATCAAGTCTCTGAGAAACGGCAAGAAGGCTTTGAAACACGAAGGGAGGAAAGAGAAACGGAGAAACGAAGAAGAGGAGCAAAAAATTCTTAAGGAGAGGGTGGAAAAGTATTGTCCAGATACGGATGAGAATAGTTTGAACCAATTCAAAGATTTGCCAATTACTCAAAACACTCTACGCGGACTCAATGAGTCTTCGTTTGTATCTCTCACTGATATTCAAAAGAAGACTATTCCTATTGCCTTAAAAGGAGAAGATCTTATGGGAACGGCACGAACAGGATCAGGAAAGACATTGGCATTTCTCATTCCTGTGATTGAGATTTTGCACAGAAATGATATTACCGAGTTTGATGGCTTGGCGGCATTGATAGTATCACCCACACGAGAACTTGCAGTTCAAATCTTTGAAGTGTTGGCAAAAATAGGGAAATACAATTCATTTTCAGCGGGTTTAGTCACGGGTGGTAAAGATGTCCAATATGAGAAGGAGCGTATATCGCGAATGAACATTTTGGTAGGGACACCGGGTAGAATATCTCAGCATTTAAATGAATCTGTTGGTATGGAGACGGCTAATTTGCAAGTCTTGGTGTTGGATGAAGCGGATCGGTGTTTAGATATGGGATTTAGAAAACAAATCGATAACATTTTAACTCATCTACCTCCCACCAGACAGACTTTGTTATTCTCGGCTACTCAATCAGATAGTGTTCAAGATTTGGCGAGGTTATCTTTGACAAATCCCAAACGGATAAATAATTCTTCTGACCTGGACATCTCAGCAGTACCTGAATCCTTGGATCAATACTATATCAAAGTACCTTTGCATGAAAAGTTGGATGTCTTGTGGTCATTCATCAAGTCCCACTTGAAGAGTAAGATATTGGTGTTTTTCTCCTCGTCAAAACAAGTACAGTATGCATATGAAACATTTAGAACGTTGCAACCGGGTATTTCCTTGATGAAGTTATATGGCCGTCATAAACAAACATCGAGACTTGAAACGACTGTTAAGTTCTCCAAGGCACAACACGCGTGTTTGTTTGCAACCGATATCGTCGCTAGAGGACTAGATTTTCCAGCTATTGATTGGGTTGTTCAAGTCGATTGTCCTGAGGATGTTGCCACATACGTGCATAGAGTAGGAAGATCTGCTCGTTTTGGAAGAGAGGGAAAGTCTTTGCTAATGCTCTTACCATCGGAAGAGGAAGGGATGTTGAAAAGAATGAAGCTGCATCATATTGAACCCAAATTGATGACTATTAAGCAAAAGAGTAAAAAGTCTATCAAGCCGCAACTTCAGTCACTATGCTTCAAGGATCCAGTGATAAAGAACTTGGGTCAGAGAGCATTTATTGCATATTTCCGATCAATTTATATTCAACCGAACAAGGATGTGTTCAAAGTGGAAGATCTTCCAGTAGAGGAATATGCAGCATCATTGGGATTACCAGGAGCACCAAGAATCAAAATCAAAGGTGGTGAAAAGAATAAGGAGAAAAAGAATCAATCAAGAAAACTTCTTCAACTAGCTAAATTGGATATCAATGGCGAAGAAGATGAGCTGCAAAAGCAGCCACCAAAAGTGAGAACGAAATATGACCGTATGTTTGAACGAAAGAATCAAACCATATTATCAGATCATTACTTGAATATGACAAATAGCAGAGCAGACAGTAACGGTAAGGGCAAGGGAGGGGAGAAGGAGGAGGAAGAAGAAGGAGAAGATTTCCTCACGGTGAAGCGGCAGGACCATGATTTAAACGAAGCGGAATTACCGGATTTGCTGTTGCCCGTGTCCAAACGTCAAGCCAAAAAAGCGCTTTCTAGGAAAGCTTCACTGGTCTCAAAAGGCAATCCAACAAAGTTCAAATTTGACGATGATGGCGTGCCGCATGCAATATACGAACTCGAAGATGAAGAAGATTTTATACAAGCGGGTGATGCAAAGCAGCAGAAACAAGAATATGTTTTGAAGGAACAAGAGGCAATGAAGATACATGATTTGGCAGATAAGGAAACAGAAAGACAAAAGAGACAGGAGAAAAAGAGGAAAAGAAAGGAGATTGAAAAAAGATTATTGGCAAATGAACAATTTGAATCTAATAATATGGGGGATGAAGATGCAGATGAATATGAGGTTCCAGATCTCGAACGTGATATGGAACCAAATCTTCAGGATAAAAGCTCTGGTAAGAAGAATAGCAACTGGTTCAATGATGACGAAGATGTGCCGCCTAAAAAGAAATCAAAATCAAACTCCGAGAGCAAATTTGTGGAGTATAATGAGCCCGAGACTTTGGAAGATCTTGAATCTTTGGCAGCTACTTTAATAGGAAATTAATCAGCTGAATAAACTTTCGAGTTTTGAAAACTCCAATTTCAACTTGTCAGGTGACATCTTGTTCTGGTAGGTAAACTTTGTAGACAAGATAAGTGGCATTTCTTGCAATTGGTATAATCTTCTTACCTCTTTTTTTTTTTTCAACAAACCCGTAATTACCCTTAAAAGGTCCTTACTAATCACTTCAGATCTAGCAAGGATCAGTTCAGATGCTTTGCAAATAGGACACACCTAAGGATTGTCCCGGAAGTAGTCTACCAATACGATTCTCCACCAGGCGATGTCTAACAATGTGCCATTATTTCAGAAAGTAAGGATGAATGATTTGTTAGTGTTTTTTGATTTTCGTCTATATATATGGCGTAGCAATAATCTTTTCATTGACACTCCCTAAACGCATAATTTCTCCTGCCATTTGCCTCCCTTCGTCGTCTACCAAGTCCATTTCTTCCTGGTTTAAATTTGGCTGCGCTAGATTTATTACTGCCAATTCCTGTAGAAAATCAGTAGGAGAGCCTCTTGTGACATTCAAAATGATACCATTTCCTAAATCAATGGTTATTTTGCCAGATTGGTGTATATTGACTTTTCCGATTTCGCCGCGGAGATGGGAAGTTTGAGGTACAGCTAACTTTGACTTTGCAGTAGCGACCGGAAACTCTTGTGAAGAAACATCTTTCTCGATTTTCACTTCTTTACTCTCTTCTCGTACATAGTCTGGTAAATTACGTGGTAATTGGAATAACACGTACCTGTCGTCTTCCAATTTCTCCTCTGTCGATAAATTATTGAAACTGTCTGCTAGGAGGTTCGAAATAACCTCATAGTCATTGATCAACTTGCTGGACTCATTAACAATAATTGAGTCTGTTTTCACGATCTTGCTTTCCAATTTCGCCTTATTTTCCTTGATCATCTCTATCTTATCTTCAATATTCTCACTTTTAATATTCACATCACTATTGGGTGCAGGAGTGCTTTCTTTAGAGCTTTCGATTTTAACAGGCGACTGTTCCCGAGTCTCCTGGTTTCTGTATTCGTTCTTTCGAATAATTCCATCGTCTCTAAATGGTCTGTAAGGAAACAATTCCGTCTCGCTGTCTGCAAATCTATACACCTTTGTCATATTGATCTTTGCGAAATTCTCATCATCAGAAGAGTCAGAATCCCCTGAAAAGGAACGTTCTTTTGGATTCTTGAGTTCAAGGTTTTTAATATATTCTGATGTCAAAGTTTCCCGCCCATTGCTATTGTATACCAAATCTTTAGTCAAACCTAGCTTCGAACCGGAAGAATTACCCAATGAAACCGAACCAGCAGATAAGGGTCCCAGCATCACCAAATGTGTTCCAGCATAATTATTTCGTACGCCACCACCCCTACCTCTAGAATTGGGGCCCCGTGTTCGATTCGATGATGACCTTCCATGTGTACTTGTATGTAAACCTTCTTCTTCTTTTACGCTGGGAGGTGCTGCTTTTGCTCTTTCTTCTTTCGATTTTCTTTGCACAACCTTAGGTTTAAATTTAAGTCCCGTTTTCCCACCTGAAGAAGCTGGTTTTTTCGAGTTCAATGACTCCAACCGGTTTGACATTTTGATTTTGTAGAGCCTTTTCTCTGGCACCAGAAAGATGAGATGAGATGAGATGAGATGAGATGCCACTATTAAAAGGGCCATCGCGAAAAAAAAAAAATGCATAGTGAAAACGAGATGAGGTTGATTTTGAAGCTTTAGGCACCTTTGAAATACAGTTTAATGGCGAGACAGAGAAAGAACATACGGGCGGAGGAAGAGCTGGAGTTAGATGAAGTGGATGCATTTGACTCAAATAGGTCCAAAATACTCTTGGAAAGAGCTGGTGAGTATGGAAGGGCGACTAATGGAGATGAAGATGAAGATGAAGAGGAGGAGGAGGAAGTAATGAAAATGGGAGAGGATGTTGAGGATCTGGAAGAAGGAGAGGAAGAAGGAGAGGAAGAAGGAGAGGAAGAAGGAGAGGAAGAAGGAGAGGAAGAAGGAGAGGAAGAAGGAGAGGAAGAAGGAGAGGAAGAAGGAGAGGAAGCAGGGAAGGATGATGAGTATGAACAAGGGTGGGGAAAAAGACAAAATTATTATGGTGGAGATGATGTCAGTGACGACGAAGATGCGAAACAGATGACAGAGGAGGCACTTAGACAGCAAAGAAAACACCTTCAAGATCTAGAAATGGATGACTATATAGATGAAGAAATTACGGAGGATTGGCAGAAAAAGGCAGAAACGTTTGACAACATGGATAACAAGATTACTGTGCTAGATACTGGTGCATCGATTGACCAACTCAACGATGATGAGCGTTTACTTATGTTGCGTCAATCATTCCCTGAGTTTATTCCCTTAATGCGAGAGTTTGAATCGTTGCAGGTGAAATTTTCAGAATTGAATCAAGCAAAAGATCAAAATCAATGTATACAGATCAAAATAGCTGCTCTAGCTGGATACTTGGCATCAATATCATCCTATTTTGCTCTTTTTGTTGACAACTTACAAGACCAAAATAACTTTACCTCGATGAAGGATCATCCGGTGATGGAGTCGATCCTAAGCTCAAGAGAAGTATGGAGACAAGCCAATGAATTACCTACTAGGATAATTGAAAACAAAGTGCAAGAAAAAACAGTTGATGTTGTTTCAAGTAATATTGATGAAAATGCTTTTGTGGATGCGAGGGAGAACCACAGTGACGATTCTATGGAAAGAAGCGAAGAAGAGGAAGAATTGTCATCATCATTATCGTCATCTGAAGAAGAAGAAGAAGAAGAAGACGTGATCATTGACGTGAATAAACCAAGGGAAATAAAACGAGCAATAAGGCCTGCTCAGAATGATTTTGCTGAAGGTGATATTGAAGATGTGGATATGGAGGATAAGAGACGTCGTAAAAAGACATTGAGGTTTTATACTGCAAAAATCGACAAAGCTGCAGCACAAAACACCAAATCATTATCGGGAGATGCCGATGTGCCATACAAGGAAAGATTCTTTGAAAGACAACAAAGACTTATTGAAGAAGCACGCAAAAGGGGTCTTGACAAGCGGGATATTGCAGATGCAGATGACGGTGACATTGATGGTGAGTTTGTTGATGAAGGTGAAGGTGATTTTGATGATGATGGTGACACAGATTACTATAACAAACTAAAAGAAAGGAAACAGACGAAACAAGCCAATAGGAAACTGGCACATGTTGCAGCAATTACAGCAGCACGGGATGGTAAATTGAGCGAATTACAGGAAGAAGTTGGTAATGATGGCAAGCGTGCTATTAACTATCAAATTCTCAAGAATAAAGGTCTCACGCCGCATCGAAAGAAGGAATATAGAAACTCAAGAGTTAAAAAGAGAAAACAGTATGAGACTGCTAAAAAGAAGCTTAAGTCGGTGAGACAAGTCTATGATAGTGAGAAGCATAGAGGTCCTTATGAAGGTGAAAAGACTGGTATTAAAAAGGGAATCTCAAGATCGGTAAAATTGGTTTAGTTTAGTTTAGTTTATTAACGACTAAATTGGATATCATCAATTCTGAGAATCGATTTCACACACTCTGAAGCTAATACAATGGCACTGGTACATACCAAGACAGGTTGCAAGACATGCTCATCAAATGTATTTGAAGCACCTGCTCTCCTAACGGAAATACCTGCATTTTTCTCTCCATTCTCATGTCTATTTCTCAATTCTGTAACCACATTTATAGGATTTAACCCGGCATTTTCCGCTAATGTAGTTGGAATGACTTCTAGAGCTTGAGCAAATTCCTGATAAACAAATTGTTCAACACCAAACAAATGGTGCGACTCTTTCATGAGCTGTCTAGAAACTTCTATTTCTGGAGCTCCCCCTCCAGCTATCAATGCCTTCTCCTTAACCAAGCACCTAATGACACATAATGCATCATGCAACGACCTTTCAGTTTCATCCACGATAAGATTATTAGCTCCTCTGACAATGATCGACACAGTTGGTTTAGTATTCTTTGATGTTACTCCTTTTATCTCAACAATTCTCGAGCCTGAACTTTCAGTCTCTTCAACTAGCTGTGCCTGGCCTAGTCTATCTTCGCTAAAGCTTTCGACATCTGCAATTGGTTTACATCCAATAGCTTTTGATAAGAATTCAACTTCATTTCTTTCGATATCTTTAATCACCATTATATTCAATTTGGATAAAAAGTGTAAAGCCAAGTCATTCACTGCATCTCTCAATATTGATTTTTGGATTAGCAAAACATTACATTTTGCCTTTTTAATTTTTTTACAAATGTTCAACAAGTATGCTCTTTCTTCTTTCAAAATTTTGTCCATTTGTCTATAGTCATTCACTACCACGTTATTTTCCATGTCTGGCTTTGGTGGCGACAATTGGAACTGTATCAACCCTATTTTGGCTTTTTCCATTCTTGTTGGGCCCATGGCATTCTTAACAACACTTTGGGTCAAAACTACACCATCAACCAACTCTGTTTCATCGATTGTGCCTCCCAATTTTTTGATCAACCTAATATCGTGTAAATCGACATTGTCCTTCTGCTCGTTCATCACTCTTAAAACAGAGTCCACTGCCAAGGGGGCCAATAACAGTGAATGTTGTGACACGATTTTCGAACTCAATGAAGTTGTAGCGGCTCTAATCAATTGCTCTCTATCCTCGAGCTTAATTTTGTGTGACATTTCCAAAAGGATCTGCACAGATCTCTGTGCAGCCCTTTGGAAGGACTCAGCGATCAACGTTGGATGTATCCCCTTGGCCAATAATCTTTCTGCAGCTCCTAAAAACGCGCCTGTTAAAATAGCCACCGTTGTCGTACCATCGCCTGCCTCAACATCCTGAGCATGACTTACATCAACCAACATTCTAGCTGCTGGATGCAAAACTGCCATATGCTCAAGAATCGTAGCTCCATCATTCGATATTATGATTTCACCATTTTTCGTCTTGATCATTTTATCCATTCCTTTTGGACCAAGAGATGTTCTAATAGCATCGGATACCGCTCTTGCTGCTAAGATATTAGCCTTACGTACCTCCTGTGGTTTCTCCTTGCTCTTAAACGTAGCATTGGATGGTGTCACTTGCGACCTCGCTGCTTCAGTTGCCATCTTTTGCAAATCGATCCGATAATAAAGAAGAAGTAAGATTCAACAATGTACAATCTATGGGTGGGTTGGGTTTTTTTTTTTCTTCTTCCTTTTTCTTTCAATTTTTTTTTTTTCCCAGTCGAATCGATGAGCTTGAGAGGATCGATGCTTTGGGGGGGAAAGAGAAGGAGGTGAATTGAGATGAAGGATTATGTAAAGTTTGAAGAAGTGAAAGTTGACGCTGAGGAGGTTATTAATTGTTCATTTTCAAAGTGGGCAAAGCTATTTCCAAAGAATTTGTTTCCATATAGGGTGATAGAGGCACTTCCTGATGAGTTTATAAAGTATTTACTAAGTGATGGAGTGAGATTGCCTTGGGAAAATAATGAGGTAGAGTTGGATCGGAACAGTGAGAATGAATATAGCGACTGGGAGGGAGAAACAGAGGGGGAAGGGGCAGAGGGAAAAGGGGCAGATTTGGAAGAGGCATATTTGGAAGAGGCAGATTTGGAAGAGGCATATTTGGAAGAGGCAGATTTGGAAGAGGCGGATTTGGAAGGGGGTTTAGGATTTTCCGAATTATCTGGCAAAATCACCCAGCATATCCACGATCTTGGAGGCAAAGTTTTACCAAAACTAAACTGGTCGAGTCCCAAAGATGCAAGTTGGTTAATGCCCGGTAATACCATGCAGTGTAGCAAAGTGGATGACGTTTTTTTGTTACTCAAATCGTCAGACCACATTGTTGATGATTTAGCATATCTGTTCCTGGAAGTTAAACAGGAGCAGAGCACAGAGGTCGAGGACAAGGTTAGTTGTGAGTTGGAGGTTAAGGACAAGGTTTGTTATGAATTGGTATTGAAGCAATGGCAAGATATCAACCCTGCACTAGAGTTTCGAGTTTTCATAAGAGATGAAAAGATATTGGGAGTTTCACAACGTGATTTGAATCATTATGAATTTTTAAAAGATTTAAAGGAGGAGTTGAAAGAGGTGATTGAGACATTTGTAGATGACAAGATTATAACAACACTACGGTCATCCAAAAATAGTTTGAGCAAATGTATTGTGGATTTGTATCTACCTCGTCCTTTCGATCAAACATTTATTATCGACATCAACCCTTTTCTGAGAAAAACTGATTCCTTGTTATTTACTTGGAACGAGTTACTACTTATAGATCCATCTTTATTGGGGAAAAACAGTTTTGAATTGCGATTAATTGATCAGACAAATATCGGTGCATTTGCCAAAAAACAGTATAGTGAAAGTCAGGTGCCCATCGATGTCATTGGTGCGACTCATGATAGCGAAGCTTTAGTTGAATTAGCACGAGAGTGGCAAAAACTACAACTATCGAGCGAAGCGAGATAGTGAAGCAGCACTGACTACACTGCCTTGACACTACCGAGCGAAGCGAGATAGTGGAGCAGCACTGACTACATTTCCTTAACATTACCTTAACATTACCTTATAGAGTACTACTACTAGCGACTTTCTTTTATCTCATTCCTCGATAGTAGATTATAGAGTACTACTACTAGAGACAATCTACTATCTCGCTAAGCTCGATAGTAGATACTCGATAGAAGATACTCGATAGAAGATACCTTAACATTACCTTAGCATTATCTAATTTGCATTCTCGTCACCTTTAGCCCTTTCAATTCTGGTATCACGTGCCCTTTTCACGTGCTCGATTTTATTTATTTTTTCTGGCGTCAATTTTTTTTTTTCATTCCCTTTTGGGAAGGTGAAATTTGAAGGGGGAAAGGAAAGAGGAAGGGAAAGGAACCTTTTCCAAATTGATATTGAGATAGATTCGGTAGGTATACCATGTCAATTCAGTTAAGCGAGGCCAATGTTTTTCCTATAGATTATAGGGGACGCTTGACTGAAGGGATCACTTATGATTATAGGAACAATTCCTTGTTATGGATTGATATTATTGTTGGAGAGTTGCACCGAGTTCTGCTTGATGATTTGAATAAGCACGAGGTATTGAAATGGTCAACCAAAGGAGAGTCAATTGGGTTTATAGCGTTGACCAAAAATGAGGATATTTATTTAGTTTGCGCGAAATCGGGTTTGGCCAAGGGGAATTTCAAGACTGGTAGTATTGAATATTTTTTCAAGTATCCACTTGACGAAAAAGAGCAATTGAGGTTGAGATCAAACGATGGGTTGATTGATCCCTGGGGAAACTTGTGGATCGGATTAATGACTGATTTCCCCATTACCGAAAAGGAAGGTGGTGTTCAACCCGAAGGGAAATTGCTCAGAATATCTCCAGATTTGAAAGTTGAAGTTATGATGGAAAATACAAAGATTTCCAATGGATTGGCTTTTTGTTCAAAGGGAAGAAAGTTTTATTGGACAGATTCATTAAACTATACGATATGGAAATTTGATTATGATCATGAAACAAATACTTTGAGCAATAAGACTCCTTTTGTTGAAACCAAAAAGATATATGCTGATGTGGAAAGTCCCGAACCCGATGGAATGGTGCGTACTGAAAATGGACATATATACTCTGCTATTTTCAACACATCTACGATATTGCATGTCGACAAAGAAGGAAATTTGGTAGAAAAGATCCATGTTCCGGCAGAGAGATGTACTTGCGTAACTCTTGGAGGTAAAGATGGCAGTGACATGTTTATCAGCACTGGAAATTTAAAATTGGATGATTTTAGTATTGATATTGACCCCGGTAACTTCTTTGGTGATTTAGGCGGGTTCATTTTTAAATTCAAGTCGGATAAGGACCTTAAAGGTCAAAGGAAGAATATTTGGGGTGGTGACGTATAGATAAAGGAAATAAAAAAAAAAAAAAAAATAAAAGTAATGTAAAGTAAAGTAAAAAATAAAGAGAGAGGGAAAGTAATCACAAGGTTTCGTTTAGTTGTAGGACTCTTTCAACAAATTCCTCGACTAGTTCATTCTCTTCTATGCCGCCTATACGTAAATCGCTTAGTTTTAAATTCATCACTTCTAATTTTTGTTCACGATTAAGGTTTTTGATGAAACCTTCTTGAAGTATGGTAATTATAGAAAGTAATTGAAACTGTAAAACTGGTTGTTTTAGTAGGTAGCGGATTTTTTCATCCTCTAAGAATTTATCAAACTTGGATCCCGTAGAAGGAAAATCTTGTTTATCTATCAATGAGATGTTTTTGTTGTTGTTTTTGTTGCTGCTGCTGGCACCACTGCCAGAATTATCATTAGCGATTTCTTCGTTGTGTTTATCAGAATGAGATTTATAGCAAGCAAGCGAACAATACGGAAGTTTACATTTGGGACATTTGTATTTGCTCTGCTCTACGTTACATACCTGGCATATCATGTTTCAAATGCCATTTATAGAGATGAGATGGTTCATAGAAGAGGGACAAAATATATGAAATTTTTCAAAATCTGCAATTTGAGTCGTGTCGGTAGGTACAAAGATTACCAGCCAACCAACCAACCCTCCTGGCTACTACTATACAAGATCCAATTGCCGAAAAGGGTTCCTTTCAACTCGTAGTGGTGATGGTAAGAGTGCTAGTGCTAGTTTTTTGACTTTACTGTGCAAGAGTTGCTACTACTACTGTATAGTTCTAATTTCCTTATAATCGTTTACCTCGTCATTTCATTAATTTATACATTTTGTTATATATGTAAAAATATCATCATAAAACCTTTTCTAAAAAAAAAAGAATAGTATGCTTCATTTGTCGAGCCATGCTATGCTTTACCAGTATGAAATACCCATCTGGGTCACATACGGATTTATAGATTGTAGCTCTTGTGTTATTGGTAATGGTAATGGCAATGGTTGTGGTTGATAATGAGTATTGTACTTGGTAGTGAAGTGGAATTGATTTTGTGTGAGTGGTGGCAATTGCAGAACTAATTGCTGCTTAGGAGGAGCGCATGGCGGTGGCGGTAATGGTAGTAGTTGTTGTTGTTGTTGTTGTTGTTGTTGGGGGTGCGGCTGCGGCTGCGGCTGCGGCTGCTGTGTATAGTATTTATATTGTGGTGCCTGCAACAGGGGTTGTGGGTAGTACACTTGCTGTGTTTGGTATTGCTGCGAAATTGTTGTTTGATAGTATCCATTTGTCACCGTAGATAATTGCCGCAGGGTGGTTGGAGTGGTTGTAAAGCTTTGTGATGGTGATACCATCAATATCGGATTCGAGTGTATTTTCCTTCTTTTTATGCATGAATATTCTGCAGTGTTAGCGGTGTTGTTACTATTCATTGGTGTGCTTGGAGTCAATGGATAGTTCAATGGCGATGAAAAAGTGGTTGACGTGAATGGCGAGGAGCTAGAGTATAACAATGGTGGTGGAGTAGATGGAAGTATGGGTGGACAACCATTCCAGTTTAGTGCTACATTTGTCTTGTTGGTCATTTGCAGTTCCTCAGTCAAAGTGATTAGTGATTTGAATCTCAACAAGATGGATTTATTGAATTTAAACAACTTACTATTACGGTTGCTGCTGCTATTGTTGTTGTTGTTATTGTTATTGATGCATCCGCCGTCTTCGATCAATTTCCAAAATTGATCATCCAGTGACATTTCAATAAACGAAAGTTTGTAATCCAACGAAGCAAGAAAGTAGGCTTCGATAGTATTCAACAATTTGATATCTATATTGACAGTTGGTTGTGATCTATTTGTATTATCAATTATAATCCACCATGTTTTCAAAGTGTACGATTGATCATCAAAGGATTTGTTTGAAAGAATTAATGAAGCAATGATCATGTAGATAACCATAGAGTCTGTAAACTCCTCTACGTTTGCACTTGTCTCCTCTTTTTCAAGTGCATTTTCATTTTGAACTTTGTGTCTTAGTATGCTGTTGTGGTGGTAGTGTTGATATAGGTAGTAGATTGAAATTACCAAGTTAATTGAAGCAATTTGTGAGTTTGATATTAATTCTTGTATAAATTTACCATATTTGTTATTGAAATGAGTAAATAGCTTGTGGTTAATCTGTCGTTGTCGTTGTGGTGAAGTTGTCCTAGATGCAGGTGTCTGAGTGCTTGATATTATTATCCAAACAAACTTTATATATCCGTTGATATAAAACGGATCCATGTTATAGTATCAAGAGGGAGAAGGGGGGGGTGGAATGTGCTACAGGTACGAGTGCTGGTATGTGTGGGCTTGTGGTGTTGCTGCTGGTATGTGTGGGCTTGTGGTGGTGCTGGCAATGGTGCTCTAATAATGGTTTTATTTTAGCTGCGAAAAAACAGTAATATTTAATATGAGTTATTGCAAAAATATTTGCAACTATTCAATATATGATGTAAATAGTAATATAACCATGAGATGGGAAAAACGACTATGCTATTTAATAAAATGTCTCTTTATTGAAATCAATACGGCACTAGGTTGTATAGAGGAGGCATACAAATATATATATATCGAGTTTTATGCTCGGATTGGAATTGAATCAATTCCAGACTATTATTATAGATATACACACATGTTAATAATTTATTCTGATTAGGTTTTTAACTTTCCAGCAGTAATCAGCAATATCCAGTGGGACGTAAACAGAAAAGAAAACAGGGGTAAAAAAAAACAAGTTAGCAGGTTACACAGACACACATCACAGATCACACATCACACATTGTACATTACGCACATCACACAAGACGACACAAGACGAAGCAGAACCAAACAGAAAACACTTTTGTACTGAAAAAAAAAGCTACAGAGCACAAAGTTGTAGATTATATTATAGTGCAAAAGATTAACCGCTCGTCATTTTGAGCTGTTATTTTTTTTTTTTTTTTTTCAGTTGAAACAAGAGAATTTTTAGAAAACAGAATGGAATGAAAAAAGTGAATAATCAGTAATACCGAAATCTGAGAATAAACTCAGAGTTGTGTAGGATATGTATATTTTTGATACAGGTATAAAAATACGAATTAGCAGTAAACAATGAGAAGGTAGCAGGGTGAATAGAAGAGCAATAGGTAGGAGGCAGCAGGTGACATTTTTGAAGTAATATATTACTTGTGTAAATGTGTAAAGCTATGCAAACCTACATTCATTTAACCAAATTGATACATCACACAAGACACATAGGCAGGCAGAAAAAAAAAAAAGAAAAAAAAATCTTAGTCTTAGTCTAAATCTATACAGATAGGAAACGAAAAAGAACGAAAGGACAGTTACTTGTATTTCTTGCAAACTAACAATTTTCTTGAAACATCTGCTACCTCTTAAAGTTTCCCATCCTATATGCAATCAATACTATTTCTTAAATTGTCTTTTTTTTCTAACGTCTTGTTTCTCTTTTTTTTTTTTTTTTTGGGGGGGGGGGGGGGGGAACATTTCCGGTGTGGAAATTTGATTTGTGAGAGAGAGGTGGGTGGTGAACTTTAAGGGATCGATCTAGACCTCAGGCGGTCAATGCTACAATATGCAATGTGTCGCGAGCTTTCAAAATCATTCATTAATTTGACTTCCTAAAATTTATTTTATGACCAATATCGAATTTTTTTTTCTTTTTTGGTGATATTATCTTTTTTTTTTTTTTTCAAAACCTGAACAAGGAGCATAACTAAAATCAAGATTGATGTTAGATATAATCGAGATTCAGCAAGTAATGAGTTGAATAATAACATAGTTCAATGCTAAGTATAGCAAAAAAAAAAAAAAAAGCAAGGAAAAGGAACCGCTTCATACACATTCTATGATATGCTGGTGTTTTAATAATTTTTAGAATTTCGAAAAAGTATTTAAAAGTATCCAGATTTTTTTGAAAGTTTTAGAGGGTTGTATGTGGTACCATCCTTTGCCATTCGGTTTGGCCTTTTTCGAGCAAAACCCTCCTATATATATTTTTTTTTTTGGTTTTTTCTTGAGAGGAAAATATGAACAAGGGTGTTATCCATGAGCCTGGCACCATGCCAAGGCTACCTTCTTTTCAGCAGTTGAATGAAACACTCAACGATCCTGATATTTCAAATGGGCCAACAGCGAAGAACATTTTGCTGTATTCTTCGGCATTTAAGAATCTAGCTCTATATCAAGAAAGTAAGTCTATGAATGCAAATGCAAATGCAAATGTGAATGCAAATGCAAACGGGAACAAGGTGATAAATAAGGGATGCGTAACGAATCCATATAGTTTAGGTCCAGGATATTCGTATGGTAACACAATATATGGACGTCATGAAAGCTATCCGAGCCATTATTATAGTCTCGGCCCAGATGTGTATAGGCAGAAACAAGACTCGACGTCACCGACATCACTAGATGGCATGAATATGTCCAAGTCTAATTCTAATGATATACCGCATGAAAGCTTTGAGGATTATACGTTTATCTCGGACCTTGTTCAGTTTCTAACAAGTTTTGAGCTCAAGTGTCGGGAAAATAACGTTTTAAAGTATCATAATTTTGATAATTTTGGCAACGGCATTAGTAATGCGTTGAACAGTATGAATAATGTGGATATTGAGGGAGTTTTGAATAAGTTTAAAAAAATCACTAGATTACTAGAAGGTGTTCAATTTTCCAAAAACAGTAAACAGTGCGGACAAGAGATTGATAATGTAGCAGGTAATATGGCATTGAAGAGAGGGCTAAGCCAGCCACTGCTTCTTGGTTTAGACCGAAAAAAGAAACAAAAGAGGGCTGCACATCAGTCTATATCATTTCCCACTGGTTCCAGAATATCACCATTTGAAGTCAGTATGCCAACTAATGATTCAAACACATTTGGTCATGACCGTCAAGGACATAATAGTGTGTGTATGGGAGTAGTGGGCGGTGGTGGTACTGGCGCTGGTGTTGGTGTTGGTGTTGGTGGATTAAATTCCGATTTGACACTAAAGGCAGATATCGTATGTCAGCATTGCTGTTCACATGAGACTCCGGAGTGGCGTCGTGGTCCAGAAGGAAGTAGAACGTTGTGTAATGCATGTGGTTTATTCTATTCTAAATTGATCAAAAAGTATGGATTACATGAAGCTGATAGAGTTATGCTAGAACGAAAACAAACTGGTACAGTGAATGATAGAAGAATCTTTTGACAGAAGGAGAAGTTGAGAAGTGAAGAAAATAAGCGAGCGTGGGAGAGCAATGAAGAAACCAAGAAATTGAGCGAGATAGTGGAGCATACTAGCTCTTATCAACACTATTGAGAAATGCTCAGTAGCTTGCTACAACACTATCGAGCAGAGCGAGATGGTGTCCTTTGTCAGTAGCTTGCTACAACACTATCTTGCTACACACGGGTTTAATATGCTTCTGCTCCTCTAGTCTCAATAGTGTCCTTTGTCAGTAGCTTGCTACAACACTATCTTGCTGCACACGGGATTAATATGCTTCTGCTCCTCTAGTCTTCATAGTGTTGTAATGAAACACACGTGTTTAATATGCTTCTGCTCCTCTAGTCTTCATAGTGTTGTAATGAAACACACGTGTTTAATATGCTTCTGCTCCTCTAGTCTTCATAGTGTTGTAATGAAACACACGTGTTTAATATGCTTCTGCTCCTCTAGTCTTCATAGTGTTGTAATGAAACACACGTGTTTAATATGCTTCTGCTCCTCTAGTCTTCATAGTGTTGTAATGAAACACACGTGTTTAATATGCTTCTGCTCCTCTAGTCTTCATAGTGTTGTAATGAAACTTGCTAAAGAGGAGGGGTTTGATCTGAGTAGTTGTTTTTAGTAGGATATAATTTGTTTGTAATTACCCCCTAAGAATCAAAAGAAAAGCCGCCTAATATTTTGTTCAATTTTTCAGCCTTGTATGCAGTACCCTCATCTCATCTCAGCGGTGCCAATTTTTTTCTTCATTCTTTGATTGATTGATTGATAACTCTTATTCAACAAGTTGCATTCGGTTTTGGAAGGTATAGGGTTTGTTGCACCGGGATTTCACGGTATAGATGTATAGGAGGTATGTCCGAGTCCAAGTCTGTAATTAGTAGTAGCGAGTATGCGTTTCCTAGAGGTGGTTCTACGGCTTTAACGCCGTTGGAAGTCAAGGAGATTTCCAATGAAGCTACCAAAGATGTGCTATTTGAAGTTGCCAATCTGAACAAAAGATCCAAGAGTGGTCTGGGTTTGGAGGAGAAATCAAGAAAGAAGCAGCGTAGAAGTGGTAAGAGCAGATCTAGAGAGGAAGGGGACAAGGACGAAACCGATGAAAACAAGGTGACTGTAGAATATTTAAATTTTAAGAATCTTTTACCGAAATCATTAGTCTTTGGCCAAATACAGTCAGTTAACAAGTTGGACATTGTGTTGGCATTAGAGAACAATTTAGTTGGGTATATACCTATAACTTCGATTAGTGCGGAAATGACTGATTTGGTTGATAAATTTGAGGAAGAGGAACAAGAAGAGGAAGAGGAGGAGGAGGAGGAGGAGGAAGAGGAGGAACAAGAAGAGAATGACAAGAAGATGAGCAAGGCTACATTCACAACCAAAGAGGCAAAAGTATTTCCCGATTTAAAATCGATATTCACAGTAGGATCTTGGATAAAAGCAAAAGTTGTCGAGGCAGACAATAAAAGTAAGAAAAAAAGGATAGAGTTAAACATAGAACCAAAAGTTGTTAACGCCAACATCGAGGAGGAAGATTTAGTTCCAGGAAACGTATTGCTGTGCTCGGTGAAATCAATCGAAGATCACGGTGTGATTGTAGATATTGGTGTCAATGGCTTTTCTGGATTCTTGTCCAACAAAGAAATACAAAACGCCAAACATCTTGATCTAAACAAGATAAGCGTTGGGCTAGTTATTGCATCTACAATTGTTGCTAAACCCTCTGGAAGAATATTAACTTTGAAGCCGGTGGATTCCACTTTTAAGAAACAACAAGCAGTGAGCAAGATAGCATCCGTTGATTCTATTCAACCTGGTATACTCGTTGACGCTTTGGTCAGTGAGATAGCTGAGGACGGGATTTTAGCAAGAGTCTTTGGTTTGGTTGATGCAAGTATCAATATTTCGCAGCTACATGTTTTTAGTGTTTCCGATTTAAAACACAAATATGCCATTGGAAGTACAATCAAAGCCAGGATTTTAGCAGTTTTAGAAAAAGGCGGAGTTAAGAAATTGGTACTATCTTTACTACCCCATGTATTGCAATTAGAGGGCAAATTACAAAAAGAAGAAGTGCTTGAAGCGTTTCCTATAGGTCACATATTTGACGAAGTTGAGATTGTTGGAACAGATAGGAGTTATATTTATGTTAGTTTCGGCTCGAAAGCTTTATTTGGCCAGGTACACAACTCCAATCTTGCTAGCAACAAGTCATTGCTTGACTACACCATAGGCAGTAAACACAAGGCGAGAGTTGTTGCGTTCAACACTATTGATAATTTGTTAGTTCTTACCTTTGATGAAAAAATCATTCAAGCAGAATACCTAAGTGTAAAAGATATTCCATTGGGGACATTATTGCCAAACTGTGAAGTTGTGAAGGTGTTACCTGATAACGGAGGAATCAATTTGAAAATCAATGGCGGTGGTGTTGAATTTATTGGAACTGTTCCTCCAAACCAAATGTCGGATATTAAGCTTGTATATCCAGAGAGGAAATTCAAACCGGGCTCCAAAGTGAAGGGTAGAATTTTAGGCCACAAGGGTAAGATACCATTGATCACCTTGAGGAAAGCATTGGTAAATCTTGAAGATGATGAGATACTTCTGAACTTTGATGATGCCAAAATTGACTTTAGGACAAATGCCACTGTGGAAAAATTTGTTCATGGTGGTGCAATTGTTTCATTCTTTGGTACCCTTCGAGCTTTCTTACCAAAGACGGAGATTTCGGAAACCTTTGTTGAAGATGCTAGTAAATATTTGAAACTTGGCCAAATTGTCAAGGTTAAAATATTGGATATTAACAAAGAGAAAAAGAAATTGATTGTCACCTTAAAACAATCGAGTGAATTATCGAATGCACAGAAACTAGAAATATCACAGCTATTGCCAGGAAGATCCATGGTCGATGCTGTTATAGTTGAGAAAAAGAATAATGCAGTTTTGATTGAACTTGTTGGTGGTTCCAATTTAAGAGGTGTTATCAGCGATGGACATCTTTCAGATGGAAACTATGAGCAGAACAGAGCACTATTTAAGAAGCTTGAGATCTCAAGTAAAATCCAAGCTTTGATATTGGAGAAGGATTTAAAAGCAAGAACTGTTATTGCCACAGCAAAGAAATCCTTGATTGAAGCAGCAAAGAGAAACCAATTCCCAATTGATTTTGACGATATTCAGCCGAATAAAGCTGTTAAAGGATATATAAAATCAGTCACCAATCTCGGATTGTTTGTTTCATTTGCTGGAAGGTTAACTGGTTTGATCTTGGCGAAATATGTAAGCAGGAATTCAAATGAAGATTTGTCAAAAAAATTTTACAAATACCAGTCAATCGCATGTCGTGTATTGAGCATCGATCAGGAGAATAGGAGGTTCTTGTTAACATTAACCGATGGTAAGGATTCTGATGATGAAGAGTTGGTGAATCCAGTTGACTCTAGTAAGAAATATGTTGCTGATTATACATCAGGAACAATGACCAAAGCAGTTGTAAAATCCGTTAAGGGAACTCAATTGAATGTTCAATTGGCTGATAACTTGCAAGGCCGTGTTGATGTTACTCAGTGTTTTAAATCTAGTGATGATATTAGAAACATGAATCAGCCATTGTCTGCATTCCATAAAGGAGAAGCGATTGAGGTTAAGGTTATCGGTGTACATGATGCTAAAACTCACACATTTTTACCTATAACACATAGAAAAGCACATAATCAGACGATTTTAGAGTTGTCTATAAACGACCCGGTTATTAATGGCAAGGAGTTGAGTAGCTTAAGAGTTGGTGATGTTAAGCCCGATGAAGAGTTTTTATCGTTTGTCAACAACATTGATCGTGGATTTGTTTGGGTTTCTATATCTCCTGCTATCCGAGGACGTATCCCGTTTTTTGATTTGACTAATGATGGGACTATTTTCCAAGATTTTGAAAACAAGGTTCCCATTGGTTCTGCATTGAAAGTCAAGGTGAAGGAAGTTGACGAGGAGCACAATACTTTATCCTTAGTGTCAAGAACAAAGTACATTTCCAAAGTTGAAGATGTTGCAAAAGGTGAAACATATCCGGCTAAAGTTGTTAAGATTAAAGATACTTTTGTATTGGTTACTTTAGGTAACAAGGTGATTGCATCATCATTTATAACTGATGCTCTCAACGATTATACTGACAAACTAGACCATGTCTTTCATTCTAATGAATACGTTGCTGCTACAGTTCTCGATGTTGATGTCGAAAATAAGAAAATTTCCGTTAGTTTAAGAGACGAGAAGAAAGCGACAGATAAGATGATCAGCACTGTTGAAGATTTAGCGCGTGGTCAGATTGTCAAAGGGTTCATCAAAAACATTGCCAGCAATGGAGTTTATGTTTCCCTTGGTCGATCGGTGCATGCTTTAGTTCGAGTCTCCGACCTCAGTGATTTATACTTAAGAGATTGGAAAAAGTATTTCAAGCAAAATCAATTAGTTACTGGTAAGATTATAAATTGTAAAGAAAAAGGTAAAGTGTTGATGACATTAAAGGATAGTGAAGTAAATGGAGATTTAAGGATTTTGAAAAATTTTGATGATTTGCATATTGGGGATATATTTGAAGGGACTGTAACAAAGACAACTGATTTTGGAGTGTTTGTTAAGTTAGATGGTACTATTAACATTAGTGGGTTATGTCATATCTCCGAGATTTCTGAAAATGACGTTAAAGAAGTTTCTAAATTGTTTGGTGAGGGTGATAGAGTAAAGGTTAAGATTTTGAAAATTGATCTCGTTAAAAAACAATTGTCGTTGGGTATGAAAGCATCTTATTTTGCAGAAGGCAAGGGGGACGAAGAGGGAGAAGATGTTGATATGGAAGACGCCGAAGACGAGGAGAACAAAGAGGATAATGAAGATGAAGACGAAAGCATGAGTGAGGACGATGATGACGATGATGTTATCATCGACGCCAAGGATAACCGAGATGATGAGTCAGAATTTGAGGAAGAAGGAGACAATAATTCGAACTCGGACTCTGACCAAGAAGATACGGGTGTGTCGTCTACTAATATTGGCTTGTCGACAAACGGTTTCGATTGGACAGCTTCAATTTTGGATCAGAACAAAGATGATTATGATTCCTCTTCAGATGAAGATGAAGAAACCAGAGAACTCAGCAGCGGCAATAAGAAAAACAAAAAGAAAAACAAGCAATCCAAGCATGTTGAAGATAAGACGATTGACCTCAATACCCGTGCGCCTCAATCTGTTTCCGACTTTGAAAGATTATTGATTGGTAATCCCAACGATTCGATCTTGTGGATGAACTATATGTCATTTAACTTACAGTTGAGCGAGCTTGATAAGGCACGTGAAATTGGAGAAAGAGCTTTAGAGACGATAAATTATCGAGAAGAGCAGGAGAAATTAAACATCTGGATTGCATTGTTGAATTTAGAGAATAGTTTTGGTACTGACGAGTCGTTGGATGCAGTATTCAAAAAATCGTGTCAATATATGGATTCATTCACGATGCATCAGAAATTAGTAAACATTTATATAATGAGTGAGAAATTCGAACAGGCTGAAGAAATGTTTGAGAAAATGTTGAAAAAATTTGGTAGGGACCATGTTTCGATATGGGCATTATATGCATCATTTTTACTAGATCAGAATCACCTGGAGAAAATCCATGATTTGTTATCTCGAGCATTACAAGTTTTGGCTAAACGCGATCACATTGAGGTTGTTCGGAAATTTGCTCAATTGGAATTTAACAAGGGAGATCCCGAACAAGCGAGATCATTATTTGAGGGATTGATTGCTGATGCACCAAAGAGAATCGATCTATGGAACGTGTACATTGACCAAGAAATCAAATTAAAGGAGAATAACAATAAGCAAGAAAGCAATGTTGATAATATAAGAGATTTATTTAATCGAGTTGTTGAGAATAAGAAAGTATCGCGAAAACAAGCAAAATTTTTCTTTAATAAATGGATGAAATTCGAGGAGAAATTAGGCGATGAAAAGATGATGACGAGAGTCAAAGCTAAGGCTATTGAATATGTTCAAAATCAAGAATCTTCTAACTGATTAGGTTGTATAGAAATAGAATAACTTTTAACTTTACAGAGTATTTTTTTATATTTTTTTGGGTGCAAAAGAAAACATAGTTTGAACATGGCTGCAAAAAGGCGCTTCGATTTATTGAGCGACACTATCGAGCGACACTATCGAGCGACACTATCGAGTGACACTATCGAGCAGAGCGAGATAGTGTTGTAACAAGCTAGTCAGTGTTGCCCCACTATTGAACAGAGCGAGATAGGTGTTAGCTAGTCGGTGCTGCTCCACTATTGAGCAGACACACGGGTTTGATTGCAAACCTTATATGGGGTTAATTTAAATTCAAAGTCTTTATTCTTATTATTATTAAAAAGAGTATAGTGTGTGTGTATATATATGTGTGTGTGTGTATGTGTGTGTCTGTGTGTATGTGTCTGTGTGTATGTGTCTGTGTGTCTGTGTCCGTGAAGGAGTATCCGGGTATTGGAGTGGCTCTGTAGTGAATCAGTATATGTTTTGTAGAGGGATAAACGTCAAATGGGATAAAAATATTTTGATATTGATGTAGGGAGTAAGACAAAATCGTAAGATTTATTTTGTATTCTAAAGATCGTTGAAGGAGATGATCTCTGATTGTTGAATTTTATTGAATCGAGTGTCTGACTCTTGACGGTGATGGCGTCAGAGATTGGAGAAGTTGCAGAAGTTGCAGAGATTGTAGTTGTAGAGGATGTAGAGATTGTAGAGATTGCAGATGTTAGAGAGGTGGTAGCTAGTCAGTGCTACTTCACCAACTCGTTCTGCTCGATAGTGGACTTTGTTTTATATATATGCATGGACATGTAACAGAGATTTGCACACTAGATTTTAGATTTTGGGCTATGATATCACTATTATTATTAAAGCTTTGTTGGCGACACTATTGAGCAGAGCGAGATAGTGGAGCAACATTTTGTACCTTGATACCTTTGCACGATAAAGTTGCATCAAGTTGATTGAATATACATTAGAGAGAGAATGATTTGAGCAATAGGAGTTGCACTATATTGGCTGACTCATTGAACAGAAGGAAAAACATAATTTTCACTAATCTCTACCCACTAATCTCTACTCTCTACCCACTAATCTCTACCCACTAATCTCTACCCACTACTCTCTACCCACTACTCTCTACTTTCTACTCTCTACTCTCTTCTTCCTCTCTACTCTCTACCCACTAATCTCTACTCTCTACCCACTACTCTCTACTTTCTACTCTCTACTCTCTTCTTCCTCCCTACTCTCAAGACTATCTCGCTCTGCTCGATAGTCTGTCTACTCTCTTTTTCCTCTCTACTCCCAAGACTATCTCGCTCTGCTCGATAGTCTGTCTACTAAAGATACGCTAACAGATATATTTTGTATCATATAGAGAGATAAAGGGAGCAATGTGTTACAGTACAGGATTTGATACATTTGGTACATACATTTTGCAAAGGACACTTTATATCGAATCGAATGCAGCGGACTTGGTAAGTGGTAGCGCTATATATATATATATCGACCAGAGCGAGATAGTGGTGCAACACTCTGTAGTTGCCACCAACAGTAAAATAGAGACTAACACTATCTCGCTCTGCTCGATAGTGGAGAAGCACTTTGACTAGTAACACTATCTCGCTGTGCTCGATAGTGGAGCACCATTGACTAGTAACACTATCTCGCTCTGCTCGATAGTGGAGCACCATTGATTAGTAACACTATCTCGCTCTGCTCGATAGTGTTTTTTTTTTCTTTCACATGGAAAACAAACGTATGATGTTGTTGTTGAGGCGCGCGCATAAACAGGGATGCACACGGTAGCGCTCTTAGTTAGCGATGTAGTTTGTGGTGGGTGTAGTATAGTACTGTTTTGCTGAAAAAGTGGGTGTAGAGAGTTTACTGAATTGGGTTGGAAGGAATAGACCTACCAAGGGGGTGGAAAAGAGGGGAGATGGGGTGAAAAGAATGCTACTCCACTCTCCACTATCGAGCAGAGCGAGATAGTGGAGAAGCACTTTGTAGGTTGTTACAACATTATTATAAAGGGCTTTAATATCTCCACTATCGAGCAGAGCGAGATAGTGGAGTAGCACTTGATAGACACTTGGTGTGTAAGGATCAAGCTTGGGTGAGGCTCAAGCATGGGTGAGGCTCAAGCATGTGTGAGGCTCAAGCATGGGTGAGGCTCAAGCATGTGTGAGGCTTGTTACAACACTATCTCGCTCTGCTCGATAGTGTTGCTCGATAGTGTTGCTCGATAGTGTTGCTCGATAGTGTTGCTCGATAGTCTTGCAATATAATACGATAAGAATCTATAGGATAAAAAATATGATTAATCTTTTTAGCTGATTATATTACCATGTATTAAAAATCACAGATTTCAAGGGATATTAAATGTGAGATGAGACTAAAGGGAGTTACATTGCCTCTCTACAAAAAGATATTAATATACTTTCTCAAACCAAACTCTCTTCTCAGTCACTCTTTATTCTTTTGTATTCTCTTTATTCTTTTGTTTATGTTTTTGTCTAGTACTAAACTTCGTTGGGTAGAAACTGTTTTAGTATATTTTTACCGAGACCCAATAAAATTTTATCCGGATTTAGAGACAAGTCAAGAGACAAGTTAGTAAATAAGAAAAGTTAGTAAATAAGAAAAGTTAGTAAATAAGACAAGGCGGTAAATAAGACAAGATAGTTATATTCCCTAGTAGGTTCTCTAATCCGTTTTCGCTGATCCCCATCCCTCATTGTACTTAGTTCCGAGCTTTAAAACTTTGCAACACTTTTACCTTCTGTCTTTCGTGTAAAAGAGAGATTTTGATTTTGATTTTTTTTTTTCTCTTGACTTCAAGGTGAGTGATTATTTCACAAGACAATTAAATGCTTTAATAAAGTCACATACTTAATTAGCACAGTAAATTCACATAGTTAAATGGATTTGGTTGTAAATGCTTATTAGTTAATGCTTTGTATGTGACTTTAAGTACTTTTGTTGTTAGGTTAGTATATATATATCTATCACTTGCCCGTTTTAAATTTACAACATTTAATCAAATTGTCAACCATTTTGGACAAGCTATTAAATTAGTATATTCTTTACATACAAGCTTGTGCCTTATACATCCTTATAAGCTTGAGCCTTATACATCCTTATAAGCTTGAGCCTTATACATCCTCACAAGCTTATCCTTATACACCAAGCTTGAGCCTCACACAAGCTTGATCCTTATACAAGCTCGAGCCTCACACAAGCTTGATCCTTATACAAGCTCGAGCCTCACACAAGCTTGATCCTTATACAAGCTCGAGCCTCACACAAGCTTGATCCTTATACAAGCTCGAGCCTCACACAAGCTTGATCCCTACACCAAGTGTCTATCAAGTGCTACTCCACTATCTCGCTCTGCTCGATAGTCTGATAAAATGACAATAGACAACATACAACCAAACCCTCCTCCCCCTTATTCAAAAGCTCCTCCTACTACTTCAACAAACACTCTGGATATCGTTCAAGCCGCAGCTGTATCGTCTCCACCACCTACACTACCACTATCACCGCTGGCGAATTCCGATCCAAGCCTTTTACACCATCAAAGCTCCTTGCAACAACTAGCTCACTACCAACAACAACAACAACAAAAACAGCTGCTGCATGTCCAATCAGATTTGGTCTCTGCAGCTCAAGCTTTGACCCTGTTGACTAAAAACGCCTCATCGCCATCACTGGATCTAGAAACAATAGTCACTACAGACGATTTGGACACAACTGCATCTCATGATTTTGCAACTACAGCTTCGGGCGAAGCGCAAAGCCAAAGCCAGAGGGAAAGGGAAAGGGAAAGGGAGGAAGAGGAAGAGGCAGAATTGCCACAACAAAGACATCCTTTAGTCTCAACCGTTTCCATGGTTGCTAAGCATCCCGTTGTTATGAATGCCGTTAAATACTATGAAACTTCTAAAAGAAATTACCCATCATTCAATTATGCTGCCGGTATAGTTGAAGCAGCTGCAATTCCAGTTGTTACCAAAATCGAAGACAACTTAAACACAAGGCATCAACATCAGTCGAGAAAACCGTCTTCTACCGATATGACCCCGGTATCTTCATTTGACAATAAACAGTTGCAATGCGAACCTCGGCCTCAGAAGCAGAAAAAGAGAAGATACTCAAATTCAAGTAGTATGTCTACTACTTCAATAACACCATCAACATATGACGTTAAAAAAAGATTACAGTTTTGTATATGTATTTTAAAAGCAGCAAATGCCAATATCAATTCAAAAATCAACTTTCTTCAAACAAAAATAAACGAAACTGAAATGGCTGTTAAGGAAGAGCGGTATAAGCTACAAAATGAAGCACAACAACAACAACAACAACAACAACAACAACAGTATTCAACAAGCGACGAGGCTACTCAAAAGACTAAATCCGAAATTGTTGGTACAGTTAAGAAAATTATTCATTTGATTTCGAATTTCCGTCCAAGCGCCTTGAGCCAGCCACCGGCATCGCCAGTAGTACCGCCAGCAGCAACGCCAACACCAACACCAACAGCAATAACTCCAGAAGATAGTGACTATAATACAAGCAACACCTTAACTCCAACTTCATCTCAACATTCGTCATGTATCCAAGATTATGAATTGAAAAACACCATACGTGACATCATTTTGCACCTACCTGCATCCCTACAAAGATCAACAAATCATCAGCGCAATGACAGTGGTGATTATACCTCTGCAGATGGAAACGATCGAGTATTTGCTTTTGCCAAGGAGAGTTTAGATATGATTACTAAACTCACTAATGTGTTTAGCGAACAATTGGAAAGAGTAGAAAGTTGGGTAACGGGCGTAGAGGGAGAAGAAGGACAACACTTGCAACTATCCGGTATCAATGAGAAGGAGGAGGATAGCGGTAATGCCGAAATGAGGGAAGAGAAAAGCGATGGTTCTTTCAGCACAAGGTGTTCAAGTGAAGAGCCCGATGGATTGACTTCTGCTACGAAAAGAATGAGAATTGATGAACTTGTAAGTTGAAAGAAGAATGAAAATGCAAATAGCCAACATGAAGAAGAAGAAGAAAAAAAAAAGAAGAAAAATGTCCTTCAAAGAAGGGAAATTTGATAGAGTGCATGTATCAGCTGGTCTTGATAGGTATACATATATTTATATATTAACTTTCACATCATTAGATAAATTTATTACATTGTTTTTATAGTTGTTGAATTTGAGTTTATAAAGTGTCGTGTTTTATATTATATTCGTTGGGAGTAATAAAAAGGGAGGGGGAATGAAATGCGTATTAACACGATTCGTACTTTTCTCTGAGTCTCAAGCAATGTTGAGTAAATGCAAAGAGGTGATGAGTATTCTTGCACTAGACGCGCATCCATTATTCTGATAGTTCAATTTATGTGAACAAAAACTCAGTTGCCATATTGATATACAGTGGGTATCCTTCCCCCCCCCCCCATATACACACGCACATTCTCTCCTTCTCCCTCTCCCTCCCTCTCCCTCCCTCTCCCTTTCTCTCTCCCTCTCTCCATTCTTCTTAGAGCTTTAGATCGATACGGCTTGGAATCCTCTACCACTAACAACACCCATATAGTCACCCACATTCTGTCTCCAACATACATTATTCACCTCCAATTCTTCCTCATATGCTAAAACAGGTGTGTCGATAACGTATCCTACTGCGCTGCCGCTACTGCCACTATTACTCATTCCTCTATCACCACCACTGATACCACTGCCATTCCCATTCGAAATTGGCAAATTATTATTGCCATTCAAACTTGATGTAGAACTGGCACTAGCACTCAGATTTATGTTGTTAATATCCCATACTAGTACCTGACAGTCGTCTCCTCCACTTAGCAAATAATTCGAAGTAGGATGCCACTCAATCAGATTGATCGCCGGTCCATTTCCTTGACCAGCAGCAGAAACATTTGCAGCACCTGCACCCCGACTCATTGCCGGTGTTGATGTAGATGCATCAATAGTGGCTAAAGGCAATCCAGGCATTCTCATATCGATAATTATAATCTGATTAGAGTTGACACCAATGGTGGCTAAATGATACTGATCAATATTTGAGGTGGTCAATTTTAATAATGCCTTTGAGTTGTAGTTTGCTGAGTGTATTTGTCCAGGAATCCTTACAGTTCCTGAAATTGATGTGGCAGATTGTCCAGAAGATCGTGATCCCTTTGACGAGTTCACGGGAGATGGTAGTGGCTCATAGATTATTGTGGAGTGCTCCAATGATCTTAGATCAAATACCCTCATTGATCCATCATTCCCTACAGAAGCAAACACATTGGTGGATTTATGTATAAATTTAACATCAAACACTTCCGAGTCATGTGCAATCAACTGGGTCTTGACGAGGGCACTGTCTGTAAATTCGTCATAGGGATGTGATCGATTCAAATCCCATACGGTGCATGTAGTATCTACACTCGATGTGATTATGATATTCGGGTCTGTGGTGTTCCAATCAAATGAGGTCACGGGAGGATACGTGTTTGTCTCCTCGCTAGTACCTGAAATAGCCGTGTTGATATTGGCACTATTACTAGTTGAATGACTACTACTTGCAGTGTTATTAGCTAATGTATGCGTCTGAACTAATTGATAATTCTCATTCCCCAAATTGTTCACCTTGTATAATCGCATCACCTCGCTTGAAGCTGCTAATCGTTGAGGAGGTATCATATCCGTACCACTGCCACTGCCACTGCCACCACACTTCAGCATCATTGGGTCCCATTTCAAATGTGTTATAGGATAATCTAAACTAATATCAGCAACACGCTTTAGGAATATCTCATCATTACCTCCGCCACTGGTATCGTCTTCGTAATAATATCCCGTTCCTGCTCCTTGTCCTCTTCCTGCACCACCATAATCATAATTTTGTGATTGGTATCCATAAACAATTTCTAGTTTATTAGTGAATCCTTCCTTATACGACCCAAATGCAATACAATCTAGTGAGCTGTTGCTACTATTATTAAGACAAGTCCAATCACATGCAAAAAGCGGGTATTGACTGAAATAATATGAATTTCGCTCAAAAAGTCCTAGTCCCGCTGAGGAAATTGGAGCCATCCCTGGTGTTGTCCCCGCAGTCATAAGTCCACTGACTGATTGGTATGTATGAGCTGGTGATAGGGGGGCGTTAATTGCGGCGATAGTGGCTGCTGCTGCGTGGTTCATCTTGCCGGGACTTGCCAAAATTGAAGGCGACGGAGCTTGCAGATATGAAACTGATGGAGCGTTTAATGTCGTTCCCTTGGACAAGTACGGCAGATCCTGTTGTGAAAACTGATTCTGATTCTGATGCTGATGCTGATGCTGATGCTGATGCTGGTGCTGGTGCTGGTGCTGGTGCTGGTGCTGATGCTGATGTTGATTCAGGTGATGTGGGGGAGGTATGCGATTCGTCATTGAAGAAGATGTTGGTGGTGGTGCATTAGACAAGGATGATTGTGACGCAACAACACTTGTTGGGAAATTTGCATATGGTAACAAAGGTGAGTAATTCGCTGTGTATGCTGAAGAACTAGGAGGCGGTAAATTTGAACCTGTTGCAGTTGCTGTTGCAGTTGCTGTTGCTGGAATTATCAGTGATGGGCTCGCATTGTATCCATTGTTAGTGTTGTTATTGTTATCACTACTATTATGATTTCCTGCACCACTTGTGGCGGCGCTACTGCTACTTATTGAGCCTCTCTTCCTATGGTGTGAGTTACTATACCAGTCCATGATTTTAGCTTGATGATGTCCAAAAAAAAAAGGTCTGTTTTAAAGTTATCTTGTGCAAAGTATACTAGTGTGTGCTATATAGTGGGTGGGTGAAGAAAGATGAATGCTCTTTTATATCAGTCACTTTTTTCTTTCAATATAAGTTAATTGACTTGTAAAGAATTTCACGTCATTTGTTGGGGTGGTAAGGGGAAAGAGAAGAAGGGAGCGAGCCAATGTAAGGGGAAAAATTCAGTGTTTCTGTAGATGATGGGCCACCAAGATTTAACAACAACTCTCTTTGATGTTTAAACCTCCTTTTTTTTCGCTGCTATTCAATAGACAAGGGAACCAGCTCTGATTATATTGAATTGATGTTACAGTTGAATGATTAGGGGGGTGAGAAAAAAGATGCTGACTAAACACTATCGAGCAAACACTATCGAGCAGAGCGAGATAGTGAAGCACCACTCAGTAGCTTGTTATAACACTTTGTAGCTTGCTACAACACTATCGAGCAAACACTATCGAGCAGAGCGAGATAGTGGAGCACCACTTTGTAGCTTGTTAGATCAAAATCGAGCAGAGCGAGACTATTTGTCAACGACACTGTTAGCTTGTTACAACACTATCTCGCTCTGCTCGATAGTGTTCATAGTGGAGCAATCCTCAGCAGCTTGTTACAACACTATCTCGCTCTGCTCGATAGTGTTGCTCGATAGTGAGCAATACTTTGTAGCTTGTTACAACACTATCTCGCTCTGCTCGATAGTGTTTCGATAGTGTTTCGATAGTATTGTAGTCTAAACTTTACATTCTATAAAATCCAACTCAAACATTACTACTTATATCAGTCATTAAAAAAAGGTTTTACCTCTCAGCAGCTACTTCTTCAACGCTGGGACAAGTACATATTAAATTTAGGTCGCCATAAGTATCATTCAACCTAGAAACAGTGGGCCAACATTTGTTCTCCTTCAAAAATTCTAAAGGATAAGCAGCTTCTTCTCTAGTGTAGCCTCTAGTTTCCCAATCACAAGAACTTACTAGATCTTGAATTGAATGTGGTGCATTCTTCAAAACTTGTCCCTTGGAATCGCCCGCAACGTATGCGTCAATTTCCTTGCGTATGGAAATTAACGATTCGATAAACCTATCCAATTCTGCAAGGTTTTCCGACTCTGTAGGTTCAATCATCAAGGTACCGGCAACAGGGAAAGACATTGTTGGCGCATGGAAACCATAATCCTGTAATCTTTTGGCAATGTCAATGGCTTCAATTCCACTCTTTTGAAATTCTCGAAGATCCAAAATAAACTCGTGAGCACAATGTTTTAAGCCTTCACTTGTTGACGCTTTGTCATTGACAAAGAGAATTCGGTAATATGGCTGTAATTTGGTTAACATGTAATTAGCATTCAACATTGCTATGGTAGATGCATATGGTAATGAATCAGCTCCCAACATCTTAATGTATGAATACGAAACAGGTATAACTGAAGCGCTTCCATATGGCGCTGAGTTTACCGATCTTATAGACTCTTGAGTTGAGTGTGGAGTGTTAACAAAATGATGTTTTGGCAAAAATGGTTCCAAGTGTTTCTTGACACAAACTGGCGCTTGTCCCGGTCCACCACCACCATGACTCAACGCAAATGTCTTGTGGATATTCAAATGGCACACATCTGCTCCTAAATCACCAGGTGAAGTTAAACCAACTTGCGCATTCATGTTAGCTCCGTCAAGATAAACTAAACCTCCATTCTTATGTACAATGTCAATGGCTTGCCTAACTCCAGGTTCAAATAACCCATACGTCGATGGATAGGTGATCATGATGGAACAGAGATTAGCGGCATGTTTCTCTGCTTTTGCTTGTAAATCTTCCAAATCAATAGATCCGTTATCTAAACATTTCACTGGTACAACTTTTAAACCACACATTGATGCAGAAGCAGGATTTGTACCATGGGCACTTACTGGTATAAGACAAATATTCCTTTGTTCGTACTCTCCCCTGGACTTGTGGTACTGTCTAATCAAAGACAACCCAGTATATTCACCTTGGGCACCAGAGTTGGGCATGAGGGTAGTAGCATCAAATCCTGTAATGTCATTGAGATCCTTTTCAAATTCATCAATGAGGTCTTTGTACCCTTCAGCTTGATCCTTAGGTGCAAAAGGGTGGATCATATTGAAACCGGGAATTGATAATGTTTGCATTTCTACTGTAGCGTTTAATTTCATAGTACAGGAACCCAATGGGATCATTGAGTTTGCCAAGGACAAATCTTTAGATTGTAAAAGATGCAAGTATCTCAACATGGCAGTTTCGGAATGATGCGTATTGAAAACTTCATGCTTTAAAATCTCATCGTTTCTTAATAACTCCTCAGGAATAGATGGCAAATCTTCCATTGGCGTAATTATCTCGCCTGTAAATAACTCAACCAAATCTATCAAGTCTTGTTTTTCAACGGTTTCATCTAATTGCAAAGAAACTGTTGAGTCGTCAACCTTGAATAAATTGATACCATACTTGTCCAATGCATTTCGTAACAATTCATCAGCAGTGATACCATTCAACTTTACGGTCAAGGTATCAAACCACTTATCGTTTAAAATCTCGTGTTTCTTTTCAATCTCCTTTGCCAACAAGGTGGTAAAGCCATATACTCTCTTGGCAATGTTCTTCAACCCCTCAGGTCCATGATATACTGCGTAACTTGCTGCAATATTGGCCAACAATGCCTGTGCTGTACATATGTTTGATGTTGCTTTCTCCCTTTTGATGTGTTGTTCTCTTGTTTGTAAAGCTAATCTCAATGCAGGGTTCCCTAATCTATCCTTGGAAACACCAACAATTCTTCCTGGAATCTTCCTAGCGTATTTTGAAGAAGTTGCAAAAAACGCAGCATGTGGTCCACCATAACCAAATGGTACACCAAATCTCTGCGAAGTCCCCAAAGCAATGTCTGCTCCATAAAAACTTGGTGGTTTGATCAAAGTCAATGCTAATAAATCTGCAGCCATGGCGAAAAGTGCCTTGTTCTTGTGCAAGATTTCTCCAATTTGTGAGTAATTGTTTATTGATCCCGTTGTTGTGGGATACTGTACCAAGGCACCGCTTACATCTTTGATAATCTTATTCAATATAGAAACGCCTTTTTCGGTAGCTAAGTTCAACTCTTTTATTTCAACGCCAATATTTTCAGCTCTTGAACGAATAACATCCTTAGTTTGTGGATGCAATTCTGAATCAATAACATATATTTTCTTCTTGCCCTTTGAATTTTGAAATGATAAGCTCATGGCTTCACCTGCTGCGGTCCCCTCGTCTAACAATGAAGCATTTGCCATATCTAACCCAGTTAATGAAGTTATCATGGTTTGATAATTCAATAAACTTTGTAATCTACCTTGAGAAATCTCTGGTTGATATGGAGTATATGAAGTATACCACTCAGGCAGCTCCAACAAGTTTCTTTGAATAACCGGAGGCAATATAGTTCCAGCATAACCTTTACCAATAAAGGATTTAAATATCTTGTTTTTGTTAGCTATTGAATGTAAATGCTTCAACATTTCTTGTTCAGTGAAACCTTGCAGTGGTTGAATTTGTAATTTACGTTTGAATAGCACATGTTGTGGCACGGCGTTAGACAAGAATTCGTCTAAATCGGTATAGCCTAATGTTGCAAGCATATGTTTAACATTTTCCGGGTTTGGTCCAATATGTCTTCTAGTAAAAGTATCTAAATTTGATAGTGTTACTTTGCTAGCATTGGGATTAAATACATTTGCATAATTTTCCAGTGAAGTATTTGCCGTGGCTAATGGTCGACATATCGTCTGAAATCGGATATTTGTTCTAAGGAACCTCCTTTTACTTAAAAACCTTGTGGTTCTAATCATCTGGTGAAAAATAATACCTGCTAAAGCTCCTTAGCTTTACAAAGAGGAACAAGAACAAGAAGAAGAAGAAGAAGAAGAAGAAGAAGAACCCACGAGTTTACAAAAAAATTTCTATAAAAAAAAAACAAATTTCATGGCTCTCTACTTTATCATCCTTATATAAGGCTATTATCAAATGACTAAATAAGAAAAACTACAAACTCGATTGTCAATCAAAGTTGGAGTTATTAAAAGATAAGTTATTGAAAAATTATTAACAAATTGCGATGAGCACTCTCAAAAGAAGTCAAAGAAAAATATCAGAAGTCAAGAAAAAAAAAATTGGCTTGACAATTTATATATACAGAATTTTAACTCCTTTTAAGACACGTAATAAGGAGGAGGATAAACCGTGGTGACAGTCAACACTATCGAGCAACACTATCGAGCAACACTATCGAGCAACACTCAGTAGCTTGTTACAACATTATCTCGCTCTGCTCGATAGTGTTGCTCGATAGTGGAGCAACACTCGGTAGCTTGTTACAACATTATCTCGCTCTGCTCGATAGTGTTGCTCGATAGTGGAGCAACACTCGGTAGCTTGTTACAACACTATCTCGCTCTGCTCGATAGTGTTGCCCGATAGTTCACTTTGACTTCTCTTTATTTTTATTTTTAGTTTTAGAAAATCACCATTTATTGCATTTGATTTCACCACATGGAAAATAAGTCTATTTCTCTGACTTGACAATAAAGATATAATATAATTACTGTAATTATATGACACATGGTAGAGCATGTAAGAAAAAGAGTCTGATTTACAAGAAAAAGATAATATTTTAGTTTCTTAAAAATTTAAATTTTTACTTTTCTTCTTAAATGGGTAATGGCCGTCGTTGGGAAAAAAAGGTACAAACATCAAGTAAAAATAGAAAAAGACTTGATTGATTCGAAAAGTTTACATTTTTGCTCCTAAAATGGTAACTTTGACAATGGAATTATACTACCCTTTTGAGAATTTTTTTGAAAAAACAATTTCAACATAAAGTCTCTATGTAGAAAAATCGAAAAAACAAAAGAAAAGGAGCTCTTTTTTCCAACATACATAGAGAAACCAAAAACTATTTATCATAGTATCAGATTATATCAGATACAAATATTCTTTTTCTAATGCTATATCTTATGGAAAAAGAAAAGTGCTTGGTCCCTTTGCAAATGGCACAATATGGTCAAAAGTTGAAAATCATCCTCACCTGCTGACCGAAATAAGCTCCCCCTGTAAGCTCAGATACATCACCATCTACTGGCGCAGATGGTACATACTTATGCCTTCTTCTTGGTATCCGCTGCTGGTGTATATATCAAGTCTTTGTAGTTTGGAAAATGGGTAATGTACCAATAACTAATTTGACTCCAGGCATATGCAGTACTGTTAACTTCTCCATTACTGTACCAAGAAATGCAGCCACCAAATGGGGTACCAAACACACTCTTTCGCAATTCTTCCTGTATTGTCTTGAACCAATTGTCATATGCCTCGGTTTTAACCACAACTGACTTCTTTTTACCTTGCAAAACCGGTTTAGCAACTTTCAAGTAGTAATCAATACCATTTTCAATAGCCATCACCACTGATGAATGGCCTGTTGCCGAGTTGGGACCACCAATCAAAAACAAATTGGGAATTTGTTTAGGCAATATAGTACAATAAGCACTTGGACCTTCGGTATCCCAAAACTTATTAAGTGATACACCTTTAGTAGTCAGGATTGGTAACTTAAAAGACTTGGCAAGGTTGTAACCAGTACAAGCAACAATTATATCCGCAGGCACAAACTTATCATTGGTCAAAATAATACCATCTTCAACAACTCTTTTAATGTTTTCATTGGTAATCTCTATTCTCGGGTCATGTAAAGAGGGCACATAGTTGTAGTCAAAAATCAATCTTTTGCAACCAATCTTGTAATGGGGAATAAGCAAATCGTGATACTTTGCAGGCGCGTATTTCTTCACATACCTGTTTGAAATCGAGCTATTAACCCAACGCACAAATCTTGACAACAACCCGTTTCCCTTGTAGAGTGGAACTCGTGCCTCAGCAAGTGCTATCGTGAGCCAACGAACCAATAACAAACCATAATAGTTAAAGCTCAACAAACGGTAAAGCCACTGCAAAAATGATGGAACAGGTGGCATAATATAATGCTTTGATTTCGAAATTTGAGTTATTGATCCAACATTATACTGAGGATTATTCAACAAAGCAGGAACGACTTGGTTCGCAGAACATCCGTTTCCAACAACAACAACATTCTTACCCTTAAAATCAACCGAATGGTCCCATACCGCCGAATGCATATAAACCCCCTTAAATTTCTCCATTCCTTCAGATCGCAATTGATTTGGATACACTAACCCACCAGTGCATCCAACCAAGACCTTGGCCTTGTGTTCAACCTTTTGACCTGATTTCGTGTCGTGCGCATACAAGGTCCACTCCCCTGAATCCTCATCAAATACACACTTGTCGATATATGTTTGAAACCTAGTCTTTGGTCTCAAGTTGAATTCTTCAGCAACTCTCAAAATATATTCCTCCATTTCGTATTGAAAAGGTTGTACTTTGCTCCAGTTAGTTGCTAAAGCAAAGGAATAGGAGTACCACAATGCTGGGATATCTGAAGCACATCCGGGATACGTGTTGGCATACCAAGTGCCTCCAAAATTATCGAGTCTATCAAATATAGTGAAATCTTCTTCATGCAACTCCTTCATAGTCTTGATTGCAGTTCCAATTCCACCAAATCCGGCTCCAATAATAGCCACCTTCGAAGCAGAGTAAAGCGTAGGCAACTTGTTATTTATATTCTTTTTGGATACTTCATTATCTCCTAAAATGTCCTTGCAGTCCTTATACTTGACTCTGAACGATGATGGTGTCTTATGCGACTCCTTTGTTAACGTGACTGTAGACATAGTTTACTGAATACAACCCTATAATCCTCGACAAAAGGAACAACCGTTATGAACCAAAAGCTGCTGGCAAAAAAGGTGTCAAGTCCATTTACTTATATAACATTTTTTCTATATTGGGGTGAAAAATTTCCTGATAGGTTAAAAGAAGCAAATCTGGGGAGATCATGCATATGAAAATAAGACACTAAAATTGATAATTAGAACAAATAAAAAAATTAAAAAACAGGCAATATTTTCATTAGCACTTTCTTACCTTTCGTAGTTCTATATACGGATTAGTTTATTGTTTGATTTTTTTTTCCGCAAAGGCTTAAGGTCCGTTGGTTGTTTCTGCGGATATTCTTTATTATATGATGGTTTTCCGCAATGGTTTTGAAGGTCAGGTTGACCTAGTCTAGTGGAATAAGTTTCATGTCAAATTTTTTGTTCCCCTATCCATTATAGAAATTATTAGTTATTTTTGTCTGCTGTCTTAATTCTCTTCTGTGTTTTTTGGCCCCGCGCGCCTCTGACAGCCGTTGTGGGGACTAAACCTTTTCGCCATTTTTGGAACACAAATAAACTGCAAAAACTCTTAATCACTTTATTCATATCAATTAGTTTTGCGGATAAAACTAACTTTCTTTTTTTGGATAGTATATTCATTTTTTTTTTCATTGTACTTCCCTTAGTTTGTGTAATCTCCGAAATATTTTTTTGTTGTTAATTTCCCCCCTCATTTCGCCTAGTTGTAATGTGGGTTTGTAATGAGGTGATAGCAGTGATGTAATTTGTGTCTGCATGCCTCTCTAGTCTCTCTAGTGAGTCTCTCTAGTGAGCCCCTCTAGTGAGCCCCTCTAGTGAGCAAAGCGAACTAGAGAGGAAGGGTGAATGTGCCTCTCTAGTAAGTCTCTCTAGTGAGCCCCTCTAGTGAGCAAAGCGAACTAGAGAGGAAGGGTGAATGTGCCTCTCTAGTAAGTCTCTCTAGTGAGCCCCTCTAGTGAGCAAAGCGAACTAGAGAGGAAGGGTGAATGTGCCTCTCTAGTAAGTCTCTCTAGCTCGCTTTGTTCACTAGAGAGGAAGGGTGAAACTGTTTCTAGCGAGTTTGTGTAAAGTTGGAGTATATAGTCTGCGCAGCTTGTAGCTTGTCTAGCCCTTATCCTATGTTGGCCTTATCTTCTGTTGGTCTTATCCTCTCTAGCGAGCAAAGCAGAGTGAGTGTCGGTGACAGTGTGCTCCACTATCTCGCTCTGCTCGATGGTGTCGATAGTGTCGATAGTAAAAAGTGATACCTTACTTTTAAGGTACCGAATACTACTTTTCAGCCTTGTGCATTTAATATCTGTAAACAAATACTGGACTTGTTTGCAAACTATCCCTAGACTACAACCACTCATGAAAGAGGAAGGATCAAAATAGAGAAAAGGGAAAACTATTTCAAAGACAAAAGGTCTGTTGAATGCATCAATGATGTTCAACGTCTCTTGAATGAATTGATGATTTTCAACGTCTCTTGACAATCTTAAATCAAACCCGTCAGTGCTAAACCTGTCAGTGCTAAACCTGTCAGTGCTAAACCTGTCAGTGCTAAACCTGTCAGTGCTAAACCTGTCAGTGCTAAACCTGTCAGTGCTAAACCTGTCAGTGCTAAACCTGTCAGTGATGCTCCACTAGCTCGCTTTGCTCGCTAATCAAACCTGTCAGTGCTGCTCCACTAGCTCGCTTTGCTCGCTAATCAAACATGTCAGTGCTGATCCACTAGCTCGCTTTGCTCGCTAGTGTCGCTGCACCGCACCAGAAAAAAATGTTTTCATGACTGTCCCTCTTTGTTCACTTTGCTTGTCATAACTTCAACTGGTTCTTTCTTTTCTTCCTATTTGCTCTTCTCTTTTAGTCCGTGAGAACAATCTATGTTTTCTTTTAGTGCAATCATTTAATTATCAAAGATTTGATACACATTCAAAACCAGTATTTTACAGAGGTTGCCTCAAAAAAATCGTCCGCACCTAGTTTAAATAAATACCAGCCGATCCATTTATATTCCTTAGTCGCTGCTTCTGCTGCTGTCATCGTCAGTCAGTCATACAAAGAGATTGTGACTTTTTCTTTTTTTGTCCTTGATGTCATCAACGCCTCCAGAGATACGACGCCCTGTCAAGAGAAGGAGAAGAGGCACAAATGATTCTTCAGATGACGTGATTGAAATACATTCGGATAGTGAGCGACCCTCACGACCCTCACGACCCTCAAGAGCTTCAAGAGCTTCAAGAGCTTCTCGTGGTAATTATACAAGAGGATTGGTATCTAGACCTAGAGGAACACTAGGGAATGGAGGCGACGTTTATTCTGTTTCCTCCTCCGATGATGATAATGATGATGACGATGTTCAGATTATATCGGCTAACCAGTTTAACTCAACTGCAACCGGTGTACAAGGTACCTTTAATGAGGGAGCACCTTCCCGGAGTACCGGAGAAACAGCAACACGAGGGAGCAGAGAAAGCATTTCTAACAGAGACAGTGGAAATAGTAGAAGCCATAATACTACGAACAACACACCTCATAATCAGTCAAATGATACATCTACACCTCATAATCAGTCAAATGATGCATCTACACCTCATAATGTTGACGACAACTCATTTAGCAGCTTGGACGATTCAGACGAAATCCAAATCATGGAAGTACGGCGATCTCAATCTCCCTTCATTCACACCCCAGCTGGCCCATTTTCTTATATAACGAACGAAAATGCCACACATACTCCTTGGCGGCAGAGCGCAGCCCAAGATCAAGATCAAAACCAAAATCAGAGTCAAGCAAGACCCAACATAGATACTGATGACCGTCTCCTACAACATAGAAGACGAATACGGGCCTTAACCCGTAGACGAATACGACAGTTACGAGGTGATGAGGAGACTGGGGTACACTCTCCTTCTGGGCCCAGCGAAAGTACTAACCAAGATACGAGGAACAATCATTCTACAAACCAGAATTCAAGAAATCAGAACTCTACAAACCAGAATTCAAGAAATCAGAACTCTACAAACCAGAACTCTACAAACCAGAATTCTACAAACCAGACTTCAAGAAACTTACGTTCAAGACCGACGAGGAGACTAGTAAGAGGTACACCGCAGTTTGAGAATGTAATGCGGCGAGGTTACGGAGGAGGTTACTGGTTCTCTCGCCAAAATAGGGAGACCATATTTGACCACATTAGTCGTTACCATTTCGGGTTGGGTCCCTTTGTTGGTGATTCTGGGCTCGCCCATAGACTTTTTATGGGTCCTCCGGGAAATTTCGATGAAGATGAGTTTGAACAAAATGTATTGCGAAGAATAGAGGAAGACAACAATAGGACGTTGGATGCAAGACTACAAAGCGAGTCTGCGTTTAATAAAAAATCAATGGCTGAGAAACAAAAATTAGTTGAGGAAGAGAAACGAAAAGGAACGCACACAAACACAATTAAACCTGAAGATCATTTGGTTTGTGAGCTATGTAGTGTTGTATTGGGGCAAGGAACTCCTGAAGATTTCAAAGGTGATGCAAAGTATGACGCAAATTTTGCCAAATACGCTAAACAATATAATACTCAAGCACCTTGGTTCTGCGTGAACCCGTTTACGCTAGCTGACCATGATTTGAGCAAACGCATATTTGTAGCAAAATGTGGTCATGCATATTGTGGAAGATGTGTTAAAAATATTGGAGGAAGACCTTCAAGGCGACGGAAAGAGGATCCTCTGGACTTTACTATACGAAATCCAGACATTTTCTCACCTCGAAAATGTCCAGCAAAAGATTGTGCAAAAAGATTTGTTGCCAAAGCATTTACTGAAATATACTTTTAGCGAATAATAGCAGATTTGTTTTAAAATAGATATAGCATTTGTTTTTACTACAAAGTGAGGAACAAAATCTATACCTTTCTCCCCTAGAGACTAAGTAAGTAGCCCACTGACCAATCCAACCCTGGTCCGATTCTCCGGTTTTAACTCTTTTATATTTCCAGTAAATAGACCGACAAAACTCTTGGGGACGATAACCGTTTCTTGACATGTGTAAACCTTTTACTCACCAGTATCAATCCTCCACAGTCAAAAAAAAAAAAAAAAAAAGAAAAAGAAAAAGAAAACAATTCACACAAACCAGCTAATCTATGCTTTTTCCTATTGCTGTATGGTCCATCACCACCGACTCATTTACACCAATCCGGCTCTAGACCTGTAGGCCTCAATTTGCACATTGTAGTTCATCACCTTCTTGATTCCTGAAAATAGGTCTATGGTTAAAAGAAACACATTCCCATTGTATCCATCTTCCTCAATGAGCGTTTTGTCAATGCTGCTGTCCAAACTCTCTGCAGCATCAGACTCTTCTTGCGTACGTTTTGCTGCAACTTGTGGCTTTGTATCCAACACCTTCAGATCATCTACAACCCCCACCAAGTGATGAAATACCAACTGAGTTGCAAAGATGCACAAATCCAACGCAATCAACTCAAATCTCGAGTATGGATATCTCTCGCCTATAAATTGAATAGTGATTCCTCCATGCAAAAACGCATCCGTATTCACACTATGCGAGTATGCACCAAATATTAGATGACAAATAATGCAAAATAGATTGCCAAAGATAATACCTCTTAGACTTATTTTGATTATCGCCTCCTTGTGCTGAGCAGATAGATGTAGTGTTGGGATCTGCGGATTAATATGTGAAATAGATAAATGAATAGACAAACGTATCAAGAGCTTGAAAAATGATAAATCTCGCAAATATAAAATGACCATCAACACAATTTCAATCACCTGGATCGATTCTCGGAGATTATTCAAAAAGAATTTCTTTCTCTTGTATAGTACCGAGCTATTATTCGTTATTGTCTCTTCAACAGTAGGATATTTCTGGTTTTGGAACTCCCGGAGCTCTTTCTCAATATTGACTTGGAAATGCGTCATCGAATAAAAGAGAATAAAAACCAACTGATCACCATTAAACGATTAAATAGGGTACAGATATCAAAAGTGGTTCCTGCAAAAAGAAAAAGAAAACAAGAAATAATCTACCCGCCTCTTTCTTCTTTCTCGTACTTTGCTTACTCGCCTTACTTGCCTTATTCGCTTACCTTGTTACTCCTGTCCTGTCCTGTCCTGTCCTGTCCTATTGGTAAATGAATTCGCAACTATTGCAATGATTTTTCGGCTCGATTTGAAGGAAACCTTCCACGCCGCAGAAGTTACCCAAACTAGTAAGAGAACAAGCAAAAGGGTTCCAAGGACAGGACCTTTGGTGGATATATATGTATATATATATTATTACAATGTCTATATAGCGGCGTATAAAGTTGTAGATTATTTGTGGGTTTTGAATTCAGATACCAAATCACCACCCAAGACCTTAATTTGATCATAAATTGCGTCAATATTCAAGATAACTTCGTCATTGTCGTCGTTATCCTTTTTGTCCTTATTGTCCTTGTTGCTATCGAGTTTAACTGGGTAAACATTTAATCCCTGGTTGACTTTGAATCTTCTCTTTGGCAAGACAGCAGGAATAAGTAATCCAGCAATGGTGTTTTCGTTTTTTGGACATAACCCAGTAAACTTCTTGACTGAAAAAATAATGCAATTGCTAAATTTCTTGTTTAAATTGTCGACATACATCTGGACCAAGTCGTATTTTGATTCAATGTTGCCAGGATAGGAAGTCAATGGCTGAACCAAATTCTTAAACGTGTTTGGCGGTATTATACCAGAAGAAGTTGTCAAGTTTTGAGGCTTCAATAGTATTGTGAAATCGTAATCTTGCAAGGCTGGTGTAAAGATCAAGTTCAAATTCGCCTGGTTGATACCTTGACCTTTTAAAAGATTTATTGCTGCTCTCGAAAGACTAGTTAATCTTGTCGAGATTGGTAAAGTTAAATTACTTGACCATAATATACCTGATGGATCATCCTTTGACCCAACAAAAATTTGCGTTTTGATCCCAAAAGGATCATTTGCTCTTATCTTGTTGAAATTGTCTTCCATAACTCTATATGCCTGGATTGTCAATTTATCACTCAACTTGCTATCTTCATCAGCAGTACTCTTGACCAAATCGAGAATCAATGGCGTTTCTCTCCAATTCCAGTTGGCTAAAAAAAACATGGTTTGCAAAAACCCATTTTCAACTGAATGAGGAATACAATATGGCGCAGGGTCAACAAACGACTTCAACACAAGTAATTCTACAAGTTCCTCGTTGAAGTGACTCAATAATAACTGACTGTCCAACCAAAGTTTGAACAATCGAACTGTTGGCGAGAAATATTGGAAATGTTGTGCAAGTTGAGTTACAGTCCTAGTATGTTTAACTGAACCTTGAAAATGGCGCACAAAGCTTAGATAAGTATCTTGAACTAAAGCCTTTTGCTTTTCTGCATTAGATAGAGCTCGAAGGTATAATATTTCGTCTCTCTCGGTTAGTACTTTTAATCTAAACCCGTAACCTTCTGGAGTTAAGATGTTTAATGCAGTCATGTCTCGATTAAATGGAATGCTGTGATCCTTGGTTATAAATGTAGTATACCCCGTGTTTTTCATATCTTCACTAATCTTTAGTAGGAAAGCGGTCTTTATCTTTTCTAAAGCGCTAATTTCGTCAGGCCATCTTGTAGACACTTCAAACTGGACTATACAATCATTCCAAAAGTCTGGGTTCGATACTGCAAATGGTACAGGTTGCAAGACCGAAGTATACCTAAGTGACAGTGATGCGGGTAAAACTGACTTTACACTTAATGGCAACTTTGAATTTAAAAGCAACTTGGACAAAGCGTCAAAAGAGGTTTTCAAATTTGTGTAACTCGTTAATGAGCTGATGACTTGGTTTGATCCAGTTGGTAACAATGGAGTAGGTAATCTTTGTTCAAAATCGCCACACTCTGTATGAAGCAGTTGGGAAATATCAGACTGTATATGCAAATCAAGAGAGTATTTCAAAATGGATAGTACAATGGGCGCTTTGCTGGAAACAGTCCAAACCACACAGTGTTGTATACTCCCGTCCTTGAATCGCCTCAACGATGCCTTTTGACCCCAAAATGACCTGAACCGCGCTCCTTCCTCCTTCTCGTCATTATTGGGACCTTTAGTTACTAATTTGTCGGCTTCCTGAGGATTCAACTGTAACCCAATGACATACGTGTTGTCTATATGTAAAGGCTTTCTTTTATTGATGGAAAACAAAGTGGCTGGCTTCTCCTTGCGTATGCTGATAAGAGACGCCCGGTTTCCCAATGCTCTTGCAATGACTGAGTATAATTTATGCTTGAAAAACAAATCAAATGAAACAAAAGTGATTTTTTCCAAAGCTCCAAACATGTCTTGGATTTCTTCAGGTGCAGTAATGGTTAACACTATGTCGTACTTGAGTTGGTCATAGGTTGAATTTTGAAGTAAAATCGGATCAAATCTATCTCGTACAACATCGTTCAACAAGTTCAAAGTTTCTACTGCTTTGCTCTGTAGTATCTGATACGACGCTGTTGTCATCTTCCATAAAATGTTTAACTTTGTGTTTTTGTCAAAAATAGTTGGTACATTAAATCCGTCCGACTTGTACTTGGCAGCAACAGAATCACCAATGTTTGAGGAAAATGACAAATAACCTTTATTCAAGTCAGTGGATGCCAAATACTGAATAGCACCTTTGAACAACTGATAAGACGAGAATCCGGCCATGAGAACTTTATTACCATTCACTCCTCCTCCACTCAACAAGGCGCTCAAAAGGATAGCAAATTCAAAATGACCAAATCCTCCCAGATTTATTGATGAGCTGAATCCGCGTTGCTGCAACCATAATCTGCCTAGAATGCAAGCATCTTTAAATGCATCGGCCGATTTTTTTGTTGTGTACAAGAATTTTAGATAATAGTCGTATGAAGATTGGGTGATGATGCTGGAATTATACAATGGTGTTGCTGGCAATTCGGCCAAATCTGATTGAATTCTAATACAGTTCTTATCAGGAAGTAATTTTTTATAGTCAAATATACCAAATGGGAAAGAAGCAATTAAATTAATGGTGTATTTGGTTTTGAAAAATGTCAAGTCTTGGGGGTTCTCTGTTTGTATACTCTCGATCCTTATGACCGGGTTCAATATATCGTCATTGAGATAGTGATATGTCAATTTCACGGGCAAGTTATTCTTCTTGGTTAGTGGTATAAGGTGATCGGCTAGGTATGCTAAATAAAATGCTCGTTTGTATAATGCTCTATAGTTCAAGTAATCTTTTGGTTGGAATATCTCCTTGGGCATAGTCAATGCCATCTCTATGCTCAGACCTTTATTGATGCCCGTTTTCAATCCATAAGAGCCTATTAATGCAACATCATCAGGGGCAATGTATGAAAATTGGTACTTGACATTGGTTGGCTTTGGATCGGGAAACGGAATTGCGATTTTCTTTGCATTGAACAAACTTTCAGCTTCTTGAAGTGACAAGTTCCCGCTTGATGGAATCTGCTTGATGAGATCATGCAAGCGATGCAAAACACTCTCCATTTTTTCCTCGTGATGTTTTTTTACTTTAACTTCTTTCATTAATTCATCAATTTGAAGCTTGAAGATATTGGATTTGAATAATTCAGCGGTTTCTCTTGCTACCTGGATATCTTGAGCCGCCAACTGTTTCCTTTGTTTCTTATTTGGTGGTTGTGATGGCATTTGGCTCGATGCCGAGGCCGAAGCCGAAGCCTCAACCTCAACCTCTTCATCTTCATCTTCATCTTCATCTTCATCTTCATCTTCATCTTCACCCTCACCCTCAACCTCTTCATATTCAACCCTTTTTTCTCCATTTGTCTCTCCCCCATTTATCTCTTCCTCTTCTCTATCTGAGAAGGCAGCGAATTCCTCCAGATTACCATTTTCAAGTTCCTCTACTTTTCTTTTGCCCATGTTATTATTTATATACAAAGAAAATATAGATTTAGAAAGACCCTAAACCTCTAGTGTTTTCAAAGTCGGCTATTTTTTCTGATTTTTTTTTACCCAAATGTATTCAGCCCCAACTCTAGCAGTTTCTCTGATACTTTCTTTTCCTAAAGTTTGCCAAACAATAGTATTATCCTTCTTCTTCTTCTTCTTCTTCTTAACTTCTTCTTACTTTCTTCTTCACCTCGAAAGAAGAAGAAAAAAAAAAACGTCACTTTTTGTGCAACTTTTTTTTGTTAGGTGAAGCGCTACCGTTTTGTGAAAAATTTGCGCTACCGCATCACTCTATATTTGCTGTTATTTTGCACGACCTTTCTCGTAAAGAAAGGTGAGGAAGATGTTTCTTGACATCAAACCCGTAGTCACGTGTTGACACTATCGAGCAACACTATCGAGCAACACTATCAAGCAACACTATCGAGCAACACTATCGAGTGAAGCGAGATAGTGGAGCATACTGACCAATACTATCGAGCAGAGCGAGATAGTGGAATACACTGTCACCAACAATCACTATACTGAAAATCATCATACCGACACTTTTCCGCCGACACTGACCACACAGACACTTTCTTCCGCCGACACTGACTACACCGACGTTTGTTACAGCTAGTACTGCTCGATTGTGTCACGTGTTTCTCTATATAAAGTGATACAGTAATAAAGCTCGTAAAAGAAGATAAAAAAGTATGTATTTGAGTGTAGACAATTAGTAATGATTCATACTTGAGAGCTATGAAACCCTCGAAAGCTAGTCAGTGTGCTCCACTATTGACCGAAGCGAGATAGTAGTCAGAGTATACTCCACTATTGACCGAAGCGAGATAGTAGTCTGTGCTGCTCCACTATTGACCGAAGCGAGATAGTAGTCAGAGTATACTCCACTATTGACCGAAGCGAGATAGTAGTCTGTGCTGCTCCACTATCTTTCTTCGCTCAATAGTGTCGCAGGTAAGGATGTTGAGAGTAGTGTGTATAAGGATGATGTGGTATATCGGTGGCAGCTATGAAGCCCCTGAAACTTATAGTATGTAGTCAGTTTCTTAACTAGCTAGTCAGTGTGCTCCACTCGCTCTGCTCGATAGTGTCGCTCGATAGTGCCAGTAGTCTGTGATCTCCACTATCTCGCTTCGCTCGATAGTGTCGTTCGATAGTCTCGCGCAACGGTGCTACCAATATTTATTTTTTCATTTAGTCACATGGATCAAGTTAGTGGATTTGCTTATAGACGGCAGAGGCATAGAGGTAGAAACACAGAGGTGAAGGCATAGAGGTATAGAGGTATAGAGATCTTAAAACGAGTGAGTATCTACTATTATGTACTATTCCGAGGAGATTGGGCTTCCAAAGACAGATAGTTGTCGCTGGAGATTGAGAACAGACTATGTTGGTAGAGAAACATGGCATTACCTAAGTGTTAAAGAAGCTGCTGCTGGCGGTATTGAAGAGCCACAATCAAATTACGTAAAGTGGCTACTAGGGTCCCCGGATTTCCCAACACCACAAGAAGAAGAAATCGAGACGCCAGGTCGAGCAGCTGAGAAGGGAGCCGAGTTTTTCAAATTACTACAATTGGAAAATGGCATTTTCCCCTGCCAATATAAAGGTCCAATGTTTATGAATATTGGGTATATAGCTGCAAACTATTTTTGCAAAAACCCAATTCCGGATCCTTTCAAGTTGGAAATGATAAGATATATAGTAAATACTGCACACCCTGTGGATGGTGGCTGGGGATTGCATTCTGTCGACAAATCAACGTGTTTCGGTACAACTATGAATTATATTTGTTTGAGGTTATTGGGGCTCCCGGCAGATCACCCAGTCATCATAAAAGCAAGAAGAACTTTGCATGGTCTAGGTGGGGCCATCAGAAACCCTCACTGGGGGAAAGCATGGCTAGCAATTTTAAACTTGTACGATTGGCAAGGGGTTAACCCTGCACCTCCAGAATTATGGACATTACCTTATCGATTGCCAATACACCCAGGAAGATGGTGGGTTCATACAAGAGCAATATATTTACCATTGGGTTATCTACTGGCAAATAAAGTAAAGTGTGATTTGGACCCCTTGTTGGAGGAATTGAGAAACGAAATTTATTTACCTTCCCAGTTACCATATGAATCAATAAAGTTTGGCAACAATAGAAACAATGTTTGTGGTGTTGATTTGTATTATCCACACACCAAAATCCTTGATGCTGCCAACTTTGTATTGAGCAAATGGGAAAATTGGAGACCCGATTGGTTCTTGAAATGGATCAATTCTAAAACATATGCGTTGATCGAAAAGGAGTACCAGAATACTGATTACTTGTGCATTGCTCCTGTTAGCTATGCTATGAATATGGTTGTTACTTATTACCATGAAGGTGCAAAATCCAGAAACTTTGCCGGGTTGCAAAGAAGAATGAATGACATTGTGTTCCACGGACCCCAAGGAATGACCGTTATGGGAACTAATGGTGTCCAAGTTTGGGATGCTGCCTTCATGGTTCAATATTTTTATATGACTGGTTTGGTTGAAAAGCCTCAGTTTCAGGATATGATTCGAAAGGCATACTTATTCCTAGTAAGGTCCCAATTTACTGAAGATTGTGTTGAAGGGAGCTTTAGAGATAAAAGAAAAGGCGCATGGCCATTTAGTACTAAAGACCAAGGCTATACCGTGAGCGATTGCACTGCCGAGGCAATGAAAGCAATAATAATGGTTCGCAATGACCAAGAGAGATTTGGCGATATCAAAGACGAGATCAAAGATGAAAACTTGTATGGCGCAGTAGAAGTCTTGCTTAAGATACAGAATGTTGGAGACTGGGAGTACGGTTCTTTTTCTACATACGAAGGGATAAGGTCAACTTTACTACTTGAAAAGCTAAACCCAGCAGAAGTGTTCAACAATATAATGGTTGAGTATCCATATGTCGAGTGTACAGACTCGTCCGTATTGGGTCTCACTTATTTTCATAAATACTACCCCAATTACAAACCGGAAGTGATTCACAAAGCAATATCTATTGCAATTGATTCTATTATTGATGCACAAGATAAAGTTGATGGATCCTGGTACGGTTGTTGGGGTATTTGCTATACATACGCATCGATGTTTGCCTTGGAAGCCTTGAATAGCGTTGGTCTCGATTATTCAAACTCGGTGTCCGTTAAGCGGGGATGTGATTTCCTTATTTCAAAACAATTGAAAGATGGCGGGTGGTCAGAATCAATGAGAGCATGTGAAACGCATAGTTATGTAAATGGTGAAAAGTCACTTGTTGTGCAGACGGCATGGGCATTGATTGGTTTGATATTGGCTGATTATCCTGATGAGGAGCCAATACGTATGGGTATTAAATTTTTAATGGAAAGACAATTGCCTACAGGAGAGTGGAAATTCGAAGACGTCGAAGGTGTATTTAACCATAGCTGTGCAATTGAGTACCCTTCATATAGGTTTTTGTTCCCAATTAAAGCTTTAGGATTATATGCAAAGAAGTATGCTAACGAGAAGTTAATTTAACAAAAACAAAAAAACAAAAAAAAAACAAAACCAAACAAGAAGTTGTTCTTATGATATTTAATAGGTAAAAAAAGAAAAATTGGTTAAATCAATGAAAAAGTTATAAACTCTCCACTTGTAGAGCAATGTGCATGTATTATTTTCTCAAGATACTTGTTGCTCAATCAATTTAATCAAACGAATAAGTCTAGATGGTTTAAGAAAAAAAAAAAAAAAGTGTGCTATATTATTGAATGCTATATTAATGAAATAATTATTCTATGCTTCTTCGCCTCTATTAATCTGCCTATTTTCTTTCAGTTCTGGTTCAAAGGTATAACCTTTGCGCCAAAATATGAATTTTGTTTATTTGCAACTCCAGAAAAGGCATTGTATAAAGCTAGAAATGAAGTAATAATTCCAATGATACCAGCGGCTACGCCAACTTCTGAAATTCCAGTAAAGTCATGAGCTGCTAATAGTATAAATGTAAGTGTTAAGAAAGCAAACAAACTAGTAAACGCAATGGAAGATTTAAATGTTAGTGTAGTAAGCATGAATGAGAAAATAGCCCAACCTGTTAAAAACAATGCCGTTGCCGTTCTCAATTGCTCAGGGTCCGCTGCATAAGCTTCTTTAATTCCAAACGCTGGAGTGGAAATTGCTGCCCAAGATAGCCAAAAAGTACCAAATGAAGTTAGAGCAGTACAACCAAATGTATTACCAACAAAAAACTCCCATAGACCAGCTAATAGTTGAACAATACCACCATAGAAATAAGCTAACCCAAGTACTGCATTTGGAATTTCCACCCCTCCAATACCAGCATGAAAACAACACAAGGTTAATGATGTAATTCCAAATGCACATAAGCCCATAGGACCAGGGTTCGCAAATTTACTACACACAGAAGGTGTATAGGGCTGTTGCACAACAATTGAGTCCATCAATGCTGCTTGTAAATCGCGTTTACATAGTTTGAGATTTCCCAACATGATATAATCTCCATCTTGCAGGACACTTTGTATTGAGGATTCTTCTGAGTACCCTTCTCTTGAATAGGCAGAGACGGTCTCTATTGTTTTCTTCATCATTTTATCTCGAGAATACAAAAACAAAATTGGAAGAAGAAAATTTTTGAAATAAGCTTTGGGTATATATATATATATGTATAAATAAGAATTAATAAGTAAACTGAAACTATATGTGACGGTATTTCCACTTAACAACAGCTTCCCTGTTGAGGTGAGGTGAGTCCATTATACGGTTACTGTTATTCCGCCAAAACAAAAAAAGAAATAAATAAATAGTTACCAGTGGTGATCAAATAGTAAGTAGTTGTAGCTTACTCTGCCCAGGTAGTATTTGGCAATTCTAAAGTTGCAAAAAAAAAAAAAGAAAAAGAAAAAGGAAAAAACAAAATGCAACATGCATAAATAACAATTTTTTTATTTTCTATACGAATAGACCAAAGTGTCATAAACAATTATGCCATTCTTTCTAAAATTTCAGAAAATGAAAGTATATATCCCAATAAGATTGGGTGTAGTTGTATAATTATATTGAATACCTCAGTGTGAGTGTTGCAAGTTATGTTTGGTGAAGTTACCATGGGAATGGGATAAATTTGAATTGGTTTGGTTCAAGTTACACGTCTTTTATGATTAATCAATTTCTTGGTAGGTTAATGGCATCCTGTTTTCCTTTCCTTTTTCTGGTTTCCTTTCCTTTTACTGGTTTTCTTTCCTTTTTCTGGTTTTCTTTCCTTTTACTGATTTCCTTTGAATTTTTCTGTTTTCCTCTTCTTTTCCTATTTGCATTCCCTTAAATGGGCAGATTATAATATTGCCTTTTTTGATGCTCCACTATCGAGCAGAGCGAGATAGTGGAGCACATTAGTTACCACTGACACTATCGAGCGACACTATAGAGATCCCCTTTTTATCATGAACAACACAATTAACATATATATGTCAATTGTGTTCTAGCCGCGCCACGTTGGTTTTGTTGTGGTCTATTTACTAGTGTGTTTTTGTCTTTCTTACATTAACTCGCATTACATCAATAGATTCATAACCAGGGCATAATTACTTTTGATTATAAACTGTAGACAAGGTTATAAGAGAGAAAGGGCTCGATTGTATGTGTTTTTTCTCCACTCAACCCTTGTTTGTACGTTTTACAGGTTGTACAAAGTCAAAAGAAAGGGCAAGATTGGTGAAGTTCTTAGCGAGAACAAAGGATTATAGTTTTCTTCACTTAATAAACCAAAGTAGAAAACTAACTCTATAATTACAAAAACCTAAAAATTTCGCTGAGAATTCTCTATAAATTCTATGTTGGTCATTGCCAAATCCTTTGAGCTTGACATATAGAACCTGGTATATCAATTTATTATATATACTGTAAAATGTGAATTGATCAATGAACATACAGCCAAAGGTACCTTTTGACAAGTTGTTTTTGGAAGTTGTTTGCTGGAGTTTTCCCAGCCGCATCAATTAACATTTCCAAAGTTTTCCATTAATACACATATATATATATATTACTCTTACTATATAACGAAATTTTCTCCAGATATCTTCTATACATTGCCACAGACCCCTCCATTCTTTTACCCCTTGACTCTTTTACCCCTCCATTCTTTTACCCCCTGATTCTTTTACCCCTCCATTCTTTTGCCCCTTGATTCTTTTACCCCTCCCCCATCCCAGCATATCAAATTTTTCGACAGTTTGGCAACAAAATTTGCCGGCAACAAAATCTACGATAGTTACACAAAACTTTCTATTTGTAACTCCTTCTAAAGCATACAATAAGTTTAAAAACTCATGGCATGTTCTGTGAAAAATAATGAAATCAACTTCTTTGAATAGCTCTTGAACATTCTTTTTGTAGTATTATAGGGATTAAAAAGCTCTAATTACTTATCCATTAACAATGGTAGGTAGATGAAGGAAAAACAAAACTTTTACAAACTCATCTTACTGTAATATTTAAGAGAGTATAGATTATATCGATGATCAAAGCATCAACTTTAAACAATAGAGAATTTAGTAACGACATTGAAACACATCTTTACCATTCTCGTTTTGAACTTAGTAAGTGTGGGATGAGAGGACATCACCAGTCAGCTCTCTCTTTACCTCTTTCTTTCTCTTTCTAAAATATCAAGGCTTTATTAATTAGTGGCGACACTGGGGAGCAAAGCGAGCTAGTGGAGCAGTATGTAGTCTCGCTCTGCTCGATAGTGTTGTAACAAGCCACTAGATGTTGCTCCACTATCTCACTCTGCTCGATAGTTGGAGTCGCTTACTAGGTACAGGGTGAATCAAGTCACGTGTATGTGCACGTGCCAGTTTTTTCCCTTTCAATGGTGAAATTTTATACATGGACAACATTCCACCATAGTATCCATTTATCTTCAAGAAGCACGCACTTTCTATCAAGAGTCGCCCCCTCCCCCTTCCTCCTCTCCACGATTTATACACGGGTAAAACAAGACAAAAGAAAAGAAAACTTTAACAATAACTCAATGTCTATCAAGATCTCTACAAAGAAACAAGTTTTAGACTTGATAATAGACCAATATGATTACTTTTTGTTTGATTGTGATGGAGTTTTATGGTTAGGTGACCATTTATTGCCATCAGTAAAAGAGACATTGGAATATTTGAAAGAGGCTAAAAAGACAATTATATTTGTAACAAACAACTCCACCAAATCCAGAAGTACTTATTTGAAGAAATTTGAAAAAATGGGTATTCCTAATATCAATAAAACTGAGATATTTGGGTCTGCTTTTGCCTCGGCTGTTTATGTTGACAAGATTTTGAAATTGCCCAAGGATAAACATGTTTGGGTTTTAGGTGAAGAAGGTATTGAGCAAGAACTTAAAGAATTGGGGTATACAACAATTGGAGGAACCGATCCCTCCTTGAATAAAGATGGGGTTAATTTTGACCCAAATACTTCATTACTAGACAATTTGGATAGCAATGTTGGTGCAGTAGTATGTGGGTTAACTTTCCAGTTAAATTACCTTAAACTTTCGTTAACAATGCAATATTTATTACAAGATAAGAAATCGATACCGTTTATTGCCACTAATATAGATTCGACTTTCCCCGTAAATGGGAAATTACTAATTGGTGCAGGTTCTATAATAGATACTGTAGCATATGCAAGTAGTAGACAACCAGATGCTGTATGTGGAAAGCCTAATCAAAGCATGATGAATGCTATCAAAGCACAGTTACCAGGATTGGCCGAGAACCCTAAACGGGGCCTAATGATTGGTGATCGGTTAAACACGGATATGAAATTTGGTAAAAATGGTGGGTTAGATACCATGTTGGTTTTAACTGGGATTGAAACCGAAGAGAATGTGCAGTCCTTAAATGTGGAGGATAAGGATGTTGCTGTGCCCACATATTTTATTGACAAATTGGGAGACGTTTACGAATTAACACACTGACCGACACTATCGAGCACAACACTATCGAGCACGACACTATCGAGCATGACACTATCGAGCGAAACGAGATAGTGGAGAACATTGACTAGTTACGACACTACAAATGGATAGACTACCACAAATGGATAGACAAGTATAAATAGCGTTGATGAGAGCTAGCGTTGATGAGAGCTAGCGTTGATGAGAGCTAGTGTTGATGAGAGCTAGTGTTGATGAGAGCTAGGGTGCTCCACTATCTCGCTCTGCTCAATAGTGTCGCGGTTGATAGTGTCGCGGTTGATAGTGTCGCGCTCGATAGTGTTGACGACAGCTAATATGCTCCACTATCTCGCTTCGCTCGATAGTGTCGTGATGGATAGATAGATTAATAGAAAAAAACAGTTTTAAACCAGTAGATATGATTCTCATTGACTTTTAAAACCAGTAGATACAGTCAATGTGCTCCACTATCTCGCTTTACTCGACAGTGATTCTCATAGACTCCTAAAACCAGTAGATCATTTTTTATTAGTGTAAAAACTATTAGCCAATGGCTCATAAGTTTTTTAATGAACAAAGATAAATTTTAGAGGTCTAGATTCCGCTTTATAGTCAAACAGAATCTAGAGCTGCTAAGTAACTAGTTTTTTTTTCTTTTGTTAGCAATTGGTAGTAACTGGGTTCTTTTATTGGTAATTGCGGTTAACCCCGTACCGAGATTCGTATATTATAACCAAAAAGTCTAAATTGAGTAAGGGGTGTGGCTTACAAGTTATGACGTCATAAGTTGAGTAGGACACCATCAAGCAGAACACCATCGAGCGAAGCGAGATAGTGGAGAACATTGACTAGTTACTACACTATAAAAGGATAGACAACTACGAATAGATAGTTAACTGCAATGGATTTTTTATAGCGAACCTACAATATACAAATAGATGAAAGGTCAAGTGGGTGTAAGTGAGACTAGTGAGCTCTGTAGGTGAGACTAGTGAGCTATTTTGATGAGACAAGAGAGCTCTGTAGGTGAGACTAGTGAGCTATTTTGATGAGACAAGAGAGCTATTTTGATGAGACAAGAGAGCTATTTTGATGAGACAAGAGAGCTATTTTGATGAGACAAGAGAGCTATTTTGATGAGCTACGTTGGTAAGGGCTAGATGGTCTAGTCATTTTAATTTTTTTCTATTGTACAGTCAACAAAATTCTTTATTTATAGTCAGTGTTGGTGGCTAGTAATCTCGCTCTGCTCGATAGTGTCCCATAGTGTCGCTAGTCAGGTGTCGGTGGCTAGTGTGCCCCACTGTCTCGCTCTGCTCGATAGTGGAGTTTGTGTCGTTGCATTCCCAACCATCAATTTCATGATCAAGCCTCTTTTATCCTCATCGTAGTCTAGATCATCGCTTAGTAACTGTAAATTCTATAACGTCATAGATGCACATGTGCTACCAAGTGTATAAAACATCACTAGAAAAGGCTCTCTTTCTCTTTATTGAGAGAAACGAATAGGTACAAGGGTGATTCAGATCCAAAAAAAAATCCATCTATATCTATAACAACAGTTCAAGCTAACCTCAGCTCAAACTGTCGCGATCTCCTCTTTGTTTTGTTCTCCTCCCTCCTTGCTTTGTTCCAATTTTTATTTTTTATTTTTTTATTGTTTTTGTCTTGTAATATTGAGCTGATCTCGCTTCTTTTACATCTTTTTATACACCTATATTGTATATACGTTATACTATATACCGTATACTATATACAATATAGTATATTATTGTACTACTGTATTACTGTATTACTGTATTACTATATTGTATACTAATATACCGCATACTGTTGAGGTAATATCTTCTCACCTCCCCGTTTTTATCAATAGCAGGGCATTTTTCAAAATAAAAAATAAATAAAAAAAAAGGTTTCACTTTTCCACCATTAATAAAAAAAAACCCCCATTTGAAGAAGAAGAAGAAGAAGGGGGAGAAAAAGCCTAGCTTAGACATTCAGCTATAATAAGAGAAAATAGTGAAATAAGATGGGTTCAATTGACTCTGAGAGAAAACGGAAATTGATAGATACGAACCTAGTAGATTGGAGTGTGTTTTCGGAAATCTTGCAAATGGATGAAGATGAAGAAGACTTTTCTAAACAATTAGTTGAAACTTTTGTAAACCAGGTTAAAGATACATTCGAGAAAATAAGGCTTTATCTAGAACAAAGAGATTTGGAAAAATTGAGTACAACGGGTCATTTTTTAAAAGGATCGGCTGCAGCTTTGGGATTTACCGCTATATCAAGCCAATGTGAAAGAATTCAAAATTATGGTGTCAAACTTAATTTTGATGACTTTAAATTATCCAACATTAGTAGTAAACTGCCAGATTCAGTTACTAGAGAATCAACAAATACACAAGTCGAAACCATAGTCAATAGAGATGCTAGTAATATATCACCAAAAGATGGGGTGTCGATGAATAGAATAAAAGAAGAAACGGTAAATAAACAGTTTGAAAAAAGTCATCAAAATAGTACCGTCACTAATAGAGACACCAGCACAGATACCAGCATCACCCCCAGCTCGAGCTCAAATATACCGGATGAGGAACTAAGCGATGATTTTTGGATAGCATTGATTGAAGATGCTTTTTCGAAAGCAAAAGATGGTTTCATCAAGAGTAAGGAAGCTTTAGATGAGTTTTTTGAACAGAAAAATTAGAAGAATAACAACAATAACCAGTTAATATAAGAATACAAAGGTAGTAGTAGTAGTGGTGGTGGTGGTGGCCAGTAGTATACAATCTCCGGGTGGTTTTCTTTCTCGTTCCCATTTGTCTCTATAAGTATCCGACTTTGAGTGGCCGAGACACTAGCTCGCTCTGCTCAATAGTGGAGCAGTTGCTTTTTTCAAAGCGCAAAACTCCATATACTCCACCTTATTTGGTATCAATGTCTCCAAAAATTTTGGGGTTTTGAGTACTTTACCAAGAAAACTGTGCTTGCCATTAGGATTCAATATCTTATCGCACTGTAAGATTTCCCAATCTCCATTCGTACTCAAGTCTGGGTTCAATATTTGAGGCTGGCTGTTCGATTGTGAGTTTTCTATAAAGTAATCACATTCTTGTAAACCAATAATCTTATCACTCTCAAATTGGTTCCTGTTATTCATTTGTGGTGGAATATATGTTGTGGAATCAATTATACTGCCCAGCTCGTAAAAGTCTCCTGGAAGTAAACCATCAAACCCAGAATCAACAAACTTTAATCTATACCCATCCGGCAAATAGAATGAGTTGGGAAAATGGTACCATTCTTTGCCTATACAAACATTTACTTGAGAGTTCAAGCTAGGTTCAAGTTGCGCAATTGCATTAAAAGTTTTCAATGGTGCAGCATAATTCTCAACAAGGTTGAATATTCTTAAGCTCGACAATATAATCAAACCCATAACAAATACAAGTTTTATAGACAAGTAAAATGGTCTTGAGATTTTCCTCTTTTCAATTGTGGTGAAAAACTTGGAAATGAATAGAGACGCCAGCATTGAAATCAATGAGTATACCGGGTACATGAACCTTTCTTCTTTATGTGGCTGACTAAAGAAAATCGTATACCAAATGAGCAACTGTGCAGAAACAAATAATGAAAACGTCTTGAAATTGCAAAGTATTGGATTGAAAAGTATTCCTGCTATGCATAATGGAAACACCAAATGAAAGTTGAGTATCAAGTTCACAAAGTAGTAAGTCCATGGCTCAACTCCAAAAATATCCGGTCCTTCCCCTTCCCCGCCAAACACATTGTATAGCACTATATTAATAGGAACAAATACAAATTTTTGTAAGAAATATGAGTCGATGAGAACAACTGGTGCCATGACAAATAGGCAAATTAGTGCTATCTTGAGCAAAACAACTGTTTTGATCGATTTGTTAGCGATTTGCCCAATAGTGTATACTCCTACAGGTACGCCCAAACTCAAAACAAATGGCCAACCAAGAATCCCGCCAACAAAATAGCAGCCAATGGCTTTAAGTAAATTTTGCTCCAATCGCCTACTATTGACATCTTTTGTTGCTTTCAAAATATACGTATTCGCTAATAGTGTACATTGCAAAGCCAAAGTACTAGGTAACAACGCCACGCCACCGTGGCTCATCCCGGGACTCACCGAACTTAGTACAAGCCACCAATTGGCTACATCAGAAGAAAATTGATTCATCGTTATGAAAAACTTCAATTCACAAAAACTCGTTACCCCTGCAATGCCAACAATTCTGATTAAATAGAAAATCTCCACCGGCTTTAGTTTCACTAGTTGTGCAACATTACCAATGATATAGTAAGGTATAAGGTACGCGTATGATCTAATTGAGTATTCTGGAGAATACTCCCATGTTTGTTTACCAAAATGACGTAGCAATAAGTTTAACGGTTCCCAATAGTTGAAGGTCTCGTCACAATCTCCAATTATCATATAAAGAGCAGAATATACCCTGTAGATGACATTTAATAGTATTAGGCCATACTGTAGCTTCGTTAGACTCATTACTTTTCACTATATTCAACTACTTCTTGTCACTTGGAAAAGAATAAAGAGAAGAGGTGGGGGGAAAAAAAGATACTGTGTAGCATCTAAAGCTCCACTATCGGGCAGAGCGAGATAGTGGACCAGCACTGACTAGTGACACTATCGAGCAGAGCGAGATAGTGTCTGTGGCAGCTAGTGTCGATAGTGTCTGTGGCAGCTATAGTGCTCCACTATCTCACTCTGCTCGATAGTGCATGTCATTGGAGTCGAAAGAGATGGTCTTACAAGTTTGTTACCCCGTAGATATATTTCACTTGAAACGCCTCCATCGTATAAAAAGTGGACTACTCATGGGCCACTCGAGAAATTCCATAAACGTCCCACATTGTGGATTATTGAGTAAACCCTATTCAATATACAAATACCAACTTCTCTTGTCTCCTCTTGTCTCCTCTTGTCTCCTCTTGCCTCCTCCTGCCTCTTCTTCGTTTGGAGATTTTCATGTATCCCTAGGGCCAAGGCCGGCCACGAAACGAGGGAATCTAGTCTTACTCTTGTCATTATAAATATCACCTTCAATCTCTTCTTTAACTTTGGCATCAGAAACACTTTCTTTGATCAATTTTTGTCTCTCCTTCTCAGCAAAATAACGTCTAGCTATATTCCTATCATCTTCCGCAAGCAATAAAGGCTCAAGATAGAATCTTGCCCATTTTTTTTCTCTTGTTAGTTCTCTTTGCTCATTAACCCCTTGATAGTATTTATAAAAACCAAACGATACTATCCCAAATATACCCCAAAAGTATATTGATCCTCTGAACCCACGCGACGGTAAATTTCTTTTCCATTGAATAGGCTCGTAGCCTCCAATAGGTGGTAAGTCTTGCATTGTCTTGTATACTTTTCTAGAGAAAATCCCCAACTCAACTGAATCAAGTTAATGGTTTACTTTAATATTGGTAAAATCTTTCTCGGTAGCGTTTTTTGGTTTTTTTCGGTTGGTATTATTGGCGATAATTTTTCACTTCTACATACAGGACACTATCGAGCGAAGCGAGATAGTGGAGAGAGTAGATAGGGCCTCTGAGTAGATAGGGCCTCTGAGTAGAGAGGGCCTCTGAGTAGAGAGGGCCTCTGAGTAGATAGGGCCTCTGAGTAGATAGGGCCTCTGAGTAGATAGGGCCTCTGAGTAGATAGGGCCTCTGAGTAGATAGGGCCTCTGAGTAGATAGGGCCTCTGAGTAGATAGGGCCTCTGAGTAGAGAGGGCCTCTAGGTAAATAGGGCCTCTTAAGAAATCCAATTTAGGTAGCAGCACTGACTGTCACCGACACTTTGTCTTTGACTCCGTTGGCCTTCACCTCGGTCGATATATCTCCTACAATATCTCCTATAATTCTCCTACGATATCTCCTATATTACCTCCTATAATATCTCTCCTATAATATCTCCTAGACTATCTCCTAGACTATCTCCTGCAAAATCTCCTAGACTATCTCCTAGACTATCTCCACCAACGTCGTCTGCAACTCTGTTGGTTAACTCTGTTGGCTGACTCCGTTGGTGGCGCTTATTTTATATCAAAAACGGTCTTCAACTTTTTAATCAATAACCAATCATCTCTCGAAACTGTATCACGGAAAGCTGGATCTTTCAAAGTATCAATTGATTTACGTGTGATCAAGGAATATAAATTGTCAGTCTCGTCCACATGACGACCCCATGTGGGTTGTGCGGATGAAGGGTTTTCCAATCTCATAGCCACACCAGCAGCTGTTTGTCCCTTCTTCACTGAATCTGCAGGCTTGTGGTTCACCTCCAACGATGTCACCTTACCCAAGATCATAATATTTGGTTGTTTGGTGACGGGGTCTTGACGCACAGCACAAATAGGAGTACCAATACGCACAGCACCTTCAATGACATCAACACCAATTATCATAGGATTTCTCTTGTTGATTATTTGTATCGTTTTCAAAACACATGGCAACACTGCGTATTCCATAAACTCTTTACGGCGTGCTTCCATTAATTGCGATTGGTATGCAGTGAAAGCATCAAACAAATGATAGATAATATCTGCATTAAATATTTTGATGTTCTGCTCTTCTGCATAATGCTCAGCCTCCTTATCGACTTTGACATCAAAACATAACATCACAGCTAACTCTGGTGCCTTGTCCAACATCGTTACTGCTTTCATAACATCCCTCTTGTAAACAGGACCTAACCCAATGGACATGACCGGAATCTTCATATCCTTTAAAAAGTCCAACAAAGCTTCTAATGAACCTAAAGTTGATGACTGCACAACAACACCCCTTCCAGATGTGTCAACAGAATCTAACAAACCCGTTAAATCGTCCATCACTTCATCCATCAATTCTTCCTCATCATCATCCTCACCAACAACTAACAAACGAGAACCAGCAATCGCTTTCTCCAAATCGTTTGCGGCAATCTTAACACCCAACGCTGCTTTCACCTCCTTGTGATGTATGTACTCTGATTTGATACGTAGCTCTCTTGAAGGTGGTGGTGTCAACAAAGCTCTGATGTTAGTTGCTATAGGACCATTCAATCCACATAGCACTATTCTGTCACCTTCTCTCAATATACCATTCGATAAAACAACATCAATAGTATAACCAAACCCTTCAACAACTTTAACTTCCAAAATAGTGGCTTCAATTTTAGACAAGTACATCAATTGTTTGGACATTCTCTTCTGTGTCAATTCTAATAACAACCACAACAAATCAGGAACACCCTCGCCGGTGACTGCAGACGTAGGTACAATCGATACATACTTTGCCATATTCTTGTTTTGAAAGTATAATTCCGAGTTCAACCCTTGTTCCGCAAGTGCCAACTTTATCTGGTCATATCTTTTGTGAAATTCCAGTTGGACAGACTTAGCTTGCTGAGCAAATGAATCCCTAAAGGAATTATTTGGTGTTTCTTTCCAGTCATACAACCTATCAATTTTATTTAATGCCACAACAAATGGAGCTTTTCTGTCCCTAAGCAATCTTATCGACTCCATTGTCTGCTTCTCAAGGCCATGCATTATATCAATAACCAATATAGCAATGTTACATAAAGATGAACCACGAGATCTCAAGTTAGTAAATGACTCGTGACCAGGGGTATCAATGATCAACAATCCTGGAACTTCAAAAAGTTGCTTTTCGTATTTTGCCATAACTGCAGTTTTCTGCCTAATTGCAGAAACTGGGAAATAAGTGGCACCAATTTGTTGAGTAATACCTCCTGCTTCACCACCTTGAACATTTGTTTGACGAATTTTATCCAATAATTTGGTCTTACCAGTATCAACATGTCCCAAAATACAACATATAGGAGAACGCAACTCTTTAATAGATGAAGTGTCCTTCTTCTTTTGTCCAGCAGGTTGTACGTCCAGTTCCTTATTCTTGGCTTTCTTTTCATTCTCTGCTGCTGCTGCTGCTGCTGCTGCTGCTGCCGCTGCCGCCGCTTCATCCTCTTTTCTCTTTTTCTCTTCTTCTTCTTCTTCTTCTTCTTCTTCTTCTTCCTCTTCCTCATCTTCTTTTTCTTGTTTTTCGAGCTTATCTTCCTTTTCCTCCTCTCCATCTGCCGGCTTGGTTTCGTCAACCGCATATGACTCCCAATCTTCTACTTCGCCCTTTCCATCAATATTGTCATCATCATCATCATCTACTAAAGCGATCTTCTCCCAATCGTCAACAAACGCTTGCTCTGTATCTTCTTCCTCTTTTTTATCTCCTGTTTCAACTGGTTGTACTGTATGCTGGGGTTTCTGAATAAAAGTCTTTGGTTTCGACAGTTTCTTTTTCGTGTAAACAACATTTTTTGGTTTCTGAGTTTCTTTATCAGCTTTTCCAGAGGCATCTTGCTGCAAACCAGCAATTGTGATATTACCTGCTTGTAATAATTGAGCACGACGACGTTCCCGCAACTTCTTTTCTTCCTTTTGTTTCTTGGTCAACAATTTTCCTTCAGCTTTCAACTGCTCCTTCTTTAATCTATCACGCTCTCTTTTAGCGGCTTTGACCTCTTCAAGTTTAGCCTCCTCCTCAGCAGCTAACCTTTCTTTTTCTAGTTGACGCTGTTCTTCTTCTTCCTCTAATCTTCTCTGTTCCTCTTCGAGTTGCTTTTTCAACTCCAATTGTTTCTTTAATGCAGCAATACCGGCTGGTGCTTTCTTACCCTTTTTAGCTGGTTTTTGTTGTTTATCTTCTTTTACTTTCTCGGGCACCGCCTTATTCTCTGCTTCTGGGGTAGCTGATGCTGGTGCTGATGAAGCGGCAGAAGCAGCGGCAGAAGCAGCAGCAGCGGAGTTTTGTTTATTAGCTTCCTTAATCTGCTCCTTCTTATTAGCTTGCTGTTCTTTCTTCATGTTTGCCAACTCCTTTTTCTTTTGCTTCTCCGCCTCTTTTTTCAATTTTTCCTTTTCCTTTTTCGACAATATTTTTGGTGCACCACCACCTCCATTAGAGGTATCAACTTTGTTCTTCTCTTCTTCCTTACTTGCCTTCTTTTGCTTGTTCTTACGAATAGTTCCTAAAAAGTCTCCAGCAATGTCATCTGCAGAAGCCTCTTCGGCTACTACAGCTTCTACAGCTTCTACAGCTTCTTCTTTAACGTCTCCTGCTGATGAATTAGGATCAACTCCAAATTCTTCCGCCTGAGGTAACTCTCCAACTAACTCCTCATCATCATCCCAAATATCACCCCCAGCTTTCTTACTATTCTTCTTGCCCATCCTTATACCTAGTTACTATAAGAAAGTCCTCTACAATAAAGGAATCTTCTGTTGAAGTGTCTTGTCTTTTTTTTTCCCTTTTTTTTCCTCTCTTTTTGGTGATGATATTGAAGCTCTGCTCGTATGGCCGTTGATTTTTTTTTTTTCAAATTTTTCAAATTTTTCAGTCACCATCACACGACACATCGCAGAGACTATCGAGCAGAGACTATCGAGCAGAGCAGAGACTATAGAGCAGAGACTATTGACCAGAGCGAGATAGTTGAAAGAGAGTAAAAGAGACTTTTAGCCTCGTGGTAAGTAAGGGAAGGTTAGCAAGGCAAGAAGGTAAGCAAGGCAAGGATGACTACAGTTGAAAAAATCAAGGCCATCGAAGATGAGATGGCCAAAACTCAAAAGAATAAGGCCACCTCATTCCATTTGGGCCAGCTAAAGGCCAAGTTAGCAAAACTAAGACGAGAGTTACTCACTGATGGAGGCTCTGGTGGTGGTGGTGGAGGTATTGGTTTTGATGTTGCAAGGACGGGTGTTGCAACTGTTGGGTTTGTGGGATTCCCCTCAGTTGGTAAATCAACGTTGCTATCGAAGTTGACAGGGACCCACTCTGAAGCAGCAGCTTATGAGTTTACAACATTAACCACTGTCCCCGGTACGATCAAGTATAAAGGAGCCAAAATACAAATGTTGGACCTACCTGGTATTATAGAAGGGGCCAAAGACGGTAAAGGTCGTGGTAAGCAAGTCATTGCAGTTGCAAGATCGGTGAATCTATTGTTTTTAGTGTTGGATGTCAATAAGCCATTACAGCACAAGAAAATTATCGAGCAGGAATTGGAAGGTATGGGAATAAGGATAAACAAGGAGCCACCAAACATAGTATTGACAAAGAAAGACAAGGGAGGAATAAACATCACCAATACTGTACCATTGACGCATTTGGATAATGACGAGATCAGAGCGGTTATGTCGGAATATAAGATCAACAGTGCCAACATTGCATTCCGATGCGATGCAACTGTTGACGACTTGATCGACACGATAGAGTACAAAGCGAGAAAGTATATTCCTGCCATTTACGTTTTGAACAAGATTGATTCCTTCTCTATTGAGGAGTTGAACCTTTTGTCAAGAATACCCGACGCTGTGCCAATTTCCTCGGGAAACGGATGGAACTTGGACGAGTTGTTAGAGGTGATGTGGTCCAAATTGAAATTGGTCAGAGTATACACAAAACCCAAGGGTAAATTGCCAGATTTCAACGAACCAGTAGTGTTGAGAAACGATAGGTGCACCGTAGCGGACTTTTGTAATTCGATACATAAGTCCTTGGTGGAGGATTTTCGAAATGCATTGGTTTACGGAACTTCGGTGAAACACCAACCGCAAATTGTAGGTCTTAACCATGATCTAGAAGATGAAGATGTAATAACAATCTTGAAGAAATAAGAAATAAATCATGAAATCAGACAAATAAATCAAAGAAATCAGACAAATAAATTAAGAAATCAGAGAAATAAATCAAACATATCAAATCAAACCAAAGAAATTAAAAGCTTCTCTCTAAAATTTCTTGACCCTTCGTCTCAACAACACCCTCCTGTTCTTATTTAAACAATAGTTTTCATTTAGTAGAAGAACATGTTTTATTTTTTTCTTCATTAAGAATTTTTTTTTTTTTTTTTTTTTTTTTTTTTTTTCTTCTTCTTCAGAATGAAAATTTTAGTTATCATAAGAAGGTCTTCTCTTGTTTATTGTAATTTTTCAAAGCAAAAGCAAAGTGGGTCCAATCAAAAGCAGCCAAAACTTGTAATTAGAAGCGGTTTCTTGGATCATCTATTGAAGAATAACTGGTTAATAAAATAGGGCATAGGAGGTGTTTTGAAAGAAACCCAGGTGCAGGACCAAGGAGGCAGGATTATTAAGAACTCTCCCTTCTTCCCCAGAACAAGAGGAAAAATAACATGAGTGTGCTACCTCCAGGTGTGCATAGTAGATTAACGAATCTTCTACACAATTTGCTTTCCGACAATGAATCGAGAATAAACGCTGAAAAATCACTTGAGCAGGATTGGTCTAGTAAGAATAATGTGGAGATGTTATTGGTGTTTTTAGCAGAACAGGCAACACAAGGTGAGAGCGATACTATCCGATCATTTGCTGCGGTGATGTTTAGAAGAATGGCTATTAAGTCTCCCAAGGAATTAACAAGCGTTACCGATAGAACCATTGGCATTATAAGCGAGCCAACAAAGAAGCAGATTAGAGCTACTTTGCTTCAAGGTTTTAGCTCACCACAAGCAAACGCAGTGAGACACAAATTGGCTGATGCCATCTCAGAGGTGTCTAAAGAAGATTGCTCGCCCTCGGGAACCTGGAATGAGTTGATTCCTGCTCTTTTTGCTGCTGCTAAGAATCAAGATCCAAGCTTTCGCGAATCGGCATTTAGAGTTTTTGCAACTTCACCCGAATTAATAGACCAATCGTACTTTAACGAGCTATTACCTATCTATAGCGCCGGGTTTGACGATACCAGCGATGATGTTCGTATCGCTGCTTGTACGGCTTTTGTTGCATTTTTCAGAGAGTTGCCAAAAAAGGCATGGCCAAGCTTGTCACCTTTGTTGCCTAGTTTATTGAACTCATTACCAAGATTTTTGCAAAATGGTCAGGACACAGCATTAGCCTCGGTGTTGGAATCATTAATTGACTTGGTTGAACTCGCACCAAAAATGTTTAAGGATATGTTTCCTACCATTATTGAGTTTTGTGCTGCTGTTTCAAAAAATAAGGATTTAGACTCAACAACAAGAATGGCGTCGTTGGAATTGCTCACTACTTTTTCTGAGGTGTCACCTGCAATGTGTAAACGCACTCCGTCCTATACAGAAGAGATTGTTCTTATTACCTTATCCATGTTGACAGAAGTCTGTATAGACGACGATGATGCTGCAGAATGGAACAACAAGGATGATGCTGAAGAAGATGACGAGGAGCCTGAATATGACGCGGCAAGGCAAGCACTAGATCGTGTCAGTTTGAGACTCAATGGACTGTCTATGGCGGGTCCATTATTCCAATATTTGCCAACAATGATACAGTCGACAAATTGGAGAGAGCGTCAAGCGGCATTGATGGCATTGTCCTCTGCCGCTGAAGGATGCTCAGATGTGTTGATGAGCGAAATTTCCAAACTTTTGGATATGGTATTACCAACTTTGAACGATGAACATCCACGTGTTGAGTATGCATGTTGTAACGCATTGGGTCAAATGTCTACTGACTTTTCTGATGTCATTCAAAGAACCGCAGGCGACAAAATATTGCCAGCATTAATATCCAAACTTACAAATAAATCAGTTCCTCGTGTTCAGGCTCATGCAGCTGCCGCTTTGGTGAATTTCTCGGAAGCTGCTTCAAAAGAAATCTTAGAGCCATACTTGGATGATCTTTTAAACAATTTACTTACTCTTTTGCAATCTCAAAAGAAGTATGTTCAAGAACAAGTCTTGACTACAATTGCGATTATTGCCGATGCCGCACAGAAAACGTTTGTTAAGTACTACGACACGTTGATGCCGTTGTTAACGAATGTTTTGCAGACAGATATGGGCGACGAAAATAGGCTTCTCAAGGCTAAGTGTATTGAGTGTTCTACATTAATTGCATTGGCTGTGGGCAAGGAAAAGTTCCAACCTCACAGTCATGACTTGATCCAGCTCTTTGGCCATATTCAACAGACAGCTGTTAAGGATGATGACCCAGTTAAGCAATATTTAGAGCAAGCGTGGGGCAGGCTTTGCAGGATCTTAGACAAGGACTTTTTGCCCTATTTGCCATCTGTATTACCGCCACTAATGGTTACAGCTAAAGCGTCTCAAGATATCTCACTTTTGGAGGAAGATGAAGCAGAGGAATTCAATAACAATGATGAATGGGAAGTAATGAATTTATCTGGAAAGTGGATTGCGGTACATACAGCTGCTCTAGATGACAAGGTCACAGCAATGGATTTGTTAAGGACGTACGCAATACAACTCAAGGGAGACTTTTACCCTTGGGTCAAAGAAATTGCCGAGGACATTGCTCTTCCTGGTTTAGATTTTTACCTTCATGACGGTGTGCGAGGGTCGGCGGCTTTGACTTTGGCATCCTTATTAAAATGTGTTGTTGCAGCTAGAGGTTGCGATTCACAAGAAACACTTGTTTTGTGGTCAAAGATTTGCGATAAATTATGCGAAGTGCTTAGATCAGAGCCTGTTGCCGAATTACTTGTTGCTTATTATACCGCTTTGGTAGAATCAATAAACTCATTGACACCAAACTCCATCGCGGCTCCTCAATTGCAAGAATTGTGCAAGTCGATAAACTATAATTTGGTTGAGGTGTTCAAAAGAATCAGAACGAGAGACAACGAAGAAGACGAATACACTGAAGATATTGAAGAAGACGAGGAGGAATACACGGATGAGGAGTTGTTGGACGAGATGAACAAAGCAATTTCTTGTATATTCAAAAATATGAAAGCAAACGCACTTGAAAACTTTCAGGAGCTTATTCCTACAGTGTCCACATTTATAAATGATGAGAATGTAAGCTTGAAGCTTTGTGGATTGTGCATAGTTTGCGATATCATAGAGCATGGAGGCCCAAACTCGGTTGTGTTCAAAGAGAGTTTTATGAATGTCTTGGCAGCTTCTTTGTTATCACCTCATGCCGGTGTTCGCCAGGCAAGCTCGTATGCCATTGGAGTTGCTGCGCAATTTGGAGGAGAGAACTATAGGGAGTTATGTGTTGCATCTTTGGAGCCCATGTTCAAAATGTCGACTGCTCCCGATGCTAGGGCTGATGAAAATGTGCATGCGACGGAAAATGCGGTAGCTGCTATAGCTAAAGTTTGTCACCGGTTTTCGTCCTCGATACCCAACTTGGATGCTCTTCTTGATCAATGGATCAACTTGTTGCCAATCGTGCAGGATGAGACTGCGGCGCCTTTTGCTTATGTATTCCTATGTGAAATGATTGACAATCACCACCCGGCAATACAAAAGAACGTTGCCAAAGTTGTAGACTCGGTCATCCAAGCATTGGCTCATGCAGCCCTCTCCGGTACTACTGCTACTAGAGTGGCAACATCAACAAGAAAATTATTAAGTTCTATTCCCCACGAGGAAGCGATGGCTTTATTGCAAAAAAACCCATCCGATATAGACATCGTTAAAAAGTATTTCAGCTAATTACACAGACCATTGCCTTATAGAAAACTTATTACATTATTACTTGTTAAAAAGAAGTTGAAAATAAAAAAAAAATATAATAATAATAATAATAATTTCAATTGACATAGGATTAAGTTCATGTGCAAATCATTTAATTAGTATAGATTACCAGAGAAATGCTGAAACAAGAGACGTCATACAAGATTTCCATTGAAGGCAAAAGACGTTGGATTCGGCTCTTTTGGCAAGACGTTGGCTTTGGCTCTTTTGGCAAGACTTTGGCTTTGGCTCTTTTGGCAAGACTTTGGCTTCGACTCTTTTGGTGGCTGACACCTCTTTCTCTACTCTATTTCTTCCCTTTTGTTTCTTCTTTTTTCTCAATACCTTGTACCTAATAAACCTCTTTTGCCAAGTAGGTTATCTTTTTCTCTGCTTTTATTTTTATTTGCATCTTATGGACTCACCGAAATTCATGTCCATGATACAAAAGGACTCAGCGGTTAATAAAATATCAAAGTGTAGGCCAAAAGAAAAAAAATATATATATATATAAAATAGACAAGAACAATAATAACTAGTAGTTTTATTCTTGTTGCCTGTTGAAGCTTTTCCAAGTGGGAAGTAATGACATCAGCGAAGGTGTCGGTGCTGTCGTCGTCATCATTATCATCATCAATGGCTGCTAATACCTCCAGGAGCAAGAGAAAGTCATTATCTACGATTGAGTCATGTGTGACTCGGCTTCTTGTATCAACCAAGCATCTATTGGAAAGCTTGACTCAGTGGGCTAGGCAAGAAGCCGATGACAAGTTTGTTAGTGATGCATATGTTAAATTGGGAAATGATTTTCGGGCTGCCACTAGGGCCTTTACCAATAATGGGATCGACATTTCTGATCTTGGGAATGTACCGCAGGATTTAAGAGCGATATTGGAGGCCGCGTTGAGCGAAGCTCCTTCGCAACAGAATTTGGATAGGTTTCTACCAGACATTAGGAACATTATTGTGACGTTATTGCAGAATTTGAAAGCGAAACAGGCTAAGGCAAAAGCGATAGCTAACGAGAAGAGTGCACGAGAGTTGGAAAGTCAAAACCAAAGTCAAAGTCAAGGTCAAGGTCAAAACCAAAGTCAAAGTCAAAGTATGGAGATGCAGGTACCAACAACAAGTCGCACTATTTCTGGTTCCGGTTCTGTTGTTGATGAGGCGCCCTTTACAGAATCTACCATTAGGCGGTCATCTTTCAACGATCGCTTTTCACAAAGAGAGCACCTTATGACCCCACAAAGGGCATCCGATAGGAATGATGCGTTGGCACAATTGCAGAATGGAGACGCCATGCAGCGCCGTGCAAGCAAGAGGTACAGTGCATATCAGTATGCGAAACTAACTAATTTCCCAGCACAAAACAAATTCAAACAAATGAATGAAACAACCACTGTAGAGACGGTGCAATTTCCAGTAAAATCATTTGAGACTGGAGCTTCGAAAACGAGGAATTCGATTGAAGAAGATTCCACCCTGGAACCATATATATTGCTAAAAATTAATACAACAACAAAGAAGGTTTCTCTTACACTACCGACAACTTTGGCAGCTATTAGATTATTATTTGTTGAGAAATTTGCATACTCACCTGGTGCTGGTAACTTTCCTGAAATTTATATTGAGGATCCTCAAACCAAGCACATGTACGAGTTGGAAGATCATTTAATAGGTGATGTGAAAATTGGATCCCTAATATGTTTGAAGGAAGAAGACACACATGCAAAAGCTACTCAAGATTTGAATTCAAAGATTGAGGCACTATCTCAAAAAATGGAAACTATGAATAATGATTTGATTGCAAAATTAGAAAAGTCGATATCTTTGATTGAAATTCCAGTTGCTGCTGCTCCTCCTCCTCCTCCTCCTCCTCCTCCTCCTAGTTCTGGTGCTGGTGCTGGTGCACCGGCAACGACGAATACTGGCAATCATAAGAGTAACACTCAGTCGTCGACAAAGGTTAATAACAATAAAGAAATTAGCAAGGTTGAAAATGAATTGAGATTGGTCAAGCATTTGAATAATCTGTCCATCGAGCTTTTCAACACCAAGATGGCACAAATCACGGAAAAGATGAAAAACCTTCAAGAATCAGGCTTAGAAATTTCGCCTGATTCTAACAGAGCATATATGGAATCTTGCCACTCCAGATTATCAGACGACTCAGATCGGTTGTTGACAAAGGTTGATGATTTGCAAGATTTGATGGAAGAAGTAAGAAAAGATGTGGCTCAAAGGGGTGTCAGAATTGGAGAGAAGCAGTTGAAGTACATTGTTAACGAAATCCTGGATGCTAACAAGGCCTTAAATGATATCAGTACTTATATTACAAAAGAGAAACCAATATGGAAGAAGATCTGGGAGTCCGAGTTGGACAAGGTTTGCGAAGAGCAACAGTTTTTCAATTTGCAAGATGACTTGACCAACGATTTACAAGAAGATTTAAAAAAGATACAAGAAACATTTGAGTTGATTGAACAATGCTCAATTGAACAGAGCAAAGGGGTATCTTCAAAGCGGAATAAGATTGTTGCTAATTTACATATCCCAGAGCCGGGTGAGAGTTTGCACAATATCAAAGACCAAGTTTTAGTCGATATAGCTCAATTGAACCCCAATCATGAAGGGCGAGTAGAAGCTATAGAGCGTGCAGAGAAAATAAGAGAGAAGGAGAGAGAATTATCAAAGTTGACCAAGTTTCAAGAAGAGTTGGGCGACTTTGTTGAAGATAATAAGTTAAAAAAGTCGGGTGGTATTGTTGAAATTGAAAACCTTCGAATGCAGCGTGATCAAGAAAATTTGAAGAGCTCCTTTGGCATTATATGAGGAGGTTATTCAACAATATTCTTCCCTTCTCCCTATGATATTTATGATGTATAGTAAACACCGACCTTGCCTTGTTTCTTTTGAATTGGTTTTTTGTTGTTTTTTTTTATTTTTTTTTTTTCACATCCAATCCTTTCCTTGCTGCTGTTGTGCGCCAAACCTTTTGGTATATATATTGAAAACATTTGGAAAAGGGTCGTTTTTACTTAATACTAGAACTTTCCCAGTTGTCAACTTCCCCTTTATCAAGTTAGAGTCAATTAAAGTCACGAGTAAATTTTCCTTGAATAGCGTATCCTTGCCATGAATAGGAACAATTTCAAGACTCAAACTTGTAGGTCGATTCATAATCCTCCAAACATTTTTCACCAAATTCCTGAACACCAATACATCCATCCGGTTCAATAAAAGTAGTAGATTTTTATCTTTGAAGTACTGCTCTTTATGATTGATTATATTCCTAAAACTCTCATAGTCTCCCGAGGCCACGGAATAGAACATGGACTCATAAAGCTCCAACAATGTTAGCACCTCCTCATCCTGCACTACCAGTAATGTCTTGAAATTCGGTTTCTTGCCAAGGATCAAACCTATTGGAAGTAGCAACTCTATTATTAACTTTTGGTTCTTTTTACTTGAGGTATTTACCAAACACCATTCCAAGTGCTTAAAACACTCAACTAGCTCGTATTTGACAAAATAATATTTTGCTAGAAAGTATCGATATTTCAATTTCTCACCATGCGGGAACTCCTCCAACTTCAAACTCGTATTGTTCATATTACTGAAAATGTTTTGACACAATAGCGGATTGTCGAGCTTCCAATAGGTATAACATAGCTTGTTTCCCAAGTATAAGATAATTGATTTCTTATAGGTACTGGAGTCGTTGATTCTGATGTTGTTGAAAATTTTCAAGAGCACACCAGCCATATACCCAAGTCTATACTTGCCCCCTTCTTCCTTGTAAAACATTTGTCTATCTAGTTTGAGCGCCCATGGCAAAACTAAGCGAATCGTTGACTTTATGACGCCCGACAAAAGCCAACCATAAGCGTTATTGTTAAAAGCAACCGATAAATCATTGAGGTAAGTTGCGTACAAGTCAAACGATTTCAAAACGGACCATGGGTCCATTTCCACACATATTCTGACAAAGCTCGACACAACTGCATTCAAGGCTAACCAATCATCGTCATAAGCAGTTTTGATGTTCGAGGAAACTTGTGACAATCCCGATACGCTGTTGTAAATGCTTATCGTATATTCATTTTCCAGAGGATCAACAGATAAGACTTTGCTAAACACCCGGAATTTCTGGTCATTGTTACCATTTGAAAATGTCTGGTTTATTTCCTGTACCAAATTGGTTACGCTCATCGAATTGCTGAAAAATTTCCAGTTGGATTTGAAAAGTGAAAAATTGATAACCAAAGATTACTGCTGATGTATTAGAGCTATAAAAAAAAAAAAAAAAGGGAAATAGCAAAGGACCACCAAGACCATTAGAATGGCTACAATGCTATCAACTTACCAAACAAGCACACCTACACATACACCCCTCTCTCTCTTACTCCCTTTCTCCCCGATTCTATGCTGCGTTAAGGGGCTCTTCCACTTTTACCGCTTCTTTATCTTTATCTTTATCTTCATCTTTATCTTCATCTTTATCTTTATCTCCATTTTCTTCCTTTGTTAGCGGACCATTATTGAATTGTTCTTTCTCAATAGTATTAAAAATCGTTTTCTGTCTCTTCATCTTGATCTCTGAGCCATCCTCTTTCAGATTCGCGCGTTGTTTTTTCACTTTCTGGGTAACATCATCTTCGTTTTCATTACTCGTGTTGGACTCGGATTCCTTCTCGTCATCTACTTCATTGTCATACCTTTCTTCATAGTCATCCAAAGCAAACCGCAATGACGACTCATACTGCTCAATCTGTTCTTTTACATTTTGACATAAAAGCCCTTTTTCCTTTTCCTTCACTCTATACTCCTCGGCACCTTTTCTCAAGATATTGTCCAAATCATTACCACCTAAACTTTTGCAACCTGAAGACGTCCGTTTACGGTAAAATAGTAAGTACGCAGCACTTGATACAACTTCCTGTGGATCAGTCACTTCGCTGACTCTACTGTCGTTGAAATAATACCACTTGTTGTCGCAAAAATTTTTTACAGATGCAGTGTAATGACCACCACCAAGACCACCGTAATGGTTATCAACAGCAATCAAGTCGTACAAACAGTTTTCGGGTGGCAAAGATGGGTCAGCAACAAATTCACTGATATCCAAACCCTCAATGGGAAAATCCACAACAACATCAATCTTATCGCTGAAAGCTCTCGCACTGTGAAATCGCTTCAAATGGATCGTAAGAATATCTCCTGCAGACCACAATTGGATAGTTTTAGTTGCACGTTTGTGGTCTTTGCATTTAGGGCAGTACCATAAGTCGTGTTCCCCTAAAAGCTCAGGAGTGCTAAAGCTCTTTAAACATTCGTACAATGTAATCTTGCTCTTTCGTTGACGTTCAAATCTGGCCTTATTTTGCTCCAATTCTGGATTGGACAACTGGGGTGTTTGTGAAGAGTTCCAAGTAGAAAGGGATGCATCGCCAAAGCACCTGGTGTATATATCTCGTTCCCAGTTGCAAAGCAAGATGGTGTTTTTTGTGACAAGACCGCTTCCATTTGATGCACGTAAGTCTACCTCTTCGTCAAAGTTTGTTTCCATCGGTGAATTCACATTGGATGGTTTTGTTGAATCGGACGAAGTGGATGCAGGAGGTAATGGTAGATTAGAGCTGGAGCCAAATAAGCTTCCTAAATTAACCTCACTCTCTGTGTCTTCGTCCGAGTAATTTAGCTGGGAGAGCTGGTGAGTCCGAGAGGGTAAAGATGGTGGTTGCGGGTTTGCGTATAATAAATTCTTGCCTTCTTGTTCTTCTTGCTCTTCTTGTTCTTCTTGCTCTTCTTGCTCTTCTTGCTCTTCTTGCTCTTCTTGCTCTGTGTTCTCCTTAGCCACAATCACAAAACCATCGTTTTCATCACTTTCCTTCTCGATAGACGATGAAACAAGCTCTGGTATGTTCGAGTCGGGCTCATCCCCTGATATCGTTGTGGGCTTATTTCTTGTACGAGTCTCGTGTAGATAATATTTACGTTTCGATTCCGGAATTTCACCAGACAAGGGCTTGAATTCAGCAAAACTTGGTTTATGAAGTGGTATATTAATTAGTCTTTCAGTTTGCTTTGGCCCTGCTCTATTTGCAATGTTCGTTTTATGACGCACATGAATCCCTGTCCGTGGCGCATAGTCCTGGGCATACATTACCTTGAATCCAAAATCAGAGCTAAGATAGGGATTTGCCAATGACACATCACTGTCATACCCTGCTTCCTCAGCATCATTGTCATCATTGTCATCATCGTCACTATTATTATTATTAGCAGTAGTAGTTGTAGTAGTAGTAGTAGTAGCAGTAGTAGTAGTAGTAGTACTGTTATTATTATTTCCTCCCATCTCATATTCATCTAAGTATATCATTGGAAAATCAGACTTTCTATAAAATTCCTTGTGTATAAAGCCCTCTACTGAATGCTTGCACTTTTCGTACTCGTTGACGAGATCAAGTGTTGTTAAAGTAGATGCAGCCACTAAAAGTTTGTGCCGGATAGCCCCAAAGCTATTAATGGACTGTTTGTCAAGTGTAATAAACAATGGAATGCCAAAGTAGTTGACCATTTGATACAGTTTGTCTTCATCACCCACCACGTTGAAGAAAGGAACTATCAAATCGGTCTCGGCATTATGTGGAATAATATAAACCAAAATATCATCAGTATCTCTAATTACGTCACTAATGGGTAAAAACTTGTTTTTCGCATAATCCATTTGAAAGTCAGCATAAATGGCACTTTGGAAGATTTCGTAGAGAAATAGATCCGTTGGTGGAACTTTAAGAAAGCTTACTAAGTAGCTTATCAAGTCGTCATAATTTGAGGTCTTTTTCAATTCAACTTCAAGTTTCATGATTCTAAACGGAATCACCGATTTGGGAGATAAGTCGACAATAGTAAATGTGTGATACCATTTTTTGCTAATAGGTAATGGTAGGGTTAAATCATTGAACGGGTCAAAAGTGATGGAAGTTTTGTTGCAATCAGGGCAAACTAAAGTCGAGCGGTATAAACCAGTAAACAAATCGATAATAATGGAATCATTCCTTTGCTTATGCTGATTCCAACATGTCTCTGCTAATCTTACTATCGCTTGCTGATCATCAATTTCGTGATCTTCCAATTCGGGTTTTTCACAATATGGCTTTGTGTGAATACGGTTCAAGTCTTCGTGAAGAGCATCAAGTAGCCAACTCAAAAACTCTTGGGAGTCTTGTTGCAAGTACCCTGAGAACATTGAGCTATATCTGCCAATGGTTGATTTAAAGTCTCGAGGCAGAATACTAGATGTTTGCTTTGTCTTTTTGAATGCCATCTTCAAAAGATTTCCAAAAGAGTTTGCCACATCCCCATTATGCCCAAGAGGATTGTTGAGGTTCAACTCCTTTTGATACACATTGTAGTAGAAGTAGTCATTCACCTCGGGGACATGTAGAAGACACTGCAAAGCCGAGTTCATATAACAGGTGTTTCCCAAGTTTGACAATCCTATGTTCCCACCATCACGGCCTCCTCCTCCTCCCCCTCCTCCTTCTTCTTCTTCTTCCTCTTCTTCTTCATCGGACACAGAGTATAATTGAGCTTTCACAAATGTGTCTACTGGGAACTGCCCACTCGTTTTTTCTCTTTTTTCAATGGCTACATGATACATTGGCTGTACAACTCCTTGCGATTGCAATGTGGTTTCGTAAATCTTAGGCAATACTACTTGTTTAGTTTTAACTTCATAAACAAATTTCTGCATTGTGAGATGATATGGCAATTCTGTTTCTTTGGGATCTGATATGAACCACAACCTCATATCGTCAATGGAGCTTTTTGGTGACTTCAATGTGTGGAGCCGAAGCGCGTTTAATATTTGTGAGAACGTTTTAGTTCTTGAAAATGACATCGGTATGGGTGAATCGATTTCATGGTCGTTGTGATTGGGATTGTGATTGTGGTACCGGGAAACACCACTTCTAAAGTAACTTGGTTGCTGAGTCTTTTTCCCCAAAGTGTGAACAATAAACACCATTGGCCATCTTTCAACCTCAAGTGTACTAGTGTTTGGATTTAAAATGATGGATCTTACTATTGGTTGGCCTAGAACGCCAAACCACTCTGACAATTTTGAAAAAATATCAGCAGTAACTGTTCTAGTCTTGACTAACTCATCCTGTTCCGAAAATAGTAAGCCCGAGTTGGACACTAATTTGTGAAAGTCGACTGGCCCAAGACTTTGTTTCAACTCTTGAAAGGACTTTACTGGTAAATTAAAGAAACAAGCGAAAAAGTCCTCTGGTATTATATAACATTCATCTCCTTCGTTTAAGGTACCCTGATCCACTAGCCTCGAAATCAACTCTCTTTTTGACTTTAGCTCTTCCAAACCGTGGGTTTCCAAATGCTTCTCCCCAAGCTCTACTTCTTCTTTTTTCTCCTTCCTGTTGTTCACCTCATTATGATTTTCCTCGATATCAGGTGTACCAATGGCATCGAGAGAAGCATTCATAGACGCCGTAGAGGACGATCCAGATGAGTAGCCGTGACTTTCAATCTCGTTATGGTCCACATTTGTATTCAATTGGTCAGACATATCTATGTAGATATGGGACTTTCCACGCGAGTCTTACTATTAATATATGTCTTGTTCTAAAAATGATGTCAGATTGTGTTAAATTATACATTAAAAAATGTTTGCTAGACGTTTGTTTTTTTTCTTTTGTCGGCGCAAGTAGCGCGACACTATCGAGCGGAGCACACTGACTAGGTGGACACTATCGAGCGAAGCGAGATAGTAGAGCACACTGACTAGCTGCACACTATCGAGCGAAGCGAGGTAGTGGAGCACACTGACTAGCTGCACACTATCGAGCGAAGCGAGGTAGTGGAGCACACTGACTAGCTGCACACTATCGAGCGAAGCGAGGTAGTGGAGCACACTGACTAGCTGCACACTATCGAGCGAAGCGAGGTAGTGGAGCACACTGACTAGCTGCACACTATCGAGCGAAGCGAGGTAGTGGAGCACACTGACTAGCTGCACACTATCGAGCGAAGCGAGATAGTAGAGCACACTGACTAGCTGCACACTATCGAGCGAAGCGAGATAGTAGAGCACACTGACTAGCTGCACACTATCGAGCGAAGCGAGGTAGTGGAGCACACTGACTAGCTGCACACTATCGAGCGAAGCGAGGTAGTGGAGCACACTGACTAGCTACGCATTATCTCGCTAGGCTCGATACGGGAGCACACTGACTAGCTGCGCTTTATCGAGGCAAGCGAGATAGTAGAGTACACTGACTAACTGCACACTGACTAGCTGCGCATTATCTCGCTAGGCTCGATACGGGAGCACACTGACTAGCTGCGCTTTATCGAGGCAAGCGAGATAGTAGAGTACACTGACTAACTGCACACTGACTAGCTGCGCATTATCTCGCTAGGCTCGATACGGGAGCACACTGACTAGCTGCGCTTTATCGAGGCAAGCGAGATAGTAGAGTACACTGACTAACTGCACACTGACTAGCTGCGCATTATCTCGCTAGGCTCGATACGGGAGCACACTGACTAGCTGCGCTTTATCGAGGCAAGCGAGATAGTAGAGTACACTGACTAACTGCACACTGACTAGCTGCGCATTATCTCGCTAGGCTCGATACGGGAGCACACTGACTAGCTGCGCTTTATCGAGGCAAGCGAGATAGTAGAGTACACTGACTAACTGCACACTGACTAGCTGGGCATTATCTCGCTAGGCTCGATAGTAGAGCACACTGACTAATTGTAGATTACAGAACGAGAAGAGAAACAAACTAGGATGGCGTGGCGCCACCGCTGGAGCAAGTGAGAAAAAATGATATACCCTTTGTCTATTAAAAGAGAGTGATTAGACAATGAATGTCGGCAGCTAGTGTGCACCACTATCTCGCTCTGCTTGATAGTGTCCCCGGGCGGCGCGACTCTCTTAAAGAGTCAAGGGAGATTGACGAGAGCGAAAAGTTGAAGCGCGTCCTAAAAAAAAAAAGATTTTACTTATTGTTATTGCTATACATTTTTTCGCGCTACATACTTACATTATGGAAAACATCACAGATGTTGATACAAAAAGAGAGAAAAAGAAAAGTTGACTTGGAGTGGGGGACACTATCGAGCAAAGCGAGATAGTGAAGTAACACTGACTAGCTGCCCACCAGAGTCGCCTTTGGCTCCTCTAGTAAATGAGTCAGTGGCAACTATTGTGCTCCACTATCGAGCGAAGCGAGATAGTGGTAAAAAAAAGAGGTAAAGAAGGATAAGTAAAAAAAGGGTCGCTGCTCGCAAATCTCTGATTATACTGATCCATTGGCTCGCTTCGCTCACTAGTGTTGCTGCTCGCAAGTCTCTGATTATACTGCTCTATTAGCTCGCTTCGCTCACTAGTGTTGCTGCTCTCAAGTCTCTAATTCTACTGCTCCACTAGCTCGCTTCGCTCACTAGTGTTGCTACTCGCAAGACTCTAATTCTACTGCTCCACTAGCTCGCTTCGCTCACTAGTGTTGCTGCTCGCAAGTCTCTACTTTTACGGCTCCACTAGCTCGCTTCGCTCACTAGTGTTGCTACTCGATAGCGTTGCTCGATTGAAATTCAGCTCTTTTCTTTGACATCTCTATGGCCTGCTTTAATACATCCAAATTTATAGCACCATCACTCACCAAACTAATTTTATTTATAGTTTCCTTATCGTTGCAAATTATCGAAATTCTCGATAGCACACTCGATTCTTCAGCCTCGCCTTCTAAATCGGCTAGCAAAATAGTTTTCCCGTCTTTTTTGTCCTCTTTGATAACACCAAAGTTACTTGATACCGTTGCATTTGGTACATTCAATTGTAAATTGAAAAGCATCTCTTGTCTTGAATCCAAGGTCAAATTACCTTTATCTGCGTCCACTGTACCTCTAGCACTGGATTTCCTTGATCTAATAGATATCTTTGTTGTTACCGAGTCGTCAACATAGCATCGTGGAAGTTTCAAATCTTGCAATGCTTTGAGGCACGAAGCAAAACACAAGTCAAAAAGCGAGTTTGTGCTGACTTGCCTCAGAAATATCTTTATATTCAGGTGCAACACAAATGAAAACTGTTTATTATGCATGCTGGACAAGTTTATATATTGCCATTGTGATTCATGTAAATCTGGGTATAAAACTTGTTCTTCGCCAGTTCTTTCGTCTTTTACTGCCAATCCCAAATTATCAATCTTCAAGCCTATAGCAGGGATTATTCGACAATTTCTGAATGATTCATACAAGTTTTGACTTAGAATCATCTCTTCATCTGTGGGAGCGCCGGATCTACCTCTTAATATTTCCACTTGAGGATAAATTGACGCATACTGGTTCAGCTGCTGGTTACCACTATTACCATTGCCCTTTAGATCCTCGACAATCAGTAAACTTATAGTATTTATAACTGTGGTCGATCCGCTCTTTAATATCGAAGAGGCAAAAACATTATCGGAATTCTGCTGTAATTGCAGACTATTTCCATACTCGATTGATTTGAACTCATTAAAGTTTCGAAGATTGGGTCTTATACCAAGTGCCAAATGCCGCTGTAAAGAAACATCGGGGGCAATGCGTTCTAGTACATCCGGTGCAAATGTGACTTGTTTTAGGTCAGCCATGGAAGTCATAGTGATCGTAGCAATCTGTATTTTAGAGTCTTATAAATGAAGCTCTTTGATGATGATGATGATGATGATGATATCGATGATGATATCGATGATGAGCTCTTTTCTCGATGAGCCTTGTTAAAAAAAAAGATTATTGCGCTACCGATATTAAAATGAATATAGAGGGTTTAATAGAGAGTACTGACATTTTTTGCACCCAATACTAGACCAGTAACAGTAACTGCAAAGCGTAATCGAGCAACACTAATGAGCAGCAACACTATCGAGCAGCAACACTATCGAGCAGCAACACTATCGAGCAGCAACACTATCGAGCAGCAACACTATCGAGCAGCAACACTATCGAGCAGCAACACTATCGAGCAGCAACACTATCGAGCAGGGCGAGATAGTGGAGCACACTGATTTTTTACATACATAGACACTATCAAGCAAAGCGAGATAGACACTAGAGCGCACTAAACAACACCACTCACTGCTCGAGAGTGGAGCGTAGTAGTCAACGCTTCTCGATAGTGGAGCACATTAGCTGCCACCGACACTATCTCGCTCTGCTCGATAATACGCTCCGCTAGTGAGAAAATTTAAAATGTGAAAATCACTAGCGGAGCATAAGCGACGCTAGTGAGTGAATCTAATTTGTGAAAATCACTAGCGGAGCATAAGCGACGCTAGTGAGAGAATTCAATATGCGAAAATCACTAGCGGAGCATAAGCGACACTAGTGAGAGAATTCAATATGCGAAAACCACCAGTGTCGCTTACGCTCCGCTAGTGAGAGAATTTAATATGCGAAAATCTCTGCTAAAGTAGTTGTAGTAAAGGATCACTAGTGTCGCTTACGCTCCGCTAGCGAAGCTCAGCAATCTCGCTTCGCTCGATACGATTAGCCGGCTCAGTTTGAAGCTTCAATAAAATTTCAGGTTTTCAAGTTTTCAGGTTTTGCCAGATCTGAATCGGTAGCGCTACAAAAAATAGCCGCAAATGGTATTTTTTACGAGATACAAAACACACGGGTTTGCTTTCGTAAGTTTCGCTTGAGCCACCTTCATACTTATACTGCTGCTGTTGCTGCATTAAAGATGATTGATAAGTAGACAATACTGCACTTTAGAAGAGTTTGGTCCAGTTTTAATTTTTTTTTTTTCAAGTTGCCAACTTTTTTTTGTTTCATTGTAATAACATTTTGGCTCATGGGTTTTAACATTTTGGTTCATGAGTTTTAACATTTTGGCTCATGGGTTTTAACAGAGGGCCCAAAATATCTATACGTTATCTCACCTGCTTTCCCTCCTTTTCACTAATGGTTCAATTATCTGCTGATTTATCTTTACCATAAAGTCAAAGTCAGTTTTTTTTTTTTTTTCTTTGCTCTCGGCCCAAGGGGGGTAAACATTACCCCATTTGGCCTCGTGTCCTGGATATTTCTATTTTGAGATCTATTTTTTTTCTTGTTATAAATCGAACAATCATGATTGGCTGTAGATAAACCAGATTACAGAATTACGCACTATGTAATAATATGCTACTGAGCGGCTTAATGAAGTAAAACCTAAAAAAAAAAAATTTTCATAAGGAAATCAAAAAAGGGGAAAACTGTAAGTACCATATAACACATATAACACATTCGCCCTCCCCTCTCTCCATCTCGCTTTATCCCGTATCCCGGAGGTCTCCCGGATCTCGGACGACTTTGACCACTCCAAGTGAAATGATCACACTTTACATTTATTTTTTTCTATTTCCTCTATTTCCTCTATTTCCTCTATTTCCTCCCCTCCCGGATGCATATCACTAGCCAGTAATTAGTACCTATTTCGTTTCGGCTACTAACTGAATATATCTCCTTAAAAAATATGCATCCTAAATCCTTTTCAAATCTTTCAGTCTTTATAGCAAGAGTTTAGTACTTTTCCGTAAATCAAAGCAAAATGAGACAAGTAACAGTATATATAAAAATAAATAAAAAAAAGAAAGCCCTTGAAAAAATTTCTTTGATTTTTCATAGTTTCAACTTCTTCTTCTTCTTCTTCTTCTTCTTCTTCTTCTTCTTCTTCTTTTTCTTTTTCCTTTTTTTTTCTTCGTTACTCACTGGTACTGCTCACAAGTGTGATTTCCTATAAAACTGGGACTTGCTTACTAGAGATTTATTAAACGGGCATCTAATTTAAGACTCTATTTCCTCGATTCTTTTGTACTATAAAATCGCTCCTTTTTTAACCACACCTTTTAGTGGACAGTTCAGTTACATCTTTAGTGGGCAGTTCAGTTACATCTTTAGTGGACAGTTCAGTTACATCTTTAGTGGACAGTTCAGTTAGTTTGTTTATTCAATCCCTTTTTAAATTATGAGTACTGCCTCATATTTACCCCAAGAAGAATTTGAGCAAACAAATATTTATCAGTATGATGAAGTACCAGAAAATAAGTCATGGGCATCTTCCTTACCTATAGCTAAAGGTTTATATAACCCAGACCTCGAAAAAGACGCTTGTGGTGTTGGTTTCACTTGTCATTTGAAAGGTCATCCATCCCACAAGATTGTGTCTGATGCTAAAAGCTTACTATGCAATATGACTCACAGAGGTGGTGAGTTGAACCCAAAAGATGGTGATGGTGCAGGTTTATTAAGTTCAATTCCTCATAAATTTCTTCAACGAGAGTTTCAATACCACTGTAACATAACTTTGCCCAAGAAGGGCCAGTACGGTGTGGGTAACTTATTTTTTAAAAGAGACGATGTTGTTTTTGTTAAATCGAAAAAGACTTTTGAAAACATTGCCGAGTCCTTGGATTTAAAGGTGCTTGGGTGGAGAAAAGTGCCCCATGATTCATCTATATTAGGTCCAGCGGCTTTATCTAGAGAACCCTATATCTTGCAGCCGGCGGTTGTGTTGAAGGAAACTTTGAATCAAGATATATCAGAAGAAGAATTTGCATCTAAATATCAACAAAATTTTGAAAAAAGATTATTTATTTTGAGAAAGCAATCGTCGCATACAATTGGTTTACATAACTGGTTTTACATTTGTTCGCTTTCTTCAAAGTCTATTGTTTATAAGGGCCAATTGGCTCCAAATCAAGTTTATGCTTATTATCACGACTTGGTCAATGCCGAGTATGAGTCACATTTTGCTTTGGTCCATTCAAGATTTTCAACAAATACTTTCCCTTCATGGGATAGAGCACAACCTTTGAGGTTAGCAGCTCATAATGGTGAAATCAATACGTTGAGAGGTAACAAAAATTGGATGCGAGCAAAAGAAGGTGTTATGAAATCAAAGTTGTTTGGAGATGAGATGGATAAATTATTTCCAGTTATAGAGGAAGGCGGATCTGACTCTGCTGCATTTGATAATGTTTTGGAGTTGTTGGTTGTTAACGGAGTGGTTTCCTTACCAGAAGCCGTTATGATGATGATTCCCGAAGCCTGGCAGAATGATGAACACATTGACCCAAAAAAGAAGGCTTTTTACGAATGGGCGGCTTGCTTGATGGAACCATGGGATGGACCTGCTTTATTCACTTTTGCCGATGATAGGTACTGTGGTGCCAACTTGGACCGTAACGGTTTAAGACCATGTAGATACTATGTCACTGATGACGAAAGAATAATTTGTGCATCTGAAGTTGGTGTCATTGAGATTGCTCCTGAAAAAGTGTTGCAAAAGGGTAGATTGCAACCAGGTAGAATGTTATTGGTTGACACTAAGGAGGGAAGAATTGTAGATGACAAAGAGTTGAAGAGCAAGGTCTCTTCAAGATTTGATTTCAAAAGTTGGGTATTGGCCAATATGATCACCTTGGAAGATTTAACTGGAAAATTATTAACAAGAAATGTTGACTTAAACTCTGCACCAGTTGACAAGGCTTTGACCATCCAAACTGACCCAAGATTAGTAGCATCGGGTTATTCTCATGAACAGGTTTTGTTTGTTTTGGCACCAATGGCCGAGGGTAATGAAGCTTTGGGTTCTATGGGTAACGATAATGCATTGGCTTGTATTTCGGAGCAACCAAAACTATTATACGAATATTTTCGTCAATTGTTTGCCCAGGTCACTAATCCACCAATAGATCCAATTAGAGAAAAGATTGTTATGTCATTGGAATGTTACGTTGGGCCCCAAGGTAATCTCTTGGAGATGAAACCAGATCAACTAAATAGACTTCTTTTAAAGTCGCCAATTTTGACCAATTCGGAGCTCTTGGCTATCAAAAATATGGAAAAGGTTTACCCAAAATGGTCGGTTACAACTATTGACATTACTTTTGAAAAAAGCCAAGGTATTCAAGGATACATAAATACCATTGATAGAATATGCCAAGCAGCGTCAAAAGCAATTGCCGATGATAATCAAGTGATTATCTTGAGTGATGTGGAAACATGTGCCGATAGATTGCCCATCTCTGCTTTGATTGCAATAGGTGCTGTTCATCACCATCTCGTTAGACAAAAGCAACGTTCTAAGGTTGCCTTGATTATTGAAACCCAAGAAGCCAAGGAGGTCCACCACGCTTGTTGTTTAGTTGGATATGGTGCAGATGGTATCAATCCATACTTGGCAATGGAGACTTTGGTTAGAATGCAACGCCAAGGATTGTTGAAAGATGAAACATTAACTGAAGAGGCTGTTATTAAAAATTATCAAAAATCAATTGATGCAGGTATATTGAAAGTCATGTCCAAGATGGGTATTTCAACATTGGCTTCTTATAAAGGTGCTCAAATTTTCGAGGCACTTGGTATTGATAATTCTGTTATTGACAGATGCTTTGCAGGTACTGCATCAAGAATTAAAGGTGTCACTTTTGAATATATTGCACAAGATGCATTCACCTTGCACGAAAGAGGATATCCATCGAGAGAATGCATTAAGCCTATTGGTTTGCCCGAAACCGGTGAGTACCACTGGAGGGATGGTGGTGATGCTCATATCAATGATCCTGCAGCAATTGCATCATTACAAGATGCAGTTCGTAATAAAAATGAAAGAGCTTTTGATGCTTATTGTAAAAAGGAAAACGAAGCAGTGAAAAATTGTACTTTACGTGGTTTATTGGACTTTGATTTTGAATCCTCGGCTGCCGTTCCAATTGAACAAGTTGAGCCATGGACGGAAATTGTTCGCCGATTCTTTACCGGTGCTATGTCGTACGGTTCCATTTCAATGGAATCACACTCCACTTTGGCTGTAGCTATGAATAGATTGGGAGGTAAATCGAACACTGGTGAAGGTGGTGAAGATGCAGCTAGATCTCAAGTTAGTGAAAATGGCGATACCATGAGGTCAGCTATTAAACAAGTTGCCTCTGGTAGATTTGGAGTCACTTCATTTTATTTGGCAGATGCTGATGAATTGCAAATAAAAATGGCGCAAGGTGCAAAACCCGGAGAAGGTGGTGAATTGCCTGGTAATAAAGTCTCAGCTGAAATTGGTAAAACAAGACATTCTACTCCAGGTGTTGGTTTAATATCCCCACCTCCACATCATGATATTTATTCGATTGAGGATTTAAAGCAGTTATTGTATGATTTGAAATGTTCGAATCCTAGGGCACGTACTTCTGTCAAGTTGGTCTCCGAAGTTGGTGTTGGTATTGTTGCCGCTGGTGTTGCAAAAGCAGGGTCAGAAAATATTTTAGTTTCTGGAGGTGATGGTGGTACTGGTGCCGCTAAATTGACCTCGATTAAATATGCAGGTTTACCATGGGAATTGGGATTAGCTGAGTCTCATCAAACGTTGGTTTTGAATGATTTAAGAGGAAGAGTTATTTTACAAACAGACGGACAATTGAGAACAGGAAGAGATATTGCTATTGCTTGTTTGTTGGGAGCTGAGGAATGGGGATTTGCCACCACTCCATTGATTGCCATGGGATGTATTTACATGAGAAAATGTCATACTGGTGCTTGTCCAGTTGGTATTGCTACTCAAGATCCCGATTTGAGAAAGAAATTCGAAGGAACCCCTGAGCATGTGATTAATTTCTTTTACTACATGGCCAATGATTTAAGACTGTTTATGGCAAAATTGGGTTTTAGAACAGTCGCAGAGATGGTGGGAAGAACTGAAAAGTTAAAAGTTCGGGAAGACTTTAGAAATACTAAGAATGCAAACATTGATTTGTCGCCTATTCTTACACCAGCACATACTATAAGACCAGGTGTTGCAACCCATTGTGTTAGAAAACAGGATCATAGATTACACGTTAGAGTCGATAACAAATTGATTGATGAATCTGAATTAACCTTGGCTAAGGGATTACCTGTGACAATTGATTGCGACGTTGTAAATACCGATCGTTCATTGGGTACAACTTTATCATACCGAGTTTCCAAGACTTTTGGTGAAAAAGGTTTGCCTCATGACACTATTCACGTGAACATAACTGGGTCTGCTGGACAATCTTTCGGTGCATTCTTGGCGTCTGGTGTAACATTGGAATTGGAAGGTGATGCCAACGATTACATTGGTAAAGGTTTGTCAGGAGGTAGAATAATTGCTTATCCACCTAAGGAGTCCAAGTTTAAAGCTGAAGATCAAATTATTGCTGGTAATACTGCATTCTTTGGAGCTACATCTGGGTCGGCTTTCATTAGAGGTATTGCCGCAGAGAGGTTTGCTGTTCGAAACTCGGGAGCCATTATTGTTGTTGAAGGTACTGGTGATCATGGTTGTGAGTATATGTCGGGTGGTAGAGTTGTTATTCTTGGAGCTACTGGTCGTAATTTTGCCTCTGGTATGTGTGGAGGTATTGCTTATGTTTTAGATATGGCCCAAGACTTTGCCGATAAAGTTAACAAGACCAACGTGGAATTGTCGCTGGTTACCGAAACTGAAGAAATTGCGTTTTTGAGAAATTTGATTGAGGATCATCGCCATTACACGGGTTCAGAAGTTGCAGATAGAATATTGAATGATTTCAATAGATACTTGCCTAGATTTGTCAAAGTTTTGCCCTTTGATTATAAAAAGGTATTGGAAAAGGAGAAAAAAATGGCCGAGGAAGCAAAAAAGAAGGAATTGAGTAAGTTTTTACAATCAATTAAGGAGGATCCAGAATCTGATGTCACCAATGGAGAGGCTTACAAGATTAAAAAAGGTCATGCTCATCAGCACCAGCACCAGCACCAGCACCAGCATCAGCACCAGCACCATCATCATCATCATCATCATCATCATCATCGTCATGATGAAAAAGAACCAAAGGTTGCAGATGTGGAAGATACAGTGTTTAATACTGAATTTGACAAGAAAGCACCAGTCAAGTTGGACAGAGTCAAAGGCTTCATGAAGTACAAGCGTAGAAACGAAAAATACCGTGACTCAAGTGAAAGGGTTAAAGATTGGAAGGAGATGACATCGAGATTGACCAAAGACGAATTGCATTATGAAACTGCAAGATGTATGGACTGTGGTGTTCCTTTCTGTACTTCGGATACAGGATGTCCAATCTCAAACATTATCCCTAAATGGAACGAATTGGTGTTCCACAATAGATGGTGGGATGCATTGCAAAGATTGTCAATGACCAATAACTTTCCCGAGTTCACTGGTAGAATCTGTCCGGCTCCATGTCAGGGTGCTTGTGTATTAGGTATCAATGAAGATCCAGTGAATATCAAGTCTGTTGAATGTGCAATCATTGACAATGCGTTTGAGCAAGGATGGATCAAGCCCACGCCGCCACAACACAGAACTGGTAAAACAGTTGCCATTATTGGATCAGGCCCTGCCGGTTTAGCATGTGCCGACCAATTGAACAAAGCTGGGCATTCAGTAACTGTTTATGAAAGAAGTGACAGACCAGGTGGTTTATTGATGTACGGTATTCCAAATATGAAATTAGACAAGGGTATTGTTGAGAGAAGGACGAATTTGTTAGCAGCTGAAGGAATCAACTTTGTATGTAATACCACTGTTGGTGAAGACATTCTGGTTGAAGAATTGAAGTCCACTTTTGATGCCGTTGTTTTTGCTGTTGGTTCAACGATTCCTAGAGACTTGAAGATTCCCGGTAGAGAATTGAAAAACATCAACTTTGCTATGCAATTGTTGCACAAGAACACCAAGGCACTTTTGGAGGATCATTTGGCTGATATCCGCCAACAGTTGGAAGGCAAACACGTTGTTGTTATTGGGGGTGGTGATACTGGTAACGATTGTTTAGGTACTTCTACGCGTCACGGTGCCAAGTCTGTCACCAACTTTGAGTTGTTGCCACGTCCACCATCTTCAAGGCCCAAGGACAACCCATGGCCACAATGGCCTAGAATTTTTAGAGTTGATTACGGCCATACTGAAGTATCTACTCATTACGGTAACGATCCAAGAGAGTACTCAATCTTATCGAAGGAATTTATTGGAGATGACGAGGGAAATGTTAAGGGCATCAAAACTGTTAGAGTTGAATGGAAACGTTCTGACCAAGGTGCATGGCAGATGGCTGAAGTTCCTGGAAGTGAAGAGTTTTTCCCCGCTGACGTAGTTTTATTGTCTATGGGTTTTATTGGGCCTGATGCCGACAATTTGGAAGTGAAAAAGACAAAGAGAGGTACAATTGCCACTGTTGATCCAAATGTTTATAAAGTTGACCAGGAGTCTAATTTATTTGCTTCTGGTGATTGTAGAAGAGGTCAGTCATTGGTTGTATGGGGAATCCAAGAAGGTAGACAATGTGCAAGAGAAGTTGATGAGTTTTTAATGGGATCAACAAGATTACCAGGTAACGGTTCAGTTGAACAAAGAAGTTACAAGTTGCTAGAAGAATTGGCTGAGAAAGTATAGGCAAAAGAATAAACAGTAATGGAAAAAAAAAAAAAATTAAAAAAAAAAAAGTTTAGAATGTAAAGTAAAAATGGGTACTGTGTATGTGTTTATCTTAAATATAAATGATTTTTAGATTGAGACTTTGTTAGTTACTACTTATAAACCAAACTTCTGCTCTCTGAAAACTCAACTTGGAGAAGCTTGAACTAGGCCTGATTTAGTTGATCTCAAACGAAAAATAGTTATATAAAAAAAAAAGGAAAAGAAAGAAAACCAAAGGGTATTCCTCCTCCCAATGCAAAGGGAGACATATCCAGAGCATGAATTGATAGCCCAATTTCTCAAAGACAATAACTACCACCAAACATTAGCCGAATTTGAGAAAGAGCATGGAAAACCCATAACTCGACGACTTTTGAACAATTCGGAAACGCTATCTCATATCATTGAAGACAGGCTACAGTATAACTCTATAAATGAAAAATTGAAAAACAGCTGCATCAATGAAGAGCTTCCAGAAAATTTGGAGAAAATTGCCAAAACAAGATTTGCGTCATGGCCGCTGCCGTGTCCTCGTGTTCCGCACTTATTGAGAATGCAACTGTTGATCCTTTCGAGTTGCTATGATAAACATCATGAGGTGGTATACTTTACGACTAACGATTCTCACATTTTTATAAAGCAAGGTGAAGATGAGGAGTTGGTTAAATTTAAATCTCCCGAGATCATTAGAAAGGTGATGGTAATAGATGATGATGCTGGGGTTGTGATGTTAGGTATGAGTGGAACCTTGTATTTGAAAGAGTCGGTAACTTTAGTTGGCATTTCCAGCATTAAAACAGACTTTAGATTTGTTGTTGATGCCCAATATATCAAATTCAATGAAAAAAACTACATTGTTGTATTGGCCTGGAACGGAACCGTAAAGTTGATTACACTAAAACAACAAGAGTTTCAACTTGTATCTGAAATGAAGTTGAGCCAGCAAAGTACTTGTTTTGCTTTAACTGTATACCAAAATGAACTCATATTGGTATTGGGTAAGCTAGAAAGTACCTTGTTAGAAGTATACACATTGAAAGGTGAAGCTTTTTCACCAAGTTACAAAATTTCCATAAATGATGCGGAATTTACAGTCTCTAGCTTCATGCCGAGGTGTATGATTATATCTCAGTCATTGCCATCATCAATTGATGAAGTTCCATTAATCGCGGTAGCGACATCTCATGAGCCCTATATGAGAATAATTATTGTGTCACTAGAAGAGTTCCAAAATAGAAAAAATTGCGCTTTCTCCATCTCCAGGCTCCAAATCATTAGAAACCTGAAAACTACTTCACCTCAGGACAAATTTTCGCAGCCAATCATCTCTTGGCGTTTAGGGTCAAGAACGCAACTTGAGGAAAACCAGAATAGGATATTTGGATTGTGGATTATGGGTGATGATGGTGTTATCAGAGGATTGGATGTAGTTGACAACAAAGTCGTTATCGAGTTGAAGGAAACGGAGGGAGCAAAGGAGGAGAAGGAAAAAAAGGGCCACACGGGCCACAATGGGAGAATAAAAAATTTTATATCCTATATAGATTCAAATGGTGAGGAGATCTTACTTAGCGCAGGTGTGGATAAACGAGTAATTTTGTGGAGAGTAGACTAGAACAATAAAAACTACAAACTTTACTTTTTGATTGAATCTTGAAAAATGGTGAGGTTGTGTCGGTGGCAGCTAATCGCTCTGCTCGATAGTGTCTTGTTACAAACAAACAAACTAAGAAAAAAAAAAAATGTGAAAAAAAAAAACCGTGTGTGCTCCACTATCTCGCTTTCCTCAATAGTGTCGATAGTGTCTTATTACTTGTATCGATTTGTCGGTGGGGATAGTGTCGATAGTGTCTTGTTACTTGTATCGATTTGTCGGTGGGGATGGTGTCGATAGTGTCAATAGTGTGCATCGGTCACGTGACCCAGGAATGGAGAATTTCAAGTTGGGGAAAAAATGTGGGGTTTTGTAAGAAATGTTGTTTTCTTTTAAACCTCGGGTAAGTTAATAAAAAAAAAAAAAAAAAATTACATCACACAAAATGTTTTCAACTTAACTAGGAATGGCAATAACATTAGACCATAGATTTTTGGGTAGTAGTAAATACTAGTGGGTTGAAAGTAATTAGCTTGAACCTTCACCAGTCAAAACAGTATCTATCTCTCCTCTTTCCCCTTCTCCCCTTCTCCCCTCCTTTCTCTCTCTATCTCTCTCTCTATCTCACTTCTGCCTTGGCGCTCCATTTGTAGGCGGCTATATCTAGGACCTCGTGTTCCACAACTTCTTATAGAAAAGAGTCCCTGATAAAAGCCCAGAACCAGAAACAGAAAAATTAAGAAACCCCAAAAAAAAAAATAGAGATATAATGTTAAACTTTTCTTTTTTTTTTATTTATTTCTTTTTATCCGCAATACAGTGAATATGATTATTTCCATAGATTTCTGAAAGATTAATAGTGAATATTTTCCATTGAAAAAAAACCAGGTTTGATTTGACAGTTTCATTTCAACTACAACTTATAGCAAAGGAACAAGGATCAACTGCTAGATTTCTTGCCAATATTTAGGATCCGACTTTTTCCCAAACTCCTTGCAATATTGCATTCTTGCCCCGCAACATTGGCACTCATATTTTTCCACAAGTAGTAGAGTCATATTAAAGTAAATGTCACTTACCCCATTGGAAAAAGCGGCATCTGGTGCATTGGCCTCGGCTGTTGCAAATACCTTGGTCTATCCGTTAGATTTGAGTAAAGTTATAATCCAAACACAAGTTAAGAAACATCATCATCATAGAAAACCTCACGGTGGTAGTGGTAATGGTAATGGTAGTGGTAATGGTAGCAGTGACTCACTTTCAAGTCCTCCGCAATCTGAATTGTCGGATTTTGAAGAATCTATTCTTAGAAGTTCACCCAAAGACTCCAAAACGGGAGAATTGAAATACAAAAACACTATTGATGTGTTGAGAAAAATTTACGAAAAGAAAGGTATATTAGGATGGTATCATGGTTTGTTTTCAACTGTGATTGGTACGGCCGCACAGAATTTTTCTTATTTTTACTGGTATTCGATAGTTAAAAAGGTTTATGCTAATTTATACAAGAACATTCCAAATCACAAGGCAAACACATTAACTGAATTGTTTCTTGGTGCTGTTGCAGCTGCTATATCGCAATGTTTTACTATGCCTATTGGAGTCATCACTACTCAGCAACAAACCGATAAACATCATAAGAATTTGCTTCAATTGATTAGAGAAATTTTAGATCAGGATGGAGTTTGCGGATTATGGAGAGGATTGCGAGTTTCCTTGGTTTTATGTATCAATCCATCAATCACCTATGGTTCGTATGAAAGATTAAAGCAAATATTATATGGCAACAAGGAATTTTTGGGTCCATTGGAAAGTTTCTCGTTGGGAGTCATTGCCAAATCATTGGCAACTTTAGTCACACAACCATTAATTGTATCGAAAGCTATGATTCAAAAGAAAGCCAAGAGTAAAGATAAGAAGAAGAATAATTTGGAGGGAGGAAGAAAAGTAGAGGAGGAAGAGGAGGAAGAGGAGGAGGAAGATGACATCAAATTCGACCATTTCACCGAAGCATTGGCACATTTATGGCACACTGAAAAATTTAGAGGATTATATAAAGGTATTGCACCTCAATTGTTGAAGGGTGTTTTTGTTCAAGGATTGTTATTCATGTTCAAGGATCAAATTGACATTTTATTTTTATTTTTGTTATCGTTGATTAAAAGAAAAAAACTAGCAATCAGTAAACACTAGAGAAGAGTCACTTGGGGGGTTTTAGATTAGAGGCTGATATATACATATACGCGTATATATGTATATATATACATATTTATCTTTGTAGTTTGATTTGCAGTGATAGCGAGAAGTGATAGATAGTTATGGATAGAAATTTTCTTTTTATAAATTTTTTTTTTATTTTTTTCAATAGACTTTTCCTAGAATTGTAGAATTGTAAATTTGTGCTGTGAGTTGTGAGTTGTGGCGGTAGTTTAATCTGTGAAATTTCTTTGTAAGTTTAATCAATAAGGAAAGTTTGTTTGTAGTGTTTGTAATTAGATTCTGTAAGTTTGAGAGATAAAGTCTCGCTTGTGGCTGTGAAATTTAGTAATTATTTTACAAATCTCTCTTATAGATAAGAAATTCATATATAAAAAATTCTAATTGTAATTAATAAACTATGTTAAATAGCCCTTGGACTAAGAAATTTTCTCTTTTCAACTAACAAATTCGTTAGTCTCTTGCATAGAACAAAATAACTCCTCTTCTCTTCTTCCTCCTCCTCCTCCTCTTCTTCCTCTTCCTCCTCCTCTTCTTCCTCCTCCTCCTCCTCTTCCTACTCTACTTTTCTTTCTCACGGGTTTGATGTAAATTTTCGTTCAATTTTTAGTGAAAACTTTATCTCTTTTTATTTAAAATTTTAATCCGAATTGGGGGAGATGCAATCATGCAAAAAAAAAGATCACGAGATTTGAAGACTCTCCAATAGGCCCCCAAAGTACGCATATCAATTACAGCTTAAAAAATCAGGTGTCAATAAGAGAGACAGGTTAGTACCTCTTCCCCTATAAAACAAGGCTTCAACCTAGTAGACTTTACTAAACTTACTTAAAAAAGGAAGATGCATAACTTTATTATGCAATACTTTATATTATTTATACTTGAGAGAAAGATTTTGAGTTAAGCAGCATTCTCGAGAAAAAAAAAAAGAAAAAATATTTGCCAAGACAACAGAGGTAGGTAGATCTAACAACTTATAGTACCAGAAAAATTATCAGAGACTATCAGAGACTATCAGAGACGAAAACTAAAAGATAAAAGTCCAACAAATGGATTGATTTATGTTTCAAATATTCAACAGTAATTACAAATCTTATTCGTAGCTATATTCCATTGCTCTTTTTTTTTTTTTTTATTATTATTATTATTATTTGTCTTGCGTCTTTGTGCCTAGACAGGCCAGATGCATATATATATATATATATATATAGCTTGCTTAATAGCTTGCTCTTTATTGTATTCTTCTAGATTCTTAATGTAAGTGGCTTGGTGATTTGTAGCAAAGTGTAGTAGGTTGGTGATTTGTAGCAAAATGTAGTAGCTTTAGTGGTAAAATGGTCGAGAAGTTCTTGAGCGATATTAGTAACCGTTGCAATTGTTAGGTTGAATGGTGGAGTGATTTAATGATAAATCTAGATTTCCTATTTCGGTCAATTTTTCGCTGTTGCGCTTTTACTTTTTCACACAAGTTTACCCCCTAATAGTTTTGTAACGTAAATTTCAAATTTCCAACAAACATTCAACATTCAGGTCAAATTTTTCAACCTTGTTTAGAGAGGCGGAGAGGAGGGGGAGAAGTAGGTTCTTACTTTCATGGATATGTAAGCTGTTATTAAAATATAGGTTCATTTTCCGGTATCATCCCTATTTTTTTTTTTCTTTTTCTTTGTTTGTTCTGGCAAAAGGGTCAAAAGCACAATCTATTTTGATTGAGTTAAAAAAATTACCCCTTTTTTTCCCATAGTAAAACTTGGTTTTCACTTTGTAATTAATTTTTACAGTGTGATTTTGGTTGTGATGCCCTCCATAAACAAGCAATTTCAAAGTAAGCAGCAAAAGCCCTTGACTGGGGCTGTTGCATATCCAAGTTTGGCCTTGGGGGAGGGGCTGAGCTTTATAGCTCTCTCTCTCCTTCATTCCTCCTCCCCTTTCCAGTCTCAACTTTTTCTTGATTAATATACCATGGGTTATTTTTTTTTTTTTTCAATCTGTTAAGTTGATACATATTGATCTATAGTTAATATGCTCAATGCTTAATATAGTAGCCGCCTTCCTTTTTGACGTACAAAGTTTTAAGCCTAATTTGTGAGACCTTTAATGCAACTTTTTTGAATGCAACTTGTAAGTATATCTATATCTATCTATATATATATATATATATATATAGTTAAATCCACAATTCAGATTGTATAAAACTGAATTGGTTTGATTGACTCTCTTGACCAATGATAAGAACGGAAACGATTGATTTTCACAATTATTTACCCCCCTATCGCTCTTTATTAAATCCAAATGCTTGGTATGACTATAGAACTCATACACTAATACCTTTAACTCAAAATGATCTAAGTCTACTACGTACAGTTTTCAGAAGTGGCAGTCAATCAAAAATAAAGTCAACTTCAACAACTAGGTCAAACAGGGCCTTGACATCAAATTCATTTTTTGCTCAACAGGCACCACAGCAGCAGCAACAACAGCAACAGCAACAACAACAGCAGCAATTACAACCACTACAGCGGGATAACAATATCTGTTCTTCTTCTTCTTCTTCTTCTTCACCACTATTACCACCACAGTCTGCTTCATCAATAACCTCGAATGTTTCTTCCCCATTCGATGAGGACTCTTTGTACCATGTCCAAGAACAAGGCCAGGGTCAAGGACAAGGCAATAATTCAGCAAATCTAAAGATGAAGTACAAATCACTACTAAATGATGTGAGTCGAAGCATATCATTGAGAATAAGTAATAGCAATCTCCTTACAAACCCCTTGCAATCACACAATGGCAATAGTTGCATCTCACGGTCTAGCACCATCTTTTCCAATTCCAGCCTGTCACATATAAAGAATTCAGTTCCAACTATATCCAACATTAAAGACCTACCCTTGGAAATATTGGACTACATATTTTTCCTAGTTGATGAAAAGGCTGATTATAAGAGTTGCATGTTCACCAGCAAGCTTTTTTACCACTTGTCGAAACCATATTACTATGAGAATTTGGCGTTCACATCTACTTATAGATTTGCGCAATTTGTAACGTATTTGCGTTTAAACCCGGAGATTGGACAATATATCAAATCAATTGATTTGTCAGGACTAAAACCAGGTTATGATGAAAACTCTGACTTGGACGAGAATCAGACTGATGAGAATGATGATGGAATTGTCACTTTTAATGCAAACCTGCGCGAGAATCAATTGTATGGTAACAATACAAAAATCTTAGCCGGATGGAGAGATTGGAAGTTCAAGAATAACCCATTGTATACAGTTCACACAGTGCAAAATGGCGCATTAACCAAGATTTCATCAAATTCACAATTCCTGGTTTTATCATCAAAGTCAAATGCCTCACAAAAGTCATCATCATCGTCTTCTTCTTCGTCGTTGTCATCCAAAAGATTTTCAAAGCCTTTTAAGTATTTCAAAACAAGAAAGAGAAGTAGATCATTCAGCGGGTTCAATGCAAGTAATAGTTCAAGGAAAACTCCTCGACTTGAATATTTGAAATTACAAGTAAGAGAAGATACAAATTCGTGCAAATTTCTTAATCCACACCCACTGATTAACAAATTCTTGCTAAACTATGCCAGTTCTAAAGATGTACCGGTTGGTTATGTGTTGCACATGATCAATTTATGCCCCAATATAGTAAGCTTGAATTTGGGTAATTTATCTTTATCAATTGATTACGAAATATCCAGAAAGTCGGTTTCAAAGTATCAAAACTTTGACTTGCTAAATAATTACCCAAAGGATCTTCTTTCCAAGATTGACAGCTGTATGAAATTTGAAGGATTTGAGAATGCTGCATTATTCGAGAATGGCCATGGCCCCTTTAATAAGTATTCGTGTGAATACCTGGGTCTCTTTTCGGGTAGTTTGTTTAAGTCAACCGCATCGAATGTTTCAACGGCATCATCAATATACTCAGTGGCTACATTTTCTAAGCCCATGAGGAAATACAACAGTTTGCTTCCACCATTACCAAACTCGACTATCACAGATACCTCCTATTTAAAGAAAGCGGATGGAAGAACCTATCTCTCAGACTTGAGTCTCAAGGCAATCAATAATACGTATTTGAAAAAGATTGATGAACATGCAATTTTGTCAGCAATAACCAAAGTTCATGGGAAACAGGTTTTGGCTTATAATTTGAACCATGGTGGTCCCTTATCATTAAAAGCAGATATTGCAGGAAACTTAAAGTACATCAATTTGTCTTCAATGATTTGGCTTAATCGTACAATGGTGGAAAAGTTTCTCAAGAGATTACTACCAACAAGATCTGAAGAATTGGTGCCCTATGGTTTCTATGATGATGATTATTTTTCTCAGGATGATGAAGAAGAAGATTACTCAGACCCCACTTCCGATACGGAATCAGTTGAAGAATCTCAAGACCCTATACGTTATAAGCAAAATTTGATAATTGATTTCACAGATTCTGGAATGTACAAGAATCTTGTATGGGCACAAAAAATCGATTTAGATACTATGGAGGGGTGTAAGCTAGCTAGTCAAATTATTGGAAATGAATTGAGAACTCCACAAGAAGAGTTTATGAGAAAAGAGAGAATAAGAAGAGGAAGGATTGGGGAAAACTATCTAGCATGACCCCCCCCCCCCCCCCCCCCCCCACCAAGTTCTTCCCTTTCTCCCTAATAAAAAAGTACATACATGTATACATATATATATCTATTTTGTTGCTCATCTCTCTGAAAGTTTTTCAATCTTCTACGTATCATCCATCTCCCATTGTTTACAAAAAGAGATATGTTCCAGACATCAGGTCATCACAATTTCATGGATCAGCCTGGCCTAATTGCAAAAAAGGAAAATTAGCGGCGACCTCAAATCGCAATGGTTTTAAAGCTGGTGGTCTCGACTACAAGACTGCTCCTGTAATCAGACACTGGTTGATCTCGATAAATCAAACAAATCTACGACTTCATAAGTAGCTCTTCTTTTTGTTAATGCTACTTTCTATGAAAGAGATCATCTGATGAATCTTAGTTAAAGAAGAAGAAGAAGAAGAAGAAGAAGAAAGAAAAGAAAAATGAAAAATAAAAAAAGAAAAATGAAATACCCTCTATGACAAAGATAAAATGGTAGCGCAGTCAAATTCCACAAGTTTTTTTTTTTTTTTTTTTTCGATTGTTAGCACTGAAAAATATGTACAGATTGAAAAACGATATCCAGGATTCAATCAATCACTATTCTTTTTACCGCCTTTGGCCAAATTTATACTGACATGTCTGATTTATCAGCCCAACTATCAGCATTCAAGAATAAGATTAAGAGTGGGCCATCTGTGGCGGTTGCAAGGAAGCCCATTGTGGCCAAACCTCCAGTGTCAGAGACAAGTTCCAATGGAATCAAAAATAATGCAAATATAACTGGAGCTAACAAAAGGTCAACCCCAACCGACTCAGTTACTGAGTTTTTCAAACGCCAGAAAACATCATTGAACGAAACTTCAGGAGCTCACTTGTCTACACAGTTGCATTTGGCGGTAGAGTTCCTTAAAGAACAGGATCACCCCGTAAGTATATCCCATTTGCACAATAATCTAAATTTTGACGTGGAAAACACGCTACTACCACTTTTAAAAGAGATAGATCGAGTGAAATTTGATGAGTCAAAGAGGACTTTGGAGTATGTATCGCTCCATAACATCAAAAGTGCTGATGATTTGCTAGAGTTTCTACGAAAGCAAACAACCTTCAAAGGCATATCTGTAAAGGAACTTCGAGACGGCTGGGCTGGGTGTTTACAGGCAATAGACGAGTTAGAGTCGGAGAACAAGATCTTGGTGCTACGGAATAAAAAGGAAAATGCTCCTAGACTTGTATGGGCTAATGCCGGGGGCGAACTTGGCTCGGTAAGTGATGAGTTTAAAGAGATGTGGGTAGACGTAAAGTTACCAGAACCTGATGCTTTATATCAAGAATTAATTGATCAAGGCTTGAAGCCGACTGGTGCTGATCCAGCCCTTTTGAATAAAAAACCACAACAACAAGAAAAGAAACAAAAGAAAACACGCAGAGGTAAAATAACAAACACTCATATGAAGGGTATTTTGAAGGACTATTCCCAGTTGGTGTGACTGCTACTGCTACTGCCGCTGCCACTGCTGGAGGAGGAGGGGGGGTCGTAATCACTGTAGTCGTGTATCCGCTATGTATAGCTTTTTTTTTTTTTTTTTTTTTTTTTTTTTTTCTAGAAAAATTTTTCCAAACTCAGTCCATATTCATTATCACACTTTATTGTTTCGTTGTCCTATCTTTCACCTCAGACCCAACTTCCCAATTGCAAATATGTCCAGTATGTATCCATCAAGTCGAGAGTCGACGTAATTTGTCTTTTAAATTTTCTACAAATGAATATGCTAACATGCTTTTCCAAGTTGATTTTAATGCTGTCGCAACTGAGTTTTGCAAATTTTACTACAATCAATTCGACAACGATAGATCTCAATTGGGGAACTTATACAGATCAGAATCTATGTTAACCTTTGAAACATCGCAGTTACAAGGAGCCAGAGATATTGTTGAGAAATTGGTTTCCTTACCATTCCAGAAAGTAGCTCACAGAATTTCAACTTTGGATGCTCAACCAGCATCACCAAACGGTGATATCTTAGTGATGGTTACTGGTGAATTAGCTATTGATGAAGAACAAAACGCGCAACGTTACTCTCAAGTCTTTCATTTGATTCCCGAAGGATCTTCATATTACGTGTTCAACGATATATTTAGATTAAACTATTCTTAAGCTTTAGTAAGAGTTCTTTTGTGGAAATATACGAATTTGCTTAAATGAAACGTCATTTGACTGATATGGAGCCATACTCTATGTTAATAGTTTGGAGAAATGAGAATGTAGATAAAACCATAATATGAAGGATTATATGAAGGACGGTCTTTTTTACAAACCCAGCATCGAGCAGGTTTTGATTTGTAGAGAGAGAGAGAGAAAGAGAAAGTGTGTGTGTGTGTCTGTGTGTGTGTATAACACTTGATGGATTTTGCAATTGATTTGAATGTTGACTAGTTGTCAACATAATTATGTTTCATAGCTTCTAGTGTGTGAGAAGAATAATAAGCCATGAGGTGGTTAAAAAAAAAATGTCTTAACAAAATTTAAAAATACACTATCTCTTTCTTTCTCTCTCTCTCTCTCTCTCTCTCTCTCAAGTATCAATCTTTGATGGAAAACTCGGAAATACTGACAATTGAGGTGACTCTGAAAGGAGATGAGTCTTCTTCTAGTCGTTCAGAATGTACTCCCAGTGTCCCTCCGCGACCAAGGCCAAAACAAGAGCGCAATAAACTGGTAGAAACTACACAGGCTTCAATTTCAGGTGCCCAGAATCAAAGCGTACACACTTTTATTTCAATTGAAATAGATGAGGAAACACATGGTAATGCTACATCAAAGGATAGTAAATCACAGTCCTTAGAAGAAGGTACTCAATTTGAGCAAGACGCTGAAAGCGTTGGACCTATGACAGAAAAACACGATATTGTTTCATCTGACCCAACTACCGTTGATTCTGACAAGGAAAGTGAAGTGACACTGTCATTGAATCTCCAAAAAACAAATGATCTGGAAGGAGCAGATGGAGAGAAAACTCCTGGAAATTCGAGTACTAAGGCTACATTCAAAGACGAAATCGATGAAGATGGCTTCTTAGAAGCAGACAACTCAAGCTTCAATGACGACTTGGAAACAGTGCAAGAAGGTGGAGAAATAATTGACAATGTTGTTAATGAACTGGTAAGTACGGACGCCGAGATAGATCCTTCTCCTTCTACTCAGGATGATATTCGAGATTCGCAAAAGTTTCCAAGAGAAGATAAGAGTTTGGAAAGTGACGTTGTGCAAGATGGGGATGTAACTGTCCAAATAGTTGAAAACCCGTTTGAGAAGGATTCCCTAGAACATGCTGCTGCTGCTGCTGCTTCACCGATTGCTGAACCTGAAACTAGTACTACTACTCTAATGAATAAGAGAGTTCCGTTTATACCAGCTCGTCCCAAAAAGAAAGCATCATCACAGAACCAGGAAACTGTTCAAGACGAAAGAAGTACACTTGTTACTACGAAACCAAGTCTGGATTCAGGGGATGAGCATCGAGATGCGACAGAGGTAGTTGAGAAAGAAAGCAAGTCTGGTATGTCAAAGCTTGAGGACGGCAAAAAGTCAAAAAGTGAGAGCACTCGAGATCCATTGTTGCCTACAGCTGTTAAGGAAGGTATCAGTAGAACTAGCAGTAATTTAAGTAGGGGAAACCATGAGTATGTTAAACCTGAACCCGAACCTGAACCTGAACCTGAACCTAAACCTAAACCTGAACCTGAACCCGAACCTGAACCTAAACCTGAACCCGAACCCGAAACCATAACACCTTCTATTCCCGCTCGTCCCATCAAGGATGGAGCAGTGAAAGAGAAACCAAGAGCACCACCTCCTAAACCCAAAAAGTTGTCAAGTAAGATTGCAGCTTTCCAGCAGCAATTATTTAATTCTGCTAATGATATGAGCCATGAAAACGAATCTTCCAAGACTTTCAATAGCTCTGATTCGAAAGTCACCGGAAACATAATACACAGTGCAAAATTTCAAGGTAGAGGAATACCATTACCGGGTATGTTCACTCCGGGGTCTGCTCCTCTCCGCAATCTAGACGTAATTAGTAACGATAGTGTTGATTCCATTCCTCTTAATTCGAGAAGAATTAAAGGACCAAGAGGTAAGAAGTTACCCAGAGCAGTTACCGAGACGAAAGTTCTGCAAAATAGACATCGCGAACCGGAACTGGGAAATTTGTGGAATTTTAAACTTTTTTTGAATACTAAAGAGGAAAAGCCAAATAAGGAAATAAATTTAGAGTGTAACGACGACATAGGCGTGGATTCAGGTATAGAGGAATCGAAATCGAATAATGCTGAAAGCAAGCTTTCGGTGGAAGAAAACCATTATATAGCAGAATTGAAAGAGGAAGAAATTGACACAGTTATCCGTGAAGATGATTCGGGATTACAGGAAGCCAGTCCACGATATGATCCAGTAGACGTGATACTGGATCCCCTCTTTCATGACAACAACAATAACAACGACAACGATGACGACGATGATGATGCCGATGACGACGACAAAAGTGATGATCATGATAATGATCTTGATCTAGACATAGACCCTATGACTGATTTCCTGAAGCAAGAGAAGATCAATGAGGGGTCAGGAAAAGAAACGAACCTCGATTGATCAAAGATCGCTGTTTTATAGCACAGTTTCCAAAGAGGTCCTCTCTCCCCAACTTATTTTTAGTTTAGGAGAATCTCAGTTTGTAGTGATAAATTGGTCTTTCGCCTTCTAAGCTTTTATTTTCCTCAGAGTTGTTATCTTTGCTCTCGCTTGCATCATCTTGCTTCATCAACCGCGTTTTGAGTTGCATAACTAAGTCTTGAATCTCACTTGTGGGGACACCCTTCTCCTCCAACTCGTCCTCTAGCTCAGCGCACATAACTTCAATATTTCGTAAATTTTGTCTTCTCAACATGTCGGCATTTGGTTGCTGCTGCTCTCTCTCTCGCCTTCTACAATTTTCCCTCCATTTTTGTATCTTTAAGTCCAACTCTCTGGATTCATAGTGGCCCTTCGATTTGGTATTCCCAGAGATATTTTTTTGTATATAGCCCGAGGACCCTGATCCTCTAAATGAATGTGAACCACCAAAACTCATCATACAACACTACTACACTCTAGTTTTCTATAAACTGAACAATCCAAGTGTAGTAGATTCCTGGAATTTCCTAGTGTAGTATAGGTTTGGGGGTTATCTCTTCAGTTGAGTTAATTCCCAATTAGATTAGATCAAACTTTCTCATAATGGAAATTTATGCAAAACTAAAAAAACAGAAAAGTTCAAAAAGAAAAAAAAAAAAATGAAAGAGAGAACATTTGTGTGTAATACTTTTTCCTGGTAAGCAACATCAAATCAACCACGTATTATTGCAGATGAGATGCAAAATATTGCAAAAACTATCACGTTATAGAATAAAAGCTGTAACTCTACTATTCTTGGTGGGGTTTCTAACGTATTCTGTCTACATTTCAGTTGCCAATTACGACGTGAATGCAATAAATGACGAAACTCTCTCATCCGATAAACTAGCAACTTCACATTTGCACGAAATTACTAAGGAAGGTAAAACTTCAGCAACCAAATACGATTCAGACCTGATATTGCATAATAAAGAACAAAGGATTCAAAGGCAGCATGAGTTCTGGGACAAAATATTCACCCTCTACGATGAGAATGGTATGAACTTTAAAGATTCTCCATCCAACCTTATTGAACTCGTGGAGAAGTCAGATGAATCCCGCACTAAAAAGGCATTATTGTCTAGGGCAAAGATGTCTGATGAGACTGTACTAGAATTGAAGAAAAGACACGCGAGAGTAATGGAGAAGCTTCCGGACGAAATGCCCGATTTCACATACAAAAAGGACACTACAGGTATCGTGTTTATTGGTGGAGAAAAATTCTCCTGGTTAACGTATTTGGCTATACTTGCTTTGAGAGAAACAGGGACGAAGCTTCCGGTTGAGGTCATCATGCCTCGTAAAAAAGATTATGAACAAGAAAAGCAATTTTGTGATTCCATGTTACGAGAGTTGGACGCACAATGTGTAATGGTACCAGATATGTTTGGAGACTCTGTCATGAAGAAGAGAAGCTTCCACTCATACCAATTCAAATCGATTGCGTTGGCAATTTCGTCATTCCAGCACATCCTTTTATTAGATTCTGATAACATGATTGTTTCCATTCCTGATTTAGTATTTCAGAGTTCCCTTTACAAGGAACTGGGGATGATAACATGGCCAGATTACTGGAAGCGGACCATATATCCAAAGTATTATGAGATTGCGGGGATCAAAGTAAATGAAAGAAAACGAAGAAGGTACAACAGATTTCCTTTATTTGCGCCAAAGAATTCTGAACTGGATCTTGAAGTTAAAGAAGGCGATGAATCGGTTCCTTATCATGATTTAGAGAATGCCGTTCCAGATTTATCAACAGAATCAGGCCAGCTAATGATCAATAAGGGCACGCATGGAAAAACAATTCTCTTATCGTTGTACTATAATGTCTACGGACCCGATATATTTTACAAACTATTTTCCTTAGGCGAACAAGGAGAAGGAGATAAAGATACGTTTGTTGCTGCTGCCGTTGCAACAGACCAGAATTACTACCAAGTTAAATCATTCATAATGTCTCCAGGTTACTTTGACGATGCCAAGGTGTTTAAGGGTGTAGCAATGGCTCAAAAGAATCCTTTGGCTGATTATGAAAGGTTTCAAGAATTGATTATTCGACCATTTGAGAAGAGTGGGAAAACCATGCCTGTGTCAGAGCAAATTAAACAGCTAGAACAATATGCTAATGACGGAAACGAAAAATTCGGAAGCCACAATGGCCTTCCGGTATTTACAATACACTGCAATTATCCTAAACTAGATCCAATTAATTACATGCTGAAGGAAGATTTGTATGATCCCGTTGAAAATAAGTTAAAATACAGGTTGTATGATAGAATGAAGTATAGTAAAACCATTATGAACAAATCCACAATAGAGAATGTCGAGGTCGATTTTGAATATGAACAATGGCTACATATACGAGAGGCGCTTTGTGTTAAGAAACTTGAGTTTGAATTTTTCAAAAATCAAGATATGGAAAGGCTTTGCAACTTCATCAGTAATCAAGTGGACTGGCTAGCTCCTGATGAATTAGTATAAAATTTAAGTAGCTTATTTTTATGCATGCATTTATTTTTCCATATAAGTCTCATGGAATTCGGTATATTCTTTTCTAAACTGTTTTTTCTCTTTGAATATTAAAAAGTAAAACTTATTTGAGCATTAATCGTTTCTCTTCTGATTTAAAACAACACCTAGTTGAATACATCAGTAATACTAGGAGCTACTGTTGCTGTCAATAAAAATTGAAGACTTTGGAGTTAAGTTTCAATATAGGTTATTTTGTCTATTTTTAAAATCTGAAGCGAAAGTCCTGAAACTCGAACATTCATTCCGCATTTTTTGATCATTATAAAAATGTAGCTTTAGATTTAAAATTCGCTATATTTAGCGTTTGATCATTTTTCAGAGAAGGTTATCAAGTCAAGTTGTTGAACGAATTGTATATATATTTATTAGTTTTTGAATTGAAGCTTACCATAAAAGTTTATATTTTTTTGCATTAAAATCAATTCAAGTTTCAATTAATAATCTATATATCTTCGTTGGTTTGCTATAAAGATCTTAAAAAGAAAAACACATGTAAATTAGAAAGGTCTTTGTATCGTTTGAATCAATGTTTTTATCCTAGATACTCGCCACTCTTAAATTGAGTAACTATCAACTCAGTAACTTGAACTATCAAAAACTCCGAGTTTTTCCTAATATGACAGATTTAGGGAAGGGTTTTTTTTCCTTCTGTGTAATTTTCAAGATTCTACACACGTTTTTCAGTTTGCAGCCCCAGAAAGATTGAAAAAAAAAAAAAAGAAAAAAAAAAAAAAAATTACTGCTATTTAAAAGCACAATGTCCTCCTACACAATGCCTAAGTAAATTCTAGTTCTATTTACACCATGTAGATTTTTCAGAAATGGTTTCGATCAACCCGAGTTTATTGCTTGTAGGACAGTCTGTCTTTCAGGATGTAGCTACCCCACAACAAGCTTCAATTGAGCAATTTAACATCATCAATTTCTTAGGTGGGAGTGCCCCTTATAAACAGAGATCGGGTTATGGAATCAGCACAGATGTGCCCAACACGTGCACCATAGAGCAAGTGCAAATGATTTCAAGACATGGAGAGAGATTTCCGTCAAAGGGTGATGGTGCTTACTTTGACGGAGTAATGAGTGTGTTTAAGGAGTATGGAAGAGAGTTTAAAGGTGACTTGGAGTTCCTCAATACATACGAATATTTTGTTACTAATCCGGAATATTATGAGAAGGAGACTAGTCCGCTGAATTCTCAGGGACCATATGCAGGGACCACCAACGCCATTAGGCATGGCACATACTTTCGCGAAAGGTATAACCACTTATTCAATGAAACATTTCCAATCTTCACAACAAACTCGGGCCGTTGCTATCAAACTGCTGAGTACTTTGCAATGGGAGCCTTTGGTGACGTTGACAATGTCACCTATATTGTCATTGATGAGGATGGAAAAATGGGTGCAAATTCTCTTACGCCTAGATATGGATGTAGAAACTTGGACAACAATGCTAACGAGCAATTGCTCAATCAATATGACAAATCGTATTTGCAAGAAATACTTGACAGGTGGAAACATGATAACCCGGGTCTCAACTTAACCACAGGCCAAGTGTCTTCCTTATTTCTTTGGTGCGCATTTGAGATAAACGTGCGTGGATCCTCCCCATTTTGCAATCTCTTCACCAATGATGAATTTATCAAAAGTGGATACAGAAATGATTTGGTCAATTACTATCAAATTGGACAAGGAAACAACTTGAGCACCACTGTTGGCTCTCCCATGGTGGAAGCTTCCCTTAAGCTATTACAAGAGGACTCCAAAGTATGGATTATGTTTACTCACGACACTGATATGGAATTCTTTTTTTCTTCCATGGGATTGATTAATCCCGAAAATCCTTTACCCATCGATCATGTACCTTTTCCTAACACTTATAATGCCGCAGAACAATTTCCTCAAGGTGGAAGAACCTACATAGAGAAATTGAAGTGTGGAGACAAAAGTTATGTTAGATTCATAATGAATGACGCAGTGATTCCCTTCCCCAGCTGCACTGATGGTATTGCATTTACGTGTGCTCTAGACAAATTTGTTGACATTGTGAACTCAAGGTTGGAAAATGTTTCCTACGCAAATCAGTGTAACTCACAGGGACCATCCAATTTAACTTTCTTCTGGGACTACAACGAAAAAAACTATGATGCACCATTGATAGACCAGTGAAACAAAAACAAAAAAAATAATCGAAAAACTCCGAGTATATGTCTATAGAAAAACTCAACTATATTATACCTAAATAGCTGTTGATAAAAAAAATTATTTTAACACCTATATAAAAATTACATATTTTAACGTATTAGCAAGAACAAGCAACTCTATCATCCAACTCTCTTCATAGCTAACGAACCAAAATTTGTAACAAAGATAATTTACTCTATATGTTCAGACAAAATGTAATTTTTGTTTCGTTTCCACTCTCGTGGATGATTTCACCAAAAATTAACAACTCATTAAACTCTAATCATAATGCTGCCCCTTTAATATTCAAGACAGTCGTATACAATCATCCATCAAATCCAAATTTTCTAGTTAGAGATCATTAGCATTGAACAACACAAGTTTGCAAAGACTTCACACCTATTGATAAAAAAGAGAGCATTCCCCTGATTCAAATAGTTGAACCTCCTTATATACTTACACCCTTTCAAAAGATAATGAAAATGCAACAAGAAAAAATACTCACGAACTTATTTCCTGTCTAATCCTGAGATAACTAATGATGTTGAGTACAGAATCAAATGAGTAGGAACGTATTGGAAAACAAAAAATGGAGAAGAACATGTGGATAACAATAAACTATTATGTACAATGAATCTGGACACCTCTTTAACCCCATCCCCTGATAAACGATCCGCACCAAACATGTTTATTGTAGAGAATACAGAAAAGAGGCGAGACTTTTGTAGCGCAAATATGCCTGAAAATCAAGTTCAGTCGAAAGATTTTCCACAAAACGAAGTAAGAATTTTTGATTTTGCTTACAGCACAACTGTTCTATCTATTAACTCCATAGTATACTTTCTGCATAGAGACCTCTTTCAAGCTTACTCAAGGAACCAACACCACACTGGTTACTAATACTTTCGAAGATCATATCTGTTTGATTGACGTGTTGGAATGTTTTTCAAAAAAAACATCAACAACCAGTTAGCATGTTGATGTCTTCTTTATGATGATTGTATAATTTATATATGTATGTCAAATATGGCATGGTCAGGATAAAAAAACTAGTAATTTAAATTTGAAAGTTAGCCAAATGCTGCATAAATTTCTAGGTATTACGGTTTACGTTCGTTGTTAACAATCATGTATAGGAATTGTACGATGAGTTATGGGTAATCTAAAATCCTTATTCAATCAACATGATAATGATTACTACTTACCCGAGCGAAGCGAGATAGTGGAGAGAGATTAGACGACTGAAACGAGTCTAGTCGAAAGTAGGTAGGTCAATATTATCGACACTATCGACATTAGCGAGCGAAGCGAGATAGTGGAGCACTTTGACTAACACTATCGATACTATCGACATTATTGAGCAACTCTGACTGACACACTTTGACTGACACTATCTCGCTTTACTTTTGTTCATTAATATTAGGTCTTTACTTTGTTGTCTCTCAATTTTTTTTCGATCCCTCTTTCAAGGTTAAGTTTATTTATAATATACTTTATTTTGAAATAAGGGCGTAGGCGCAAATGAAATCTGCATTATGAATGTTTTCTTGTCCGTCGTTGGGGTGTGATATTAACCTTTAATTGTGCACAATTTGGTTTCAATGTGAGATGTTACACGTAGTTCTTGTATTTACCTGTTTGTGGAGGAGAAAGTTTTCTTGGTCATTAGGTTTTCATTGAACATGTAAAGAAATACTTTAGTTTGTTTATTTCGTAAAGAATGGTTTTAAAATTAATTCTTGGAAATAAAAAGTACCACTTCAGACTCTTGTATGTTGTCTGATCAAATATAGTTGAAAGCTTTGTTATTTTGAATGTTTTTTTGCCACATAGTTTGTTGCAGGGTGTAAGAGAGTTTTATCATTATTGTGGTTACTTGTATGCGCGTTTAATGTAACCTCTCGTATATATCGGCTGTGATTTTTGAATGTGAATTTTTAATTGATGAGAGTTTTTTATTCATTGTAGAGTTTAGTCAATGATGATGTGAGATGGTTACGATATTTTAATCGAGGGTAGATTGGTAGTGATAATTAGTTTGTGTAAATCAGAATTGTGTTTTTCGGTTGGTGAGTTGGTATGAGATTATTTTGATCAGAACGGATTACCCAATCGATGTAGGAAGTATGAGGTTTTATTGTTTTTTGGGTTGGTGATGGTGATGGATGGCTATTGAATGCAGATTTCTTTTTTTGTAGTTCTGTTCCGTTTAGCCAAGTTTTTTTTTTAGAAGTACTAGAGCAAAATAGATAAGATATAGTTGCACAGAAGAAGAGGAGTTTTGGTACCCCTAAAACTGGTTTACTAAGCTTTTATGTGCAGTAATACATTAACGATTTGTTGGTGTATCGTTGTCGTTGAAACGTACACAATCGTCTACTTACATGATAACAATATAAACCAACATGTGCATGTATGTAATTACGTGTTTATGTCGCAAAGTTATAGTTGAATGATTTGTTCTTCAAAAACTATTCTACATCGTCAAATTTTTGGTCAACCAAATCTGGAATGTCATCATTACCCTCTTCGTTTAAACCAGCAGCTTCACTAGCACCAGCACTGGCAGCAGTACCTAAGTCTTTTGGAGTTTTGCCTGCTTGGATTTGCTCTGCCAATTGTCTCAAAATTTCCAAGTTCTCAGCACCTAATTGCGGTAAAATTTGAGGAATCAATTGTGTGATGTTCTTTTCCTGTGGGTAACCAGTGAATGCAAAAGTGTTTGAAGCAGGAGCACCTTGAACTCCAACTCTATTGAAGTGTAAAACTTTACCGTCATCCTTGAAGAAATTAGCTTCTTCTACTCCTTCGATTTTTGTAGCTTTCAATTTACCCAAGGCTTCAATCAATTTGGTATCATCTTGTTCGGTTTTAATGACCTTCTTGGCCTTAACTCTAGATCCCCCAACTTTCTTGGCTGTGGACTTTTGCAATTTGGCTAACTTCTCTGGGTCAACAGGCATCTCTTATGAATTGTGATAAAGTCTTAAACTTCTTCTCTTTGGAGTGTTGAAAAAAATTTGAGTTGAAAATTTGTTCCAAAATTTTGAAAAAATATTTGGACACAATCGCACGACACCTTGAACTGTATATAAGGCAGAAATAAAAGAAGATTGTTATTTGACTTACTCATTCAACTTACTCATTCAACTTACTCATTTCTCTTTCCTCCTATAAAGACACAAACAAACTTCATGCTAAGTATGCTTGAATAAGAGGAGGAGTAGGAGAAGGAGACACTAGTATGAAAGGCGCAAGAACAATTTCTCATTGTATAAGTTTGACCTTCCGTGCCCTCGCTCTCAAGTTTGGTTTGTCATAGTATTTCATATGGCCCCGGGCTATTATAGATCTTTTTTTTTTTTTCAAAGTAGCCAGAATATAGGACAGATATGGTCAAACAATTGTTGAAATTCGATTGAAAGGAAACATCAAGAAACGTAATGGTGATAGATAACCAAGTATTTCGATTCTCTTTCAAGTAGTAGAATATAATTGAGATTAGTAGACGTACCAACCTATGTGTAGACTGCATTTTGTTATTACAGCGAGTGCACAGGCAATTAGCTTTTCACAATAGTAAATCTATTCATATTACAAAGCAGAAGGATTTATAACTAAATAAAAGGCTCTCATTTGGTCAAAAAGTTTTTTCATAATGATTCAAAATGTAAAGCAAACTTGATTGATACTACGGTCTTGTGAGAGGTAGGGAAGGGGAAAAAAAAAATGCAACTTCATTTTTTCTCTTTCAAGAAGTTGTTTCTATCGTTCATGACCAGCAATTCCCTTCTCCAATACTCGAGGAGCTCTAAATTGAGAAAACACATCCCCGACTGGATAGCAGTTCTAGTTCTTGTTGTGTATTTTTTCTTCGTGGCCGAACATGCAAAGCCCTTTAGTCGCGAGTTTTCATTATCAGATTTGACAATATCCCACCCATTTGCTACAAAGCAAAAAGTCAGTGGGCCTCAGTGCTTCATTCTTGCTTCTGCATTACCTGCACTAGTGATCACTATAATTACTTTTCTCAAATGGAGTCGTTCCGGGAAGTCTAGGCAAGAAGAGCAAAGATTTTTCCATGTCTTACAAGTTGCATTGTTAGGATTGGCGGTATCGATTAGCTTGACAGCTATTGTAACAGATATTCTCAAGAATTGGATTGCGAGACCAAGACCGGACTTTTTGGCAAGGTGTGGTGCGCCACGGGACAAGTTTAGTTCACAATTTGTCAACCTCGGTGTTTGCACTGCTCCGTACGGAATGGGTGAATTATTAGATGGTTTGAGATCAACACCATCGGGACATTCATCCATCAGTTTTGCTTCTTTCTTATACTTGACGCTTTGGTTACTTGCGCAATTTGAATTGACGAAGCTGCCTCCACAACATATGTACAAGCATATACTAGTTTGGCTCCCGTTACTATTCGCTTCGTACGTATCATTAAGTAGAGTTCAAGATTATAGGCACCACTTTACGGATGTGATTTTTGGTACACTTATTGGATGTTTGTTTGCGTGGATTGTATTCCATCATTATTGGGAAGGCTTGCGCAGTATAGATTGCTCACTTCCCAAAACTTGGAACGAACCAAAAGAAAATGCTACAATTTTGCCTATTTGATAAAGAACGCATGAACCGAAATAGTTTATATCCTTTTCTCTCATTTTGCTCTTGCTTTCTTCAAATTTGTCTTCGTTTGTTTTTCTCATAAAGTAGTTTAGAATTTGAAACCATTCTGGAACTCCAAAAAATTTTGTTGCAGAAAAAAAAATAGCCGATAACGCATGAGGCTAAGAACGCTCTTCTCACCTTATCACTTTATCACTAGAATAGATGCTACATTTTTGATCCAGCTGAAACTGTTTTCTTTCATCAAGAGAAAGGAAGTAGAACATGTCTCAAACAAATCCTACTCCATCGTAGCCTAGTACCATGTGTGATTATAAAAGGCATTTCTTTCCCTGCCAGTTTGATAATGTAAGGAAAATTGAAAGATAATATGCCAGATGGCAGACAATACAGACGATACCACATTGATCATGACGCTTACTAGAACAGCTACATTGAGTGACGAATCTACGGGACCAAGCTATCAAGATGTTTCCTGGATAGAAACTACTGTGACTAGAGAGCAAGTACTTTTGGTGCCTGTTACCAACTCGATGATGTACACCACAACTTCAGCATCAGCAAGTTCAAGTTTAGGATCGTTTACGACGAGTATGTCAAAACTACCATTGTCCTCAGACACGGCATCTTTGAGCCATCAAAATAGTGCTAATACCGAAACATCCTCCACTGAAACCAAAGAAGCAACTACGTCAGATTATTCATCGAGATTACAAATGGGAGATATTAAAACATCAAACTCAAGTCAAGTCGGTATTGCCATTGGAATTCCAATCGCGGTTTTCGTGATTTTTTTTATAGCCTTGGGTGTATGGTATTACTTTCGTTTACGAAAATCGAAAAAGAGACTTGACTCCAACAAAGAAGCTCACTCAAAAATTTTCAGTTTTCTGCCAGCCTATGTTACGAGATTGGAGCCAGGATCGAGGTCGAGTTCTGATACTCTAGCCGAGAAACCGTATCCCGTGATATTTTCTCCAACTAATTATTTAAAGACTGCTAAAGATTTAGAGATGTATCAGCAGCAAAACAACCGTAAACCAGAATTTAGGGATCACCTAAAAAGATTGAGCAGGGTATGGCCAGCAAGAAATAAAAGTAATGAAAAGGATCAGGATAATCCTATTGCCAGGCCCGTGTCCATGTTAACTCCAGTGTTTTTGAAAAAGTTCATTCTAGGTAAAGAATCGGAAGAAAGACCAGCAAAGGTTCGACCTCAAGTCTTGAAGATCCCCTCGCCACATCAAGAAGGTGACGATATCACAATGCAGGAGCCAATTGATTTAAAGAAACAGGATTCACTGAACCAGAGCATATACATAGTAATAAAGCATTACTCAAAAAATCTACCCGATGAAATTACCATAGATATTGGCGACAAATGCGTTATTCTACAAAAACATAGCGACGGCTGGTGCAAAATTCGCTTGGTTGGGCACAATAGTGATGATGAGGTTACTAGCGGTGGTGGAACTGGTTTGGTCCCAAGGATGTGTTTGCAAAAGATGTAAGGGAAAAACAAAAGTATAGACATATCATCGGCTTTTTTTTTTTGTTTTTTCTTGTTTTTTTTTTCTTTCTACCTTCTATTTCGTTACTAATATAACAAAGTATATATGACCATAGCTGATCACACTTCTTGCCAGAATCTGAATCTTAAAACAACTTTGAGGCACTAATATTTCCTTGCGGCGTTATTGTCGTAAGGATTATATGCTTGTGAGTATGGGTGTTTCGCTTGCGGATATCCATATTGTTGCTGTGGTTGTTGCTGTTGTTGCTGTTGTTGTTGTGACATTTTATTGATGGCCAGAGGTTGATTCAACAGAGCGTTGTAAGAGTATTGGTACTGCTGATTGTCGTAACCGCGGAAATTGAGATTTTGAGCACTTTGATTTGCACGAGATCCTTGACTTCGAATATTTTGATTTTGAGATCGCTGCTGTATAGAAGTAGCCACTTGCGGGTCAACAGACTGGTCTAGTTTCCTGTACTGGCCCTGGTTTGAATAGGTGTTGTAAACAGGATTGGGTATTGATGCCGAAGGCATATTCTGTGATTTTTGTTGGTACTGAGTGTTTACATTTCTAATTTGTTGTTGTTGTTGTTGTTGTTGTTGTTGTTGTTGATGATGGTGTTGGTGTTGGTGTTGGTGTTGGTGGTGGTGGTGTTGGTGTTGGTGGCGTTGTTGTTGTTGTTGTTGTTGTTGTTGTTGTTGTTGTTGTTGTTGTTGTTGTTGTTTTTGTTGTTGTTGTTGTTGTTGAGGATGGGTATGATTGTTATAGAAAGTAGGGTCCGATAGTTGAGACAGTTTCGCTGGGGGTAACGAATCCATCAGCCTTGAAAAATTACCAGGTCTTGTCTGGAAAGTAGACTGGGATGGCACAGGTTGAGGTGACATGAATGGCAATTTTCGGTGCATCTGCGGTTGAAGATAAACATTCTCCAGCAGGGATTGTTGTGGTGGTTGCTGAGAGAGACTTACATTTGGACTTGCATTTGACCTGTGAATAGTGATGGTGTCTTCACTCTGTGGGGTCATTCCTTGAGCGAACTGCTCTTTTTGAATTGGCGAAACTGGATATTGAAAATGTGTTTTAGAAGAGGACAATGTGCCCTTCGCTGTATCATCGGAGGTTCGACTTATTTGATTCTGTGATGAATTCGGTGATGATATAAATCTAGGTTTATTAATGGGGTAGGGAGCTGGTGCGTGTGACTGTACAAGTTCATCTTGACTTTTCTCAAGTGACCCAAGAGAAGAGCCACTGCTCATGTGTCCCAATTCAGAGTGAATAGAGGGGACACCGTTTGAATCTTGAGTAGATGCAGTACCTTGAGATACCTCACCCAATTTGCCACCAAAACCACCACCATTGAGGTTGCTTTGATTTTCATTAGACGGAACTTGGAAAGTTGGTGATTCAACCCTAAAGCCATAGAATAATTTGTTCTCCTTCTCAACTTCTTTGTACTGGTCTCTGAGGTTATCAAATTGAGCCATCGGTGAGACCACAGACGAATAACTACCATTTTGATCTTGAAACGACGGTACTTTCAAAGTTCCAAGTGTGTTGACAGGAACAGGAGAGTGCGTACCGATATTGTTCATGTTACCTGTATTCAAAGCGATCTTGCTACTTTCTTCATCATCTTCATCTTCAACTTTGTCTTTGTCTTTGTCCTCATCGTCATTGTCATTGTCATCATCGCCAAACAATCCTTCGTCATTGGTAGGATAAACTTTCTTAGACAAGTCTAATTGTCCGACATTAGCTGACAAACCATCGTCGTTCAAATATTCCTCAGATCCATTCAATAATTGAGTCCTGCCATAAAAGTTATCTGTAGGCGTTTTCAAATCTGAGTATTTTTGATAAATGTCAGCAAGCTGAATAGATTGATGATGAGACTTTGCTTGTTCGGGGACCAAATTACGGTTCATAGAAGCCGCTACTGGTGTGTGCGGTCCAGTCATGGAACCTGAGACTGGTCCTGGACCTAGCACTGGTCCAGAATCTCCGGTAACTCTAATGGATAATTCACGTAGATTTTTATCAAATCCATTACCGCTGGATTTGATTTCGGGTTGTAAAGGTGAACCAACTTGTGACAAACTAGACGATGTCTTTCTTGGAGCCAGAAACTGACTTGCTCCACTCGCCATTCTTGGAGATCCGGATAATACAGGGCTATTTAAGGAGTTGAGCGCACCGCTATATCCTCTTTGGCTTCCACAGCCTTCATAGCCCCGGTCAATCTTTGATTTTAAAAGCCCCTGGATATTGCTGTTCCAAGCTTTGAGATCCCAACTAAAGAAATCACCTCGACTTATCAAATCTACAACATCCTGAAGTTCCAAATAGTGAACACGAGGTAAAGTTGGTAAGCCAAATAATAGGGAGTCGACATCGCTTCTGTTTGCTTTTAAACGCTTTGGTCTTCCATATAGCCCAAAGGAATCAAACAACGGTATTAAAAATCGAATCAAGGTATCAAATCCTGGGACAGAAGAGTGTTGCTCAGGCATCATAAAAATTGAGGCTTGCTTAAAATCGCTTGCGCTCTTTTTGCTAATCTTGCTCGACAAAGATGGCGACGTAAAATTGATATATCCGTCCATTTTCAACATTGTTGACTGATCAATCAATAGATGAGATTGTGGATATATAGCCGACACGGCCGATGCGTTACTGACAACCGCCATCAACTGTTTCTTTTTCTTTTGCTCGTTCTCATAAAACAAAATTCTGCCTGGTAAAAACATACTCTTTTTTGACGTAGAAGGCTCAACAACAGCGTAGCATCGTTTCCAAGCCATTCCGCTTCCATACCTAATACTTACCCATTCTTCATGATCGAACCGTTTTTCTGCCAAAATAGTTTTTATATCAGATAAACGCGATCCCCTTGCCGATAAAAGAGCTCCGGTATATGCTTCTTGTAAGGATTTGTATTCATAGTTTGATAAACGCAATGCACTGTACCATAGCGTTAAATCCTTATATGACTTGAACTGTAAAATGTATCTATTTTTCAACGTTGTGGAAACTATAATGACATTATCGAGATTTTGCTTTGCGGCTGGTAAATTTTTCATCCCGCTATAAACCGAGTCTGTAAAATTTATATAGTTTGGTTTTGCAGAAATTTCCAATAGTGCCTCTTGGTTGTTTTTGAACAGAGCCAAATTTGCCGCATCCCAATATGCAAGTTGATTTCCAGTCAAGATTCCATAAACTTCTTTCCATTCACGATCAGCAGGTTTCCCATCTGCATTCAAATCATAGTATAACATAAATATACCTTCGTGATATCGCCTATGTGACTGTGACGATAATAGAGTAATGATCGGTATCAACTCTGGAGACAACCCTTCCAAATCTGCATCATCCTGAGCACCACTAGGTATTCTGGACAATTTGTCGTTTGATGAAGAGCTACTTTGACTTGAAGTTATTCTCTTTCTAACTGCTTGCATGGTTTGTATTGTTCTTATTTATTCAAAATTAACAAGTTGCTGTAGTATAGTGGTGTGAATTGAAAGAGAGAGAGAGGGTTGAGCTATTCAAAGTCCAAAAAACAAACAGCACCTATTCTAAAACGGATCAAGATGGGAAAAAAAAAAAAAAGGCCAAGGCCGATGTTGTGATTACTGTAGTTGGCGTTGTTGTTGAAATTGATCCTTGATCCAAAGACAAAATAATACCTGTATACCCTTGTACCCAAAATCTGTTATCTTTTCCTCTCTGTATCCTTCTTTTTACCCTTCTCTTTTCCCAGTCTTGTTCTTTTCCTCTTCCTCTTCCTATTACTTTTCTCTTTATCTTAGTCTCTACCAGTTTTCAAAAAAGTTTTTGTTCACCAAAAGAAGGTTTTTCATTTTGAATTTTGATTTTTTGTTTTTTTCTTTCCCCGGTTCTGCATTTTAATTTTTTTTTAATTTTTTTTTAATTTTTTTATTTTCTTTTTCTATATTTTTAAAATGCACACAATATTGTTATTACAAATCTCGAGACGTTTTATTAAGATCTTAGTAATTTTGGGACATGGTGCGCATAATATCCTCAAAAAAAGCTATATAAAATAACTGTCGTGTGTGTGCGTGGGTGGGTGTGGTGAGATACATACGTATTGTGTGAGGTTCAAAAAAAAAAAAAGAGATCCGTTGCCCCAAGTGTGGTGGTGAGGTGTGGTAAAGTGTGTTAACCAATAAACAATAATAAATATTATTTAAGGTATGATGAAGTTAAAGTATGCGCATTTTAAATTCACGCGCACTAAATTAGGGACGCTACAATAGGGTACTTTTTCAAATAATAAAAACATAGGAACTCAAAAACCGTAGCAAAGGTATACACTATAGGAAAAGGACAGGTTTACAACAGCCACTATGCAGAGCACAAAGAGACGTTTAGCCGTTGATACTGTTTTTACACATACGGATTTTTAACTTTACAACATTTGTATATACATGACATCATATCTATGTGCGTCCTTAAAATCTTATTATGGCACATAGCCACATAAAGGAGGGGAAAAAAAAAAAGGCGGGGCCGTTAATTTTCAAAATACAAATATTGACAGCTATAAGGCAAAAATATTTCATTATAGTCAATACATACAAGAATGCAGTTAAAACAAAGACACTTGTTCGATCTGGTTTGTTCTGTGTTTCTTGGAATACTATGCTCTTCTTTTTTTGGTAGGACTGTTGCCTGAGATTTAAATCTGATAAAAAAAATTAAATAAACACAAAACTTCATAATCTATGACGCTACCATTGAGAATTCACTCCTTAACCTCACCAAGGTACAATCACCCACCAAAATGAATCAAACTCTCAATACATCTCCTTTACTACAACGTTTCATGCTCTGCTATATAATCAGGACTTTCCTGTATACAAGGTTTTGCTATATCTCAGGCTTTACTATATTTAACGCTTTCCGTATTTCAAGCTTTACTATATTTAAGACCTGCGTGGACACTACATACTGCTCCCTAGTGTCGTGATCTCTTTTTCTTCCTTGTTTTGGATTAGATATTTTCTTGCTGTCTCAAAATCTGGAGTAGTTCCAATCCGTTTCGCAACTGTTTTTCTGCCTCATTCAAATCATCAAATTGTAATGCTGAGTTTGCAAATTTCGTATGTTTCTGAATCTGGGTAATTACATCGTCTCGATTTAATATTTCATTGATGTTTTCTTTGCTGAGTGGTTTAGTATTATGCTTTGGATTCAGTTTGGTTTTTACAAGAGAAGGTGGCTTTTTGGTTTCTGGTGATGATGGCGGAAACACGTGAATTGATCCTGACTTGTTGATATGACTAATATCATCATCAGGTAGGTACTTTGGTGCGCCAGGTAACTTTACTGTATCTTCTTCTGACTCCGGTGAAACAGTTGGAAGAAAATGTGGCGCTCCAGGTAAATCTAGTCGGCTATCATCCTCATCATTCCCTTCATGCTTCTCTGTTGTTTTTGCTGCTGCTGCTGCTGTAGTGTCTTCCTCTCCATATTTCTGTGACTCAGGACCCACACTATTGTCATCAATATTTTTTGATTCAAGGTTGGCCACTTCTTCATCAATATTTTTTGATTCAAGGTTGGCCACTTCTTCATCGATATTTTTTGATTCAAGGTTGGCCACTTCTTCATCAAACTGTTTTTCCAATTCCGCCTCGTCCAATTCTGTTTGAGCGGGGACAACTTCATTCTTTATTAGCCTTGTCAATTGGTACTTTAAGATTTTTATCTTATCCTTGTTTAGTTTCTCCAACTCGGTCCAAGAGTGTATTTTACCTCCTGTATATTTCGAAAAATTGATTTCGTTCTCAGAACTACGAAATACATCAAACAAGTTGAAAAAACACAAGGTTGCTCTAAATTTTGCTATTAATTGAGCCCTTGCGTTGCTGTTATAATTCTTCAAAGCTTCAAGGCACGAATTAAATAATTGGTAAGTAAACTTAAAAACAAGGCCAAACGACACATTCTTATCTGTCAAAACATTATGTAGATCCTCATTTTCTGAACTGTTCTTCAATGCTTCCGTATCGTCTAAAAGCTTGATGGTAAACTCTTCATTTGTTTTCGATTCAGTGTGTAATTTATTCTCCAATATATGCTCAAGAACAAATATTTTACAGTAATAGCTTACTACAGGCTCTACTTCTTTCAACTCTAACGATCTTTGTATATAAGGGGTCACTAACTTATCGGACCTCAACTCTTGTGGGATCTCCTCAATTGAAATCGACATTTAATCTGCTTCTTGATTGGTATATTTTACCAGTATTGAGAGAAGAAAGAAAAAAAAAAAAAAAAAAGAATTAAAAAACCTAAACCGTGACAAAATCAGTGTCCCCGCTGCCAATTGAAATCTCAAACTTTTCCTTCAACCTTATTTTCGAGAATTATGCCTAATATATTAGAGTATTATTACATCGTAATTATGTAGTAGATGATATGAAAGATTGGCTAGTTGTTCAATTGGAACGCCGTTCCTTAATTAGTACTCTATATTTGAAGTAGATGTATCCCTGTTTAAGTGAAGAATGCTGAAAATGTCTTATTCTTGAAACTGGGAAACTCCAAACATGAACGTTTATTCTTTGATCGTATTTCTTTACAATGTATGAGAGAAAGGTCAGGAGGAAGAAGAGAGTTTTATTGCCAAGTGATTGGAGTCACGAGTACAATAACATCTTGCAATGAAATAGTGAGAAATTTGATACTTCTGGAAAAAAGGAAACCATTTTTTGCATCAAAGTGACCTAAACTTATACAAAGCTGCAAAAAAAGTACGCGCATTGATTAACTTTTCTTCAAAAAAAAAAAAAAAAAAAGAAAGATAAGACTTGAAACTTCAGATATCTCATACCCTCTCATCGGCTAACCAAATGGTTATTATTGAGCCTCAGATGTTCTTGATCTCGAATTCAAACTTAACTATGAGAGAGAAAATACCACCTAAACACACACACACACACATATATATATACATATATTCCCGGGTTCCATTGTCCTGCAACGACTGCTGGTTTCCACAGAGAAAAGTATCGGGTGGACAGGAGTAGCTCTTTTTTTTTAATTTTTTTTTTTAGTAAGATAGTACTCAATCTCGGATATTCTTCACCACGTTTAGTTCAAAGGGTATATACAAAATATACTCACTTTGTCCCGAGAAAATCATTTTCATCCAACTCAGGCATTCTCAAAATGACCTTTTCCTTATTCTCTGCTTCTTCTTGTAATAAGTTTAGTATCTTAGAATCTTGCCATTTTTCCGGTAAAGGAGTGATCTTGAAGTTTTTCGTTGCCCAATAGTAAATGTCCCAATCTGCCTCATCCAATAATTTATCGTACTCATCTAACTCTTCCATGGACATCTTGTTGAGGTACTTTTTGGCAAACCTGCTTAATAGCAAATCACTCTCCAAAATACCCCTCTTCCTGGATTGGTAAACTAGCCTTGCACGCTTGACATCTATCGTTTCTCCAGTACGAATAATGGGGGAAATCCTCATATGTAAGGAAGGATCTATGGGCGGATTTTGAGGTTTCCCATTATTAGCAAACCTCAAAGTGGACTTTGAGATATTCCTGGCAGACACTTGAACAGAAAACACTCTAGTAGACTTTAGCATTTTTCAAAAGTAGTGGGTTTTTTTGTTTAAAAGAAGAAGATCGCCATCAAACCTCAGAAAAGAGAGAGAGAGAGAGAGAGAGAGAGATCACCACTAAAAGTTACACTGAAAAATTTACTTTGCTTTTTTTCCATTTTATTTATTTTTTATTTTTTATTTTTTTTTTTTTTTCGTTTGTGAGGTAGAGCCTCTTCAGAGTTCTGATTTGGTTGAAGGAAAAACTATTATTGTTTGAAGAAGAAGAAGAAGAAGTAGAAGAATAAGAAGAAGAAGAAGAAGAAGAAGAAGCAACATTAAGGGCTTACTGCTTATAGAACTTGACTGAACATGGGTAAGTCGGTTTCAAAGTTATCTAAGGAAGATTTGAAGAAACTTCGAGATGCTACCTATTTCGACAAAAGAGAACTCCAGCAGTGGTACAAAGGATTTTTGAGAGACTGTCCTTCAGGTCAATTGTCCGAAGAGGAATTTGCCAAAGTATATAAACAATTCTTCCCGTTTGGAGACCCCACAGATTATTGTCACTATCTCTTTCTGGTTTTCGATTTGGATAACCTGAAGTATATCGATTTCAAGGAATTTATAGTGGCTCTCAGTGTAACAAGTCGAGGTACTGATGAGCAAAAAATCAACTGGACTTTCAAGCTATACGACTACAAGAAGACTGGAAGGCTAAAGTATGATGATATATTACCCATTATACGTGCGACATACACCATGATTGGGCCTATGGTTGCTTTACCCGAGGATGAAAAAACTCCAGAGCTCAGGACTGATAAATGGTTTGCATTATTGGGGAAAAATAAAGAGTCCGATGAAATCACGTTGGAAGACTTTTTCAAGCTATCGAAACTAGATCCTGCAATTATGAGCTCACTAAATACGTATCAAGGATTAGTTTGATAATTACTAGAGAAATAGGATATTAATCGCCACGCTTTTTACATAGAAAGTGACGGTGTAGAAAGGGAGGGGAGGGGGAAAGAATAATTAGTAGTTGGAGGAATACAGAAATGAATGTGTTCTTTTAATTTTTTATTTTTCATTTATTGTTTTTTTTTTTTTTCTTTGGTTTTTCTAATATGTTACCGTTGTCCTTCAACTGCTTCCAAAAGACCGTCTAATAATTCATCGACATCGTTCATGCCTACATTGGTACATGTACTCACAATGTTTTTAAATTTGGAAGTGAGTTCTCTATAATCAATCAAACATTGCAACTCGTTTTCCAAATTTTCGTTCATTTTCTTGTACGCGTTTATTCTTGCTCTGAGAATATTTACAGGTTGTAATTGCTTGATTATCGCCTCGTCATGCCTCAAATCCTCCACTGATTCGTTCTTAACTACTCTTTCATATAATGATTTTATAATGAAAGGCTCATCCGCATCGTACTGCTGATTTTCGTCAAACAGTAACTCCTCTTCTCCGACAAGCTCTTGCTTGCAGAGCATCAACTTATCTGATACATTAGCAGCCAGTAACTTAAGAGTGTCCAATGTAGCTAGATTATCGGCAAGTTTTCTAGTTTGAAACCTGTTATTTGCTGTAACTATCGTGGCATCATGTAGAGCCAGATCTAAAAGCTCAATCTGCTCCCTTTTGGTGTTCAAAATACTGGCATACTCAAAATTCGTTTCAGCTAGTAGTTGTTGTATACTTTGAAAAATCTTTGATGTTATCGTTTCTTGCGCGTCATCGTATATATTCTTCAGCGGAGTCTTTACTGCCTTGACTTCCTCAATATCTGGCATCTCACTGCCATTTACTATCGTCTGCTCCCTTAATATCTCTTGGTTTGTACGTATCAAGTCAAAGATATTCTCGTTAAAAGTGAGTCCTTCAACATCGTTCAATATCTCGAAATCTTCACATTTTATATTGCGCTTGTCGGGAATACGCGCATCAGCGCCCAAAGCCAACAATATTTTGATAAGCCACTTATCTTCCTTTTCCACTGCAATGTGCAAAGCAGTAACGCCATTTTCATCGGTTGCATCCAAAATTTGCTCTTTGAACTTTTTGAACTTTGTACGGCTTTGTAAAATTACATACTCCAATATCGCAGATAAGTAAAATTTATAGCTCTCGCCCTTCCCAACTTGCATAGCCAAGTGGTGTAAAATAGTTTGCTTTTTGTTATCAAGCAACCAGATGTTCGGATATAACCAGTTTTCTAATATTTCAACAAAATTTCCATTCTCCATAGCATTGGTAACTTGAACACAAGATATCAAAGGAGATTCACCATCATTGTTTCCTCTAATGGGTGAAGTAAGTCCTAGCTCAATAAATGCGGAAACGAGGCCCAACGAGGCTAGTGTTGCTGCAAAATGCAATGCAGTTTGTCCCTTTTGGTCAAGAGGGATATCCTCTACTTCATCAAGACGATGCTCTGCAAGTAAAGGTTCAAACTCCATCTTCACATCCTCCACGGACACTCCGACTGCGAGTTCGTCTTTTTTAAACACTTGTCCGTATATGCCTTTTGCTGTATTTACTAAACTCAACTGGTCTTCATTAATAGAGATTGGAGGAATGGTGTGTGGAAAAAACGAATTCTTATTAGTGTAACCATCGACAATATCTTGCGGACGCGTATGCGTGCTTCCAGACCCATCGCCATCCTTGAGTTCTTCAACTTTTTGTTTCTTCAATGGTGACTCGGTGATGCTGTTAGAGACTTTATCTCCAAGTTCTAGTGTTCTTTTCTTGAGTTTAGGAAGACTCTCGTAGTCGTGAACATCCACAAGAAACAATTCTTTTGTCATCTCGTAGACATCAAACTTCAATGCTATGCTGACTGCCAAGTCGTAGGGTACCCACGCACCTTTAAGTAAACCGCTCTCATTACTCAAATACTCTAATATGTGCGAACGGTGTTTTGTCAGCGAAACGCCGCCCCAATGTTCCAAACCTGATGAAACTTTGTTACTAAGAAAGTTTTTGGCCTGATTCGCGGTAAGTAGGTTCAACTTGATTAAAATCTGGAGCAACTGTGTAGCGTTAATAAATGAGTCTTGAACTCTTCTTAGTATAGTGATTTCATCTTGAGGAAGATTCTGCAGGCTCATATTATCTGCACCTTCACCCATCCTGATTGTTAGTTGTATCACTTTAACACCGGAATACACCGCAGAGCTCACCTCTGTGTCAAATATTGTATTGATGTGAGTATCATTTAACCTTTGTTGAATTGAATTTGTAGTAAGATCTCCAATGTGTATAGGTGAGTCCATGTTTGAAAAAGAAAATAGACTCTTAGACTTTACTAGTTGAGTAAGAAGAAAAAAAACCAAAAAAAAAAAACAGATGGTGGTGGCCCCCTCTTTTCTTCTTCTTCTTGTTTTTCTTCTTTTTCTAATATGAGCAGTGTGCTTAATGCAGAGAGGTATTAGTTGGTCAAGGTTTCCTTTATTGTTCCAAAAACCGAAGCTATTGAAAAATACAAACTTCGGAATTTATTGCGCGTAAAATGTCGTTCACACTGTCTCCAGTATATTGCTTATATAAAAAAAAAAAAACACGTCTATTTTACGACAAATAGTATTCAATAAAAAAAAGTCGTGATAAAGTCATCAAACCAAACTATGCAGCAAGTACACGTACTGTTTGAACTAAAGGTAGAGTAAGAGAATAAGAAGGTAAGAGAGTAAGAGAGAAAGGGAGAGATGGACTATTCTGATAGGGTTAACTCGAAAAAGGGCGCGGGTGGTATTGCCAGTGCTGAAGATGCGAATATCCACACTAAGAAAAGAGTGCAAGAACTCTTGGCCACCCACATTTTAGACATAGAAAATGACCCATACGTATTTCGAAATCACCTTGGACTTTTAGAGTGTAGACTTTGTCTCACAACACATAACAATGAAGCTTCATACATATCGCATCTAGGTGGGAGAAAGCACCATGTCAATTTAGAGCGAAGGAGAGTTTTGGATGAAAAGCAACACCGACAGCATCAGTACCAGCAAAAGATTAATGAGCAAATTAGCATCAGTAATATTGAAAAACGATCTTGGAAGAAGATAGGACAACCGGAGTACAAGATCAGTAAAATCAGGGATCCCGAGACTGACCAAGTTGGTTTAATAATATCTGTCAAGGTTCCGAAAATTACGGTTGAAGAGCCTATTTTCAGATTTATGTCTTACTTTGAACTAACTTCAAAGAATCAAAATATGTATACAAAATATGTTGAGAAAATGCGTAGCGACAATGATGGTGATGAAGAGGAAGAGCTCAATGAAAGCGACAATCAACTTTTGATTATTTCAGCCGAGCCATATGAAAACATTGCAATTGTTTTGCCAAATAAAAAAGAAATAGAAAAACCACAAGGTAAAAATGAAATGTCAGACAAGTTCTGGTGGGTTTGGGACAATGATACCAAGGAGTTTGTTCTACAGATGTTGTATAAGAAATAGAATATAGAAGACCAGAAAGTAATATATATATATATATAGGGAGTAAGTTCCCCCTGCTTGCCCATTTATATGCAACTAAACCTGTATTTGGCTGCATTACGCACCAGTTCTTGTTGGTCTAGAACATTCCCGTTTCGCCGCGCTCTCTCTGGATTGCCCAATTGTTAGATCCTCTCTACTGCGTTGAAAAGACATCCATTACATATCGCTCATAGCTATTAAACAATTGTACAGTCTCCATAGATGAAAATATTCTCACCCCTTGGCAATAACTATATATCCACAATAGAGAATGCAACTTTTGAAATTATTCACGATTAACGCTGGAAAGATATTTTCTAAAAAATATTAAATATGCAAAAGGAAAAAAAAAAAAAAAAAATAGTTGAAAACTATATACCAATTGAACCCAGCTAACTCAAATCAGAGTGCATTTAATTAGAAAAGAAGTGTACATCATCGACTGGGAGTTGAAAATACTCACGATCGTCATATCATTTATACCATTTATCGAAAAAGTCTTTCTTTTTTATTCCTTTTTATTTTTTTCTTCTTGCTCAACCTAGATCTATTCAAGCTTTCCACCAAGAAAAATTCTATGACGTCCATAAAAGAAGAGGATCTGAAGGCTCAGCCCCCAAACGATGATATAAATTTAGAGCAGCTAGCGGAAAGGCAGAATCAACAGAATGTATATGCTTTGGAAGCGTCAAACCTATCCAAAAATAGTAATTCCGTGTCTAACGCAAACAATAGCGGAAGGATTGCCAATCCTGATAATGGCACTGGTACAGTTAATCATGATACGTCGTTAGTGTCCAATTCTTTAACGAAGAAAGTTTCAAGACATGCTTGCCGAGATACTACAACCAAGGGCAAGTATACGTTGAACGATTTTCAAATTTTAAGGACATTGGGAACGGGTTCTTTTGGGCGGGTTCACTTGACACGCTCGATACACAATGGTCGTTTTTATGCCATGAAGGTATTAAAGAAAGAACGAGTGGTTAATATGAAACAAGTTGAACATACGAATGACGAGCGTAGGATGTTGAAACTTGCACAGCATCCGTTTATAATCCGAATGTGGGGAACTTTTCACGACTGTCATAACCTATTCATGATCATGGACTACATAGAAGGAGGTGAATTGTTCTCGTTACTAAGAAAATCACAGAGGTTCCCAACACCAGTGGCGAAGTTTTATGCCGCCGAGACTTTTTTAGCTATAGAATACTTGCATAATCTAGATATCATCTATCGCGATTTGAAACCAGAGAATATTTTGTTAGACAAAAACGGCCATATAAAGTTGACAGATTTTGGATTTGCAAAAGAGGTTACGGATGTTACTTACACGCTATGTGGTACTCCAGACTACATTGCACCGGAAGTAGTTGCCACCAAACCGTACAACAAATCGGTGGACTGGTGGTCTTTTGGGATTTTGATATTCGAGATGTTAACTGGTTATACCCCGTTTTACGATCCCACGCCAATGAAGACATATGAAAACATTTTGAATGGAACTATCACATACCCAGACTACCTCCCACCGGACATTTTAGATCTTTTGCAGAAATTGATAGTAAAAGATCTAACGCAAAGATTGGGGAATCTACAGGGTGGCTCTGACGATGTGAAATACCATCCCTGGTTTAAAGAAGTGATTTGGGAGAGACTCTTGTCTAGAGACATAGAAACGCCTTATGAGCCACCAATAACCTCGGGGGTTGGTGATACTTCACAATTTGATAGGTATCCTGAAGATAAAGACTTGGACTATGGTATAAGTGCAGTAGAAGACCCGTATCAACATTTATTTGAAGATTTTTGAGCAAAAAAGATTGTAGTTTCACCTTTTTCCAACAAATGATATGGGAGAAAAGAACAAAATAAAATAAAACAAGATAAAATAAAATAAAGTGAAAAAAGAAAAAAAAAAAAAAGTAAGAAACAAATCTTATACTCATGCTAATTAGTAAACCTCCTTGCATGCTTCAGGATTGTCTTTTTTGATAATATCCTGTGAATGCTGACCAAAGCAAGAAACTCAAAAACATGCTTCTGTTGCGGTCATCCAGTCACTTTTGAGGAACTCGTCCATTGACATCCTTGTAGCTGGGTTCATATCAAGTAATTTGTAAATAATCATTACTCTTAATTCGTCAAGTTCATCATCACCGTCACGGTTGTTCTTTATAGACTGCACGCTTTCGTCGCTACTCGTGTCTTTATCAAAATCTTCTGTGTTCACTAGTTGGCAGATGTCATCAATAGGTGGGAAGCTCGCCTCCCTGTTGATGGTCCATTCTTTGGAACTAGAATGGTAATCAGCAATCAACCGCTTCTGTGTGTATTCATTGAAAACTTTGTCTTTGAATTCTCGATTCTTACCGTTCGCATTGTACTTCAACTCCGTTGTTTTCCACAAGTACCCCGCGCCAGTGTTGTCAGACCCATCACTTGCTACAAGTCCGTCTCCTCGTCGGATAAAATGACTGGAGCCCCTATAATAATGCCTTCGCACATTTAATAGCACCAAAACAAGTATTCCAAAGGCCCAAATATCCTTTTTAACTGAAGAATACTGCTGGTTTGTTTTTACTGCTACAAATTCTTCAGGTGAAATATAAGGTTGAGATCCAATTAGTCCCTGTGAGCCACTCAACATTTGCTCGGCTTTATCCATTTCTGATCGGAATACAAATGACTTGCCAAAATCACTCAATTTCAAAAGGATTTTGGTAGCACAAGAAGACTTGTTGTTGCAGCAGTTTTCATAGCTCAATAAGATGTTTTCCAATTTGAGGTCGCAGTGCGATACACCATGAGAGTGCATATATTTTAAGCCCTTAGCTATCTGTTTAGCAAAGCAGTCAACCTCATACAAGGACATGTCGGTAACAGGATTATTGTTTACATCGGAACCTGTTAAAATATAGGAAAACAAATCGCCTCCTCGGCTGCACTGCATCACTTGGCTGATTTTCAAGCCCGATTCAACCTTGGTTCCCATTAAGTCAAATGACTCATTTATGTGCTTATTGTTTAGTGTTGAAGAAATAACAAACTCGGATAAAATTCTCTGTATGTAAAGGTCAATCTTCTCATCTTTTTTTCGTGCTAGCTCTTTTACAGCGTATAGTGTTTTATCCATATTGTTTACAATCTTACCAACAACTTTGTCGTCAGAACCGGACCCGTTCGACCCATTTGTGTTTGGGTCAACTACCTTAATTATACCATAGGTTCCTTTGCCAATCACATCACGTACAACTCCATACCGTTGATAAAGAGATTTTTCTCGCTCCAAAAGCGCCCAGACATTTTGAGTCATCAATTTTTGTAGTTTCAAAGTCAAATTTCTGATCAAACGGATTTGGTATTCGCCAATCACGGATTCGGATCTTTGAGCAGACAAGGAAATTTTTCGTATCTTTGTGTTTGGATCCAATAAAGAGTACGTTTTCTTACTTTCATTGTTTGCCTGTTCAGCTGAATGTGCAGAGTCTCTTTTCAAACCACAATAGCCCATTATCGTAGACAACTGTTGACCCAAGTCATAACGGCTCGAACCATACTTTGGTTTGAGTGGATGAAGATGATCTTCCTCTTCCTCTTCCTCGTCGTCGTCGTCGTCGTCCTCCTCCTCCAACTCAGAATCAAAGCTATCCACCTCGCTTCCATTTTCCAGTTCGTCAACCGAATTGCCATCTCCATCACTATAATTATTCTCTATAATTGTACTGACTCTTTTCTTATAGTTATGATCTTTAGCATTTCCAAGACGAGACGGCAGTTTCGGAGGTTCGATATTATATGATACACAATGCAGTGGAGTGCCTTTTTGCACTTCTGAGTCTATACTGTTCACAGAACTACCTCGTTTTCTTCCTTTACTAAATAGCGATTTGATTTTACCACCGCCAGATGAGGTTGACTTTACCGATTCACTAGAAGAAATAGATATGACATGTTCAGCAACTAGACTGTCTGATGGCAGTCGTGACCGTTTGCTTGTTCTAAACAATCCCATTGTTGTACGTCATTCGGCCAAAATGGTTAAGGAAACTCAATTGAATTAGTTCATATTATGTTCTGCATCAAATTCCATAGCAAATTTGGAAATTTTTGAGCAAAACAAAAAAACTTGAATCTCGGCGTACTAAAAATTGAAAAAATGTGAGATAAAGGGGCCCGCTACCCTTCTATGGTTAATATATAGCACCTGACCTTAAGTAAAAAAGAATACCTTGTAAATAACAAGGCTACTTACAAGCTCACTCCTTACACTAACTCTATACAAGGGTTTGGTGTCCATTGAAAAGCTTAAAAGTCTTAACTTACAAATGGAGTCAGTCAGTTTTCAAATACTCTTAAGCTCAAAGGCTTGTTTTATCTAGCAATTATCAAAGTAGAAAAAATATATAGTTATCAAAATCTAAGGCACTTTAATACAATGTTCCATCAAGAAAAAATCGACACTAGCGAGCAAAGCGAGCTAGTGGAGCAGAACTGACGGGTTTGATTACTATATTCAGTCATCCAAAGAAACTGCCTTAGCAATTTTTGCAATATTTTTTTTTTTTTTTTTTAATTTTTGGCTGCGAAATCTACAAAACTTGTAAAGTGAGAAAGAATGAAACAAAGGGTTGACAAGTAAAGTTGTAAAGATGGTAGGAAAAATAGTTGCAACTTTGCTTAGGAGGCAATATATAAGAGGAAGAAAAAAAAAAAAAAAAGATACTTGCAAGGTAAGCACATACCTAGTCACATACGTCCATATTATCTCCCTTTTTGTATCAAGATCTGCTTGTTGAATTGCGAAAAAGTCGCACTTTGGAGCAAATAAAGTACGTGAGGGTATATACAAGAGACTCCTGTAAATAAGAAAAACTGGGATATCAAAGTTGAGCTTTAACCAAGGGGTTATCAAATAGTCTTTGAAAAAAAGAAAAACATGCTACGTGATGTAACAATTATCAGGTAACATGTTATATATTCTTCTCAATAGTATCTTTCTATTTTTTTTTTTTTTTTTTTTATTAAAAACACATATTCAAAGCTTCAATTGCTACGGGACTGCAGGGATTCATCATTAAACTTCTTTGAATATCACGTAATTTACCTGTTTTGATCATTGCTTCAGCATATTCGCTACCTGTGACCTTATTATCTGCTGATAAAACAACCTGTTTTGCAATGTCAGGATTTATGTTCTTCCAAATATTGTAATTGGATGGAAACAAATAAGCATATCTAAGCCAAATTTTTTCATTATTGTCTCCAATCCTTTTGTTAATCTCATCCAAAAGCTTGGGAATTTCCCGGTGAGTATCAGAAACAATTTCATTCAAGTTCAACCCAAGCAACTCATCCTTAATTGCATCTAGGTACTCTGACAAGTTTTCCACCAACGAAATGGCACCTAAAGTGAGAATAACTGATAACGACGATCCACTTTCTTCGATATATGCAAATAATTGATCAATTGCTGCTTGTTTACTCTCTGCGGTGTTATGTGCATACAAGACTTGGGCAATTAAAGTGATAACACTTGGTAATTGGCCGCAAGCCGCTAACAACAGCCTCAATTGAACAATTGCATCTTGAAACATGTTGCTGAAAAAATAAGCAAGTCCTAATGTAATTCTACTACTCATAATTATCAGTGAAGACTCATCCCCCTCTTCCTCTTCCTCAGCACCAGCACCACCGCAAAGATCCAAAGCAGCTTGCGACTGTTCAATCGACTTTTCAAAAGCACCAAGTCCCAAGTTGAGTCTCGATAACTGGCTTTTCAAAGAAGCAAAGTTGTCCACTACCAATTGAGACTCAGATTCTTCATATAATTTTTCATAGATTGTGCTTAGCTTATGCCCTATTTTAAGTGCATTGTCAAAATCTTTACACCTCTCTGCTATTCCCAATGCAATGTTCAACGCTGGTACGTCATCTGGATAGTATTTAAGATACAGCTGCATGGCTTGGTTGCTGATACTGAACTCCTGGGCCGTTTCAATATCTTTCAAATCACGACCAGTACTCCTATCCAACACTGACAATCCAAACACATACTGAGCCAACGCTAGCCTTCCTTTTGAAAGAATAAAAGCGTGTGCGTATTGACTCGACGCCTTTTCCAAATCTCCACTAGCTTCTGCAGCAATAGCATTTCCTAACCAAGACTGCGCATCTTGTGGTGTCACAGATTGGGCTCTCAAAAATGTCTGCTGAGCAAGTTGAGAATCATCATGTTTCAAGTACAATGCTGCTAAATTTACCCAAACTTCTGCATTCTTTGTCTCCAAAGAAATGGCTTTAATATAACAATGTTGGGCTATAAGTGGTTCCAGAAAAAAGTAAACGTTCGCCAAGGCCATCCAGTAGTTTGAGTTGTTAGGCTCAAGTTTAATGGCATGTTTCAAGTGCTGCACGGAAAGTTCGCCGTAGGAATGATTACCCAAATTTTGAAACGCTTCCAACAAACTCAAACCCAAATTATAAAATGCAGTTGCCTTCAAGATCTTATTTGACTTAACAGACAAACAACTGACACTCGCAGCGGCTGCTAGAACCGCAAGTAAAAGCAACGCCTCTACTTTCCTTCCCTCCGAAATATGTGATTTGATAGAGACCATTGTAATTGAATCATCCAAAGTCTCCGACAATTTCGAGATGTCAACTTTTGCAAATATGTCAAGAATTTCGTCAAAAGGAGCCTCATTGATGTACTCTCGTATCTTGATGAATACTCGGAGACTATCTCCGAGAGCCCTCCAAACTTTCTGAGAAGAGCTATTCAATGAAGTAGCTTGCTTTATAAACCTCAAACTCTTTAAGTTGGTATTAATTGCACGTCCAAAAAAGCCCAACTGTATAAATGTTTTGGTATTTTCAATGTTGGCTTCATAGATTGCACTAATAATACACTCTTCGTTAGGTTGATTCTCTAATGCAGAGTACAAATGACTTAATCCTTCATTATAATTCTTCATTTCGCAAAGAACAACACCCAACATGTATTTCACTGTCCAGGAATACTGGTGACCAAGACTGAGTGCGTGCTGAAAAACTTTGGAAGCAGCTTCAAATCTTCCACAATTCGAATAAGCTTCTCCTAAACCAACCCAACAAGCATAATTGCCCGAGTCAATACGAAGTGCATTTTGAAACCACTCCACAGCCTTTGCGTCATCTCGGAAGTTTAGTGCCGCGCAACCAAGTACTCTGTATGGCCAAGATGCGTCAGGTATATCCCCACGCATAATCATTCTTCTCGAGTGCTCATTTTTAATCACCCTAGTAGCAAGCACTTGTGCCACTTCCCATTCATCTTCAATCAATGCTTGCTCCACTAAATGTCTAGCAGCTGTTATTTCGTTGGCATCTAAATCGAATGCCTTGTAAAAGCATTTTCGGGCTCTTTCAGTGTCTTTAAAATGCTCCTCAAACAATACTCCCAATAAAGTGTATGAAGGCGCATACAAGTCCGAGTCTTTTAAAGACTGAATCAAATATTGGTAGCATTGTTGTACGTCATTTTCTTCTATAAAACTCTTTGCTATTCTCCAGTTAGCTATTGCTCTCACTTCTCGACTGTGTAAATCTGCACCAGTGATCTTTGCTACAAAACTCTTTAGTCCATTCCTACCTTCTTCGAGTTTCCCAAGTTTAACAAGGCACCAATAATATTCAGATACTGCTTCCAAGTTCTCAGGATGATCTTTTAAAACAGTTCCCAAGAGAACTCGAGCTTTTTCCAAATCGCCTCTCTCTACGTGTATCAATCCTTTCCCAACCTTGGCTCTCACATCGTCCGGTTTTGACTCCAAAATCTTGTCGTATAACTGAAGTGCCCGACTGAAATTCTTGGGAGCTTCATAATACGTATACACAATAGCAAGGGAACACAAAAAGTCATCCTTAGTATTCCTCAAGTCTACTCCAAACGTCCTTTGTATATCAGCCAATATCTTAATCCCTTCGCGACATCTCTCGGAAGCAACATTGTACTCGCGAAGATGAATATAAAAATGTACAATTATCCTATTAGCTAGCACTGAAGTGTTGGCCTTGGCGTGACCCTCGATCATTAAACTAATAACCTCTTCCTGGGGCAAAAAAAATGAAGCATTTGCATCATCCTTATCACCACCACCACCACCACTATCATCATTATCATCGTCAACAGCTATTCCCTCCAAGTTACTCGAATCTTTCTTGGTATCGCTATTCAGTTTTTTTTGTCGTGTTATAGCATCATCGACACTACCATGAGCTAGACTGTCGACAATCTTCTTTTTATTGTAGGGTGATATGTCGCTCATGACAAAGGCAAACAATATCCGACCCAAACCTTCGTTTTGAAATAAATCTAAATATGTGATAATTTTATCCTCATCTAGATGATTAACACTAACATCATCGTTCCAGTTGAAATACAAATTCCAACAAAACAAACTGTCAGTCTTTAATAAAATCATATCATCAATAGATTGTCTAATGTCCTTAATCAACGGCGGTTTTTCTGGACAAACTTTCAAAAGCTCATACTTGAACTTGAGACATTTTTCTTGGTATTTGCGTCGCAATGCATCGTCATTGCATATATTTAGGAATGCATCATATAATTCTAATATTTTTGCGCTTTTGTATATTGACCACGCCAAAGTGTCAAGTTTGGATTTCTGATCTAAAGTAAGCGTCCTTCCATATCTGACCCTCTCCTTGGAGATTTTTGCCACAACCTCCTTTTCAACTTGATTTTCTTTGAAATCCAATAATTTCTTGCAAATGGTCTCAGGGTTTTCGATTGAGCTGCCAATAAGATCTCCCAACTCGGTACCAGGCATGATTTTTCTAAGGTACAATTCATATAGTTCGTCGTTGTTTTTCATCTTGTGGGTTTCTAAATACTCTCGAAGAACTTGTAAAGAATCAGCAATGGAAATGCCCTGACTCACCAAAATACTACTGATAGACGTCAATACAGAAAAAAACTGTTCATGATCATTTAAGTTCTTGACGAGTTGTAGATAACCTTTCCAGGCCAAAAGATTATCGGGTTCAATTGCAGTAGCCTTCTTGAACGCGGTTATTGCTTTTGGCATATCTCCTAGTAACTGGTACGCTTTTCCCTGGAAGACATATGCATAGTATGAATTAGGCTCAGTATCAAGGGCCGCCCGAACATGGTCCAAGGCAGACTCAGGATCATTTTGTTCAAGAGCGCTCTTAGCAAGTTTTAGAATGCTCTTCACGCCGGACATCTCTTGGTCATAAGTAGAGATCTACTGATGTAAAGACTTAAATTGATAAATTTCACTCCTTGGGGTTAGAAAGGAAAGGGAAAAAAAAAAAAAAAAAAAAAAAAAATTAAAATCGCACCAGAGCAAACGTTGTTTACAAAGAACCCATTAGACAAAAGTACAAAATATTGAAATAGGTTCTTTGCAGCAAATACAAATACTCAACATGGTCACATCGATTAGTTTTGGAGGATCAATACTACACGCCAGTGAAAAAGAGAAAGTACATTTGTGTGGGTTTTCTGTTTTTCATTTTGGAATGAAAACGGGTTCTCCTTCTTCCCCAATTGAAGCGAGCCTTTCAAACCCGTTGGAATCTCTCAAAATATATGCCTCTCTGTGGTTCATTCTATAGTATTGGGTTTTCAATTCTTTAACAAAGCTTTTTTTTTTTTTTGCAATTTGCAGCCATTTATTTCTTTTTTTTTTTTTTTTGAGATGTTTCAAGTTACTTTGGCCCATTTCTCACCATCCTCTTCTTCTCATGACAACAGAAAACCATCATAAACTAGCCACAGCAGTAATACATTGGCTATCCGAGTTTTCTCACTCTCCAGTCCTGACCAAGTCCTCATGGCAAGTCTTGGCGGATCCTGTAACTTTATTTCAACTACTTGATGCCTTGATCACTCTGAAAGATTTACAGCTTCGAGACGATACATTAGAACTATTTTCAAACCGGTTTTCTTGTACAAAGGATCAGAATGGCATACATGTTCCAGAACAGTTGATGCGGCAGGTGGAATACTTGAGTTTCATTTTACATGGCCATCTACATCACAGGGTTGACTTGAATGTTGTTCCACCCTTGAACCTCTATAAGTTAATCTTGTACGAGGATAATACAGAATTGAAATACTTGTGCCAGATATTGCTACTAGTGGGTACTCATACTTCTAGAGAGGCTTCTTGTGGACAATCCTTTATTGAGTTTTTGAGTGACGACGATAGGTCTACAATCATGACGTACGATATCAGACAAAGCACAAATGTCAGTAGACAACGTCTAGAGAAGGAAGACAACACGGTTCGCAGTACAGATAAAGGTAACCAAGAGTCAAGTTTCGTGGGCGAGGGATCCTACTGCATTAGTGAAGATGAATACAAGACAATGAAGTGGGAAAATGCAATACTCGAAAGAGTTTTGGGTGACATTACTACTAGCTATAAAACAAAGCTAGTGGGGGAGATAAACCACAACCACTGATTACTTAAATCTAGCTAGGGCAGAATTCAATAGATCTTTGTCACCATCGTCACCCGCAGACAACTTATGAAGTCTCGCTCTTTTTTCCTTTTCGTATCTCAAATTCTTCTCCACTTTCAACTTCCTTTGATCAATAATATTTTCTCTTTTCTTTCTCAAGTGCCTTCTAAGAGACGAGTTCTTTCCCTTGACTTCTGGTTTGATTTCCATTTTCGAGGCTCCATCACCACTGCCGCTAATACTGCCATCCAATTCATTGATTTCTCCCGGTTTTAGTCGTACTGATTTTGCCCGTTTGTCAACACTTCCTATCATATTTGGATCAATAGAGATGGAATCAGCAGGTAGCTTGTTGAGCAAGGAACGTACCTCCTGTTGCTGCCTCTGCTTCACAGTTTCGTATGGATTCAACTCCAAAGCGTCATAATTGGCTTCTCCAGCACCGGGAACAATTAGTGAGCTGTAACCTGATTGATGTCCAACCCCCAATATATCTTCAAAAGGAGCAAATCTAACTTTGCATACTTGAGATCCGGGTAATAAATGGTTCATATACGGCTCCAGCTGACGGCCGCTTTTTCCAAGTGCATCTTTCCACACGGTGACGTGCGAGCCCCAACCTACCGCTAGGAGACCAGTGTCTGAGATATCCAAAGAAGATGCTGGCGATTGTGTATAATATTGATCCAACTCTTTGAATTTTCGTAAATCCCAGATTTTCATACTTTTGTCAGCCCCGCTCACAACCATGTACTTGCCTTCCCTGTCTATAGCCAAATCCCGTATTGGACCACGAGCCGACTGAAGCTTTACCAATGGTTCTGGTTGATTTGGCGCCCACAAAGTTACCTGACCATTCCCATGGCCTAGATGCATCACTGCATTCCACGGATTTTGTTTCATGGCCAAAGTAGGACCCAATTTAGTTCGTATTTCACTCACCAAAGTACCCGTGGACACATCGTGGTACTTCAAGAATCCAGTGTGACCAGCACCAACCAACAAAAAATGATATGGCAAGTAATCGAGTAAAGTAGATTCCACATGCTGCTTCAACCTATGGAGCTCTATTCCTTCTTTATCATATATGAATGTATATTTTTTTTGTGCCACGGCAAAATACTGTTCATTGTGCAAGTACTTTACTGCATGCACGGTTTCATTGAGATACAATTCTGAACTTAGACCCCCAGTTCTCCAATCTATGGCCGCTACATGGCCCTTCCTTCCCCCTATTAGCAAGTTTCGACCATTTCTCGAAAAGTCAAACTGGTAAGGACCAAATTCATTTAGTTTTAAATCAAACTTTTTTATTGCTGTGTTCAAATCCACCGCCTGAGCAATGTCATCTTGTTTAAACTTGAATGTTTTCTCCATGGGGCCCTCTGCCTCTAAGAATCCAACCTCTTCTGGTAAGAGGTAGTCAGTTCCAGCGGCCGATAGTAAAGCATCTTTATATTCCCTATCGATTTTCTGTAGCTTGGAATTGAGTTTTTTGTCTTTGGAAAAATTCTTCTTCTTCTTCTGTGGTGGTTGTGATGGGCCGGCATTGACCTTTTTGCCGTTCCTAACAGAGCTTGAGCCAGGATCTTTATATATGTTCGCCATGATGGCTGGAGAAGAATAGTATATGATTTTCCTTGATCTATGGAAAACTAAAATACTTTTTGCGAAGATCATCGCAGATTCTGAAAAAAAAAACAAAAAAAAAAAGATTCATCTAAAACGCTACCAAATATCTATCAAATATCTATCGATGAGAGGGAGGGGCTTTTGCATGCTTTTCTGCATGTGTTGAAAGTAAAAGACTTTTGTTGAAATTACCTTGGGTATGAGCACCCAATTGTTCTAATGCTTTTACGTTGTAATTATGAAGTAGTGATAGATTCTGGCTGTTAGAGATTGGGCACCTTGCATTGAAGAATATCTTGAAGGAATGAAAGAAAAGAAGACACTCATTTTTGTGATAGTACAAGTAAGTGTTACTTTCCAAGGACCTGCAATAAAAAACAACGTGACTTATTCTTAAATCATATGCCCCCTTTTTGCAGAGGTATTGATTTTTACTGGTATAACTCAGATACTGATTTCTGAATTCATAACACTATAGGATGAGATATAGGAAATGCTGCATTAATAATTATGTCTGTCAATGAGACAATAAACAGCAGAAGACAAAGGTACTATACCCCTCATCCTTCCCCCCCCCCTTCCCGTTTTCCCCTTACAAACAGCAATATCGTTTTAATGGCATTTTTCCTCTCTGAAAAGACATAGTGATGGCAATGCCTTCCAAATGCAACCATCTTTTCGAATTTATATAATTTTTTTGCACGGAGTAAACCATTACTTCTCTTTATAGGGCGTTCCTCGTTAAAAAAAAAAAAAAAAAAAAAAAAAAAAAAAAAAAAAAAAAAAAAAAGAAAGAAGAATGGCTTGTATAATTTTTCACTGTAGTATTACTTCAATACTGTAACAATTGATTTCCGAGCAAAATCGGATGATTCAAGATCAGATATCAATAATATATATATAAAAAAAAAGTTAGCATTAGAAACTCCCAAAAATCTCTATCTATCTTTAAGCATATCTCATATATTTGGAACAGTTTAAAATGTTCAAGAGTCGAGTCGTTGTGAAAGCTATTGAACGTTTGTCGCGTTCCTCGCTCAAATTACAGCCCATACGAGGTCCGGTTCGGGGACCGGCTCAGGCACGGGCTCAATTAAAGTCGAGTTTTTTTCCCATGCCCTTGACCATACTTACTGGTTTTGTTATTGGAACTTTGGGCGGGTACTACCTTCTTGATTCACGTTCGTCAATCCACGAATATATATTTTGTCCACTCATTCGTACATTCACAGATGCTGAACAAGGTCACAAATTGGGAATTTTATTTATGAAACTTGGTCTCGCGCCAAGATTGTTGGACGATGGTGTCAATGATCAAAGTGATGTGTTGGGGGTCGAAGTTTTCGGGCACAAATTAAAGAATCCGATTGGTTTAGCTGCTGGTCTCGATAAGGATGGAGAGGCAATTGACTCACTCTTTAACTGCGGGTTTTCATATGTTGAAATCGGTTCCATCACTCCTGAAGCTCAACCGGGTAATCCCAAACCAAGATTTTTTAGACTAAAAAGGGATGACGCAGTGATCAATAGGTATGGATTTAACTCATCGGGCCATTTTAGCGTTTTGGCGACTTTGAAAATTCGATTCAACAAGTTTTTTGAAAACTTTAGCAGGAACCACACGCCAGACCAAAAACCATTCTCAAATGCTTTTCAAAACGGGAAATTGTTAGGTATTAATTTGGGAAAAAATAAAGACGGAGACGAAGTAAAAGATTATGTTAAAGGTGTAGCAAGATTGGGTCCTTATGCAGATGTTTTAGTGGTGAACGTGTCGTCTCCTAATACTCCTGGTTTGCGAGACTTGCAAAATGAATCCAAATTGACCCATTTATTGCAATCTGTTGTACAAGAACGCGATGCCTTAGGATCCAACTTGCTTGGATCGAAACCTCCGGTACTTGTTAAAATTGCCCCTGACTTGACAGAACCGGAGATTGAGTCCATTGCTAACTCTGTCTTGCAGGCGAAAGTAGATGGAATTATACTATCAAACACTACTATCCAAAGACCTAAAGATTCATTATTAACTACCGACGAAGAATTGATCAACGAAGCTGGAGGACTTTCCGGACGACCTTTGAAACCTTTAGCTTTGAAAGCATTTAAGTTACTCAGGAAACACACCAAGGGTTCCAATTTAGTTTTGGTTGGATGTGGTGGGATCTCAAATGGAAAGGATGCTTTGGAATTTGGAAAAGCTGGTGCTACATTTTTTCAGTTATATACGGCATTTGCATATAAGGGTCCTGGATTAGTTGCTCAAATTAGAGATGAATTGGCAGCCGAATTGAGAAAGGAAGGAAAAACCTGGCAACAGATTGTTAAAGAGAATAGTTGAATGCGTAACGTATTGTGTCATATGTAGTGTTTTAGGAGTAGATTTGAGGGGAGTTAAAACTCATGAGTGCTATATATGTAAATCGATGAGATTGAGCACTAGGTTTTTTTTTTTTTTTTTTTTTTTTTTTTTTTTTTTTTTTTTTTTTTTTTTTTTNGTGTATTTTTTTTTTTTTTTTTTTTTTTTTTTTTTTTAGGTCCTCTGAATTTTGATATCAGACTTAGGACCCCCCATAAGCAATGCCCATAGAGTTGATACGATCACTCATTGTTCCAGCTATTATCTCCTTTAGGGGGCAGCAGAGACTTTATTAATATCTTGAGGTATTGTGGAAGCGGCTGAGTGCACCCGCATAGATGACACTAGATTTTGACATACCCCATATATTGTGAGAATTAGGCGAAATACTTAAAAGGTTGCAAGCACTATTAAAAGACCATAAACATGTTTTTTTTTTTTCCTTTGGTAAAACATTCATCAAATGTTGAACCCAAAGAGCGATGAATTGTAATGTATCCCATGTCAAAGGGAAAGAATCATCAATTAAATCAATAACCGAGAAATCCTTTGCTTTGAGAATACCTACCAAAAATGAAGCTTTTTGTAACCTACTTTATTCTTGGTACACCCACACAGCAACACACTAAAGTATCAAACTCAGCCAAAGATATCTGCAAATCGGATTGTTAATTGATTACAGAAATAAAAAGAGGAACCACAGTTCAAGGTTGTGTTTATTCAGCTTCAATGAAAGGGAAACCCAAACTCATATTTAACGGAAATGGCTGCAAAACACACAAAGGCCCCCTAAAAAAAGTAAAGCGCAACTGGGTTTGTGTAACTTTATACCAGTTCCACCAGAGTTGGGGGAGGGAGCGATTTCATATACAACAACCATAATCTAATTATACTCTACCTCACGTGATAGGTTGCCAAGTGGTATACAGAGTTATTAGAGGATGAGGTTTTAAAACGAAATGTCAATGTTAAATCAAATCGAGAAAAATAATGAAAATTTTCCACCTCAATGGTTATAAACGTAGCTTAATAACATTAAAAATGACCAAAAAAAAAAAAAATCGAAGATCAAAGTAATCATGATCAACATGATTTTCTATTTATATAAAAAAAATCCGTAAAAAACCTTATTCTCTTTGTTTGTTGATGAGTTTTTTATTCCCATCAAGACAAATTTATAGTGTTTGTCAAATAAAAACCAAAAAAAAAGAATCCCCCCCCCCAAAAAAAAAAAAAAACTAAACGATTCAACTAAAGCAAGAGAAAGCAATATGAGCTTTTCTCATCAAATTTCCCTTCATTGTCAAAGAAATACTATTTTCGTCCCCAAAGACAAATCTGCCCATTTACACACGTACCCCCCCTATTTCTTATTTGCTTTCTTATTTTTCTCTTTCTTTCCATGATGAGTGACATTTCCATAAACAATGTTAGTGTTTCCTTTGGAGTCCACTTTGTAATGGGTCTTCAAGTGCTGGGCCAAATTATCCAGCCTTGAAAATTTCTTTTCACAATATTTACAATGGAAGGGCCGAATATTAGAATGAACTGATCTTACATGTCTTTTCAAATGCTCTGATCTCTTGAACTGTTTCTCACAATTGGTACAAGGAAAGCAACCTTGACTGTTTTGAACAACAACAGTAGTGTTGCTTAGCGGGTCAAAACTTCCATCAACAAGCGCCGAAGACGAGGATGTAGTCGATAATTCTTCATTGGAAATAGTAACCATCTTCTTCATTGTCGATGACGTTGCAGTAGTGGATGCATCATGAACTGACTCATTGCTATTACTTGTTGTTGGAGATAATAACGGAGAGTTCAATAATAATGAGGATACCGGTTGATTATTCAAATCTTGTTCAAGCTGTTGGTGAACATGTGCAGGGTTATGGTGAACAATTGAACTTTTTCTTCTCTTTTTCTTTTGTTGTGTTGTGTCTCCATTATTGCTAAGTACTGACTCTTCAATTTCTTTAATATTCTCAAATTGTGCAGTGGAAAAGGCAATTGGTGAGCTTTGCAAAGAGTTTAAGCCCTGATGCACTAAGTCTTGTTGTTGAAGAGTTGAAGATGATGACGAAGATATGCCTGTAACTTGTGCTGTACTCGTTGGGCCACCAGCATATGATTGACCACTCCCTAACAAATGAACAGAATTTCTTCTAGTGCTATTTCTGCCACTATGCAAGCCATTAATGTATGAGTGAGAGCGGGCCCTTAAAGGCTTATTGACACCTTTACTGGTTGACGATACTCCTCCTCCTGGTTTTAGTAAAGTAGTATTTATGTTTTGATTTTCGTCAGTCGATGCGCTGTTTGTAGCATTATTTTCTGCACCAATTGATAAATCGTTACTGCCAAACCAAGAGCTTAATGTATTTGAAAACTCATCACTCGTTTTAAAGTCAAATTGTGGGGTGGATAAACTTCTCGTGTGAGTCGGTATAAATTGTGTTGTTCCCTGTTGTTTATGAAAGTGTTGAGACAGCAGCAGTGCTTGGTTTTGGTGCTCATGCTGCTGATGAGGCACTTGTTGCAGATGTTGTTGTTGTTGTTGTTGTTGCAATTGCAGTTGCTCTTGTACTTGTTGCAGCAGCAGCAGCAGCAGCAGTAGCAGCAGCAGCAAAAATGGAGGGGGTTGTTGAAGTGGTGACTTAATCCCAAACACAACAGATAAACTTGGAGAGCTAAGTGACATGGGCAACTTGGTATTGATTAATTGGCGTGGGTTTATTGTACCTTCTTGTGAAAAGAATACCGGTGAGTCCAGCTTATCCGATTTGGCCACCTGCGACGCCGTCACCGCCGACGCAGCAGCAGCAGCAGCCGATGCCGCGGCTACACTACTAGTATCCAAGTTAATTAATCCCAATGTTTCGTCAATAGATATGGGGGATACCTGTTGCTGCTCTACTTTTTGAGGTTTTCTCACAAATCCTCTCGATGCACTATTTTGTTCAAAAATAGGTTGCTGCAAGCTCTGCAATTGTTGACTTTGTATTTGGTTTACTGCTCCAAGTGAGCCAGAAATATTGGTTGTGCTTGGTGTTCTTAGAGTCAACAGCGTTAATTGATCTATTGGTATAGTGGCTGAATTACGACTCATATGTTTTGCAAACAGAGACTGTTGAGTAAAAACTGGAGTAGTAGGACCAATTGACTTACTTGTGGCAGTTGAACCAGGACCAGTAATTGTAGGGGCATTAATATTGAATGCTCGGGACGAACTTGATGAGCTTGACGATGATGCTGAGCTAATAGAACTATTTGGAGTTGCAAAATAATTATTCAATGACTTGGAGGACAAATTGCTTAACAAATCCTTGTCTGTATCATTATTATACTTGTCGTTTTCGTTGTTGTTGTCGTTACAATTTCCACCATATAGAGTCATATCGTCTATATACTGTTGATGTTGTTGGTGCTGTTGCAAAAGCGAAGATTGAAAGTGTGACAACTGGCTTTGACCCACTGGGGTGCCAACAGAGTCATTATTGGTCGGTGGCGTGTGGAAATAGTAACTGTTTTTGAAAAATATCTCATCATTCAAATGGAAAGTATCAGGTAAATTAGTATTTGTAGCAGTATTTGTAGCAGTATTTGTAGCAGTATTTGTAACAGTATTTGTAACAGTATTTGAAATAGTATTTGTAGCAGTATATGAAGCTGTGGCTGTTGATGTTGGAGCTATTGTAGTGAACGAGGTCGGGATTGATGAGCTTAAATATGACTCGCTATTCATGTCCAAGTTATTAGCTGTATAGATTCTAGACAATCCGCTTTGATTGTTGGTTGTTGGAGCGCCATTTGTAGAATTGATTATATTAGGATTCATCAATTGACTAGAAAACATACAGCTATTCATATTATTTTCAAATATAGCCTGATACTCCAGTGTCATCAGTTACAATTGAGCCTGTTAGGTGTGTATGTTTAGTGCGTGTGTATGATGTGTGTAATGTGTTAATTGTGAGTCTAAGTGTAGTGTGTGTGTGTGTGTGTGTGTTCAAAGCGTGGGGTAGGGTGTGTGGGTGCGTGGAGTACAGTAGCGAATAATGAGCTAATTGTCTTCTTCCCAATACTTAAACAAGCTGCTGTTGGTCCTTTATGAGCTGGGGTCCTGTACCGATACTAATAACAAATCCTAGTAGCAATTGAAATCCATACTCTTTATGAATTATGAATTATCAATTGTAAGTTGTGTGATGTGTATATTATATGTAGTTTCAATCTTAAGTAAAAAAAAAAAAAAAAAAAAAAAGGTTTATTAAATCAATATAAATTTAGTTCTTAGTTAGTATTGAAAAATAAAATGTGTGTATGATATGTCTCAGTGTCTGCGTGTCTGTGAAACATTCGTGTCTGCAAGAGATTCGAGCCTGCAAGATATTCGTGTCTGCGTCAGTTGTGTTTGCGCATATAATACCTGAAAGGTTCTTAGAGGAAAGTGTAAGAGAGACCAAAAAAGATAAAGTGATAAGCTATATCAGATACTTTGTACGTGCAAAATAGCAAATAAAAAACCATCAAAGGTTCAATTTAACTGAAAGTATAATGTATGTGGTTAGCGCAAGTATTTTTTTTGCCTTTCAATCATTTTACAAAGGTTATGCACTATTGGTTTGTATACTAGATTTATAAAGAGCTGTTGTTTTAAAAATGTCGTGATATGTAGACCGGAAATTGAATTTCTGGCTGGGGCTGGGGCTCGTGCAGACATGGAAAACAGAAAAAAAAAAAGATTGGCATGTGACCGGAAATCGAATTTCTGAGGCTGGGGCTGGGGCTCGTTCCGACATGGACATGAAAAAGATTAACCTGACCGGAACTATTGTTACGACATTAACTAAAAAGAAAAAAAAAAATATTATACATGTATGAATGTACATAAAGCCAATCAAGCTAGAAAGAGCTTATTTAAACAACAAAGAGCTTATCGGGTATAAAAAAAAGATGTTTATAAGAATAATATAAGACACTGAGGGTTAGAATAAGACTAAAATACTAAAACCATGGATTTTGTCTTATTGAGGCTTGAATTAGAGAGCAATTATTAAAGACTAAAAGAAGAAACTTGAATCAAAGGTAGAGTCAAGTGAGGCACAGTTAGGTGAGGTGATGGATCAATAGAGTGTGGGCCACACAACTATTGACCTTTTGACCTTATTTATACCTTAAACTTTTTGTTTCGTAATAGTTATTGCTTGCATGAATAAACTATTCGTACTTTTTTCTACGTTTCTAAACTAATGTCTGTCTGATTTGCTATCTACTATTGGCTAGGTTGTCTGTCCGTCTGACAATTGTTGCAATGGCATTTGTTGCAGACATAAAAAGCCCAATTACACAACAAAATCACAAAATCACAAAACCTCTTCAATTCTGTAGGCCAGAATTCGTTTCTCACTAGTTAAAAATCGTTTACGCTAACATTTGTTTCATCATTGTGCACGACAATCAGATATAACTTTTCTTTGCCAGGTTTGAAAAAAAATAAAAGTTTAAAAAAGGTTGATAAAGATAAGAGGTTGTTGGAAGAAAGTAATGGATGTTTGGAGAGATTCCTCTCCAAATCTCGAATCTTTGTAACTTATTACTTTCTTTATCTATCTACATAATGTATATCCTTGTCTATATGAGCAACTCGTTCAATATTGATCTAATTAACATTTGAAATACGTCAATTTTTTTTTGCACAAGAGGCAGGTAAAATTTGTAAACTTTATTAAGATTTTTCAATTACATTACCCTTTTGAGACACTTACACAGTACCAAAAGCTTACTGTATAAAAGTGAATTTCCTGATAAAGGGACAATAAGCTTCAAAACAGACCTTTGAAAACAAGGTTACTAGAACCTTGTCATTGAACTTTGTAGAAAAAATGATTTACTTCATTTAGGCTTTTATACATTTAAATAACTTCTCTACTATCGAGTAGGCCTCAATGACAAATATTGGGAAAGCTAATTTCTTCCACTTGATAGGTTGTGAGAAAACAGTTGAATGTAGAATAGTTATCGTATTGAACAAATCTTTGTACTTTCCCTTAACTAGAAAAACGAACCCCAGCCCCCACCCTTTCGAGAATTTCATTTAAAAACACATCAAAGCTTATAAAAGGAATACGGAAGCCTCTCTACCACCATTTCCCTCTACTGCTGCTGCTATTTGCCGTTTCCCCCGCTCTTCAATTCTTGAAACCTATTCTTGTTGAACTTGGATATGATCTCTTTTGATTCAAACCCGTGTGTCCAGGTAAAACTGTATAATCTTATTTCTTCTTCTTTTTACCTTGGCTTGTTTCTTTGGATACAAAACCTCCTTTGGTGATAACATCCCTAGCTGCAGAATTAATGTGTTTAAATCTATCAGGACCCAAATGTATACCACCAAACCACCGACTCACAACAACAATCACGTTCCATACATCCATCATCTAAACAAAAAAAAAATTGAATAAACAAAACAAAAGGGTTAGTACTAGTAGCTAGAAGAAAAAGCAAAAGTTTTCTTAAAACATACCTGTAGCAAATGTAGTAGTCTCCCACCCGCAGCCGTCTCATTGTCATCATCACAATCTTGATAAATAGCAAGACTGTTGTTATCTTTAATTCTCCAACTTGATATGTTATGCGTTGCTTTAGACACCTTCTTATCCATAGTGAGATTATGTAAAAAGCGTCTTGCTTCCTCTGGATCAGAAACTACTCGTGCCCAAGCAATAAAGGTTGAATGTCGGTCTACTATGGGTTCAGATCGATACCATCCAGCAGTATAATCAATATCTTTCTCATGATCATCTCGCTTCTGTTCTACTTCCACAGTCATAGAAGAAAGAGGTCTTGAGACGTGTTGTTGTTGTTGCTGCTGCTGCTGCTGCTGCTGTTGAATTTTCAATGCCTCTCGCTCTTCTACGTATTTATCAAAAAAGTCCTGCAATCCACTAAGCAATTCAAATAAGATAACTTGGCCAGGACTGTAAATTGCATCCAACAAATTACGTATCTTTTTCTCCAAATACGAGCCATCAGTGAACTGAGCAATATTTAAATTTATCATCTTTACAAAACGTGGTTTTTCATCAGGATATGATACAGGGAAATCTAATTGGAATGAAATATCTTCATGCTGGGGAATTTTGAAATTATAGATTTGACAATATTCAAGTTCAACCGAGTTGGGGAAGATGGAATCAATTGCACTTATCTCATCTTTCAATTCTTCAACTGTCATTCATAAAAACTTCAACGTTTACTCACTTGTTTGCTCTTCACACTTGACTCTATTGAAAAGTATCAATTTTTCATTCTTTCAATCTTTTTTTTTTTTTTTTTTTATTTTCAAATAGATCTACAACTCCGATGGTGATGGTGATGATGAATAACTCAGGGAAAGATGGTTTTCTAGCAGACGAGTTGAAAAACAAAGGCAATAAAGCTTTCGCTAATAAGCAGTACAGAGAAGCGGCAAAGTTGTACGGAGATGCAATTCAATTGGATGTGTATAATCCAATATTATATGCAAATCGAGCACAATGCTTTTTAAACCTAGGTGAATATGATAGAGCCTATAAGGATTCCATACTGGGCTTGAATTTGGGAGAATCCCTACAAACAAAGATAAAACTCAACTTTAGAAAAGCAATGGCATTGAAAGGGTTGAAACGCTGGCAACATGCGAGAGAAGCATTTAATGATGTTTTGGCTCTAGATCCATCAAATCTTGCTACTAAAAATGAGCTTCAAAAGTTACCCATAACAACACCTAATTCTTCCACCTTCACCTCCATCACTAGCCAAGATAAAGAAATATCAATTGAAAAGGTTGACAAACTACCGGAACCATTTGCAAGTCTCATTAATGATAAGCCAGAGCCAGAGATGGTGTCCGAGCCAAAATCAAAAGCACAACTAAAGTCCAATACTTGTGCACAAACAGGAGTTACAAACACTGATGAAAAACATCTGAATAGTGACACATCCGCATTGAACACAGAAATCAAGAACTTGTTTGGAGATCAGTCATTCAATGACAAGGAGAAGGAGAAGGAGAAGGAGGAGGAGAAAAAGAAGAATTCGAGAAAAGAATCTAGCACTTCCGATATCAAGGAGCTGCCATTGAAACTATTGAGTGTCCTCAAGAACCTTCCACAGTCAAGGAAATTGAATGCATACCAATACGTCTTAGGTCTAGATAGTCAATCCAATTCAGAGTTATTCGAGGAATCTGGAATTGACCCTGATTTTTTACAATTTTTTCTTGAAGCTTCACAGTACGCATTAACTTCTAATCTTCCACAAGCTGCCCATATCATTTTGAATCATTTGAAACAGTATGCTAGTATGAAAAGATTCGACTTAGCAATCACAATATGCGATGAATCAGTCAAGGAATCTATTTTGAATGAAGTAGAAAAACACCATTCGCAATATTTAACAGCATTCAAACAGTATATACGGCGATGAATATATATATATATATATGTATGTGTTATACATACATAAAAATTTAGTAATGCTTAACCTCCAAGTTTGGTAGTAATCCCTTATTGTAAGATGAGGCCACTGTTGGCTGTACCTCAATCCAAACTGGCATATAACGAGAAATATCTAAATGGAAGTACTCAGTAGCAAGTAGTGGAACAATAAACATAGATGAAAACAAAAGCATGCTTCCAATAAACACAATCATGTACAATATTGCTTGAACCCGTCTTCTCTTCTTCTGGCGTTTCGATAAGATTCTTGGCCGAATTTGATTGCCAGGTTTCAACCAGAATAACATTAGAGTATGCCATTTATCAGCATACGGAATAAGTAACACCGGTACTTGTGCATACAAAATTATATGGGCAGCCACCAAATCACCAGCAAAGTAAGACATTTCGGTCAATTTACAAATAAACTCCCGAAGCGGTTGTGTGATAACGTACCACCCCAAACCAGCCGTCACCCACTTGCCGCTCCACCAAGACCGATTCGACCTATCGTGTCTAAACTCCTTTGAAATGAAAATGATGGTAATAGTCTGTAAAAACCAACACTGAATCAATGTGCAAAGCACAAATCCAAGTATTGTTTTGGGAAAGTTCCAGTTTTGCATATACCAAAGGAGCTCAAAGAATAAAACATGATTTATGACAGACAATGTGTGGGCAATGGAAGCAATGAGCGATGGATACCTTTTGCAACATAATGTCAAGACGGGACCCGTGATTATGGAAACAACAAAGCAAACAAGTAAAACAACAAAATTTACAGCCATTGGACCAAAGCTTACAATTATAATTCTCAAAAAGCCGTTAACAGGACGCGCTCCACGAGAATCATTTTGCGAGTTTGCAAATAGATATGGAAAAGCAACTAATACAATAATTGTTACTTGTAACAACGATTCCGATATGACGAGCTTGAGCCTGGATGGCTTCACTTCACTCACTGCTTTAATTTCTTCATTAACACTAAATCGTTTGCTCTTGACACCAACAATTCTGCTCCTCCTTAAACGAGTAAAATTGATCCAAGAGGACAAACGGGGCTTACTGTTCCCCCGATGCAACCACTGGATATATTCCCTATAGTCCAAGAAAAAGTCGTTCCAGGAAAATTGGTTGGGGTTGTACAAAAATGGACAAATCAACAATCCAAGTATTGTCATCCAAAAATAAAGAAGCAGAACAATCCACATCGATACTGAGCAATAAAAGATCAACAAACCGCAAATTGCACCATAATAAAGGCTTTCACTTGCAAATCTTGAGTAAAGAGTTGCAAATGGCACTCTGATTGTGGCAAACCCTCTTCCAGTTGCAAGGTATCTAGCACCTCCAATCGAGATGTCACTAGCCAATGAATACCCATATATCTTACAAACAAAAACTTCAAATAATGGTGAGAAGGATGCAAATTGTTTGCCAAGTCGCGAAACGGCCTTGTAGAACCCCCTCTCCGTAAGTTCTTGAACTCCCAAGGGAACAAATGAAATGGCAAACACAATAAAGATGGAAAATATACATCTCTGCAACCAATGGATTACGGGTATCAAGTTGTAACATCCAGCTGGTCTCTTTGGGTCAGTAATAGGTCTAAACTTATCATATTCACATATAACGCTTTCCTTGCTCAAAGCCGCAAGATTTGCACTAACGAGTAAAAATAATTGAATCGAAATAATGATGAATACGTTATTCAAGTGAAACCCTGGATGAGCATAGTAAAATGACAAGAATCTGTCCAAGGGGAGTTGAGTCCCCAAATAAAAGTATTCACGCGAAAGCATTTGTTCTCCCATTCCAGCTCCAATTTTTGTTGTGAAATTTAAAATTGAACCAAAGCCTAAATCCCTACCTTTACCACATTGCATATACTCACAATGCTTGATTCTTCCTCCACGAAGAAGAACATTCATTCCAGCATAGATATCTTCATTCAAATGTAAACCCTTTTGTGCTTTGGAAACCCCTCCTCGAGTGGTCATAAAAATTCCATTCAAAAAATCAGGGTGCCCGTAATGAAGCTTACCCCCAATGTGAGCCAAAGTTCTTGCAAACAAGGTACCAAACGTTTGCTCCTTTCCAGCAGCAACATCTCCAAGGATTCCTATATTTTCTGAGAATATGTACTCCCTTGTTCCAATAATGGCAACTGGGTAGGATACATCCAACTTTTCCAAGTCACTGGCATATGGATCTATTGGGAAAGTAGCTTCTTCAAACTCTGCCAATACACTTCTTATCTTAAGACACTCTTCCAAATAGTTATCTTGATTAGCATCCACTAATTGAATGTATTCCCCACGGCAAAATATCAAAGAATGGTTTTGATTATCCGATTTCCCATCCCCGAGTATTGGATTTCCAGAAAGTTTAATTCTATATTTAGGTTCGCGTTCTCCATTTTCCAAGAATGAGCAACTACCATCTATCAATACCGAATAATATGTCACTTCTCCGGTTTTCTCGTCAACTTCTTCATCAAGGCAGCTAATTTGAAGTTCGGGATATGCTCTCAATAAAAATTCCGTATTCTCTTTTTCTTCAGCAGTAAAATACTTCATCCTTTGCATGGAAGTAATGATTCTAAACTTTCGATGAGCCATGATTGCCGCTTGTTCAAGCTTGTCGTCGTCGCCACCAAAAATACTCAGATCCGGGTTTTCCACGTCAAATAGTAGTTTTATTGCTCTGACATAATTCATGAATCCGGAAATAGTTCTGTATAATGTTTGGGATCTCAATGAAGCCCAAATGCGTGTCCTGAGAATATACTCCGGAGTAGCCACTTTGAAACCTACTGAATAGTACTGCAAGTCGTCAAGTTTCTCCTTGTTAAATTCCGCTGAAGTTGAATCAGATTCAAACTCTTCTGCAAGCATTTTGGTGTCCTTAACAAAACAACTCCATTCTAATGGATGCAATTGCTTCAAATATTCAAGCATTGTCACGTGTGAGTATTGCTCTTCCTCCCTAATTATTTCTCGTAACGACAAGGTGATTTTCTCGCTATAGTGTGGAATCAAGACCGAGAACGACGGCATTAGGTGTACTGGTCCGACTTCAGGCATAGGTGTCGACAATGACTGGGCAAAAAAAGTAATACGTCTTTGAGCTTCCGATTGGCTTTTAAATAATGATGACTTGATTGATTGATCTTCTTGAGATACAAAAAAGATGGGTTCTTTTAAGATAGATCCCCCCTCAACTCCCGGAGTATCAATCAGCTTATAAATAAGTTTCTGCACATGCTCAAGAGAGATTAAATGCTCTCGATACATGGAAATTATAATGGAGTTCCATACTTGAGAAACTAGCAGTTTTGTCTTGATGTTTTTCTCATTCGACACTGATATAATTTTGGAAAAAATTCTCTTTGGTAATCTCGAAAAGATGTTTCTCCATGGAGTCCAAATAGACACACCAATGTAAAAGGACCTGCAGACTGAAAAAACCGTGTTCCAGATAATGTACCATAGATAAGTATCCAAAATAAACAAAACCAAATTAGTCAAGTAGATCAAGCCCAATACTATGAATGGCTGTCTTGAACAAAGCCAATTTCCCAACCATTTTTCTCCTGCGCAATTCATTCCCCTCATTGTGCTCAACTCACGAATGGGATCTCTCATGGAAAGTGTCAAGAATATGTATGATTCCAAGAATTTGGAAACAAAGATTGCAAACCACAATCCATACGATGCAATTTTGTCAGTTTCTGTGAGCAAGTAGAAGTTAGTGATGAATGATTGTTTTGGCAAGTATCTTCGATCACCACGCTTTGGAGTTTTAATAAAAATTTTGCCCAATGGAGTTATTGATAAGTAACAAACAATAAAGATGGAAAAAGCCAATTGTAATGATGCAATTGCAATCCCAACAGGCGTTTCATCCGTAAGCTGAGTGAACCCAAAAAAATAAATACTTGGTCCAATATTAAGGCAAAGCGATATCAACAAAAGCAAAACTCTTTGCATGATTGGTTGCGCCCCAGCCCATTTTCTAGGAATATAAGTAAATTCGAATATCAACCCTAACAAATCGATAATCAAAGCAACAGATCCAGCAAGAGACAATGCCGACATTCTCGCCTGTGTAGTTGGTGGGTTATCCAAAGATTGTTGATAATTGCTGGTGTACAAAGTTGGAGAGTTGTAAACACTGTAGAACCAAAACATCGATAAATGAATCACCCAAACTCGATGGAAATTAACAAGTACGTGAGACCAATTACGTTTTTCTTTAAATGTTTTGTAGAACGCCTTGTGCCATAAAACTTCGTTTAACCTTGCATACCTGTCGCCAGGTTGAAGGCTCATCAATTTAGTTTTTTTGTCTGATAAGACCAAACGTTCGAGTCCCTTGCTATACCAAAAAAGCTGGTTCATATCGTCATATCCAATAACGGATTCATGATCTTTATCGCGCCTGTGATACTTGCCATCAACAAGGACGTATGACTGGTCTCTATAGAACTTGTAAAGAGGGGTAATAATGTGATCCAAAAAACTCTCCGTTACTCTTGCGGAAGATGCACGAGGATCCAAGGAAAAGTAATAATCGTTGCAGCATTTGAATATAAAGCAAATACACTCGGGCATAAAGCGAACGTTGTTGGCTTCTCCCCAAATAAGTAAGTACAATGCCAACTGGGTTACTGCATCGGTCGGGGACAATTCTCGCATGTTATTAGACCATTGCTCCTCGGCTGCTTCTAGAGTAGGGACAGGTTCGTTTGAATCCTTAATTTTGCCATGCTTTACATTCTCGAATCCAACAAAGTCATCGATATCCATTTGGGCGGCAAAGTACCATTTTCGAAAATTGGCATTGATTCCGCCTATATAATCGGCATGCACCGATCTCAATGCTTGAGCTGGTCCCAATCTCGATGCTCTTGAGTCTAACAATCTCATCAAATAATCAAACATGTTTCTTGTGTTATCGAACTGAAAGCCAAAAATGCCAGTTAATTGCAAAAAAACCGACTCTATCTTTTCTCTAGTTATTGGCACACTCTCAACTGGGTTCCAAGCAGGATATGGATCACACTTATTGGAATATATGTCGTAAATGCCATTTTCGGCTAATGTTTCTCCAGGGTTCCTATAAGTATACGCCTTATCATCGGTATGTCCGATTTTCTCCACCTCGGCCCATCTCTTTGAGTCTACATTTGGCGTTTTGAACCCGCTTGCAGGGAAGGCTGAAGTATAAGCTTTAGGGTTTTTATCTTTTAAAAAACAACACCAGGGGGGTAGGGTGGTGGTGGGGGAAATGAAAATGAAATGTTAGTATCTTGTAACCAACCGCCCTATTTGCCTTTATCTAGCTACGGGTAAGTTTCATACTAATAGCCGTTGCAGTCCGTTTTAGTAGTTCAATAGGATCGGGGTCCTCTTTTACTCTCCTCTGAGAGTGGCTCTTCTTGTTTGGCATAGCACAGCGCCAATGTAATGACTATTGAAGGCTGACTTGTTACAAAGGAATCTATTCTATTTGGTTGTAAAAAAAGTTTAAGAAATGAAAAGTGAAGAAAATGCGAATCTTGTGGTGACGCCAACACTATCGAGCGGAGCGAGATAGTGGAGCAACACCGACTTGGTGAGTAGCTGGTGAGTAGCTGGTGAGTAGCTGGTGAGTAGCTGGTGAGTAGCTGGTGAGTAGCTGGTGAGTAGCTGGTGAGTAGCTGGTGAGTAGCTGGTCAGTAGCTGGTCAGTAGTTGGTCAGTAGCTGGTCAATAGCTGGAATTTACAGCTAGCTCAGCAATTAGCTCAGTAATTGGTCAGTATTTGCTCAAGAGAAATCAACTTTGTGCTAGAACATTGGTAATTGGACGAAAGGTGGGTTAGTGGTTAGCATGTGGTAGTATGTGGTGAGTATGTGGTAGTATGTGGTGAGTATGTGGTTATTAGTAGGTTAGTAGCTGGTTGGTAGCTGGAATTTACAGCTATCCCAGCAATTGGGTCAGTAGCGGAGTTCAGTGACTGGACTCAACAGCTTGACCCAACAGCTTGACTCTACAGCTTGACTCTACAGCTTGACTCTACAGCTTGACTCTACAGCTTGACTCTACAGCTTGACTCTACAGCTTGACTCTACAGCTTGACTCTACAGCTTGACTCTACTCCTGGGCTCATTAAACTCAGTCTATTCTAATACTATCTAATTAATCTTTATAAAAAGTAAATAAATTTTATATAAAAAAAGAACACTCTTTTAAAACTAAATTCTCCTTCTTTCCAGCTTTTCGATTTTTCACCCTTTACAGGCTAATGTTCAAAATTTTACTCTTCCTCTACAGATTCAATCTCCTCGTCTGTGTCTTCTCCTTCGTCGCCGATATTGCTTTTCCACAACAATGCTTTCTCCTTTATTCCATTGTAAACAATTCTATTTGGAGTATGTTTTCTCAAAAACAATGATGACTTTGTAATGCGGTTTTTTGCAGCCATCTTCAACAATTCCAGCTTTATCATATGTGGCTCAACGCCCTCACTCAACAAATTTGCAACCAATCCAGTTACAATCGGCGAGGCCATTGATGTTCCTGATAGGACTTGAGATTTGTCGTGGTTTTTTGCATCCACGCTCTTCACATATGCTCCACTAGCAAATAAATCGACACACTCACCCCAATTGGAGAACCCCGCTACCGAATCATTATAGTCGTCAATAGCACCAACAGTTATCGCATACTTTGAGCTCGCAGGACTTGTCATACATGCATTAATGTTCGAGTTGCCTGCTGCAACAACAAACAATAGCCCCGTTTTTGTTGCTTGCTCTATAGCTCTGTTTAAAACATGATTCTTATAAGCACCCAATGACAAGTTGGCGACACCTAGTTTTCCCGATTCAAGTCGGTGCTTCACAGTAAAGTCGATAGCAGACAAGATTGTACTTAGCGATCCCGCACCCTTGCTATTCAACGCTTTAACCTCAACAATATTGACATTTTTTGCAACCCCATACGTCGTGGAGCCAATAATACCAGCTACATGTGTTCCGTGTCCATTCGAATCCCCGGAACCTTCGTTTGTAAAGTCGTACCCTGGTAGCGCTCGACCTTGGAATTCTGGATGGTCAACTTCAACCCCAGAATCAATCACATATGCATTGACACCTTGACCCATAAACTCGTCATCAAAGATATACGGATACTGCTTGTTTGGCTTCATTCGTCTTCTTCGACTAATCCGAGCCAAATGGCGCGGGGCATCCTCCTGTATTCGGTAATCAAATGTCTTAAAGGTCAAATCTTCAGTGATTTCTTGAACCAATGGGCATCTTTTCAATCTGTCAATAATCTCTTTGGAAAACTTTCCCGAAAACCCCTTGAAATCTCCAATTGCAACTGAAGCACTGATTAGGTTCCGTACTTGTAAGTGTTTGGGGTACTTTAAATCATACGCCATAAAGTTGTCGAGAGATTCTGACGTTCTCAACGAAACAAAGTATGATTCATCTCCATAGGTTTGACCAAAAATTACAACTATAGCAAAAATATACCTTGCTAGCATCGGCAAAGCATCAGTTTTGATTTTAATTACGTTTTCCCCATTGCTTTCATATCGTCGGAAATCTCAAAAGTATTTATGGTATCCCAACTTTCTCCACATGGAGAGGTTTTGGGGAAAGCATAACGAAAAATGCTTATATCAAAAATTTTGCCATGTACGTACAAAACCGGGTCATTAGCTGAAACAATCACTGGGGTTCGATATCTTTCCAATATCTTTCCGATATCTTTTCAATATCTTTTCAATATTTTTTTAATCTTTTTTTTTTTTTTTCTTATTTCCAAATTCATGTTTTTTTTTTTTTTGTTATTTTTTCAATTTAGGAAAGTCAATCAAACTCTGTTGTGTAGACCATACCCTCTTCAAAGACATGGAAAGTGTCCAAAGTTGCAGCAAAGCCAATTACCTAAAAGAGATAAAGTTTGGTTTTGTAAGTACTTTGTATTTACCGTTACATAGTGGAGAAAGGAGGAAATGGGGAGAGAGGTGGAGGTGAAACGTGAAATCGATTGCGAGATGGCAAATACAGATTTTCATTTCCGCCATATTAAAACATGAGGCTTGTTTACGCTCTATCCTTCCTTGTACTGACTAATGTCAAAGCCATTATTGGCTATCCTATTCACCGTTCCAGGACGGAAAGCAAAACTTGTTTCTGGAATCCTATCTCTCGTTGCTACGTTAACTACCTCAAACTTGATATTTTCTGGCTCAATTCCTTCTGTCAACATGTTCGCGACAAGACCTGCTACGACAGAGCTTGCCATTGACGTACCAGACATTATCAGTGCACGATATGTGTTTCCAATATCAACGCTCCTCACGTATGCTCCACTGGCGAATATATCCACGCATGATCCCCAATTTGAGAAGCTAGCAATTGCATCATCGTGATCATCAATGGCACCCACTGTAATTGTGTAAGGTGAGCTCAGTGGCGTTGTTTTGCAAGCATCAATATTTGAGTTTCCAGCTGCTACCACAAACAACAATCCTGTTTGGCTAGCATGTTTAATAACACTCTCTAAAACCAGATTTCTAGCGGTAGTACCAAAGGATAGGTTGGCAACACCATTGCGCCCACTTTTCAGTCTGTGAACAACTGCAAACTCAATAGCACTTATAACAGAACTCAAAGTGCCAAATCCACCGGAATCCAAGACCTTGATATCTATTACTTGAACTTTTTTGGCAACCCCATAAGTTTCTGAACCAATTATCCCCGCTATATGAGTCCCATGTCCATTTTTGTCCCCTGGACCTTCACCAGTAAAATCCTTTCCTGTACGTGCACGTCCTTGAAATTCGGGGTGACCAATATTTACCCCAGAGTCAATAACATATGCATATACATGTTTACCAACATTATCATCGTCATAAATGAACGGATACTTGCGATTTGGATTCATTCTTTTCCTCCTACTCAATCGAGCTAGATGACGTGGAGCTCCAGCTTGATTTTTAACATCAAATGACCGCACTACCACATCCTGCGAGATTTCATCCACCAATGGACACGCCGCAAGAGCTCCGACCGCTTCGTCTGAAAAAGTGCCGCTAAAACCACAGAGATCGCCAATCTGGAAAGTCTGCACTATTGCTTCTTTGATCTGGAATTCTTCTAGTTTCTTAACCTCATATTCAAGGAACGCCGCTAGCGTCACATCCGGCTGAAGTGTAATTACATATGATTTTGCCAATTGCGAGAGCGAAAGTTTGGTAAATACTACAAGAAAATAAATGCAGATGCTGTATTTCATTGCAGTTGCCCGTTAAGAACAAAAAACATGTCTCAAAAAAAATCTCTTGATAAAGGTTGCAAAAAAAAAAAAACAAACGCATACAAAAAAAATTGCTGCAAAACATAAGGTAGCGCATTATACATTAAATAGTCTAACAAAATTATTCATTATATATGTACAAACTTGAGTCAATAAACTGATATTTGTATTGTATTGTATTTATTTATTTTTTTTGTTTTAGTATTAATTACTTACTTTTTTGGCCCTTTTAGAGTGATTTGAGAAACTCAGCCCTAGACTCTTCGGGAAGTCCTTCGATAAACTCTTTCATAGCAGAAAAAGCAGCCTTAGGGTTGGAAGTCATTGATTTCATCAATTCAGAGCGTGAAGACTCTACTGCTAATTCATCGAGTTTTTTGGACAACTTTGGATGATGATCTTCAATCCAAGTGCTCACAGCTTGATCGTCATCATAGTCTACTGTCGACATCCAACTCTTGAGTCTTGCTACTTGCTCCAATTTGTTTGCATGTTTAACCTGCTCTCCAATTAATTTCAAAACATATTCTTCGTTTAATCTTCTACGCAATCTCCAGAAAAAGAAACGTCTAGCATTAACCCATTCAATCTCCTTTTTGATCACACCTTTGGCCAACATACGACCAGATCTATCGTGCAAGTCAGCAAATTGTACTGCTACTTGTGCATAGATTGGGAGTAATAGTTTTTCTCTGGCTGTCAATTTGGAACTGATGGTAGAATGCTCGTCGGATGATAAGTCTGGATCATTCAATTTCTTCTTGAGCTCGGCATATGTTGGGTCTATTCTCTGCATGGTACTCAACAACTTATCTCTTCTGTATTTGATACCAACCATGCCCTCTGGTTCCAAAACACCTGCCCTTGAATCAACATCAGCATACATTTCCATCATATCGGCATTGATAGTCGGATCAACCACAACCCAAGAACCACCTCTCAACTCACCATTTGGAGGAATGTACGTAAAGATTGGCTGTTTGAAATCAACCAACGCATCAACGATAAAAGAACCGTACTTCAAAACCTCGTTATACATGTCCCTTTGACCACCTGAAAATCCTCTCCAATTGGCCAAAATTATCAATGGCAATTGCTCACCATTATTAAAATCGTTAATTGCTTGGGCGGTTTTAAACGCCGAGTTAGGAAACCAAACTTGACCTGCTTCCTGAATCAATGTCTCTGTAGAATCAGGGTTGGCGGGGTCGGCAGGTATCATGTTTTCAACTGTTCTAGTTTCAACTCCAATCACACCAATGGGTATTCCTCCAAGACGGGCCCTACCAACTACAACACCTCTGGCCCATCCCGACAATGTTTCCTGAAACGAGCCCTTATCAAACAACCCGGACTCGAATTCTCCTTCGCTTGTTTGTTTTCCTTCAATCATCCAACGCACGTCAAAGGCCTCGTTTTTGGGAGGATAATAAGTTACGTCTCTATCCCATGGATCTTCAGAATCTAAAATTGGCACAGGCTTTCCACGTTTTGCTGGAACAAACGAAAGCCACTCCAAAATTTTTTCAACACCTTCCAAGTCGTCGCTAGCGGTCAAGTGCGAGACACCATTCTTGTACATGATCTGAGTACCACCCAATTGTAAATTCGATGAATAAACATCTCTTCCTAACAATTTGTTAATGGCCGGTGCTCCTGTTAAAATAATGGGTTGGCCCTCAATTTGAATTGCTCTTTGACCAAGCCTTACCAAGTATGCACCAATTCCAACCGATCTGCATGTGACTAAGGTGATTGTAAAAATGTCCTTATAAGCTCTTGAAGTAGCTCCTGCAATTAAACCTGAACCTTTAAGGCACTCGACACCCAAACCATCTTCAGCACCAATTATAGTCTTAATAATGTAACGCTCTTGCCCGTCTTCAACAACTCTCTCAGTAACAACTGTGTCCCCTTTGCCATCTTCATCAATTGCTTTCTTGGCTGCAGGTGTCAAATACAAGTATCTGAAACCCTTTCCTGGTGAACCTTCATCTCTCCATGCAACTTGAAACAATGGAATCAATTCTTCGGCAACACCGATTCTAGCTCCCGAATTGGCTGAAAGGTAAATTCTTGGTACTCCTAATTTTCTAGCCAAATCTGTACACTTGTTGAAATAAATATCTTCTTCGGGCCCAAAGGAACCAATCTTGTGAGTAATATCATTAGCAACAATGACAAATTGACGTCCACGTGGGTACTCTGGGGTCTTCGCCGTGACCAAAAAACCAACCATACCTATTTTGTTGGAACCCGGCTCTCTCTGCAAAGCTGTTAATCCACCATTATCGTCTGCAATCAATTCCAATGTAGAAAAAGCATCCTTTGGTGCCTTTTTGCCAAATTTCTTCCACTGCGAAAGATTAGCTTGACGGAATAACTCAGGGAAATCGTAAACATATGTGGTTCCCATATTGTGTGCCTTGTAACGTTTTGGTTGTAATGACTCTTTTACAGGGTAGCTAGTTGAAATTGGTCTCAAATGCATTGAACCTGGCTTACCAATAGACTTGAATATCCAATCTCCCTTTGGATTCTTCACTTCCATATAAAGATCAGACTTGACAACATAACCGGAAACGTTGTTAATGATAGCACGGAGAGGGAAGGCAACACCGTTATGATCGGCACACACAATCCTAATTTCAGCTCCAGTCACCCTCAATCTCCACAATCTTCTACCAAATCTTTCCAAGAATGATCCAAACGCAGCTTCAACCTCAGCCGGTTGAATGTTGAAGACATTTGAAAAATTGATGAAAATGTGGTTCAAGTCTGAGTTTGACGTGTCAATAACTTCCAAAGTGTCCAAAATATCATTCATTAACCTATTTGATTCAGCAATCAAGTACTCAGAAATACTAATACCATTCTTGATTACACCTGTTCTGATAATACCTCTGGTAAAAAATCTCTTATCGGATGGTGCATTCTTACCAACGGCTTCGTAAACATGAATGTTTCTGTTATTTGTAAAGATTGGTTTGATGTCAAAATTAGCTAATCTTCCTAATTCCAACTGGAAGGCCAAGGCAGGCTCAATGTGTCTAATAACTTTGTTCTCAGAGTAGCCGGGGCCGGTAAACGTATAGTATTTTGGATAAATACCAACTGTATTAGCAAACACAAACGAAATACGACGGACTCCAGCATTCAACAAGTCGTCTCTATACTCTTCAATTATTTCGTAAACTCTTCCCAAGTACTCTTCTTCACTTGCGTATCCATCAGTGCTAGTGATAACAACATTCAACACATTCAACAATTCGGGATGCTGTTGGCTAGCTTGAAATGAAATGGCATCACGCGGTTCAATTTTCTCCAAAGCAGCACTCACCATTTCATCAGCATCGTCAAGATGCCTACAAGGAACTAATATACCAGTTCTTGTCATGTGCTCTGTCTTTGAATCCACGACAAATGACAAGTCCGACACGGATGCAGCATGCTTCATGACTGTGCTATCCTTTTCCACTGCTGGCTGCAGGATAGTATTGAACCTGGAACTAGATACGTTTGACAAAGTAAACTTCCATTCAATTATAGGTAAACGGTCGTGGAAGTGATAATCTATTTTGCCCAACTCGTAAGCACGATAAGACCGTCTCACATAAACTTCCGCTGCAGCAATTGCAACCCATTCATCGCTATTGACAAAGAATTGGGATAACACGTCAAACACAGTATGCTTTGAGTCAACAACCTCTTGAATGATCTCTAATTTGGGTTTCCTATGATTAGCATATATTTCACCATAAGAAGTTTCCAAAACAGCAGACCTCAAAATGTGTTCCAATTGATCTGATCTTTCCTTGATTGAAGGGAGAGAGCACTGGATCAAAATTTCTCTTGCTTTCAAAGTTACTTTTGAACAGCAACGCGAGTCCAAAGTAACTAGTTTCTTTAAAGAATCTCTGATAGACAAGGCACTAACTGAATTGGATTGCAACAATGGTTGGTACTCTTCTAAAATAGCAATAATTAAGTTGTTCTTAGCTGAAACTCTTGAATGGGACAAACATATGTTGATCACCTTCTTGAGGTCTGCTTTATTCTCGTCTCTTAACTGCAATACAACGTCATCTTCTCTCACTTTATCACCACCAAACAAGCATTCTACATCATAATATTCATTTAGTAAGGATGCAAAGAAATCGTGTTCATGCTCAGTTAACCCGTTTTGATATCTTGAAGCAATAGTGAGTAATGGAGCAACCATATCTTCCAAAATGCCGTCGTGTGCTGCTTCAGCAAGACACTTATTAATTTGCTTAATAATTTGACGCGCAGGAAAGTCGGCGTTTCTCGATTGTGTTCTTTCAATCAAGGAGGTTAACGATTCGTTCAATTTTGCAGGCAATCTAGAATGCAAAGCGGAAATACATTGCTTCCACTCTGAAAATGGCAACTCTTTGTTTTTCAAAACTTCAACAATCTTTTTCAATGTAGAATTCATAATGACTTGGTTATCGTAACCGGCCAAGATGTTTTTCAAAATCGAAGAGTAATGAAGGAATTTGTGTGCTGGTTTTGATCCTCTCACATTTGGTTCTCCCATTTCAGGTAATGTACCCTCAAAAGGTTTTGCATGCTTGACTTTACTTGGATCATCCAATGCCAAGATAGCGAGCATATCACCGGCATTGACTGTAGAGCCCGGCTGCTTAATCAACTGTACAACACCATCGTCTTGTGCAATTAAAGGCATGCACATTTTCATGACTTCCACTTCCGCGTATGGTTGACCTGCATTGACATGGTCTCCACTCTCAACCAAATACTTTACCAATTTACCAGGTGACGGAGTACGCAATTGCGTCGGATCGTTTTCGGCTTCTAATAAGCAAGTCTTTCCATCAACAGACAATCTTGTTGCAGCAGCTTCTTCCTTCCAATATACGGAATGTGATTTACCACCCAATGCACACAACAAACCACCATCAGATAAAGGTCGCGCACCAACTGTGCACCTAGATCCATTAAGAAATAAGGTGTACTTGTCGTCCGAAGATTTTGTTGCAGTGAACTTGTACCGTTCACCCTCGTATATAAACTCAAAGGGAAAAATCGTCCTTAGCAAATCCTTATGAGGCACTTGTCCTCTTTCAAGTGATTGAATATATTCCTTCTTTTCTTCATCCGCCTGCATGTGAGCTTTTGCTATAGCACCACAAACAACAGCAACAATTGGATCTGGTCTTTCCGCAGTTAATTTTTTACTAATCAACTCATCTAACCAACCGGTAGTTATCTTGTTATCTTCAAAGTCTGGAGTCTCTAATAACTTGATCAAGTATTCAACAGTTGTTCTAAAATCTCCTCGAATACTCAATTCTTTCAATGCAACAACCATATGTTTTCTTGATGCTTGACGGTTCTCACCAAATGCAAAAATATGACCAAATTGAGAGTCAGAAAAAGAATGAATGGAAGATTGATTACCAACTGAAAAATAACCCCACACATTGGATGATGATCTAAAGTTTAACTCATGTAACGAACCTCCACTTGGTTTGAAACCTTCACCTGGGTCTTCTGAGGTTATACGACAAGCAGTACAGTGACCTTTTGGTGTTGGTCTTCTTTGACTAACTAATGAATTTTCGGTGCTGAATTCAAAATCAATTTCTGTTGCAGAATGGGGATCTGCTCCGTAAAGTGTTCTGATATCTCTTATTCTATGCATTGGAATACCCATAGCAATCTGCAATTGAGCTGCAGGTAAATTGACACCTGTAACCATCTCGGTAGTAGGATGCTCCACTTGTAATCTCGGATTTAATTCAAGAAAGTAAAACTTGTCATCTGAATGCGAATACAAATATTCCACAGTACCTGCACTTACATACCCTACCAACTTACCTAGTCTGACAGCAGCATTTTCCATTTTGGTAAATGTGTCTTTTCTCGCAATTGTTACGGGTGCTTCCTCAATAATCTTTTGATGTCTTCTTTGGACAGAGCAATCTCTTCCGAATAAAGAGATATTTGTACCGTACTGATCAGCCAATAACTGAACTTCCAAGTGTCTGGCATCTCCTGCTAACTTCATAATGAAAATTGGCGATCCGGGTATTTCATTAGCAGCTTGGTTGTACAACTGCGTAAAATTTTCTTCATTATCAACCTTTCTAATACCTTTACCTCCACCACCTTCCGAGGCTTTAATCATTACTGGGAACCCAATCTTGCGAGCCTTTTCTAACCCATCTTCTGGGCCTGTGCAGCATCCCTTGGCATAAACTTCATCGCTAACTGAGACCAAATGGGTTTTGTCATCTATGAATACTTCGTTGACTCCAGAACCTGACCATGGAATACAAGGAACTTGGGCATGCTGAGCAACAATTGTTGATGAGATTTTGTCCCCCAACGATCTCATTGCGGAACCGGGAGGTCCAATAAATATGATTTTCTTGGGAGAAGCGGCCAATCTCTCTGGTAATAATGGATTTTCCGACGCATGACCCCAGCCAGCCCAGACAGCATGTACGTTTGTATTTTCGGCAATTTCTACAATCAAGTCAACATTGGCGTAGTTATTATTGTTTGTACCACCAGGTACCTCTACAAACTGGTCTGCCATTCTGATATACTCTGCATTTGCTTCCAAATCTTCTGGTGTTGCCATAACAGTAAACTGGATGGTTCTTTCGTCTCCAAAAGTCTCATAAGCCCATTTCCTTATTGACCTTATCTCCTTCACGGCGGCAATACCATTATTTGCAATTAAAACGCGAGTTATGACTGTATGACCCTGGTGAGACTTGACAAAGTCGGTGACTTTTGAAGGTTCCGCTTCGGAAACGGAGTTCAAGCCAAGAAAGTGCGGTGCTAGCGTGGAGTGTAATAGTGAATAGTCCAGCGAAATGCTCGGTGTAGGTGAGAAATTGGACATTATTTTAGAAACCGTTTTATGAAATGACGCGATGCCGATAAAACCTAGTCGTCGGAGTAATATGTTTTTGTATAGTTTGATGCGTGTTGAAGCTAAAAATCTGCTGGAAATTTTGTTAGTAAAGCATCTCATATATAAGACAGAGACCGCAACTCAATCGCCAATCGCCAAAACGCAATGTGACCAAATCAATCGCCAATTACTCTCCTACTAAAGCCCGTCTGGTTGAAAAAATTGGGGTTTTTTTTTCAACTTAAATCTTATTATGCAGGACACGTTTTGGCAGATGGAAAGGATAAACCTTTTTCCACTGTTGCAAGTTACCAAACCCACAACCTTAAACCTCTTACTTTTGGTAGGTTCTGGTTCTGTCAGCTGAAATCTCATGTAACATACCTCTTGATAAAAAAACGAATTTTCAAGTCTCAACCGTCCAAAAAATATTCAAAAAATCGGGTTACCCTCGACTTGTAAAATTTTTTATAAACACCAATATATAGCCCCTATTTGTATATACAGTTTCGACTATTTAACTGGGAATCACGGATAGAGGTGGGAGGGAGCAAATAATCTGTAGTTTGTATGTCGGACACACGGGTTTGATTGTGAAACCTATTGTTGTTAGCCAGCTTTAATACGTAACCACAGACACACAACCAGAAAAGAAGAACATTGGATGTAGATATCTCTATATATATTTTTACACTAATATTTTTGTATGAATCCCTATATAAGCCAAATAAACCTAAAGGGTAAAAAGCTATCCTTTGTGTTACTTTTGTTTTTCTTTTTTTTTTTTCTTCCAGCTTTTGCTTTTTGCAGTTAAGAGGCTAGTGTATGTATTAGGTCCGAACCCAGGGGATCTACATTTGAGATGTTGGACCGCGTATGAGCTGTGTGTATTTTACTGACTACGGAATCAAATCCCCCAATTGTATCACTACGTCAGTACCGATAGTTATAGTACCATCATCTAGCTTCTCTCATAAGATTCTTTAATAACCTCTCTTCGGACTTTTCTCTCTCACCAATCTTTTTTTTTTTTTTGTTTTCTCTTCTTAAACGCTTCGCGAGTTGTTTTTTTTTTTGTTGAGTTACCTATAGTCCTGCATATCGATGGATTATTCGACTATGTAACGTATTACATAATGTTGATATAAGAAAGAACTACAAAATTTGCAACTCTTCAAAGGTGTGTCGTCACCTTTCAATGAATAAATGTACATATATACAAGGAGCTCTACAGGTGGCTCAACATTATTGTTTCAAGGAGCTCTATAGGTGGCTCAACATTATTGTTTCAAATAGCTGTTACAAGTTTTTACGTATATCCATCTTGATGGTATGTTTAGTGATTTTGTATCGAAGAACCACTAACCTAATCTACACATATCAGTAACCAGCTACACTAGTGTTGATTGTTTCTACTCTCAAAATTTTGCACCCAACATTAAACTATCAAATTGGTTTTTCATTTTTGGTTTTTGGCTTTTTGTTTTTTTGTTGTGTGTACACATTTTATATGTTGGGTCAATTTTTTTTCCTTCAATATTGCGCAATAAAATCGCACACGACAAATTTGCAAAAATATAGGTGTAATTGATTCAAAGTAATTATAGACTTTGAACTAGTTAATCATGTAAATTGCTGTATATATTGCCAATCTGTTTCCCCACTTGCCTTTCATAATAATGGTTCGACACTACGACACTATGACACTATGACACTATCGACCAGAGCGAGATAGTGGAGCAACACTTGTAGACACTATGACACTATCGACCAGAGCGAGATAGTGGAGCAACACTTGTAGACACTATGACACTATCGACCAGAGCGAGATAGTGGAGCAACACTTGTAGACACTATGACACTATCGACCAGAGCGAGATAGTGGAGCAACACTTGTAGACACTATGACACTATCGACCAGAGCGAGATAGTGGAGCAACACTTGTAGACACTATGACACTATCTCGCTCTGCTCGATAGTGGAGCAACACTTTGTAAACACTATCTCGCTCTGCTCGATAGTAGAGCAACACTGTGTAGCTTGTAGGTAGTTTTAGTTCAAAATGAGTTTTGCTTGCCTTTCATAACAACGGTTCAAATCTAGGTAGTCTTGGCTCAAAATGAGTTCTGCTTTCTTTTTCTACTTCTTCTGTGCTACCCCTTTGAGTGGCAACACTATTTACCGTGAAAGGTGTGAATTCATCCTTATGAGCCCCGTATTCTACCTCGTTGGAAGTATTTCTCGATTGAATGCTTGTGAGGTTTTGAATCAGCACTGGTGCTTGAGTTATCACTTCTAATTCTATTAGCGAATCGCTATTTCTGAAAATCTTTTCCAAATCTGAATCAGTACGTACTATACTATTCAAGTACCGTATCTCTAAAACCAAATCATTCAATTTAAATACAGCTCTGGCATTTTCAATGAGCTCAAAATATCGAGGTGTTGCCGAGCTCAGGAAGGGATAAAGAAACTCTAATCTTTGGTTTAGAAACTTCAATACAATTTTCTTCTTCTTGTTATTATCATTGACAATTGGTGGAATCAGCAAAGGCTGCGGCTGCGGCGGCGCCACGCTCTTCTTCAATGGTGTAGGAGAAACTGACATGTGCTTGCTTGGCGAAGAAGAAGACGACGACGACAAAGAAAAAGAAGAAGAAGAAGAAGAAGAAGTCTGAGATTGCAACTTTGAGGCAACATCAGCTAACTCCTTTAGGGTTGCCGTGTTTCTTAAAGGTAAACCAAACGGAGTTGAATACTTGCTAATGAGTGGATACTGCTTGATAATTGAGACATACAAGATCTCACACATAGGGAAAATCACCTCATCGAATCCGAAATCTTTCGCTATGCCACCCAATAACGTATATAGTGAAATCACAGCTACCTCATCATTAACAACCTGCGCATTTTTCTCCAAGTCCAACTCTTTGAAAAACTTTGCCAAAGTAGCCTCTTGTTTAAACTTGTTTCTCAAATACTCAACCGATTGTTGGTTTACACCCTCAAATGAAATTTCAAATATGTACCCAACACATGTCGCCATAACCAGTTTACCCAAATGATGGAGATTATTGGATCGGCGGTCGGTAATAGCCTCATTACACGTTTTGGATCTCTCGATTTTGTTCAAGATGTTTTTTTTGGCAGTCTCAGCCAGCACACTATTACTAGCTTTCATTTGTGACAATATATTGGGTAATGGCGGTAGTCTAGGTCTGGTCAAGTTATCTATTACACCCTTTGCACAATCGCTAGACGAGAATTGCTTCGATTTGTCGTAGTTGACATCGTAAACATTATCCTCATGTTGTACTATATCTGAAAAAAACTCATTGCTTGGCTCATCTTGTCTTATGTGGTGATCTTCAGTTTTTTTGCTTGCAACATTTCTGGCCTCTTCTTGTTGCTTCTCTTTCCTATGGATTCTTTTTCTATTCCTTCTTACACTTTGCACAGCGGCTCTAACTAATTTGTCGAAATCCTCGTTATACAGCTCGCTGTAGTGAAACTCTGTCCTCAATATCTCCGCTACTCTTTTTATATCCTGTTCTTGTTCGCTTGCCTTTCTCCGACTCAAGTCTAAGGTGTCTATTAATTCTAATCTTCGAGCACTAAATCTCTTCCACTGCCTGTCATCACAAAAGTTCAATTTATTCCGTATTGCATGGGTGACTCCCATTTTCGATATACGGTCCAACGATAAATCCTTTCTATTCGTAGGACTCCGTATTTCAATTCTAACATCCATTTCATTACTCTCAATGTTGGCACCACACCTTAACCTCTGTAAGTTTGTTGTGGAACTTGTTGTGCAGCTTTGTTATTTATATGACTAATGACTCTGAATCAACCAAAGTCATCTAAAAAAAAAAACGCACCAAAAAAAAATAAATAATGTATTGATATTTGGATCTCAAATTATATATTGCTGCAAAATGCAAAAAACTTGGACGAGGTGCAATAAAAAGTTGCCGATTATTGAAAATGACTTTAACTTTTCATTCATTTCCCTTGTGTGACTTTAACTTTTCATTCATTTCCCTTGTCTAAGCCTCATCACCGAATTCAAAGGGCCTATCTGCTTTACCATTTACCATGAGCTGTTCTTCGTTATTACACTTTTATTCTAACGGTTTCGACTTGCAAACACTAAAGTCAGTTTTTCTACAAATATTTTTCCCAAAAAAAAAAAACAACAAACAAACAAACACTTTCTTTCCGCTGGAGTTTATGCAATGCAATTGAGTTTTTACCATCTTCAATGGGATATCTATAATAAATAAGTTTTGTTGCTTGGTTGAGTACCAATTGAGATTCTCGTATTTTTTCAAAGTTTGCAACTTGTTCGTCATATTACACTACCCACATCGAACTAAATCAACCAATTTGGTAATTCTTTAAATTAAGCGCGCTTAATTTTGAAAAGAGAAGAGATGGATTCTCTTATCAGTGACCAGACACGACTCCTCCTACTAAATAAATAAACAGGCTAATAAATATTATATAGAGATGGGTCCAAGTGGGATAGACTTTGGTTCCCTATCATTTGTTGTTATTGCTGTTTCTGTTGCCGTTGTTGAGGGAAAACTTTGATAACTCTAGGGACCCTACCCTAGCAGGTAAACCACCACCAACTTTTTTTCCTCCTCCGCCTCCACCCTCTCCTCCAATAGCATTGTATACAGTTTTACTAGTGTTTATTCTTGCACATTTTTATTTATTGACGATACCATTCTTTACATAATGACTCTTTTATTATACCATCTTGAATATTCAAGAAAACCCTTCTTTTCATGATGACTCTTTTATTAGTAGGGTAGCGCAACACTACAAATATGTATCTACTTAGCTTTTCTTTTTTTCCCCCGGCTAAAATTTGAAAATTTTCAGCATCTGGGGACATTTCACCTTTTTTAATCTACTCTTCTTTTTCAAAATAGAACTTCACTTAGTTATCAAACAGCATGTCAAAGGGAAAAGGTATGTCGACAATATCATTGAAACTACAATTGGCTGGTTTTTTTTTCTTTCCTCAGCAACTGGAGAATATAATACCTCTTTCTTAATATTTTCCCCAAGGGGCCCTTACATGGTACTAGAGTTACCCAGTTTGTCACTAATGCCATTGAAATGACGATTAGATTCGATTTTCATTGCTCCTCAAAAGTTTCATGTACTGACCTTCAATTTTTTTTTTTTTTTTTAGTTTTAATTGCATACTCAGGTGGTTTAGATACCAGTGTTATCCTTTGTTACTTGGTTGAACTCGGATATGAGGTCATTGCATTCATGGCCAATATAGGTCAAGAGGAAGATTTCGAAGCTGCTGAGAAAAAAGCTTTAGCAATTGGTGCATCAAAGTTTATTCTTGCTGATGTGCGTAAAGAATTTGTTGAAAAAGTTTGTTTTCCTGCTATTCAAACCAATGCTATCTATGAAAACACGTATCTTTTGGGTACTTCATTAGCCAGACCTGTTATTGCAAAAGCCCTCATCCAAGCTGCTGAAGAAAATGGATGTTTTGCAGTTAGTCATGGTTGTACCGGAAAAGGTAACGATCAAGTTAGATTTGAATTGAGTTTTTATGCTTTGAAGCCAGATATTGTGGTCATTGCTCCATGGAGGGATCCTGCATTCTTCAACAGATTTGCCGGAAGAAATGATTTGTTGGAGTATGCAGCTTTGAAAAATATTCCGGTTTCACAGACCAAAGCAAAACCATGGTCGACTGACGAAAACTTGGCTCATATTTCATTTGAGGCTGGAATTTTGGAGAACCCCAATACCACCCCTCCAAAAGATATGTGGAAATTGACAGTTGATCCAACCGATGCCCCAGACAAGCCTGAACATTTTTCAGTTGTTTTTGAAAAGGGTTTGCCTGTTAAATTGATACTAGATGATCAAAAGAAAACTATAACTGAACCTGTTGAGTTATTTACCGAGGCTAACGCTTTGGCCAGAAGAAATGGTGTTGGTAGAATTGACATTGTTGAGAATAGGTTTATTGGTATAAAATCAAGAGGTTGTTACGAAACCCCAGGATTGACTATTTTGAGAAATACTCATATCGACTTGGAGGGATTGACTTTGGACCGTGAAGTGAGAGCTATTAGAGATCAATTTGTTACTCCAACTTGGGCCAAGATTTTGTACAACGGCATGTATTTTACCCCAGAAGGAGAATATGTTAGATCTATGATCCAGCCTTCTCAAAACACGGTGAATGGTGTTGTTAGAGGTGCTTGTTATAAAGGATCTGTTACAATTTTGGGTAGATATTCAGACACAGAGAAATTGTACGATGAAACAGAGTCTTCCATGGATGAGCTCACTGGATTCTCACCAGAAGACACTTCTGGTTTCATTGCAGTTCAAGCTATCAGAATCAAAAAGTACGGTGAAGCTGCCAGGGAAAAAGGTGCTCGCTTAGAGCTTTGAGTGAGTGAGTGAGTGGTGTTAATGAGGAGGGATTAGTTTGTCCTTTTTACATAATTTGTACATTTTTATTTTACCTTTTTTTTTTTTAAAAAAAAAAATTACAGTCATTACTATAGTTTGTCTTTCCAAACTTGCAATTGGCAAATAAATTCGGAGGGGTTTCCCACTTGTTTAGGAATGCTTCTCTTTGCTACTTGATTGCTCTTACTCAACTCATGATGTCGCTCGAGGTGCTTTATCCACGAGTTCAAGACTTGTAAGGCAACTTCTTTTGAGCCGGCGTCCTCTAACAACTCCTGTTCATGGGCATAATAATAAGCGGCACTCAACCAAATTACTTTGTTGAACATTGGGAACCTGAATTTAGCTGGTACCTTTGTTTTCGTCTCTACATCGTATATTTTCAACTGCATTGTCATATCTTTTAGCGTTAGATAGTTGCCACCATAAACGACCGAGTCTTGAGGTGTGTGAACACTATGTATCCAACCGCTCGGTATTATAAATAAATCACCTGGTTGTAAAGTAATTTTGAATCCTCCCAGGGGGAAAACACGTTTTTTGTTCTTTATCACAGAATACTCAGGAAACCAAATAAAGTTTTGCTTAGGCTCCAAACACCACGAGGTGTATAGTTCTAAATTGATATCGCTTGGAGGAAACATTAAAAAGGTTTTGCAACCTTTTAGGACAGTATAGTAAACAGAAGTGCCACCAAAATCAATATGGAAATCAGTGTAGCAATCCTTCACTGACATGAGACAGTACTTGGTCACTTTGCTTCTTTCTTGGTCATCGTTGGGGTCCCATACCTTGTCTACAATATCCATATCGCGCACCATTTGCGGCCGCTTGAAACCAGTGCCCAACTTTGCAACTTTTGAAATCTCTAGCGATATAACGTTGCGTATTCTGTCTCTATACTGCGGATCTGTATTGAAATATTTCCGCCACTGATTCAATTTCCACGCAGGCGAGACACTTTGCTGGGAAATGACATCCATTACTTCCACGGGCATGTCTTCACCACAGCATTGTGTGATAAAATCAACGGTCAAATCCTCTCGATTTAGCGGTAGTTCCATACCGACAACGGAGAGGTCTGCTTGTGGGATAAGAACCGGCTTAAGAATTTTGGAGTTTATCACATCTGCCTTGGTAAGATGGTCTTGGATGCTTATATCTGGCGAACCTTTGAACTCTAGGAAATTGGATAACTGGAAATGGGAGGATTTGTCTATGGCAATTGTTTCTCCCTCGTTTAGCGCCACATAGTCAATCGATATCCTTGATCTTTTAGATTTGCGTTTCAAAACAGAGGGTCCTTGGGTCTGGCTGCATTTAGAACAATGATACGAGACAAAGTTGCCTATTTCGTAATCAGGTATCTTTAAGCACTTTATATGAAACCATTGATTGCATTTTGTGCATTGGATCCAGGTAACTTCACCATCTTCATCACCACCGTCAAGCAATCCATTCTCACTTGCCACGCACAATGGACATATATCTGTGGACCGTGCCATTGAATGCATATTGTACCTATCTACCAGAAATTGATGAGAATTTGATTTGATCATATAAGAATGCAAAAAAAAAAAAAAAAAAAATAAAATACAAAGTGAAAGTTTGATAAGCTCTTTTTCTGTATGGTGAATTTACAAGATTGAAAAATACAAGTCCAAAGGTAAGTATGGTTCTTATTACAAAGAGATTGGTCGGTGGTACTTGGAAGAAGCTGTTTGTGAGAAGAGCTGTTACAAGATGGCTCACATCTATATCTAAAGAAGCAGATGAATGTCGTCAGCAACAGCGGTTTCTAGAGGAGTATAAGATCCGGACTATGTTGGAGCAACCTATATTCCACTATGCTGCAAGACCGCTACCCCAGTTACTGATTAATCAGCTATACAGACAATCTGAGAATTTGCTGCCCAATTTTATACTACAAAATGCTCGGGAAACAATTGAGAACTTGCTCGTCTTCAATGCCAGGAGAATAACCGAGTTTCGCAAGCTCCCGTACCTTGTTGTATTGAATCCTTCGATTCTGGAAAGCTATGAAACTTATCTTCAGCTGATGAGCTCATTGCTAAAAGCAAGTTTGTACTATCCACATACTTTGGAAGAAAACACGGACTTTACTGAGAATGTTTTATCCAAATTCATCAACATACACGCAGATACCTTGCCTAGTTTGTCGAGGGGGTTTGAGGAAGTGAGCAATCTATTATCAGCAGAGCAAATAAAGAAATTCTTGGACGAACATTTGAAGGAGCGGATCAGAATGAGACTCATTGCTCATCAGCATGTGACATTGACTAAATCACTCGGTAGTGATGACGCCCATGCATTTGTTCCAGGTGGTAAATATAATGGTGTGATAAAACAACTAGACATATGCGATGTTATCAAAAAAAACGCAGAATTGGTAAATGATATTACAATGATGAAATATGACCAGTCTGTGCCAGTTGTGATCAATACGATTAACACAACGGAAGCAGCCTTTCCACCATCTTCTACTTCCAATGACGAAGCTTTGACATTCCCTTATATTGAATATCACCTCGATTACATTCTTATGGAACTATTCAAGAACTCATTTAGGGCACACATAGAAAATAGGATTTCAGACCACATCCAAGTAACTGTTTCCATATCGCAAACAGTTCCAAAGACAATGGAGATAAGAATCAGAGACAGAGGCAATGGGATCCCTTGTTCAACATTGAAGCATATTTTCGAGTATTCATTCACCACGTATAAAAACAACGAGGGTGAAGGCTTCAAAACCTTGAATGTGCCACCCGAATACTTGGGTGGTGGTAATGCTGTTGCCGGCATGGGGTTTGGTTTACCTTTAGCAAAACATTACATGGAAATATTCAACTCGGCACTTGAAAACAGCAGCAGTAGCGATTCAGAGTCTCCCGTAAGAGTAAAAGAAGGGCTGTTATCACTACAAACTTACCCCGGATGGGGTACAGACGTATACTTGAAGACAGCAGAAACCTAATCCAAGCCTGTCCTTGTAAAATCTAGAGACTCATGCCTCTATGGCTTTTATTTTTTTATTTTTTTATTTTTTTTTTTTTTTTTCAAAAAATTATCAACAAAAAAAAAAAAAAAAGTACAATACAAGGATAAAGATCACGACGACGACATCATCTTTGTATACACCTGCGGACCCTATAAGTGAACTTGGAATAAGAGAATGAGTGACACATATGTTGTCCTCCATGTTTGTACAACTTGTGATGACTCGAATACACAAGTCACTAAGGACACAACAGAGGTGATATCATTTTCGTGGTCTGCAATCGAAGTTACCACTTTGAATATAATGCATTCAGAAACAATTTTGGTGCGTCCTGTGAATACCCCAATAACCCCCTACTGTACCCAAGTAAACAAGCTCACGTGGGAAGATGTTAAAGATGCAGGCACATTCAAGGACGCAATCACTCTTTTTGATAAGTGGATTTTGAAGGAGATTTTGAGCAAAAACAAGGAGTTCACCTTTGTAGTATTTGATAGCTCAAAGTTGAGAGTTCAGCTACCACGTGAGGCCAGAGATAAGGGTGTTGTTTTGCCTCCTTATTTGCAGCACCCGAAATTGTTTGATTTGACGGTGGAGTATTCCAAATGGCAAACAACTCACCCGGAAGCGGTATCTTACACAGCTTCATCCTTGGCAAATCTAGTAACAGCTTTGGAAGTGGATAGCGATAGTATCGAGGACTTCCAGGTGGGTGGTACGAGTAGCCTGCATGCTACCTCACAAGGAGAAGCTTCTTTAGAAGTGATAGCAACGAGAAATAGTGATATTTCCAAGAAGGACTTGCCACAGTTGATTACAAAGTTAGTAATCCAGTTGATGAAAAAGGCGCTTCCCGTTGAAGAACACGCGACAGTTTTCACTCACCCATATGACATAGCTGAGGACGTGAAGGCTTTTGTTAAGGAACGGTCAAAAGTTTTATATCTTTCTAATTTGCCGCCTGATACTACACAATCGGAATTAGAGTACTGGTTTACACAATATAGCGGACGCCCGGTTGCGTTTTGGACGTTGAAAAATTTAGATGATAGTAAACTTGCACATCAGCTAAACAAGGGTATATCTGGCTTTGTGGTTTTTGGAAGTCATGAAGAGGCTACAGAGTCGTTGGTAATGAACGGGAAGGCTTTCGGCGACCGAGCAATTGAAGTACAACCATCTTCAACTATTGTTCTCGACACTGCCAATGATTTGTTGGCGCCTTTTCCTCTATCTAAGAATAGACCAAGGCCCGGAGATTGGACTTGTCCCTCTTGTGGATTTTCTAATTTCCAGAGGAGAACGCATTGTTTCAGGTGTTCCTTTTCCGCTTCAAGCGCAGTTGCTATACAAGAGTCCATTTTCTCTCGAAGTCTGTCGAACCAATCTAAAGATACTAGAGGAGATACTAATGCTCATCTAGATCAAAATGGACCAGAAAAGTTTAACGAGCGTTCTTTAGATGGCTCGCGGAAACTGAACAATCAAGTTGGCAAAATTACCACGTACAATGGACCAAATTCAACAAGCGAGAGTCTCCCAAATACCGCAACGAATAATTCTCATAACAGGCCCCAGTTTAACAATAGCGTTCCATTTAGAGCTGGAGATTGGAAATGCGATCTTTGTGCATATCATAACTTTGCAAAAAACATGACATGCTTGAAATGTGGTGCTTCAAAGTCGCTAACGGCCTATACTGGCGTACACAACAATTCAATTTTTTCAATGAACTCGACAGCAGCAGCTATCGCGGCGGCCACAGCAAGTGGCCAACCATTGAACATAAATAATAGTTTCATTAAGATGCACCAGCTGCAGGCTCATCATCTTATACAACTGCAGCAACAACAACAACAACAACAACAACATCATCATCATCATCGCCAGACACATGTTGCTCCAAATAGTGTGATACACCCAGGTCAATCCTATATGAGTTTTGAAAAGGGGCAATCAAACTATGCTGTAAGAAATTCAAGTACAGCCACGACTTATGGCCAGCAGGGGTCAGGACATCAACAACAGTTGCACTTGCATTTGAATCAACCAGTAAGCCATACTGGGATTTTGAATCAGCAGCAATTCTATATGAACTCGCCTGCTATAAATGAGTGAAATGGGCACTAGTGAAAGTGATGGAAGAAAATGGTGAATTGGATATTCATTTCATTTTTTTTTTTTTTTTTTACTAAGGTGAAGCTCAGTGAAGTCCACTGAAGTTGCTTTTAAATGCAGGTTGGTTATAGAATCCAAACGTAATATAAGTCAATAGAAACTAATGGTTTGAACTTTTTTACATGGCAATTAGGTATTTCAACATCTCTCTGAAAACATCTCTTGACACGTCAAACGAAAGGTGAGAAAGGAAAGAAAAAAAAAAAAAAAAACCGAAATTGATAAATGGAAAGGATAATTGAAGATTATTCTCATACCATACCATAGCTTGGGACGAAGATGACCGTCAATAAGTACTCAGTGATATTGCCCACGTACAATGAGAAGAGAAACCTACCAATTCTCATCTACTTATTGAACAAAACATTCAAAGAAAATAATTTGGCATGGGAAGTTATCATTGTTGATGATAACTCCCCTGACGGGACACAAGAGATTGCCAAAAAACTAATTGACATTTACGGATCGGAGCACATTTTATTACGCCCAAGAGCCGGAAAATTAGGGTTGGGAACTGCTTATGTTCATGGGTTGCAATATGTGACAGGCAATTTTGTGATTATAATGGATGCAGATTTCAGCCATCACCCAGAGGCTATACCCGAGTTTATTGCCAAACAAAAGACTGAAGACTACGATATTGTTACAGGTACAAGGTATGCAGGTGATGGGGGTGTTTACGGATGGGATTTCAAAAGAAAATTGATCTCTAGAGGTGCCAATTTCTTAGCTACGGTTGTTTTGAATCCACGTGTGAGTGATTTAACTGGAAGTTTCAGATTGTACAAGACTAATGTGTTGAGGAAAATCATTGATGTGACTCAGTCAAAGGGCTATGTTTTCCAAATGGAAATGATGGTGAGAGCTAGAAGTTTGGGGTTCACAGTAGGCGAAGTGCCAATTAGTTTTGTAGATAGGTTATATGGAGAGAGTAAATTGGGAGGAGACGAGATAGTTCAGTACGCAAAGGGTGTATGGACTTTGTTTACTAGCGTTTAAGTGACAACAGTTGAGGAACTCCCCTGTTCTTATAGAGAGGGTGAGAGAGATAATGAAAAGAGAGCGCCAAAGTGAACCTTTTTATTATACGCGTTTATTGAAATTTTTCAATCTCTTTTTTTTTTTTCTTTTCTTTTCCTGCTAATAATTCACTTGCTTAGTCCGATTTTTCACTGCACTCTGGTAAAGAGTAATGGCTAAGGACACATATTTGAGGAAAGTGCTTGGAGAGAAATGCTTTGATAAAGTGAGACATGCCAAAGTGTTGTTGGTTGGTGCTGGAGGTATTGGCTGTGAGCTATTGAAAAATTTAGTTTTAACAGGGTACAATGAAATTCATGTAGTCGATTTGGATACCATCACACTTTCTAATTTGAATCGGCAATTTTTGTTTAGAAAGAGTGACATTGACAAGTCAAAGTCATTGACTGTTGTGAAAGCCGTTGAATCGTTTAATTACTTTGACTCTGAGCTTGTTCCACATCATGGGAATATTATGGATACTAGACAATTTCCATTACAATGGTGGGAACAGTTTACATATATCTTCAATGCCTTGGACAACGTAGAAGCAAGACATTATGTGAATAAGATCTGTCTCTTTTTGAGAAAACCATTAATGGAAAGCGGGACAGAAGGTTATGGGGGCCAAATAAATCCAATATTCCCCTATTACAGTGAATGCTTTGATTGTCAAAAGCATATATCTCCCAAGACATATCCTGTGTGCACGATTAGGTCTACGCCCTCGCAGCCTGTTCATTGTATTACATGGGCCAAAGAATTCTTGTTTCGGCAGTTATTTGACGAAGCGGATGAAGCTAGTTCTTTGAATGATGCAGATGCAATAGCGAATGAAGCGGAAAACAAGGAAGAGATTGAAAACTTGACGAAAGAAGCGAACGAGTTGGCAGAATTACGCAGGATGATATACGATAACGAGAAGGAACAGTTTACTGAAGAGATGATACGCAATATATTTACCGTTGACATTGAGCGGTTGTTATTGATTGAGGATCTTTGGAAAACACGACTGAAACCTACTCCGCTTGACTTTGATACATACCAGAAAGAATTGAAGCTGAAACTATCAGATAATGCGAATGATTCAATTTTGATTGCAGAGACTAAGAACTGGTCAGTGCTTGAGAATTTATATGCCTTGTGCAAATCAAGCGAACGTTTGCAAACAAGACTAAAACTGGGAAAAGAACATTTTATATCCTTTGATAAGGATGATGACGATGCCATGACTTTTGTTGCAGCAGCTTCTAATTTGAGATCGCATATTTTCCATATTAGCACCAAGTCCAAATTCGACATTAAGGAAATTGCGGGAAATATCATTCCAGCCATTGCAACAACCAATGCAATTGTTGCTGGGTTTGCAAGCGCTACGGGCACTCAGTATTTCTCCTACAATGTCAAGAACAGTGATTTTAGTGAGGTTTTTGAAAAAATCTATACAATGTCAATTTGTTTAAGACCGCAGCAGTATGTAATATCGGCATCCCTCTCAGGCCCGTATGAGAAATGCGTTAGCGATGTTCTCGTTTCAAGAGGTATCCTACATATAAGGGAGCAAGACTTTGAGAACTTGACACTTGGTTGGCTCATAGACAAGTTAGTAGATTCATATGGTTATTCTAGGGACTTTATTTCAATACAAGTGGGAAGTTCTAAATTGATATATGATGCCGAATTTGACGAGTACTTTGACACAAGATTAAAACAAGTGCCGGGGTTGAAAGATCAAGTAATAATCTTGGTTCAGGATGATTCGGATGAGTTGGAAGGTGTTGAGCTTTACTTAATTGTTGAGGAGGAAACTGAGACAAGCCTACCAGTACTAAAAATAGGACGTAATAAGTTGGATAAAGTTTCTGAAAACGACCAAGAGTCTGAAGACGATGACGATATAGAAATTATTGGATTTCAAGATGAAGAGACAGATTCAGATATTGAGATTTTGAATGACGTAGAGGAGAAGAGAGTGTATGAGAAGAGAGTGGAGGAGGCAGATACACAGACCAGTACTAAAAGGAGGAAACTACAATAAAGTTTTTTGTACCAAATCTGTAACAAAGAGAGAGGGTGAAAGAGTGTGTGTAAGAGTGTGAGAGTCTGAGAGAGAGAGAGAGAGAGAGAGAGAGAGAGAGAGTGTGTGTGTGTGTATTTGTGTGTGTCCCTGCATGCGTACTTTGTATCTTCAGTTTTGTAAGTAACTACGTGTGAATTTTTTTTCTTATAGTGAAATTTGGTAACATACAAGATTCCACACCATTAACTGAAAGCAATTTTAGGGCATTTGCTGGATTTCTCATAAAGTCTTTTTTTCAATGTCGTATTCTTTTGTCTCATTTTTTCCCTCTTCTTTTAATAGCTGCTGTTAACAGAAAAAAAAAAAGCTTCATATAGTAGCCATGTAAACTTTTCATAAACCCGTTCTTTATACCCACATCATAAGCAAAACCCCTCCTCTTTTCCACCTTGCATACTTTTTCCAATAGAGTGTTTTTTCTTTTGATTTTATTCAATTATGTCCTGGCAAGCATATACAGACAATTTAACAGCAACGGGAAAAGTCGACAAGGCTGTGTTATACTCTAAAGCAGGCGATTCATTATGGGCACAATCAGGATCATTCCAATTGCAACCAGATGAGATTTTGGCAATTGCTAAAGGGTTCGATGATGCATCAGATTTACAGAGCCACGGTTTACACGCTCAAGGTCAAAAGTATTTCTTATTGAGAAATGACGATAGATCGATATATGGGAAACATGAAGCTGAAGGTTTGATTTGTGTCAGAACTAAGCAGACCATATTAGTAGCTCATTATCCAAGCGGAATCCAACCCGGTGAAGCAACCACTATTGTTGAAAAATTAGCAGATTATTTGATTAGTGTTGGTTATTGAATATAAACCCTTTTTTTCATTTTGAAGAAAAATGGAAAAAAAAAAAGAAAGAAAAAAAATATATTTACCCGGCAGAATAAATAGAGCAGAATAAATGAAGCATTATAAATTGAAGTAAAGTTACTAGATTTTACGTTTTACTTATAAGCTCCAAGTGTTGAACAGATAGAGATAGTGAAGTGAAGTGAAGTGAAGGTGGAGGGTGTGTGTGTGTGTGTGTGGCTGCATGAGATTACTTTTCCAGTGATTGACTTTTCCAGTGAATATAGTAGATTATTGAGTTTTGTCTCTTGTTAATAACCTATTAATGAAAAAGTCTATTGTCAGTAAAACTTTTGTTAAACATTTTTCTACACTCCAATGGTCAGATTCCCTTGTTTCTGACCACTAATATCAATGCCAAATATTATAAACTATTAAGAAGCCGAGAAAGAAGTATGACCTCTTCTTCCCTTCTTCACCCCCTTTTTTTTGTATTTCTTATTTCTTTTTAATTAAAGCAATTAATTCAAAGTGATAAATTTCTAGATGCGAAAAATAAAAATATTAAAGGAGCTGAGAAGAAGAAGAAGAAGAAGAAGAAGTGATTTTCTCAGCTCATCAATTTATATCAAATAGGTTGTTTTCACTATAAAAATGATGAAACATTTTCCAACAAATAGCCTATTAGTGCTAGGACCAGTATTTGTTATAGCTACGGATTTTGTTTTGGCTAGGCTTTCTCAAACCAAAGGAGCTAAAAATTTAACAAGAAAAACCAGTAATCAGCAGTTATCGTCTTCGTCCCTTGGGATGTCGTCCTATAATCCACGCGTATACAGGTCCAGTTGGGTTCAAAAATGGGAAAGCCCGGAGAAGTGAAGTTTAAACAAGTTGTGCTTGCATTGTTTGCATTTCATGCGGACTTTGTTGTAAGAGGAAGCTGTATCTGCTAGAGAGCGGTAGTTGCGATATGCCTGTCCAATAGTTGCAGTAGCTTGACCACTAGATGCAGTTTGATCTAATAATCTCAGTCTGATCACAGTTTAATAGATGCAATCTGATTACAGTTTAGTTGCAGTCTGATTATAGTTGCATTTGACCACTAGACTAGAATTGACCACTAGACTAGAATTGACCACTAGACTATTGACCACTAGACTAGAATTGACCACTAGACTATTGACCACTAGACTAGAATTGACCACTAGACTATTGACCACTAGACTAGAATTGACCACTAGACTATTGACCACTAGACTAGAATTGACCACTAGACTATTGACCACTAGACTAGAATTGACCACTAGACTATTGACCACTAGACTAGAATTAACCACTAGACTAGTATGTTGCATTTTAAGATACCAAAAGTACGATACCATCGAACAATATTCCACTAGAGCCCCTTTTTTGCATTTCAAGATACCAAAAGTACGATATCATCGAACAATATTCCACTAGAGCCCCTTTTTTGCATTTCAAGATACCAAAAGTACGATATTATCGAACAATATTCCACTAGAGCCCCTTTTTTGCATTCTGCAGGCGAATTTAGTTACATTAGCATCCTACAATTCTAGACATATTCCAAGAGCGAGACAGTGTCGATAGTGTTTGTAGCAGCTAGTGTGGTCCACTATCTCGCTCTGCTCAATAGTGTCGAATCTACAGTAATATTAATAGAATCTATAGTAAGTACTTAACATCATATACAAGTAATAAGCTAATATTGGCTCTCGTGGTTGTAACAATGTACTAAATGTTGCTCCACTAGCTCGCTTTGCTCGCTAGTGCCAAACCCATCAGTGCTGTTCCACTAGCTCGCTTTGCTCGCTAGTATCGCTAGTATCGCTTTTTTTTTGCAATCTCAAACCTGTACATGATCACTCTCGCTTCTGATTGATTTTACCTGATTGATTTTTTTTTTTTTCACCCAGTTTTTTATTGGTCGCGAGAGGCTATTCAATAACAAGAATAAGGAATTAGAGGGGTCAAGTTGGCAAGTACCCTTTTTTATGAGAAGCTCGTTGCATAGGATAGCATAGTATTACCATGTTGAACAGACTGATACAGATCACTTCCAAGTCAAGGTTGAGTGTGCGCGCGGTAAGCCAACTCACGTCCAAGAGGTACAATCACCATAGCAGTAACAATCATAGCGACCACGGTCACCATGGAACAGCAGCAGAAGATAAACCATTTGAAATCACCATTACAAAAATATTTGGAATTGCTGCTTTAGCCGGTGGTTTGTTGATGTATAAACGCAAAGATACTTCCGAAACACCGCTTTTCGAATCGGGACTTTTCGAACAAGAACAAAATGGAGAGCGTAGCCACTTGAGAGACAAGAATTTCGAAAATAGATACAAGATTGGATTTATCAAGACATATATCAATGATAACGGCGGAGAGTTTGGTGATCAAATTTATAGAAGAAGTAAAGGTGAAGATGTTCTCAACAATAACTTGCTTGCCGCAAGCTCACCATATGGTAACAGGTTTGGTGCGGGAATCAAGTTGAACGAGTTGGGTCCAAGAAGGGAGAGGATACCTCGTTTTGCTCCTCTTACTGAGAATAATGAGTAAAATTTAATCGAATGTATCACATATTGAAAAGTAAACCAATCTATTTAGCAAGATAGAGTGTCCTTTTTTTCTCTTTTTCTTGTTCATTTTGGCTATTCTGTAAACCGTCGAATTCTCCCGCCAAACTATTCATCTAGCTTGAAGCTCTCGAGTCAATGTAGTTTGCAGATGGGTATAAAAATACTCTTATTTTACAAGCTTTTTCAGACTGTTTGTTTCTACACCCAATGAGAAGCAAAAAAAAAAAAAAAAGGTAAGCACAATTCTATTTAACTTCTCATACCCATTTTAGTTAGAGAAAAGTGAGTCATGGCACAAGTACGTCACAACCCGTGGGCAAAGAGAGACGCATGGAGGTATCAAGGTCAATTTACTAGGTTCAACAGATTCAAAAATGCGTTCCCTGGATTAGGTATTGCCATAGTTGCATTTAGTGGTTATTGCTTAGTTGAAAAATTTGTCTTCCCTAAAAAGCATGACGAGCACCATAATGGGGATCACAATGAACACCACTAGGAAGGAGGATGAAGACAGAGAGAGAGAGAGGAGACATATATGCCGTATAAAGTAAAATGTGGTGTCACAGTTGTGGAGAAAAACCCCCATTTTTGCAAGCTATATTTCAGTGTACAATAATGTGCTGGAATTCATAGATACGTTGAACTTTAAAAGGTAAGCGATTACACACAAACACACACACACACATACAGGCAGGTTTCACGTAGCTAGATATTATTCTATTTACAAAGCTTTTTCTTTTTTTTTTTGTTTTACAACTTGGTATCTCCCTCGTCATATTCTATATCGGGTACTGTACTCTTTGCCAGCAACAAATCTTCAAACATCGAAGTTGTTGATTTTTCTTCTCCTTCAACCATTGACCCTACTGGAGCGCGCAGTTTATTTGCATTTGCTTCCATAAACTTGGTTTCGTCACCAGCCAATTTGACCCAATCGTCAATGTAATTTTGTTCATTACGCAAATTCCAATCAGCATGGGTAGATTCAAATACCGCTCCATGCATTGCACTTTCTTCCCTCGCGATATGGCTCTCCATCTCCTCAGCCATACGCAATTTGTAATATTCGAACCTTGCCATATCGTAAGCATCAAAAATATCCGTTACTTCTGGATCGTTCTGTATAATGTACATTGTACGCTGGACAACTGATTCTCCGTCCAATGGTTTTTGAAGCTGTAACATGTGTGACCAGTCACATTTTCGTGATATCTCATCACCCTTATTTTCTATCAAAGTTTTAGGACGTGCTAACTCCCATGGATGTTGTGAATGAAAAAAATTTCTTAATTCGTCTTCAATAAATTTCAACTTTGGTGCTCTGTGAATATTGTTGTTCCGATTAGATCTTTCCAACTTGGTAGAGCGCGTTTTGAATAGTTGCGAGACATGCGATCTTGCTTGTTGTGTTTCTTGGTTTGTCCCCTCTAGAAGATCATTTCGTGGATCTTGACTTTCAGCTTGTTTTATATATGGTTTTTTGATAAGGTTATGTGTTGGTGGATATTTCTCCACAATGTCAAACCATACCGGCTTACGACTTAGTACGCCTGATTGAAGGTATGCCGATGCTCGAGAAAGAACATTAATTGCATCTTTTTGGAGCTTCATTGTTACTACCCTTACTACTACTACTACTACTACTACCACTGGCAGATGGGAAGACCTGAATCGAATTATCGCCAAAAAAAAATTTTATTGACTTTTCTTTTTTTTTTTTTTTTTCACTTCTGGAGATGAATTTTTTTTTTGTCACTTTGTTAGTAGCTTTTTCCCTTTTCTATAAAACAGATGGGCAAGATTTGGAAAATGATATGAACATAGTTAGACAGGCAAAGGCAATAAAGGATAATTCTGTATTAGAAGTCCCAATAAACTCATTTATACGACGAGTTGGGTCAGAACAGGTACAAAACTCAGGCCCGTTATTGAAATGCATCGATACATTGATTAACAATAATGAGACATTATTATTGAAGAAGTTTAAGCTAGAGCCTATTTATGATCAGTATGAGTTTAGACAACAGATTTGGGATAATTTAAAAAGAAGGAAACCCGATATTGATGCTAGACTATCGCAGAGACAAAAAGAGAATCATCATCTGCAGAGTATTCTATATACTCCGAAATATAACAAGTTTATCAAAGAGTTGTATCCCTTGCGGAGTGATAATGATTATAGGCTCTTCCAGCCCCTGGAGAGGTTTTTTGATTTGAAGAGTAACCACGATAAATATTCCAGGATCAATCAAGAGAGTTTGTACAGAAGGTATTTGGATTTGCCAAAACCAGCACCACGATATCTTCCATTTCGCATTCTTCAGGATTTTCTTGACAAATTTGCTTTGAGCAATGCTCAATTTGCAAACAGAAATGTAATAGAAGGTTGTAAACTTAAGGGGGATACAGCAAGCGCTGTTAGTGCGATTGTTGCCGAAAATCAACGACGAAGAGATTACTTGAATATGGTGAAACGAGTGTTTAACGACTTGAAAGATGCAAATTTCGAGATTACAGAGCAAGAACAGATACGGTTGATTTATCTATCATATTTCAAAGACCAAAAGGATATTTTAGACGGAATTGAAGACACGAATAATACTAAAGAATTGGGTTATAACGAGTTTACGTTCAACGATTACAAACTGATTTTGAAGACATCGAGTGAGAGGAGTGATGTATATGGAATATTGTTGTTTTTGGCAACTCGTCACGATAGATTTGATGTCATTCAAAGTATCCTTCCTAGAATTGGGATGGGTGAGATCATTGGACATGAAAAGGACAAGCCTAATAACAAGCTTAAGAATAAGGACGACAAGAACAAGGATCATCGTAGTTTCAAACCAATTGATATATCGTTACTCAACTTGGTTGGTTTTTTTGTTAATCATATTGAGAGACCTGGGTATTCTACTTATTTGGCTAAAACTATAGAGAAGATTAAGAAAATACCAGTAATAAACGGTAAGATAGTTGACCATTTGATCAAGATGTTGGTGGATTTAAAGTTGATTAGACATGCAGAACTCTTGTTTGAGACTGCTTACTTTAAATCTCAGGGGGAAGAATCACAAATGACTCAGGAGTGGCTTTATGTATATACTAAGCTAAAAGTGCTAACTGGAGACAAAGAGACGTTTTATAAGTTATCCCCAAGTCATGTATCTTTTACAAGTTTATTCCGTGGATATAGAGAGTGCCAACAACCCTTTGAGAGGGTTAAACAACTTCTTTTAATAATGGATAAACTATCTACACAAACAATGAGTACTACTATGTACTTTGAAATATTCAAAGGCTTCCTCAGTCGAGCTGATTGGGAGTTTGATGATTTGATATTTGTTTTAGCGCGCTTAGTCAAGGAAATCGATCTGGGGAAAAATGATAACGACCAATATAGTTTGAAAAAATTGATATCCAAGGGGGCGTTGAATATCAATGTTGAATTACAATTATATATGGCTGAGTTTGAACCAGCAAGGTTAAACCCGGATCTAAGGTTAAGTCGATTGTTAATGGAGCTTATCTTTATGGTTTGTGAAACAAAACTACGCGCACTAGAGGAAGATACAATTTTGGCAGAGAAAAGATTGAGTCAAACAAAGTTGAGCTGGTTGCAAATGATGGAAGATATACCTAGGATAGGATCTGGTATGCAAGCCGACAGACTTGCGTATATCAACAAGATTGTTTTAATTGACATATTGTCAATTATGTTTTAATAAAGAACTCTTTGAGAAGTAGTGACATTATCGAGCAGAGCGAGATAGTGTTGTAACAAGCTACTAAGCTACCAAGTGTTGCCCCACCATCTTGGTCCTGCTTGATAGTGGAGTACAATTAAATATATTTTTATTAAGCTGATTAATTTTCGTAATTATCTAGATACCCTTTTAGCTTACCTTTACCTAAATAAGTAATAAAGGATAGTTATCAACAAAATCTTAATTATTAATTGTTTTTTCTTCAAGTCAGGTGACTAAAAGGGGAGGGACTCCCTTTTATTTTGCTACCAACTGTTATGCGCACCACGTTACTTCTAATCAAATCTTGTAAATATGAAAAATCCATACCATAAATGAAAAACTCCGAAGAAAACAAGAAAAAAGAATGCAAATTTAGTGAGAATATTATCGGGTGAAGAAAATCAACGAAATAATAAAGAGAGAATTAGAAGTAAAAGAGCAAATGTTACTAGTAGTGGTGGTGGTGGAGGAGGAGGAGGTGGAAGTCATGTGTGAATCAAAAACAGGGTTTGGTTATTTGGTAACAAGGACTATATTTGATATATGCCGTAGGGGCTTTTTTTATTTTTTTTTTATTTTTTTTTTTTTGGAGTGGAGGGGAAGGAAAGGGTAGAGAGTTGATAACTAGTGGGAATCGAATTTACTATTTGTCAAAAATAGGTCCGTTCTGTAGACATGTTGTGCCATGCTTCTAACATAGTAATAATGGTCCGTTGAAGTAGGAGTCTAGTACAATTCCATGTGCTAGAGAACCCACCCATTCCCCCCCCCCC